GCAAGAAACACATTTTTAAAAACTTCCCGCACTCCCCCAACTAGTAAGGATAGAAGCTTTTGTTTAAATAACAAAGAGTAGGCATTGGTGTGTTTTTTTTTACTTTTTATGCAGTTGATGATTTGCATAAGAGGAGTTAATTTTAATGTGGGTGGCTCTGAGGGATGGAGGAAGTGAGGCTTCCCTTTAAAAATATCAAAGTGCAGGAGAGAGAAGAGGGAGAGCAATAGAGAGGGAGAGAGGAGGAGAAGTTGACAGAACATGTACCCTTAATCTCCAGAGCTCAATCCTTGCACAGGGAGCCATCAATCATGTGTCTGGGTGACTGACAGAAACTCATTAGAACACTTCCCCCCACCCTCCTCACCCCCCCCACACTCTGGCTGCCCACTTGCTGTCCCAGAATTGAGACCCTTTGATGGTTGTAGGATTGGAAGGGAAAAAACAGGCAGTGGCGAGAGCAGGGAAGAAGGCAGCAGTGAGGATCCCAGGGCCTGTAAGGAGGGATGGGAGGAGCAGTTCAATTCAGACGGCACTTAAAAGTGAACATATAAAATCTGCACATTTGAAAGCAAAATGCAAAGCAAAATGCAGCCCTTCTTCAAAGTTCACAGCTTATCGAATTTCGCAATGCAGCTCTTCAACAAAGCAATGTGTGCAAAAATGAATATATTAGGGTCAAGTGTGCCTATAAATGCATATGTTACTGAAAGTGACATACAAATAGGCATTCTGTTGGGGAAAACAACATGCAAAAATGCACATTTTGGTCAAACCGGCATACAAAAATGTGTTGATCAGAGAAATTCAGACTAAAATGCGGGTGAAATTTCATAAGGGTTTTTTAACAACAGCAGCAGCAGCAACAATATCACAAATTGCTGCAGAATTGTGGAGAACTGCCTTTACGTTTGGAAAAATGAGGAACAGAGAGAAATGAAAACAAACAGATTTGCCCATCCCTACCTGTAGGCTCATGCAGGCGAGAGACAGGAACACCCAGGTTCAATCCCACCCCCCAATATCTTCCATTAAAAGGACTGTCAACATCAGGGCTGACAGAGTCACCAGGGAGCCATTAGCCAAGCGGGGAAGACAGTCCCAGGCTAGACAGGCAGACCATCAATCTCAGGGCCACTCACATGTTAGGCTAAAAGCAGGGCTGATACAATAGAGGGAGTTCATGTGAGAGCATCCTTCCTCCTGGCTTCACAACTAGAATGACAGGTGTGCACCCCAGCAATGGGGGCTGGTCCATTAGGCAGACAGGGTGCTGTCCCACTGATCACATTCAGCCCGCCTTCTTACTGAAAGCCAGTCAGGGGGTGGTTCTGCCTGTTGTTGGTTCTGACTTCATCTGCTATAAAGGTCTCCCTGCCTTCCAACCTATCAGTCCCAATGATCACCAGCTGCCACTGCATCCCAGCAAGTTAAATACTGCCTTACAACCCACATGCTCCAACCAGGCTGGTTGCCTTTAAACTTCTTTTTGTAAAAGAAAAAAGGGGGGACACTATATGTGATGTCTGTTTATTCGTGTATTTGTCATTTTATTCCTCAGGTGATTCAGCTCCAGGAATGTGAAGGGCAACATCACAGGTATGGGCCAATCAGCACTGTGCACGGCCAGCTTATACTGCCAATTTGCCACACCATTTTTTACTAGTGCAGCCCTAGAGCGGGAAGGTGCATTAGGACTGCACATGCTGCGGGTGTTTCCAAATCTGCCCAACTTTTCTAAAACAATACACCATACAGAAGCTGCAGGTATACATGCTATGCACCACTGTTTCCTGTAACATGAAGTTACATGTCTCTTTGCTTATTCTGCTCTAGTGTAGCACAACACATTTCTACATGCATGCAATGCAACTAAGAAATAGTGTCTGGGTTTGGGTTTTCCCTCCTCTGTACCAATCCCTTTTCCTTTTGTGTCATGCTTTTTAGATTATGTACTAAGGGCAGAGACTTCTCATACTCTTTGTCTGCAGAAGGCCACTTTGGGATACTTTTGTGGCTGATGAGTGGAATAAAAAGGCAATGTTCATGTAGGGAAGAAAGTAGGTTGTTTTCTGCCAGCACGCATGGGTGGCACAAACCAGTAATTCAACCGGAGACCTCATGTTCCCAGTTTTTCGGTTGTTAATATTTCTCTGCCTTGGCGTATTGGAAGGCCTTCAAACAATGCATTAGGGCCATGCAGAGAACATTTCTCCCCAGTGGTTTATCATTGCTCTTTCCTCTCCTTGCTCCCCAAAGGGAACCAAGTGCATGGTGAATGCGGAGAAAGTTTCAGGTTGGCAGGATTCGATGGAAGAGGGGAGTATATTTATGTCGGTTTTCAAAGCTTTGCCAATCCCACAAGCTTCCGAGTACCAATACACAAAACAGAGGAGATATGGGAATGACTAGCTAGCTAAACCTCCCCAATGTTAAAACCCATTTATGGGCATCACCCCCAAACCACAAGGCTTCAACAGTCCTGCCACAAGATGCTCAAGCTCAGTCTTCAGTGAATCTCCCCGGGTTCCACAGTTGCAGTGGTGGCTGGTGCCCATTGGGCTTGGAGGGTGAGGTGACAGGAAGGTCAGCCCAACAAGAGGCGGAGCCAGAGCCTTTGAGAGAGGTGGAGCTAACTCATTCAGGTTTTACCCCACCCTCCTTCCTGCTGAGTTCTACAAGGGCAACACTTAGACTAAGGAGGAGGAAGCTGGCAACTAGGGTCATCCTCTGGGCTGGTTGTCAGAGTGCTCCTCTGCTAAGGACAGCATAAGACCTTTCACTACCTGAGGCAGAGGACAAATGGCTCTTCCTGGCCATTTTGTGCACTGGACTGACAGTAGAATCTTACATCAGTACTAATGGTGGGATGCTGCCCTCCACTATATCAGAGGCAGCGAGCTAGTTTAGGTTGCTCAGGATAAGCCATGTAGGATTAGGGATGTGGTGGTGGTGGTGGAATCTGTCTATTTCAGTTTTGCTAAGTTTCCCATTTTTTTCACACATTCAGTTCTTCACATTTCTACATTAGTTTGTAAGTTTTCTTTTTTAAATCCTCCTGAAAATCCACCAGCATTTTAATGCAAATTTCTCCTAATATACACATTTTTTTTGCATCCGATCTTGCCTAATAGACATGTTTCCCCTCATATAACCCATTTTCACGACACGAATGTCTGCATTTTTATGCAAGCTTGACCCTGATATATACACACAACTTGGCCACAAACCCAGACTACAAAATTCAGAGAAATGCAAATTTCAAACACTGGCCATGTTTTGATTCACATATAGTGGTACCTCTGGATGCGAACGGGATCCGTTCCAGAGCCCTGTTCACATCCTGAAGCGAATGCAACTCGCATCTGCGCGTGCACGGGTCGTGATTTGCCGCTTCCGTGCATGCGCATGAATTCATTTTGACCACGCATGCGTGAGCGGCGAAACCCAGAAGTAACACGTTCTGTTACTTCCGGGTCGCCGTGGAGCACAACCCAAAAACGCTCAGCCTGAAGCAACTTCAACCCGAGGTATGACTGTATTGTTTTGGAAAGTATGCATTATGTACATTCACCTTTAAATGCAAACTGAATCAAATTTCTCCCACCACCCATCCCTTTGCAGGACCCACAACTGTGGTGGTGTGCAGGTGCAGGGAGTCTTGGAAAGAACAACTAAGGGGGTGCGACTGCTGCCCCGTCTCCAGCATCTGCTTCCTGAGGCCGTCACCTCACTTTACCTAATGATAGATCCAGCCTGCTCTCTGCTGGCACAATGCAACCCCTTGATGCAACCCCCCCCCAAAAAAATGCCTTTATCCACCCCTGGATAAAAGCTGTGGTTAAGTTGCAATTGAACCAAAGTGGCATGCCGTGCATTTAACATTCCTACACAGCTCCGGGAACAAAACCAGCAAAAGCAGACCGTTATTTCTCCTGGAGGTAAATTATGATTTCAACAGGCTGAAATTACAGCCTGTGTTGTGCATAAATTGGGGAGTGGGGGGACCTTGGCAGCCCAAACTGACATTCAGAGGGCAGTGGGAGGGGGCGGGGAGGGAAAACATGTCAAGTTGTCTTCAGCCAAGAGGCCAGTTTTTGTTGCGGTTTTATCTGCCAGCCAAGAAGGAACTTCTATCTACTCTTCATGGTGCCAGGGGCTGGAGCGGGTGAGGTTTGGAAGCCTGGGCGAGGCGAAGGCCACCCTTCCGCAGTTTCATCTTCTGCTAACATCGTGTCAGAAGGGGCTTCTCTCCTGCACTTGACAAAGCCCTTTCGTGAGTCTGTGTCTCAGTCGATAGCTGCCATCAGCATGGCAGGAGACCTCTGTATCCGGAGGATATTGATCACTTGCCTCGCCAGTTGCTCCTTGGCTCAGTGATAGTGGATGTGTAGGGAATCCTCCCTTCTCCCCTCTACCCGCCCACCACCACCAAGGCAGGGGGAGAGGGAGAGAAATGCCATTCAGTTTGCACTGAAATGCAAGCCTTCCTAATCAACGTATGCTAAAGTGTGCTGAAAAGTGCATCTATTAGTGTAAATAATGTCCAAAAATGTGGTCAGACGCAGTCATGCTCCTGAATACCAGTTGCTGGAAACCACTGGAGGGGAGGGTGTTCCTGTGCTTGAGTCCTGCTTGCAGGCTTCCCATTGAGGCACCTGGTTGTGCCACTGTGAGAACAGGATGCTGACCCAGATGGGCCATTGGCCTGATCCAGTTGCAGGGCTCTTTTTATGTTCTTATGCTTTGTATTAGGAGAAACTGCTCTGCAAAATTGTAAATATTAGGCAAAATTGCGGGCGAAAATGTGTATATTAGAAGTTTGCAGCAAAAGGATCATGGATTTTCATGAGGACTTGGGGGGAATCATACGCTGATGTGGAAATCTGGGGAACTGAACTTAAGATGGGGAAAGTGAGAAATGCAAAGAAAACATTGTTAACAGATATACCGGTCTTTCATGTGTGCATATCAGAGCAGTGTAGGTTGGGGAAGCAGGGATGTTATGTGACCCAAAGAGCCCTGGCTCAAAAGATCAGCCCATTCGGGTCAGTTCTCTGTGAAGTAACACTTTCCCCACCACCACCACTCTGCTGGGTTTCATCTTATGCAGACCAGCATAACAATAGCATAATAAATGATCAAAAGTTGGTGTGAACTTCCTATTTTTCATTTTTCACTTTCCTGACTTAACTCTTATGGAAAGCTGCCTTATAAAAGGTCAGAATATTTGCCTGAGTTGCTAGCTAGCCTCCTGTAGTCTAGCACAGGTTTTGGGCATCTTTTTTAACCCCAAGGGCCGCATTCCTTTGTGGGGAGACTTCTGAGGGCCGCATGTTAGTGGTGGGCGGGGCTAGAGGCAAAAGTGGGTGAGGTGATGGATGAGACTCTTACCTTTGTCCAATAGGCTACACTCCAGCCATGCCAGAGGTTCCTACACCCGTCCACAACTTTCCAGTCTCTACTTAGGCAAGGAAGAGGTACGACTGTGACTCAAGTGGAAGAGCCATGGCTAAGTGGCAAAGCATGCAGAAGGTCCTGAGTTCAATCTCCAGTAGCTCCAGATAGGGTTGGGCCTGAAGAGACCCCGGCTGTTGTTGGACTACAACTCCCATCATCCCTAGCTAGCAGGAGCAGTGGTCAGGGATGATGGGCGTTGTAATCCAACAACAGCTGGGGACCCAAGTTTGACAAATGCAGGCACTGCAGATAATACCAGCCAGCTGGACCAATGGGCTGACTCAGTGGAAGGTAGCTTCCTATGTACCTCACACAGCAGCTTGACTTGCAGGCATTAGAGGTGACATTTATCTCCATGTGGCTTCTGAAAATGAAATGCTTGTCAAAGGCTTGGGGGCAGGCTAGGCTGGTTCCTCTTTGATTAACTGGCAATGTTGTTTACTCTTAAGGGCTTGTTCACAACTGGAAAAGTGTAGGGCAGGGGGGCAATACTTAAGCCTGTCAGTGTTCTGGCTTGGCACATAAAGGTGCTCACTGTTTTGGCACCAGCAGGAGAACCAATTTGATTGACAGGCCTTTTGAGTGATGCATGTGGTCAACATCTCCTGTCGACACCTGAATTCCTGCCAGGAGTGGCAGCAGCCCAGCAGTGGCACCAGCAGTTTGATCCTGACAGCAAGGCCTGGATCGGAGAAGATATCTTTCTTCACGAAGAGACACCTGATAACTCCTGAGTGGGGGAGCCGTGAATAAGTTATCCATCTCCTTGCTGAGGGAGATAAATGTCATATCAGGCCGAAGCCATCATCTGTGCGTAGCAGCAATTCAAGCCGCTGCCTGGCATTCCCTATCAGCTCTCCGTGGACCAGGCGACGCGAGCTGTGCTGAGGCTCCCAGACAAAAGCTTTGTTTCTGCCTTTTCAGTGGGCAATGTGCAGGAAATGTCATCTGTCTCTTCGCAGATGGGGAGCCAGCAACCTTCCTTCACCTGACCTTGCAGCCTGCCTCCGTAATGGGATGAAAAGAGAGGTCCCTAAAGAGTAGCACCGTGTGAGCTCACTGGGTAAAAAAACACAAAACCCTGCAGGATCAAAATAAGGGCCCTGATGCTCTAGCCTTGTGCCTGATCTGGTTTGCTTTCAACAAGGCCTGAGCCTCAGTTCTTGAAGCCTTAATCTCTGGTGACTGGCACATGTGGACTCAGATATTGTTAATACATTGCCATAGCTGCCATTATGTGTTGATGGCTCAGAGTGGATGGGAGGAGCCACAGCGTAGCAGCAGAACACCTCCTTTGCATGCAGAAGGTCAGGTTCAATCACCAGCATCTCCTGGTTAGGCTGGGAAATATTCCCTGTCTGAAACCCTGGAGAACTGCTGCCAGTCAGTGTAGACAATACTGAGCTAGATGGACCCAAAGTCTGACTCAGTACAGTGAAGCGCAACTCGTACAGCACGTTGGAGACAAATATTCACACAGTTGTTCAAAAATAATTTTACACCATTTATCAAATATGTGAGAAAGAGACAATTACTTACAAAGTGCCATGAAAACTTACAAACTACCTAAAATAAAGTGAACTTGCAATATCAGATTTTACTTTTGTTGTTGTTGTTGTTGTTTAGTCGTTTAGTTGTGTCTGAATCTTCATGACCCCATGGACCAGAGCACGCCAAGCACTCCTATCTTCCACTGCCTCCCACAGTTTGGTCAGACTCATGTTTGTAGCTTCGAGAACACTGTCCAACCATCTCGTCCTCTGTTGTCCCCTTCTCCTTGTGCCCTCCATCTTTCCCAGCATCAGGGTCTTTTCCAGGGAGTCTTCTCTTCTCATGAGGTGGCCAAAGTACTGGAGCCTCAGCTTCAGGATCTGTCCTTCCAGTGAGCATTCAATGCTGATTTCCTTAAGAATGGATAAGTTTGATCTTCTTGCAGTCCATGGGACTCTCAAGAGTCTCCTCCAGACCATAATTCAAAAGCATCAATTCTTCGGCGATCAGCCTTCCTTATGGTCCAGCTTAGGTTCTTACAGACTCAGATTTTTGGTTTTTTCTTGTTTTTTGAAATAAGTTCAAGAAGATTCAAGAAAAGGGTAAGTTCAACATTGTTCCTGGTAGCTGTGAGGTGCTGATGAAGCAGTGTATGAAGTAATAAAGAAGACAGGGTGCCAGCGTTCTACCCCCATTTCGCCCTAGCAGTCCATGCATTTGAGAGGCTGCAGTTTCACCCCTGGTGGGGCTGATTTGTTGGGGTTGGCAGATAGCACACTCCCTGAGCACAGTTTTCTGGCCTTCTTCAGTTTTCTCGTGCCATTGATGCGTCTACTAGTGCTAACTGATAATAACTGATAATAATCCAAACGGAATCTTATCAGAATCAACATAATACACTTCTAGGTGTTCAATTAAATACAAAGTAAATATAAATCCCCCCACTATATACAAAGAATCCATTTTGATGCAAAAGTTCATAATTATGTACTTACATATCTTTGAAGAGACAATTTCTTGGCTTAAGCATACAAGACTGAATAGCTTAGCAAGGTAGCCCTGTTTGATTACAGATATATATATACATTCTCTCATTATAGGTTTTTCAACAGGTGTTTTACATCAGTAGAGAGGTGAGGAGGTGGAGTAGAGAATGGACATGATACTATTAATACTTACATCTCATACATTTCACATCCAGATACACATTTCAATACCCATTGCTGTAATTAAATGAAAACTGAAAGATCAAATTTGGAATTTAATCATACTGGCTGGAATGTTTTAAATAAAAATATTAATCATGCTTCTTGTTGTTTTAATATTTTTTGATGTCCTGTTTGCTATATTTCCTAGGAACAAATCACCAGATCCCAAAGAACAATAAGTCGGTGTCACTGTGTGTGTTTTTTAGCATTTTTCTAGCACCAGCATAGTGAAAGGCTGCATCTCAGTGGTAGGGTGTCTCCTTTGCAAGCAGAAGGTTCCAGGTTCAATCCCTGGCATCTTCAGGTAGGGCTAGGAGAGACACCCTGTCTGGAACACCAGAGAGTCTTTCTATGGCCACCCACTTATTCTAATAAGCAGGGTCTGGCCAGAACATAAGGAGTTGACTGAGCACGTGCTGCAGCTGCCTCTCTCTTGTCTCTCTTCCACATCATGTGGTCACCAAGGGAGGATGCTCTTTTGCCACTGCCTCCTAACCTGTTACCATCTCAGTCTCCCTCAGTCTGGACTTGCCATTCACTGGTGATCTGGTGCAAGGTAGCAGGTGTGTTGCCTGACTGGAGCTGCTCCTCTCCTCCTTGCCGCCACTTAAACTCTATTTTTGCTTTTTTGTTTTTTTTAAAAAAAGCTTTTAAAAAATCAAAATATTACAAATAAAAAGCACCCCAAGTTTCCAGTGCTTTGTCTCCCAACAGATACAATCTGGACCTCACTGCTTTAGAAAGTGGGCATGGTGTGACAATGCTTTTTGATCTCTCCAGCCCAAGGAATAAAAATCAGCAGCAGGATTTGTCTGGCCACAAAAGAGAGGTCCCAGATATTAGGTTTTTTTTATGCCACACATGGGTATTTGGTTTTCTTTGCAGTACTGCAGGCAGCATGCCTCTGAGCCCATAGATAATGCTTTTCTCAAACTACAGCCCTAGACTACTTAATCCAGCTAAGTTGAGGCATTTAGCCACAATGGTTATGTTTCCATTCCACTGTTGGAGACTGTCCCAGTTCCTGGGAATCTCCAGTGGGGAGAGCACTGTTCCACTCAAGTCTTGCTTGTGGGGGCCTTCCCATGGGCTTCTGGTTGGCCACTGTGAGAACAGAATACTCACCTAGATGTTGTCATGTTTTGGGCTGCAGAGGCTCAATAGGACGGGGCTTCTGTCTATGCAGTAACTCAGGCTTGGAGATTTTCTTTTTTTTTTTAAATGATATTTATTAAAAGTTTAAAGATTACAGAAGAAAGAAGAAAAAAAGAAATAACAATAAAGTAGAAAACAAACAATAACAAAACATATAAAACATATAAAAACCATACAATAATACAGCAAAAAAACAGACAAAAAAGAAACTAAAAAACACATCCAATATTCCATGTCTTTACCTTTCCTTAACTTATTTCATCAACCTCCTCACACCTCTCTTTTTTTGTATTCTAGTTCAATTCACTATTTCAGCAAGTTCTTCCCATCTTTCTCAATTTTGATTCTATAGTTTTAACTATCTAACCTTAGATTTTTTTCAATTTAACCCAATATCAATCAACTTTTACTTAATTCTTTGTTGCATTTCTACTAAAACCATGTTAATTCATTCCCGCATCCTTCTAACACTCATTAATTTTACAATGTTTCTGTAAGTATACTTTAATTTTTTTCCAATCTTCTTCCACTGACTCTTCTCCCTGGTCTCGAATTCTGCCAGTCATTTCCGCCAGTTCCATATAGTCCATCAACTTCATCTGCCATTCTTCCCTGGTAGGTAGATCTTGTGTCTTCCAGTATTTCGCAATGAGTATTCTTGGAGGCTTGGAGATTTTCAGTACTTTCTTTTTGTAAACCACTTTGAGTGTATTTTACAATCGGCATATAAATTTTACGAAATAAAAATAAAATAACTTTTAAAGAGAGTTAAAAGTGGTGTGTCAAGGCCAGCCCTTCCCGCTGGAGCAAAAACACACGTTTCTTTCCTTTCACTGTTACCTCTGCTCAAATAGGCCTTTGAAACAAGATTAAAAAAACCTGTATGACCTGTTTCACAGAGGCAAAAATTGGGTGAGTGTACCCACAAGGAACCATCCTTTAATACAATTAATACTCCATTCTCTGGCTATTTTGACATGTGGATATGTAGCCTTTTATGACAACCAATGAAATGTGCCCAAACCAAACACCGGGAGTTCTGGTAGACACAAAAGCTTCTCAAGGAGTAAACAGGGTTAACTGCAATATCCAACCTGAGTTTATAAGGTGAAGGGAGGGAGGGAGGCAGGCAGGCAGGAAGGAAGATGCAAGCTGGTAAAAGCTTCCTGGTCAATACAATCTTCTGCTTCTTTCCTCAGTCCCACACAGAGATGACCCACACAGAGTGAAGCAACAGCCTCAGGTGGAAGACACAGATATGGCCCCTGAGCCATTCCCCATTTTTGGAGATCAGTGCTGTGAATGTCACACAACCTGTCATGCACCCCATAAAGTAATGGGATCAGCCTTCACAGTAGATGATGTGTTGCTTCCACTGCTGGTCCAGTCAGCTTCTGCACTCCCACCAGCCTTCAGCAGCAGACAGTTATTTTGGCCTATGGCCTGTTTTGACAGTTATCCTGCCTATAGGACTTCTGGTCCTAAACATCTGGAGGACGTCAGGATAGAGCAGGCTGCTCCCCTCCACTTTGGTGGGCCTTATGATCTCTCAGAACCCTAATGGACCTGGGCAGCTCTACTTAGGAGGGTTTTTTTATAATGTTGGGAGGGAAACGGGCATAAAGTTGACCTAGTGATTTCCACGAGGGAACACAGTTCCTGGATCCCTGCTTCGGAAGGAGGAAGCCTCGGCACTTACTCCCGAGTAGGCAGGCGCTGGAGCTGCGCGGGAAGGCAAGTAAAGGGCAGCAGCAGCAGCCCAGCCTCCTTCTCAGCGAAGCCCGGGAAGGCAAAGTGGCGGAGGCGCGATTCCATCCAGCGCGCAGAGAAGAAGGAGGCTGGGAAGGAGCCGGAGTCGGTGGGAGAAGCCGGCGTCGGATCGCGCCTCCTGGCCAGGCTGCTGCCGGGCTGGGCTTGCTGCAGCAGCAGTAGGGGTGGAGCGCCCCCTGCCGGGAGCCGCGCGAAGCCCGTCGCCGCAGCAGCAGCAGCAGGCAAGGCGCCGCCGCTGCCAGGCGCTGCATCCAACGCGGCGCGTCCGGCAGGGCTGGGCTCCATCAGAGCGGGAGCAGCAGCAGCAGCGAGCGGAGGCAGGAAGGCGGGCTGGGGGGCCGCCGCCGCCGCCTCTCCCAGGAGCCCGCCCGCCGCCTGCCCGGCTTGCTGGAGCCGAGAAGCCGCCCGACCGGCCAAGGCAGAGCTGCCTGCCATGTCCCGGGGAGCCCGAGCGCCGCCGCTGCCGCCGCCGCGCAAGAGAAGCCCGGAGCCGCTGGCCAGGCTTTGAGGGAGACCGGGAGCCTTAGGCGGAGAGCGAGCGGCTTCCCGCGACGCGCTCTGCTAGGCGAGCGCCCGCCGCCCTCGTGCCCAGCTGAGCCACCCTCGCGGCTCGTCCTCCTGCGAGGGGGCGGACGGCGCTCCGAGGATTCCCTGCCCGGGAGGTGGCGGAGCCCTCGGGAAGGAGAGAGAGGCGCCGAGCTGCGTTGTTGGACGGCGGCGAGCGAGAGCCGAGCGGCGGAGAGGGCATTGGGGGGGCGGGGTGTCCCTCGCCAGATGGCACACCGAAGGGGCGAGCGGAGGAGGCGGAGGCGGCTGCAGTAGCTGGAAGGCAGCTCAGGGAAGAGGAGGAGGGAAAAGGCGACGAAGCCGGCGAGGGAGCAGCGCCTGGCCACTCGCCCGCCGTCGAGGAAGGGACCCAGCTGATCCCTCGCTGCGCACTGCCCCACCTGGGACCCGCGCGGCTGGCTTCACCCCATGGCCCCGACCCAGCGCCAGGCCTGAAGGGGCAGCGAGAATGAGGCCACGTCCAACGGCAGCCAGGCTTCTGCCCGGGCAAGCGGAGGGCGGCGGCCGCAGCGACAGCAGCAGCCGGTGAGCGGAGAGCCCGGCGCCCGGCGTGGGGAGCGCCATTTACCAAAGAGCCGGAGAGTAGGCGCGCTAGCCAAGCGCCGACGCCCGCTTTCCTCCGACGCCGCTTCTGGGTCGCGAGCCACGCTCGGAGGGGCTCTGGAAAAGAGACGGACAGCTCCTCTCCCAAGGCAGGCGGGCGGAAGGGACCGCTAGGCAAGGCGCGCCGCTGGGACGTCGAGGGGCGCATCGGGCATCGCCAGGACTCGGATCGCACCTGCTCAGGGCGCCCCCTCGCCCCAGTCGATGAGCCTCTTGGGGGCCCGGGAACCCCGTTTGGATTAACTGGTTCCCCTCCCTCTCTTTTTCCCGTCTTTCTTTCTCCCCATCCCCTTTTTTTGGGTTCTCCGGGAACTGTCCGACGCCTGGCCACCTTCCTCGACTTCTCCTGGGACTATTACCTCACCTCACCTCGCCACCGACCTCAGGACTGTAAGTTCCGCTCCGTTCTCTTTTACAGAGCTTACTAGCCTTCCGGCTGTAGGGATGCGATGGGAAGTGGAGGGAACAGAGCGATTTGCGGGTGGGAGGTCGGTTAAGTTGCCTGATGTCGTCGAGAGGGGAAACCCCCCCCCCCCCAGCACGCACTCGCGTCTTCTCTTTCTCTTGCCTTTGTTATTTTGACCTTTTGGTGAAGTTTTTGCGGTTGGAGGAGAGGGAGACGGGCATCCCTTGGCCTCTGGGTGTCCCAGCTGTGTTCCCCGCGCCTCGCACTCCCCGGGCATGCTTGTAGCGGTGGTTTCTTTGAACTGTCCCAAAAGATGAAGAGGTCCACTGCGCTCCTCCTCTGTCCGGATCTCAACCGGGCAAGAGGGGCGCAAACCAGCAAAAGACAAAAACAAAACCGGGCTGGATCCACCACCCGTTATCCTACCACTTCCAAACAAAGGCGAAGGGTGGAGCGGGGGGAGAGATATGAGAGAGAGAGAGAGAGAGAGAGAGAGAGAGAGATGTGGCCAGATGTGCGCCCCCTGAACCGCCCTGCGCTACGCTTGGGGAGGTTCGCCAAATACTCCACAACGATTTCCCCGAGGGTTGGCTATGGGGTCTCCTGAATGCACTGTGGGGAAGGGGCTGCGTGGGGAAGGGGCGGCAGAACAGCCTGACTGGGCTTGGGAAGCCGCGCGCGCCTGGTGCCCCCTGACCTGGTGATGGTTCCTGTACCTTGTCTCTCGATGTACCCCCAAAATTGCTGTTGTTGCTGCTGGGGCTGTTTTCTGAAGAAAAGACCATGTCTTACTTTTGTGGTCCTCGCTCGCTCTGCTATAGACCCGGCGGCTGCCCAAGTGACAGCCGCTTCAGCGCAGCCAAGGCGAGAGGCTGGTATGGACCCGGTCGAGAGTCGTTGGAAGCACCCGATACTTGACCGCTCCGCAACTCCGTCGCCTTGCAAGAGGAACCCCAAAGACCCCTTTCTTTCCACCCAGACGGAGAGAGGTTTAAGTGTTCCGAAGAAGGGGGTTCCGGTCCCGTTGCAGGAAGCTCCCTTCTGCCCCGTCTAAGGACGCCTTTGTTTGATCCCTTGTGTTAAGTGCTCCGCAGACATCACCATCCTCTTCAATTTAGCTGGATAGTTAATTCCTTAGAGGAAATGTCCAAGCGCAGAATGTGCGTGTGTGTTTTGTGGGGGAAGGCAGATAGAGTTTCTTGGGGACATTAATTGGCATGGTTGGAAGGGTGAGTGGATGGAGCCTGACCCAGACCTGCCTGGTGCCTCTTTCCTCTTGCGCTAGTTGGATGGTATTAACTTGTGCGATTTGGCAACTCAAACCTTCTGTAGGGAAAGGAAAGCTGGAGGTGGAGGAGCCAGGGGTGAGCAGCTTTGAAATTGTGGGGTGCAGTTTTCATAGAACCTCTGATGTGGTTTTTAGGGAGTCTTGCTGAGAACCATCGGGCAGAATGGCAGGAAACCCAAATGAGCCACTAATTAGCATGGGCCACCAAAGCCACTCAGACATTGTTTTGTGTGAACCCTGTGCAAGGAAGACAAACAACTCTTGCCTCACTTTTCCCACCCGCCTGGTTACAAGTTGCCTGAGGAGCTTCTTATCTAAGTTGAGTCCAGACAGTGTAATTTTTAGGAAATGATCGTTGCATACTTCAAATAAGTATCCTGGCTGAGTAATCATCCATGCGCTAGGGTTTTGTCTTGTTTGGTTTTTTAAAAAAACACATACACACACTGCCAGGCCTGGGAAGATATCTAACAGACCCCAATTTGCACCTGATTTGTTTTTTCCGCATTGCCAGACTTGCTCGCAGCTTCAGACCTTGAGCCCATGAACATAAATCAAAGAAATGTCCCTGAGCGTATGCAGAGAGTTTGCATCCTCATAACGGGCAAGGCCTAAGTAACTCCCAGGCCCAGTGTAGGGTGCAGAACTTCCAGCCCAGAAAATGTGACTTCCAGAGAGTCTTAAAATCCCAATTCTTTCCATATCAGAAATTAGGCGCAAAGTGTGTGTGAATAGGAAGGGGGTTGTCCGTGGGGCAGGACTGCAGAATGTGAACAAATGAACCTCCATGATTATGACTTGGCAGAATTAATAAATCAATGTGCTTAAGGAAGTGGGCTGGAAGGGAGTCCCTCCCTTCATTCACCACCGTCAAGCTCAATACTATTTAGAAATGATATTTCACAACCCCATAATCCCATATGAGTGAGCTGGCTGTGATTGCTCCACTGGGAAAGGGTTTTTTCACTTTGCACATGCTCAGAGGTATTGTCTTCTTTGTTGTGGCTACCCCCATCCCTGGGCTCAGCCTTGTAACTGAAAATAAATTCTGGGACAAAGGAGTTGTGAGCCCAGCAAAACAACTTAGGTTGCAAGCTACAAATCTGGACTCTGCATCTGTGTCATGAACCACTCTAGATTAAATCCTTTGCAGTCTCGGTAAATTAGCTGCACATCTGTTTGTGAGGCTGGGGTTGGTTTTTTATTTTTCTTTTGTTTTTTTCCAAATCTCCAGTTCCAGATATTTTCGCCCTTCTAAAGAACAAAGGGAGTAGATTTCATCTACCACCCCACAAACCCACAAGCACTCTAAGCAAAACGCTGCCTTTCTATTCAAGGGTCGTGGAAAACCCAGGGGGGCCCGCCATCTCTGGGACACTCTCCCATGCAACTCCTGCAGGAATGAACTGGAGGGATTTGGACCAGTCCCAGATGGATAAGGAGGCAAAGCTCTCTTGCTGGGATTTTGAAGTGTCAGTTATAATGAGCAGACTGCACCCTCCTAACCCTATTTGAGATATTCACAGACCTCAATCTGGAGAAGGTTAAGTCAACCATGGTGAATTTATCCCATTTATTTCAATGGGAAATGTGGGGGGGGGACAAACAAACAACACTTATTTTTTTGAGCAGCACTACTAACTTTCCTGGGGAGCCGAGCAACACCGTGTCAGTTTTGCCAACGTGGGCTGAATCTTGGCATTCCAAATATATGATGGCTATATATTGCAAGCTGCGGTGGTCCCAGAAGAGCATTGGGAATGAGAGCTGATTACCCTCCAAGTGGGTAAAGGACATTATTCACTGTGATGCAGCTTCCATGAGAACACAGGGGCAACATGGATTGCTTTTCAATTCATTGCTCAAAAATGGCTCATATGTTAATTAGCTGAGAAGATAGACTTTTTTTTTTACTCAGCAACCACATTCTGCAAATGAGTCAAGCGGCAGCATTCTTGGCTAAGCTGGGTGGCAGCAGCTAAGACTGGGAAGAAAATGTGGGAAGCTTAAATCAAGGGCAGTCAGCATGTGGGCTGCATCAAGCTCATGAAGCCAGTTCCAGTGGCCTACCAGCCCTCTCCCAAAATCAGGCACCTTTTCCTCTCACCCTTATGCCTTACTGACAAAGGTGCCTCTTCTCCCTCTGGTGCAATGGCAATGCCATTGCTAGAAGGTCTTAGCACTCAAGGAAACAGGAAGGAGAGATCCTCCCTGTTTCCTGAGCATAAAGACCTTCTAGCAATGGCAGTGTGCCAGATGGAGAAGAGGAGACTTTGGAAGGTAAGTCAAGGGCTGTGCTTTCCATTGCTGGGCTAGGTTGGGCTGGGTACAGAAATTCCTTAAATTTTACAGGTTTGGATGGAATACAAGGATTTGTTGTTTTCAGACCCTCCAAGTGTCCCTATTTTCCAGGGACATCCCTGATTTAGAGAAGCCATCACAGTTTCTGATTTGATCCCAGAATGTCCCACTTTTCCTTAGGATGTCCCTATTTTCATTGGAGAAATGTTGCAGAGTATGGTAGGATGTCCCTATTTTCGCTGGAGAAATGTTGGAAGATATGGAGTTATCCAACCCCCTAAGCCATCTGAAGGCAATCATTTGTAGGGAAGTTTTCTAAATGTTTAATGTTTTATTATGTATTTATATATGTTGGAAGCTGCCCAGAGTGGTTAGGGCATCCCAGTCAGATATGTGGGGTATAAATAGTAAAATGATAATTATGGAATGGGACGTCCCTATTTTCATCAGAGAAAAGTTGGAGGGTATGTGTTTTAGGAGTATTTGGGGTGTGTGACTTTTCTCTTCATTCCCTGGGAAAAGCCACATCAATGGCCATTTTGTGTGCATGGAGTTACACGTGTTAAAGGATTCTGTGGTGCCTGACAGCTGGCAAGCAGGTCAAGCATAGTTATGAACCGCCTAGAACTGAGATGCATGACCACAGAGTGTGCAAACAGGGGAAATATTCACTCAGAAGTGTGTGCTGTTCTGCATGATGATGAAAATGCATCTTGAGAGACAACCTACTAGAACTCTGGAAAAGGCACATGCATTGGACTTGCTGAAGGGGGCATCCCAGGATGGCTGTGCACTGCAGCAGTGGGTAGGAACAGGTGGTGGTTGGGCTATGCTGAGGAGAGGAGATCTTTTCAGCTTGAGGGCCACATACCTTTCTTGGTAACCTTCCATGGGTCACTCATAAGTGGTGGGAGGGGCCGGAGGTAAAGTGGGTGGAGCAATGAATTACAATGTTACCTCTGCTTGTTTCTATACTCACTCACCTCTCTGCAGGAAAGCAAGAAGCATGTTCTGTGTTCAAGGATGCATTCCAGCCAGGCAAAAACACTCAAGGATGGTGTGAAGCAGGGTTGGGGAGGCTGTGGCCTAGAGAGAGTTCTGAGGGCAAGATGGAAAGGCAGCCACATTTGCCCCCAAGTCCAAGGTTCTCCATTCCTGTGCTCTGCTCTCATATCCTTTCATCCCTCACCATAAAAATAAACATCCTGTTCCCCTCTGTTGAGTGCTGGAGGATAAGCAGCAAGTGCTGTGGGCTGTGCAGAAAGGTGTCTTGTACTGGTTCATGCCAAGCAGGACCATAACACTTTGGCTGACCCCAGTGTCATAGGCCTGCCTTTCCGTTGCAAATAGTATGTGGATGCGTACCAATTCAGAACTGGGTGAAATGGACTCTAGCCCACAAAAGTTTCTGCTGTGATAAATTTGTTAGCTTTGAAGCTGTTAGCCATAATCTCTGAGACACTACGCTTAACACAAAATCTTCAAAAGTCTTGTTGAGGGGATGAACTAAGCCTCAGAATTACACAGCGGTGTGTGGCGGCAATGGGAAGAACAGGAATCTATAGGTTGCAGAAAGTGCTTAACATCGCATTCCAAGGATGCACTAAAGGACCTGCATCTCTGAAACCAATCAGAACTAGGCATCTGGTCACATGGTCTGTCAGGTTCTCCCCCCCCCCCCATTCATCCCTCTCCCCTACCCCATGTTTCAAAGTCCACCCAAAGGAAACAGGCCTCCATCCTCCTTCTTTCCACTTGCGATGATAAGGATTGATACAGGGTGTGGCTGTTGCAATATCAAAGCAAATACTGAACTGCTGGGGGACCTAGCGAAGATCCTGTGTTGTTGCACAGAGCCCTGCTTTCTGGGGGGTGGGGGCTGAGAGTTTTCTCTTTTTTCCCAATGACATAATGGCTATTTATAACTTTTGGCTCTCTCTGGGTTGCCGCTGGGCTGGGAAATGAATGAAATGCAGCTGTTGAGGGCAGGGGTGGGCTGTCTCTGCGCATGTTTCGCAGGCTCAATTAGAGAAAGCCCCCCCTTCCCCGTTGTTTTGGAAGGGGTCAGGATTTCAGCTTGTTTCTTTTTTAAAAATGTGTGCTCTGTGGGAGACCATTAACAGTGTCCCTGTTATTCTCCGAGATCCACATCAGGCTGAAGCAACAACTGCATAAACTTAACTTTGAAGAAGGACTAGGTAATCAGCTTTGCATGCATAAGGTCCCATGTGCCAGCATTTCCAGGCAGGGCTTGGAAAGACCCACCCCTGCCTGAAACCCTAGAAGGCCCCTGTAGACAAGCCTGAGTTGGAGAGGCTGATGTTCTGATTCCGTATATTGCAGCTTCCTATGTGAGCTCCTGGGAGAGTCCTGGGCAGATGGGCCTAATTTAAATAAGGAGCCAAGATGCCCAGCTGTGTGCAGAGTTGTCTTCAGAAGTATTTAATTCATGGTCCTGGGTCATCCCAGCTTGAAGTTCTGGCTCAGCTGCCTGGATCATCTCCCTGCCAGCCCAACAGCTGGCTCTCCACAAATTCCTCCACCTGTTCATAGTGCTGTTTTCTGCCCTGGTTCTGTGGACAGAGAGTCACTTTCATCCCCTGGAGACTGACTTAGCTGTAATCCTAACCTTACTTACCCATTGAATCCAGTGGGACTTTCTTCTGAGTAGACAAGGTCGGGGTTGCAGTCACAGTTTCTAAAGTGAGAGATGGCTGCGCTCAGGCTTAGAGCGCTTTACAAATAGCACACATTATTTCAATTTGTTTTGTCTTTCTTCTCCCGACAAGGATCTGATCACTGTCCTCCTCTTTTCCTTTCCTGTGCTGCTGCTAGTTATTGAGGAAGTTCCCGATCATATGGCAATCCATATTGCTATTGCTATTATCAATATGAATAAACATCTGTCCTGCACTTCAACTACAATTTTCCAAGGCTGCTTAAACAAGGTTCAGCAGCAAAACATTTTTAAAAGCAATAAAAGAACAAGATTAACAGTGCAATTCTAGGCATGTCTAGCCAGAAGTCCTACTGAGTTCAGCAGGGTTGATTCCCTGTAAGTGGCTGTAGGAAGGCAGCTTAGAACAGCAGAAAAAAAGCAGCACAAAAAGGAACAACTTCAAAGCTCAACTTGGTTTAAAAAGCCTGGGGAAATGAAAAATGGTTTCCTTTGTACTAGGAAGGTAAGATAACAGGTTCCTGGGAAAACTTCCCAGGGTAAAAGTTCCATAGAGGGATGCCATCACCAAAAATGATCATCACTTATTGCACTGCCATGTCACCTGCCTTGGCTAGCGTGCCACAATCAGAAGGGGCAGGAAGGAAGAAGATGACAAGTTTTCACTGCATGAAAATGTAGTGCCATCAATGTACATTAACAGAGTTCCATAGGACAGGTCTCTGCCTCCGGGAGTTTACAATTTCACAGTGGGTAGGATAGCAGAAGAAAGGGAACACAGAGAAAGGAAAACAAGGGTAGGAATGGTGAAGGTGAACACCAGTAGTTACTAGCAGCAAGAACTTAGGCTTGGCTACTGTTGAGGTTTTTTGGTTGAGCAGTCAATCCAGATCACTCAGATAAATGAGCCAAGCTGCATTCTATTGGAAGAGGATAAAATGTTTGAGATCATCATTAGCCATTCTGACATGGAGATAGTCCCCTCTCACATATGGCAATTGGACAGACATCCTAAGCATTAAGGTACCTTAATGCAAAATAACATTTGCAATAACGGTTGCAATATTCTATGTAGTCTTCTCAACTCACTAGAAGTGTGTGTGCTTTCAAAGAGAATTTGCAAACTGAAGCTGTAACAGATACACTCTTTACTGTAGAGAAATATATGATTCCATCTTGAAGATAATATTCCACAAATGCTGTAGTGAGGCAAGTGTCTGGACCTAGAGAACCTTTTCCTGATCTATAAAGCCTTAGGCAGCTCAGGATTCCAATACAGTACCTTCAGGGTCGCCTCTCCCCATATGAACCAACCTAGATGCTGTATTTGTCATAGGGGTCCTTCTCTGTCCGCCTGTCTGCCCCCTTCAAGGGAAGTAGAGAGGGTGGCAACACAGAAACAGCCCTTCATTGAGGACTCCCAGTTGACAGAAGGCTTTCCCCAGGGAAACCTGCCTGACACCATGGTCCTCTTCTTTTGGACATCAGGCTAAATAATTTCTGTTTGCCCCGGCCTTTGACCAATAATATGGAAGGGTGTGTGTGTGTGTGTGTGTGTGTGTGTGTGCGCGCGTGTGTGTGCGTGTGAGTGTGCGTGTTTGGTTTGTTTTGGTGCCAGGTTGGGTAGGATTTGTCCTTTTATAAATATTCATGGATGAGTCATGTGTTTTATTTTTATTTATTGCAGGGCTTAAATGTCTTTTATGCTGGAAGTCACTTTGGAACACTCCATTGTGTGGGGAAAGAGATGAATGTTTTCTGTTGCACCAGCCACTGCTTCCTTAAATACCGAGCATTTTTGTTGAGTCTTTCTGGTGTGCAAAATGCTTCCCCTTTTACATTATCTCAGTAATCTTAACAACAGTCCTGTAAGGTAGGGTGTTATTACAACCCCCACCCCCACCCCAAATGCAGAGCATAGGCTGAGAGTGAAAAGTGCCTTGCTTAAAGGGACCTGCTAAGGTCATGACAGAGGTGAAATTCCTGGTTTTCAGCACATGGTGGAACTGCTTTCTGCGATCAAAAAGTTTCACCAGTCCTGCCCCTGAAAAGGAGGCAGTACAATTGCAGGGGCATTTGCAGAGGGAAATCAGCAGGCAAGAGTTGTTGGTTTATTTACTCTCCCCTGCTGCATATGTCTCAACTACTTGTGGGTCCCCCATTCATGATCCCCAGCTGTGCTGTTAGAACAGAGGTAAGCCCAGCAGTTAGAAGGGCATTTGCAGGGATGACTCAACGGAAGAATCAAGCACCTGTTAACAAATTCCTCCACCCCTGTGTTTGTCTCAGGTTTGCCATCTCTCATGCAAACCCTCCACTTAGCCCATGGGAAGTAACAGCTCTGCTCTGTTCTGCACTAGTCAGGACACATCTGGAGTGCCATATCCAGGTCATTTGAGGAAGGACTTTAACCGAGAGGAGGGTGATCAGAATGGTGAGGGCTGGATGAGGAAAGGGTGAAAAAGCTGGGGGTGGTTAGCCTGGAGAAGAGAAGCTTAAGGGGGTGGGGGAGTGGGAGAGACACGAAAGCAGTCTCCAAATATCTTAAGGGCTGTCATGAAGAAGATGGAGCCGGCATGATGGAGCTGGAGCTTCAGGGAGGTGTTGGAAAACAAGAGCTGTATGGGCTACTGTGTTATGGCCTTTAGTCCCTAAGGGTGCTGTCCTCTCATCAGTGCTGAAGTAAAATCTAACAACCAGTCCAGTTGGTTTCAGTGCATGAGATAAAGCACTCAGCGCTTGCGGTGTGGGTGTCCTGCTTTGGTGGTAGTAAGTTGTCTTGGGTCACTCTTGCATTAGGAGAAACTTCTGGAATGGTGGAACATTCTGCCTCAGGATATGGTGGGCTCTTTTTTGCTGGAAGTATATAAGCGCAGCTGGGCAAGCCACCTGTCAAGGATGCTGTAGTTGCAGATTCTGTACTGAACAAGGGGTTGGACCAGATCCGGTCCAACTCCTATAATGTGGTCATAAGGAGACCTGCTTCATTTTCAGAGCCTAGGAGATTGAAACAGGGCTTCCTTTGTGGTGGCTCCCCAGTTGAGGAATCCTCTCTCCAGAAATACCCCTAAAGAAAAGCCCTGTTGGTTCATCCCAAAGGTTGATGTAGTCCAGCATCCTGTTCTCACAGTGGCCAACCAGATGCCCCTATTGGGAAGCCCACCAGCAGAATCTGAGTGCAAGAGCATTGTCCCCCATTTGTGATTCCCAGCAACTGGCATTTGGGGGCATACTGCCTCTGACAATGGAGGTACAACATAGCCATTGTGACTAGTAGCCCTCAATAGCCTTATCTTCCATGAATTTGACTAATTATCTTGTAAACCCATCCAAGTTAGTGGCCAACATGGCAGCAAATGCCACAATTTAACTATGTGCTGCATGAAGAAGTCCTTTCTTTCATCTATCCCAAATCTTCCAACATTCAGCTTTCTTGGATGGCTCCGTTGGGTTCTAGTGATTTTATGTAAATTGTGTTACTTTTATTGTTGTTAGCCACTCTGAGCCCGGCTTCAGCTGGGGAGGGCAGGATATAAATCAAATATTATTATTATTTATTAGTGTTCTGAGAAGGAGAAAATGTGTTTTTTCCCCCTATGCATTTTCTCCACACTAGGCATAGTTTTATACAGTACATCCGTTCAGCGCCATCTCTCTCCCCTCCCCAATGTCTCTTGGCTTTTAGGCGGCAATTGAACACAGTTTTATTTGGTGGGCTCTTGAAGGAACAATGTTGCCCTAGGCCGCTCTCAATGGGTTTGTTTCCGTTGCGCTTTTTCAGCAGATCGTTCTCAAGTTTAGCAAGCCACCTTGAGGATCAGTTCTGATGGAGAGCTTGGGGCACAAATGTTATAAAGGAAGGAAGGAAATGCACCTCGCCTTGGCAGATGTGAGTTGGGGAACCACCCCTTTGCCAGGTTCACCAGTAGCTCCTTCTCCCTCTGCCCAGGACATGGCATCTACTACTACTGTCTTGGTGCAGTTCCACTGGTGGGTCAGGTGCTGTGTACACAATGCAGGAACCACAGCATCCCGTCCTCTGGAGACTTTTCAAGCGCTGCACCGGACAGTCACAGGTGAGGCGGACAGGTAGAGGGGGAGGGGAATGCTCAGCATCCAATGGAACAATCGTATCCCACCTTCAGCAGGTTGAATTTTATTTTTTGGTGGTCCCAGTTCTACAATTCTACAATTATGCTTTGATTTTATAGTTGTCAACTGCTCAGGAGTTATTTTGGATATGAGCAGTATATAAATTAATTAATAATAATATAGGTGACTGAATAATAATAATAGTCGAAACAAAATAAAAAATTTTCTTCCAGTAGCACCTTAGAGATCAACTAAGTTTGTTATTGGTATGAGTTTTTGTGTGCTTCTTCAGATACCATGCACACGAAAGCTCATACCAATAACAAACTTAATTTTTTTATTTTGTTTCGACTACAGCAGACCAACACAGCTACCTACCTGTAACTAATAATAATAGTGGTAGACATTGGGGAAGAAGACTATTAGAAGCTTTCCTAATTTGAGGAAGAGTTTATTGAAGGGCTTGGAAGATAAAGAGGGGGGCAGCAGGCTGAACAGAGGCAAGGAGTTCTTCACTCTTGAGTCCCCAGATATAGTTAGACTCCAGTTCCCATCATTCCCAGCCAGCTTAGCCAATGGTCAAGGGTGATAGAAGTTGTAGTCCAACAACATCCGGATGGGAGAAGGCAAAGTTGGAGAATCCATCTCTAAGCCGCCCTTCCTTAGCCTGGTGGCCTCTGGCTGTTTTGAAGCACAGTTCCCATCTGCCTCAGGCAACATGGCCATGCTGGCTGGGTCTGTTGGGAGTTGTCATCCAAAACAGCCAGAGGGCACTGGCTGGGGAAGGCGGCTCTAAGCACAGGGAAGAGGCTGACAGAAAGAAGCAGGCAGCAATCCGAGAGGAAGCGAGAAGCAACCAGCCTTCATTGCTTCTGCCCAGACACACCCCTAGGGATGGGGAAGAAATTCAATTTTGTTTGCATTATAGTGAGGAACAGCCTAATTTGCACTCCTCAATCAATAAATGAACCAAAACACAACTATTCCCCCCCCCATATTTCTGCGGTGCAGCTCTCTAGCTGAGCAGTGTGGACAAACATGCACACATTAGTGAAAAGGACATACAAATGCATTTCATTAGGGGAAATGGCTTGTGAAAATTTTGCTACACTGCATGCAAAAAAAGTGAGAATTTCGTACTAAAGACGCTGACAAGTTTTCATGAGTATTTTTTTTTTTTAAATCACAAGTTGCTGCTGAAATGTGGAGAGCTGAATTTAAGATAGGGGGAAATGAGGGAACCTAAAAGTGACAGATTCATCCATCACTACACACTGCTCCAATTATATATTGCTTTGGTTTCTTTCTGGGGCTTAAACAGATCTATGATCCACCCCCACCCCAATTTGCCCCTGGCTCCCTTCCACATCACTGCCTCTGCCTAACCAGAGCTGCCTCCACAAGTCACTGGGGCTCATCATCACCACCCTGAAATGAATCTTCAGCTCCTCTGCTAATGTGGGCAGGCCAGGTCAGAGCAAGGGGATAGAGCCTTGCACTCTGCTGCTTCGTTTTGTTTTCAGATTCCCCCCCCCCCCGCCACTTCCATGTTGAGGGGGAAATTGTGTCTCACTTAATTCCCAGCATATGGCTCAGGAACAGAACCTTGCCTGTGGGTAGGAGGAAGGAGTTGAGCAAGCACAGATTCCGTGGCAGCAGCTTGGGCTCTCATGACAATTGAGTGGAGGAAGAGGGTCTGCATTAGCTCTGCAGGAGAGTGCAGGCGCTGCATGCAAAAAACCTGCTCCCCTATTTAGCCCATAGTTCACAGGTCACCAGTGCAGTGCCCACGGAGACAGGGAGGCCTTCCTGGGTGAGCAACCGCCAGCCTTTTTTACGGAGGTAATGTGGTGGTGTTGCCAGAGCCTCATCCTATACCCACCCGATGGTTTGAAGGCTGATGGAAGCTGGGTTAGAGCACTGGATTAAGACCAAGGAGGCCCCGGTTCAAAGCTCAGTGCTGTGAACTTCACTGGGTAACTGTGAGACAGTCGCAGCCACTCTCAGCCTGCCTACCTCACAGGGTTGTTGTGAGAATAAAATGGAGGGAGTGTGAGATCCATGTGTGTCACTTGGAGGGATGGTGGGGTAAATATAAATAAATCTTCAGTGTTTCCAGCAGGAAAAAAAAAAGGTGTATCGGTCCAAGCTGTGAGCTAAAAGATCTATGGATAAACAGGGTATACAAATTTAAATAATAAATAATTTAATTAACTAATTAATAATAAAATGAGCATTTGATCATAGAATCATTGAGTTGGAAGGGACCCTGAGGATCATCTAGTCCAACCCCCTGCAATGCAGGAATACGTAGCTCTCCGTTATGGGGATCAAAGCTGCCCCCTTGCCTTATAGGGAGGCATATAGAAAGCAGACTTTTCACCACTGATGGATAATATATGGGAAGCAAATAATGGCACCTGGGGCTCCTCCCAGGATGATACCCCACCCTCCCTGCACAGTGACATGTTGTGTTCCAGACCTCTGGCTGTTCTCCAGCTACCCCCAGCCACCAAGCCTCTTCCTCGTCTCTTCCTTTGTCTTAGTTCTAAGCACAGCTAGGGGAAGGGCACATCGGTGTTGCAGCAAATGTCTTTTCTGATCCTGCAGAGGGTAGAATCTGAACCCATGGGTTCAAACTAGAAGAACAGAGATTTAGATGAAGGCTGAGGGAATATGTGGGCCGTGAAGACATTGCTGGACTACAAATCCCATTGTCACAGACCATTAGCCATGCTGGCTGGGGCTGATGGGAGTTAGAGTCCAACAACATCTGGAAGGTCCCCGGCTCCCCCACTCGTGACTGAGACAAAGCGGTTAAGGAGAACTTTGCAACATCACAAACAGTTTGACAGTGAACAGACTGCTTCTGAAGATGGTGGGTTTACCTTTGTTATACGTTTTTAAGCAGAAGCTGGGTGACCTACACTAACAGGGATGATGTTGTAGTGGGTCTCTTGCACCGGCAGGCCTTTGAGATCACTTCCAGGATCTATGATCTTAGGAGAAAACACTCTCAAAATGTTAGGAGAAGCAGATTAGGGAATACATAGCTTCCATTTTCAGTTCTTTTCTCTGGGTCCATGAGGACTCACAGCACCTTTCTTTTTTAAAAAAACAAAAGCTGGTGTTTAATTGTGAATTCCACCTGCATCTGTGTTTAGATGCACTTTCCTAAGTTTTCCATCACTTGGTTTTAGGAACATAGGAAGCTGCTTTGTACTGCATCCATTGAGCTAAGTATTATCCACACTGACTTGCAGTGGCTCTCCAAGTTTTAAGACCTAGTTCTCTTCTAGCCCTACCTGGAGATGTCTGGGATTGAACCTGGGACCTTCTGCATGCAAGGCAGATGCTCTACCCCGAGCCACATCCCTGTGTCTCTCATGGAAACAGGTGCCTTGTCCCACCTCAGATCCAGCCAGCGTGTTGGGGCTTGCTCTGGTTCCCTGCAGCTGCACCCAAGGGCCAGGCCAGATCATGTTGCTCTGTTTACTCTTGGTGGTCAGGGAGGATGTTCACGTTCCCTGAGCACAAGACAGCTGGTAAACAGTGGTGGTGTTGGCTGGGTAGCCAGCTCCTTTGTCTAGTGAGGAGATCATTAAGGGCTCAGCTTCCCACCTGTTCTGACAGGAAATGGCCCAGCTGCCTGGTCCTCCCGTTTCCTAGTAACAGTTGACAAGATGGTGGCGCAGAAGGGGCCTCTACCCAAGATACGTCTGTCAGTCCACAGTGTCACTCGCACCGTGCACAGGAAGATGCTCCCGCTAGAAATGGAGCCGCATTATTCACACAACTTGGAGCACCTCTTAGCGGGTTGAGGAGAATGTACATTTCCTCGCTACCCAGCAGACATCCAGGTGTGCCATCCAGGCAAGTAACCTTTACTTGCTAGTGGTCTACTGGAGCTTTTGGCTCTCTAAGGTGGAAAATTCATGTGGGTTAATTTGGCACTTGCTGAAGAGACTGCTGAGATGCTTTGTTTTTGAATGCTTTAAGGTTGCAGTCTTTGCCAACTTGGTGTGCTGTGCTAGCAAGGGCTGGTGGGAGTTGTAGTCCAAAACATCTGGAGGGCACCAAGTTGGCAAAGACTGCAATGTGCCATTTCCCTAGGGACCAATGCCAAAAGACAGTCAATGGGGGAAAGTTCAGCTTGATCCTCGTAGGGCCAAATCCTGATAAAAGAGAGTTGAAAAGAAAGAAGTTTGGGTTTCATGTTCTTAACAGTTTCTTGAATTTCGGGGGATCCTCACTGCAGCTGTTCAGAGCTAACACTTATTGTTCCCTTGTTGTTCTTTCTCGTTTTATGAATCATATTTTGTTTGCATTTTATTATAGGGAAACATGTAAGCTTTTCAGTGCCTCCAAAGTCTAGCTGCCAAATGACTTCACATTTCAAAATCTCAAACTTCACCATATTCTATTTCTTTTGCTCATGTCCTTAATGCATTTGTATGCCACCTTTTCCTCCCAAGTCACTCAAGGTGGTTTACTAGGTTCTGCCACTCCTCATTTAGTCCCCACAGCAACTCTGTGAGGTTGGTTAGGTTGAGAGTCAGCGAGCTTCACAGCCCATGGGCAGTTTTAACCCTGGTCTCCCAGTCTTGTTAGACCTGATGACAGAACTCCAACAGGGGGTTAATGCCATGCTAGTGGGGCTGAACCTCCTGGGCACAGCTGGTCGTGTGAGTACCTTCTGCCATTTAGTCATAATGATCTCAATAAACCTTTTGGAACTAAGCTGCTCCCTTTCGGCATAGTTGCACTATAAGACCAGATGAAGAATCCTGCCGGTTCAGGACAAAGGCCAATCTAGCCCAGCATCTCAGTGGCCAACTAGATGTCCCTATCAGGAAACCCACAAGCAGAATCTGCAGGTAACCATGCTCTCTCCCATTGTGAGCCCCAGCAACAGGCATTTGGAGCCCTCCTGCCTGCAACAGGGGAGGTGCAACACAACCATTGTGGCTAGCAGCCATTGACAGCCTTACCCTCCGTGAATTTGTCTCACCTTCTTTTAAAGCCATCAGGACCTCTTGTGGGAGTGAATTCTATAGTTTAGCTCTGCGCTGTGCTTTCTTTTGCCTGCCCTGAATCTGAAGGCTCATTGGATGGGCGCGAATATTATGAAATCCACTTCATCCATGACAGTCGGCATTTTATACACCTCTATGTGCCCCCATTACTCACTCCCCCACCCCAAACTTAAAAGTTCCTCCTCCCTACCCCTTTCCTCCTAGGGTTTCCATCACCACTCCTTGATTGTAACATGTTTTATGTCTCCTGTGCACAAAAAACAGTGTGTGTGTGTGTGTGCGCGCGCGCGCGTGTTAAGCATGATTTCAAAACTGCAAGCCTTCAATGATTTTTTAGATACAGCTGAAAAGCCTGAAACTGTTTGCTTGCAAAATAATTGGGGGGGGCAAAGGGGTGTGAATAGCCTTTTGTCTCCTTCCCTGATGCTGATGCTAGGAACTGCAACAGCTTTGCTCTCTCCTCCCTCTCTCCTCCCCCCTCCCCATAACACCCTGACTCCAACTGCTCCATCTGCTTGCCTGGAATGCTTCCCGCAATTGGGATGCCTGCAGAAAGAAAAGGATTAGGGGGAAATCCAGTCCCACTGAGGGATCAGCCTGAGAGGTCACTCAGAAACACCAGGCTGTGCACCGGTTAAGTTGGGCTCCGTTTAACTGGAATGTGAAATTCCCCTCCTGGCCTTCATCTCAATCTGCCTAGGTGAGATTCATACTGCTGTGTAGTTCTTTTAAAAAGCACCTTCCAGTTAAGCAGCTGCATCCAGATGCCACTACTACAAGGGTGGGACTCTGTAGCCTCCCAGATGTTTCTGGACTCCAACTCCCATCATTCTTGATCATGGGCCATGCTAGCTGAGTCGGATGGGAGCTGGAGTCCAACAGCATCTGGAAGACCACAACAAGATGTACTACAAGATGCAGGGATGATGGCTGTCAACCTAGATGGCTTTAAAAGGGGATTAGGCCAATCCCTGGAGGAAAAGGCTATCGATGGCTGCTTGTCATCCTGACTACACTTTATCTCCAGTATCAGAGGCATTGCTAAGCTAATTAACACATCGCCATTGAAGGATTCTCTCCCCCTTCAGTGGATCTGCCAAGCTTCCTTTTAAAGCAGTCAGTAAAGCACGTGACTCTTGATCTCAGGGCTGTGGGTTTGAGCCCCACATTGGGCCAAAGATCCCTGCATTGCAGAGGGTTGGCCTGGATTACCCTTGCAGTCCCTTCCAACTCTACCATTCTGTGAGTCATTGAAGGCATCACCGCATCTCCTGGCAGTGTGAATTCCATAAGCCAAAGGCGCACAATGTGAAGAAGTCCTTTTGTCTTTCCTGAATCTAATGTCCATCAGTGCCATCACGCTCTACTGTTACAGTGGTACCTCGAGTTAAGTACTTAATTCGTTCTGGAGGTCCGTTCTTAACCTGAAACTGTTCTTAACCTGAAGCACCACTTTAGCTAATGGGGCCTCCCACTGCCGCTGGAGCACGATTTCTGTTCTTATCCTGAAGCAAAGTTCTTAACCCGAGGTACTATTTCTGGGTTAGCGGAGTCTGTAACCTGGAGCGTATGTAACCTGAAGCGTATGTAACCCGAGGTACCACTGTACAGGGTTAGGGGAAAACCTGTCTCCACAACTGCTTCTGCCCACTTCCTGCAAAGGCAAAATATATGGGAGGAGATAAGTGAGCCTTCTTTGCTGAGTAAAGAGCTCTTACACCTTTCAGTAAAATGATCCCCTGCGCACATTCTTGTGCTTTTAGATTTTTTTTAACCCATCCAGTTCCTACAGGGTGACATTATAAATTACAGTAAAGGACTTAAATGTAGGGCGCTTTGTTTTTTTCTATTGAAAAACTAGCTATCCTTGCAAGGAATCCCCTAATAATCTCTTAACAGAAAAGTCTTGCCATCATTCTGGGAAAAACAGAAGGCTGGGCCACCAAGGACACCTCCTTGATGTCTTCACTTGCTATGTGGAAGGTGCCCTTACAAGGCTATCCTTGCACACTGTAGCCAACCCATCAGAACCCTGGTTTCAATAGGTGCACCAGTGAACAGCACACAAAACACACATGCCACTAAAATTGAGATGATGCCACTTGTGCTGCAAACCTCTGCTCCACAAGTGCAATAGCAGCCTGAAGGTGCTGCCTTTAGGCCAGGCCTGTGCAACTACAATGTTTGGGGTAGATACTTTCCAGATGTTGTTGGACTACAGCTCCCATCATGCCTGATAATCGGTCGTGCTGGCTGGGGTTGACAGAAATTGGATTCCAATAACATCTGGAGGGCGCTTTGTCAGTTCCCCTGTGATGAAAAGTGGGGCGGGGGAGGGGGGAGTTGATAAAATGCCTGACCACAGAAGAGCCACAGAGATAGTGTCTGGGTAGAACGCATAGGCTATCCAGTGAACTCAGCTGTTTTGGAGACTTAAAACTGAACATCTGGATAACACCCCCGCTCTTGCGCACCGAACATGCTCATGTGCAGCTCCCGTCCATTGCGCTGTGGCTTGTGCTCAAGAAGTTCGCCTTCGGAGGGGAGAGGCTTTGGCAAATATCGCAGTGTAAGTCCCATGTAATCCAGGGAGTCAAAAGGTGATTTTAAGCCGTCTGCAGCTTGTTGGAAGCAGGCAGCTCATCCCCAAAGGCGGGTAGGGAGAGTGGTAGAGGGAAGGTGAAACATGCATATTCTGGAGATGTAGGGAGGGCACGGACATGTGGGGAAGAGGAGGAAGAATACTTGTTCGCTTATCCTGAGCTCATCTGCAGAGCCAAGTAGTGCCTTCCAATCCTTTCCTAATGGCTGCAAGCCATCACCACCTTAATCCATCATTAGCTGGGCATATTTCAGATCTGAGCCAACAGTGAATTGGTGTGCGTATGGCAGCGGCGGGTTGGGGGGAGAGAGAGAGACTTCTCTCGCTTGCATGCTTCCCCTTATTCCCATGCCATCCTTGCTGCTGCCTGTGTGTAATTAACAGAGTAATTAAAAACAGGATGAGTTAATTGGTATTCATTTATGTGGCAGATGTTTTTAATTGAGATACGAAACAATTTACCTGTTTATATAAACAATAGTGAACGAAGGCTTGTAAAACAGGGTGTTTTTCCTTCCACATTCAGCAGGGTCTGAGCCATCTCTCCCAGCTCCTTTTCATCAGGCCTGAGGCCAAACTGATGGAGAGCACCTGGGGGTTGTGGATGGTGCCAGGGACTGAGGCTCCGTTCCAAATATGTGTTCTTCCCCTTTCTTAATTGCATGCCAGCTACAGGGATGTTGTTACAGGGTGACAGAGCAGGGCTGGACCCTGGATCTTTTCCACTGGTCCCCAGATCAGCTGCTGCTTCCTCCCTCCCTTAAAAAAAGAGAGAGGCTGTTTTAAAAATTAGCTTTGCTTACAGGGCTGCTGTAAGCAGGCGTCCACATATGCAAAAAGAGCCCAAACATTGATGCATATTTGCATTAAAAATTGCATATGCTGATCTATGTGCGTAAAGGCAGATTTAGAAGCAATTAATAACCTTTAAATGGAAAAGCTAGGTGGTGACAGGTGAGCTGCCTGCCTGCTCAGTCAGCCGTCTAGGCACTCATAGTTGTGGAGGCAGCTCCCTGCTCTTCCTTTTCCACGCTTCTTCAGGTTTAAACTGGACTTGGGCTGAACAGTCCTTCAGATAGAGGACTGTCTTCCGCAGAGTAGGACACACAGCCACTCTGGATGCATCATTGCATGTAATGGTCAAGGTTTGTAAAGGCAAAAGCTGGGTATAGTGACCAGAATATCAACAAGACATGGAGGGGAGACTGGTCGAGTCTCCTTTGGTTTTCAGAGGCCAGAGAAGGCAGATAGCAAGGTGTAGGCATTGGAGGCTGACAACCTAATACTTTACATTCCTATTCAAAAATAATCCCCAACTGAGGGGCTTCCTCCCAAGACAGGATTGCAACTTAAGTGTCACAATATGAAGACCATAAGAAGCACCATGCTGAGGGACCATTTAGTCCAGGGGTCAGCAAAGTTTTTGTGGTTTGGGCCAGTTCATGGTCCCACAGACACCGCAGTGCGTGCACGCGCATGCACACATGCACGCACACACAAATGCTATTTCCAGTGTGGAGGAGGAGTGCGCAGCTTCCCATTGGCTGCAGGAGCTTTCTGCAGCCAATAGGAAGCCAGCCAGCATCGTGGAAGGCGGTCCCCGAGGCCAAGCAGGCGGCAGGGGTCCATGGGCCAGTTAAACGACCCCCATGGGGCGCCTGTGGCCTATGGGCCTTAGGTTGTCGACCCCTGATTTAGTCCTCCCTCTGGTATCCAGAGGAATGTTGATTTGAGCTGGTGAACCAAATGTTTAGTTTCTTTTTCCTTGGCACATAGGAAGCCACCCTTTGCGGAGCCAGACCATTAATCCATCTTGCTCAGTCTTGCCCACACTGACTAGCAGGAGCTCTCTAGAATTTCTGTCAGCCGTCTACCATAGTCGTATTTGGAGATGCTGGAGATTGAACGTGTATGTAAACAGGTGTTCTACCACTGATAGCTAGGCCCCACTTGTTTGCATGGAGTGTTTGACTATCCATGCCACAGAGGCCAGAAAGACCTGATATATTATCCATGAAAAAAAAGGGGGGGATCTTGCCCACCCCAATTGCTTTTCTTGTTCAGAAGGTCTTCCTCCCTCCTGGTGCAGCTCTAGGGCCCATCCAGGCTGTGGCTCTGTTTTTGGATGGGATTCAGTCATATACTGGCAAGTTCAGATGTCAAAATTAAAGTTGATTGGGAGCTCTTGTGCAAGGAAACCAGACTTTAGCAATAAGGAAAAGTGATAGAGGGGGTTGTACTGGAAAGTGTGGGATGGCAACTGCTTGATGCAAGGTCATATGATCTCCCTGCCGAAAAATCACAGTGAATGCTTGGTAAACAGGCGGCACTGTATAATCTCCCTGCAAATTTTGTGCAAATAAATGAAGACAAGTTCTCAGCTAACAGTTTGCCTTGGAGTGACCCTACTTTGAATGGAAGGTCTGACCTTTGGTGTTTGTATGTGTGTTTGTGTGTTGCGACTTCCTAGCCACGGGCAGCTACATGGCTTCTGCCTCTGCCGGAAAGGGGTTCAGCACACCTCAGTTTTCCCAGAGTCACGGCCCGCAGCAGATAAGAAATGTGATAGTGAAACATTTGGCTATTGCTGGAAAGAGGCCTTGGCAGCCTGCCGGCAAAGACCAGATGGCTGGAAGCCCAGCTGCGGGGAGAGCAGGCTGGTCTCAGGTGTGCTAAGTCCTCAATCGGTCCCAGGAAGACTTGGCATCACATCCTAATGAATATCGAAGAGGGGGCAAGAAGCACCGTCTTTGCTCTTTAACACTGTGATTTTCCATTTCAGCAGATACTGAATCACTCCTGTCAAGCCCTGCGCTGATACTGGGATGCTGAGCATCTCCTAATAGCTCTGTGGGTTTTGAATTCCCAAAAGGAAGGAAGGAAGGAAGGAAGGAAGGAAGGAAGGAAGGAAGGGGTGTATCTTCCTCTCCAGTCCCCAGGACAGGTTAGAAAGAGAAATTCTCTGGCACATTTTTCATGGCCTGTGCAAGAAAGAGAAGGGAAGCTTTTGCTTCTGTGCCCACTTTATGCCAGGTCCCCAGTCTCTTTTCCCTTTGTCTCCCTTTAATTCCCCACTTTGCTTCATGCCCCTTCTTGCACCATTCATTTATAGTTCAGTCCACAGCATCTCCAGGTAGGTCTGGGATTGCCCCTGCCTAAAATCCTGGAGAGCTTCTGCCAGTCAGAGTAGAATCCACGCAGTGCTGAGCCTGATGGACCAACGGTCTCACTTGGTATAATGCAGCTTCTCGTCTACTGCATGTCCCCATTTTTCTGAATCCCCTTGCATCCATTTCCTCAAAGGACTTCCTCAAAGAGTTGCCCCACACCTCCCTGCTTTTCCTCACTGTAGTCAAATTACGCCTGCAAACAGCGTATTCTGAACCTCCCAGTTATATGGAGCATCATTTATCTTTGATCACATCCCTCATACACCTAGTCAGACCACTGGTCCCTCATCAGTATTGCCTGCACTCACTAACAGCTGCTCTCTGGGGCCTTCAGACAGGGCTTTCCCCCAGCCCTAACTGGAAATACCAGGGATTGAACCTGGAACCTTCTTCATGCAAGGCAGCTGCTCTGCCACTGAGCTATGACCCTGAAGGGAGAGCACAGACACTTCGGCTTGGCATGTAGCTTGTTCTGCATCAGCTACTTATGATGCTGCAGGATGTAACCCAGAGTTTGGTCACCTCCACACCATACACTTAAACTGCGTGGCTTCCCTGCAAAGAGTATCCTGGGAACCATAGTTTACCCTCACAGTCCTAGCACCCTAAACAATCTACAGTTCCTGGGGTGGGAGTCCTGGGCTTTTAATGTGTTTCTAAGGCATGGTGCAGCTGTTGGAAGCTTCCACCAGCCCTGTTTTTCGGGGGCCATGGGCAGGTGGGCAGAGCTGATGTGCCCCAGCTGCCTATGGGGGGAGTGAAAATAGAGGCGAGGTGGCCCAGAGGTGCCAAGGGCAGCAGCTGCCTAGCTTTGGAGATGCACTCCAGTCATTCCAAAGAAACGAAAGGAAAACAAGGAAGGAGACCGCGTTGTTTTCCTTAACAGGGAAAGGCTGCTGGAGGAGCCTGGCACTGGGTCCAGCTGCCCCAGCTGTGGGGGGAGGAGGGGGCTCCTGAGGAAGGTTTGGGAGACAGGCTGAGCCCCCTCCCCCATCTTTTCCCACATGGAGTGGTCTGCAGTTCATCCCCAGTTTGCCGCCAGCACTGAGTGCTTGAGCTAACATGATCCAGATGGAGCAGCTCCGTCCCTGGTGAGCATATCGGGGAGTTGTTCTTGGCCCTGCTGGCACCGGCAGCTGAAGAGCAGGAATGCACAGCCTTTATTTGGAAGGAGGCAGTGGACCCAGTGCTCCCCCCTACCCCCACATCTGGATTTCATTTGCAGAGCATGAAACGATGCTGGGATTTCAGGCCAGTGCCGGTTTAACCCTTTCCTCCTGCCTCCCTTCCTCCCTCAGGGTCAGAAGAGGGGAAAGGGGAGGAAGAAAGAGGGAAAGGACTTTTCCCCCTCCCCAAGGATGTTTTGCTCCTGGTGGCCGAGGCATAGGGTCCAAGACAGTCTTCCCTAACTTGGAGCCCACTTGAAGTTTTGGACTAAAACGGCCAGCAGCCCCAGCCATCTGGTGGGCAGCAAGTTGGAGCAGCCTGGCCTAAGACGTCTCTCCATGCATGCATCCTGAGCATAGTTAAACTATGGGATTTGTTCCCACAAGAGGCCGGGGTGACCATCAACCTGGTTGGCTTTAGAAGAAGATTAGGCAAAGTCATGGAGGAGAAGGCTACCAATGGCTACTGGGTATGATGGTGATGTTCTATCTCCATGGATGGAGGCAGTAAGCCTTTCAATACCAGTTTCTGGCAATCACAAGTGGGGAGAGTTGCTGCAGCATGCAGGTCCTGCTTGCAGGCTTCCCCTAGGCAACTGGCTGACTACTTTGGGAAACAAGATGCTGGCTTAGATGCGTCTTTGGCCAGCAGTTAGGCTCTTCTTATATTCTGCAAAGGGTGGGGCTGGAGCACAATGCTCAGACTGCACCATGGGCGTAACCAGATTTTTTGTTAGGGGGGCAGGCTTTTGTTAGGGGTGGGGGCAGAACCTCAGCTTTGTCTGGATTGGGGGGCAGCTGCCCCTTTGGCAGCTGCACATGGGCTGCACATGGCTGCTTTAACATTAACCTGGAAAAGACTGCTACCCCAAAGTCATTGCTTCGGTTTCATGAGGACTGGGAGGGTCAAGCCATCAAATGCAATGCAGCTTCTAGCAAGCCATTTGCAGGGCTACAGTGAGACTGGGTTGATTTATGCAGGCACCTAGGCTGTGCAAATCCAACAGAATGAGGAGGTGGAAACCTGAGATGTTAGAGTGGGCTATACGATTTCAGGATGCTGGTGTGAGGGTGGGTATAGAGTGCTTTCCTATGAAATTATTATTATTATTATTATTATTATTATTATTTTGTGAATAATTCTCCTTTCACACTGAAAGCTAGTGCAGCAGGGAGTGATCTGGGCTGACACCAATGGGCTAGATCTTTACTTGCAGGGAATTTGTGTGCCTTTTGGGTTTGGGTTTTAACTGCTGCTACCTGCCTTCAGCCTGAAGCAGTACAGTTGCCTTCACCAGCTCAGGGTTCTTCCAGCTTACTCTGCAGCATGTGCTGCTCCACTACAAGGTGCAAGCTGAAATGATACAGGAGATGACTGTAATACCTGACCGGAATGTGTCCTTAAGCCCTGATAATGCCTCTTGCTTCCTTGCATGGAGGGTAGAGAGGGCTGTGTGAGCATGTATAGACACAAGCCTACTGCACAAAGGGAAAAAATTGCATGCACTGCTCAACCCACTTTTGCCTCTGGCCCCACCCACCTCTGGCATGTGGCCTCCAAATGGTTGCCTGGAAAGGAAAGTGGCCCTTTGAGCTGAAAAAGGTCTACCACCTAACACTCTGACCCACAATGCTGGTCTCACAATCGTTACCTCCTGGGGTATAATAGACTGACCGGACCCCAGTCAAGGATGTAGCAGATTAGACTGTCAGATTTGGCCATGCCTTGAACACAATCTGTCCTCTATTATAACCACCGTGTGGACACCCTCTGGTATTGCTTCCAGCTGCTGGCTGGGGGCTGAAAGGAGCCCAGCTGCAATGGATGAAACCCACCCTTGACTGAAGCAAACCTTTCAATCACAGTGGAATGAATGAGGAGGGGGAAGGTGGGGTGGGGGAGAGAGAGAGATTGGGAATTGCCCTTCTGTTCCCACTGGGAGGTGCAGGGTGAGGATGGGCGGCCCCCTCAGTCTGGAGGAGGAGAAAAATAGAAATCCTTTCATTTTTAGATCCTTGCCTTCTCTGCCTAAGCTCCGCAGCTGCTAATGGAAACCAGATGTCAGAAGGCAGACACACAGCTCTCCGCAGTTGGGACAAATTATTCGGCTCTTTTCCTCTTCCCAGCCCCACTCCCCAATTCCTTTCCCACCCCGAGTAAGAGGCAGCTCATTCCTTCAGCCTCTGAGCCATCGTGGGGAATCGTGGTGACATTTAGAACTCCTGCTTTAAACAAAGGAGAAGCGAAACTCATTCCCAACATCTCAATATGAGAGCGTTTTAGGTTTGGGGTTTTGTTTCTGCAGGCACCCCCTTTCAGTTCATGCACAGGATCTCCACTCTGCACCATTAAGTCCCCATCACGATTGCTAATCTTGCACAGACTGTGCATAAACTGCTTGGACTTGGATGGCTGAAGCCAGGGCTCCTAAGGAATCGGCCCAGTGTGCAAGCAAGCAAAAAGAAGCTCAGAAAATCATCACGGCAGGCGAGGTTCCTGAAATCGAAGGGAAATGACACAAATTCTCATTGGTGCAAACGAGGCTGGCACCTCTCCAGTACAATCCTTAACATGCTGCTTTAACACATGGCTCGTTGTTATCAGGCATGTATATATGCCACTTTGCAAGCACGCACGCACACGCACACACAGCCACAGAACTCAGCACCGTGAGATTCTTAACAAGCTTCTAGCTCTCATGGGTCATGCTAGGCAAAACCTCCAAAGCTGGAGAGAAGGTGGAGGGGAGTAAGATTATCAGGGAGCAAGAGTTCAAAGCTCATTGCCCTATGCCGTCCTTTGAGGGTTGAGAGAAAGAGGTCATAGCTCAGTGGAGGAACACCTATTCTTTTAACTTGAGGAATAAATAAATAAATGCTTCAAACATTGTAGGACTGATCCCTGGCACAGATTCTGGAGAGAAGCCCAGGTGAGCACGAGCTCAAAACAGAAGGTCTTTTGGTTAGAGTGGCACCATAGCTCAGGCTTCCCTTGATGGTGCAAATAGGCTGGCTTCTGGAGAGGAGCTTGACACCTACTCTGCTCCGCCCCCAGCTTTTTAGTTTGGCACAGGTTGGCAGCTAAGCCGAGGTTGGGCTAGCAGATTCACCCCATGCATTTACAGCACATCCAGTGTGCGTTTAAAACATGCAACTTCCCCCTAAAGAATACTGGGTTCTGTAGTTTGTTAAGGGTGCTGGGACTTGTAGCTCTGTGAGGGGTGTCACCAGTATGTGGGTAACACGCAGCTCTACTTCTCCGTAACATCAGGAGAGGCTGCGAAAGCTCTGGATTGGTGTCTCAGTGCCATGGTAGGCTGGATGAGGGCCAATAAACTGTGCTTGAATCCTGGGAAGATAGAAGCTTTTGGAGTGGGTGGTACCCATGTCTGGGAGATAGGCAGGTTACCTGTTCTGGATGGAGTTACACTCCTTATGATGGAGCAAGTGCATAGCTTTGAGGGTACTCCTGAATACATCTTTGCCACTTGAGGTCAAGGTGTCCTCTGTGGCTAGGATTTCCTTTGACTGGCTTCGTCTGGTTCACCAGCTATTGAGTTCCTGGACAGGGATAGCCTGTAGCCCATGTGTTGGTAACCTTGAGGCTGGATTACTGCAATGTTCTGTGTGTGGGGCTGCCCTTGGACCTGGTTTGGAAGCTCCAGCTCTGGTGCAGAATGTGCCGGCCAGATTGCTGGTGGGGCATCTGACTGACAACACGTGACTCTGTTGCTACAGCATCTTCACTGGCTGCCCATCTACTACCAAGCCTCTTTCAAGGTCCTTGGATTAATTTACAAAGCTCTGGACAACTTATGCCCAGGGTGCGTCAGGGAGCACCCAAGCCCTTATATCCCAGGTCGAACACTGAGATCATCTGCAGGAGCGTCGCTGGCCATTTGTCAAGTAGGCGAGGCTCATGTGACAGCAACAAGAAACCGAGCCTTTAAGTGTCATTAGTTCAGTATTGTGGAATACTCTGCCAACAGAGATTCAGCAGGCACTTTCTGTTTCAATTTTTAAATGCCTGCTGAATCCTTTCCTATTCTATCAGGCTTATGCAAGCAATTAAGAATACATTTTTTCCACAATAGTTAGCTGATTTCTGATTTTAACTTTTTAGATTGTTTTATTGTGTGGTTTGATGTACAACTGTTGTAAACCACTGTGATATTTTTTTTAAAGGAATAGCAGCATATCATTTTTTAAATAAACAAACAAACTTCAGTTCTCGGGATTCTTTGTGCAAAGCCATGGGCTTTAAATGTGCATTGGATGTGCTTTAAATGTATGGGGTAGATCTGCCTAACTTGGTGCCTTGTACTAACGTGGGATTGTAGGTAAGATCTCTCCTCCTTAACCCTGATCTGTAGCCGTGGTTTGGGCTATGGTTAAGGAATGACATTAACCACGATCCTGGGTCAGAGAACATACCAGTCCAAACCTTGGCTGGGCTGTGGCACCTGAAACACCTAGTGAGAAGCAGCCTAGTAAAATTAAGAAATGCTTCTGCATGTTGAAAAACTGAAGGACTGGTGAACCTTTCCAGGGAGATGCTCCACAGCTGGGATGTCACAAGTGAGAAGTCCTGCCTTGGATCACTGGTACCACACCTCCAAAAGCGGACAGAGGGACTTACAGGAGGACCAGTGTCACTTAGTGGTTAGAATAAAACTCAGCTATGGATCTCCCTGGGTGATGCAAGTCCCTTACTCTCTTTCTCTGCTTCAGCCTAACCTACCTCACAGGGTTGTTGTAGGGGGTCAAACTGTGGTTGGATGAGAAGGAGAGAAGCATGTATACTGTCTGGATCTCCTTGGACAAAAGGCAAGATATAAATATAAGAAGTGTTGCAGGTTGCTACATTAATATTGTGAATCAGCCTTTCCATTGTGGTTTGCAACTGCCTGATCAGAGTCTGGGATCAGACAAAAGAATGTTAATATTCCTTAATGGTCCAGGAAGGGCAGCTTTTATCTCTATATGGAAGCTAATTGCTCAAAGTGGCTTCTTGATAGGGAGGCATCTCTGGAATGCGTGGAATGGAGAAGGAGATCAGAGCTTGAAAGGTGACCCTCTGCATCCCCAGCAGAGGAGATGAGGGTGGGAGAGGGAGGTGCCAGTGTGCCCTACTTTGCAGAGGACAGTCCTGTTTGAAGGGCTGCCCCCATCAAAGCGCAATAGAAAAAGAACTCTAGGAAGGGCTAGCAGCTGGGACTCTGAAGTTGCACAACAGCCCTGCACGGCAGACCAGGCAGGTGTCACACAGATCACCTGAGCCCTTACATTCCAGCCCGATCAATGAGATCATGGGTAGGCAAAGTAAGACCCGGGGACCGGATCCGGCCCAATTGCCTTCTAAATCCGGCCCACGGATGGTCCGGGAATGTGCATGTTTTTACATTAGTAGAATGTGTCCTTTTATTTAAAATGCATCTCTGGATTATTTGTGGAGCCTGCCTGGTGTTTTTACATGAGTAGAATGTGTGCTTTTATTTAAAATGCAGCTCTGGGTGATTTGTGGGTCATAGGAATTAGTTCATTTCCCCCCCAAAAAATATAGTCTGGCCCCCCAAAAGGTCTGAGGGACAATGCACCGGCCCCCTGCTGAAAAAGTTTGCTGAACCCTGAATGAGATCATCTGGAAGAATGCTGTTAGCTGCCCCCCATATCACAGAGGCCCAACTGGCCTCAACCGGTGATTCCATGCTGTGGAGAATCGGTAGGCACCCCTGCTTTTAACTGTGAGACATCTGCTGAAGACCTTTTTATGCTGACAGGCCTGTGCAGTTGTTTACAATTTTCTTGAGTCATTTGAACGATTGTTCGACATTTAATCTCACGCTACTGGGCAGCACTCTGATCTTTTGTAAGGATAGGGAAGAGAAAGTATGTCTTTACACTGGCACATAGTTCAAACTATGGAACTCGCTTCCATGGGAGGCAGCATGGGCGTAGCCAGGACTTGGGGGGGGCAGGACCGATGTGATTGGTCAGTCAGTTAAGTATTTCTATTGTTTTAATTGATGCCCCCGTCACCCGCCCACTCTTGGCTACACCCATGGGAGGCAGTGATGGCCACTAACCTAGATGGGTTTTAAAACAGGATTGGACATATTCATGGAGGAGAGGGCTATCAATGGCTATTGGCCATGATGGCTGTCCTCTGCCTCCATAGTTGGAGGCAGCAATTCTTCTGAATAGTAGTTGCTGGAAACCACAGAAGGGGAGAGTGCTCTTGTGCTTGGGTCCTGCTTGCAGGTTTCCCAGAGGCATCTGTTTGGCCACTGTGAGAACAGGATGCTGGACTACATAAGCCATAGGTCTGATCCAAAGGGCTCTTCTTACGTTCTTACATAAGAGGGCAGTACATAAATACTTTTATCAAAAACATGCTGTGCTCCAGTTCAGGCCCTGACCATTAAGCCAGCCAGTCTCCGATCTTGCATCCTTTTGGATGCAGACTGCAGCATCCCATTTCCCAGCTGCATTGGCTCTTCTTGCCATCTCCCAGATCCACTACCTCCTTGCTGTCTCTCAAGGATGACAGGACTCTGGACATGCCAGGGCTTCTGTGGGCTCCCATCTGCTGTGTGAGGCTCTCAGCTGCTGTTTGGCTCTGCGCTGTCACTCAGGACAGTATTTATAAATAAAGCAGGAAGCATGGGGGGGGGTCAGCGGCCCCGCACCATGCCAGGCTCCATTCTCAGGCATCGATAGTCGCAGGAATGCTGTCATCAGTCAGAGCGATGCACAGTATTTCACATGATGCTTCTCACCCCTCAACACTTCCAAAAACAGCACGGGATAGCAGAGAGGAGTGGAACATTTATAGGAGCAGACCAGCCTGGAAACAAACAGGATCTGGGCCCCAGAAGGACTTTGTACTCTGCCAAAGTTTGATGCTAAGGCTGAGCCCTGGAATATTTTAAATGACAGTGTTTAGCCCTGAGACATGCAAGCATGTGCAGAGTGCAGTGGCTCTCCCAAAGGTCTGGGATCAAGGTGGAAGTTTTCCCAGGCTGAAAGTCCAACGTCTTGCAAGTTGTTGCCATTAAAGGAATTTATATACCAACTTACTTTTCAGAGGGGGGAAATACCAAGGCAGTTCACACACACAAAAATAATAAGAATAAACCAATTATCGAAAATACATTAATTAAAATACATACAAACGCAATGACGTTAAAACATCCGTATTTAAAATATAAAATAAACAAGGCTTTCAAAACAGCATAACAGTTAAAACAACAAGCAAAGCAGGAGACTCAAGCTGGGAAATTCTTATCTAACCAGGTGTGTCTTCAAGGAGCAGCAGAATGACAGTACGGATGGGACCTCCGGTATCTTAGCAGACAGGGAGAGCATTCCACATCACTCACACCACCAATGACAAAGCCTGCTTCTGTGTTACCACAAGCCAATAATCATCAGGCCATGGCAAAAAAAAAAAAAGTTTGCATCTCTTGCACTCTCAAGTGGATTAGAAATTCAACAGTAAATCTCGGTCTGCACAGAGTCAGGAAGGGGACATAGCTCAGCAGGAGACATTTTTTAAAACGTGCACATTTATTGTGTTTTGCGGACTGGTCCCCGTTCAGTGGGAGAGCACCTGCTTTGCTTGCAGAAGGTCCCAGGTTGAATCACAGCATCTGCAGGTAGAGCCGGGGGAAACTCTTCTTTTACTTTGGACCATGGAGATGCTGCTGTCAGTAAGAGCTGAAATGACTGAGCTAGATGAGCCAATGGTCTGACTTGACATAAGAGGATTGTAGCTCAGTGGTAAAGCAGCTGCTTCACATACAGAAGATCCAGGGTTCAGTCCCTGGCATCTCCACTTGGGATGGGGTGAGAATGGACCATGATTGCAACCCTGAAGAGCCACTGATGATTGGTGTCAACAGTGCTGAACCAGGTGGATGAATGGCCTGGCTCAATATAAGGCAGCTTCCTATGTTCCCATTAAATGAGCCCCTTTTCTTTCAGCATCACGAGGGCTGGAGTCCTACTTTAATTTTAGGGGAAAGGGTGTAGCTCAGTGGTAGAGCACATGCTTCAATCCAGGGCATCTCCAGGTAGGACAATTCTAAGCCTGGGAGAGACTCCTCTCTGAAATCCTGGCAAGCTGCTGTCAGCCAGCACAGGTAATATTGTCCTAGGTGATCAGCTTCCTGTCTTCCTATGCAGCTTCCCGTAAGGCAGCTTCCTTTGTCCCCATGCCGCTCAGATAGACAAATAGCTTCCTGCATTTCACGCAATGAGCCTCGGCTCTAAATGGGAATGACCCTTTTGCTCTCCTCCCGGCCTCAAGCACTTTGGGTTTGCATTCAAGCAAACTTTCACAGTGAAAATTGACTTTTCCAAGTGCATTGTGGGGAGATCCAGAATGCTCCCTCTAGCTCAGGATTGCCTACACTGACTGGCAGCTGCTCTCCAGTATTTCAGGCAGCAGACATTCCCTTTCCTACCTGGAGATGCTGGGGATTGAACTTCTGCATGCAAAGGACGCTCTGTCACTGAGCTCCAGCACTTCCCCAGATCTGAATGTCTGATGAGCCATGGTTGCCCCATCCAGGGCTGCTCATTGGACTGGCTTGCCTAAGAAATGCTGCCTGCAGAGCACATATATTCCCTATTCCCTTTGCAGAAGTCTGCATACATTGGAGAGAGAAACGGGTGCCTAAATCCCAGCCCCATGATGTTGTGCCTTGTTTTCTCTGTATGCTGGCCAAACTTTGCAGCAACCATAATATATGTCCTTTGTGTTGTCTCACAGTCCCTGCACAACATCTTTCTGCCCCCAAACCTTTCCTGTGTGAAACTAGCTATTCCTTACCTCGTGGCTTGGTTCCCTTGGGTGTGTTTCGCTCAGACATGTCTGGTGCACATTTCCACCACTGTCAGCTGCTTCTGCGAAGCAATTGCAGCCGGGGGAGACACAGCCAGCATTTTGCCTAGAGAAAAAGAATAACAACCGAAAAAGGCAGGCGGACTTTGCAAGCAGAAAGATCTGCTTTCTGTTTGACCCTAACACACATTCCAACTGTCCCTATTAACCAAAGCATACTGTTCTCAGGCTACCATGTCTATTTCAAACTTGACCCAGATCTATTTCAGTCTGTTGGTTCCCAAACTGTGGTCCGTGAAAGACATCCAGGTGATCCACAGCATGTGTGTAAAAATACAGGTAAAAAACATACAACGTCCAGCACGATGCATCACAATTGCTGCAGCAGGCAGAAAATAATGAAGAGGTCAGTCAAGACCCTCAGCAATTAAAATTGAACCTATTTGAACCCTCTGACCCACTGAAATCAATGAACCTACGTTAATTATGCCCATTAACTTCAGTGGGTCTATGCATGGTCAGAACGCTCCAAGGCTTCCGTGATAAAAGGAACCTATTTTGGACGTTGCTCAGAAGTGCTGTGACTTGGCATAACTCTGCAGCCTGAACTCTGTGGAATTGCAAACAGGTTCTGGGGCTGAGCCCCTGGGTTGACTTGGCTCACATTTTAAGGGCAGGTCCAAACCATAAATTTAAAACACACCTGACACACATTTAAAGTGCATGACTTCCCCCCAAGGAACCTGGGAACTGTAGTTTGTTATGGGTTTGGGGAGTTGTGGTTCTGTGAAGGTAAAATACCGTCGCCAGGATTCTTTGGGAGAAGTCATGTGTTTTTAATGTTTTGATTATATTTATGCTTTTTATATGTGTTGGAAGCTGCCCAGAGTGGCTGGGCAACCCAGCCAGATGAACGGGGTATTATTATTATTATTATTATTATTATTATTATTATTATTAAAATGTCTAGTGTGGATCTGCCCTAAGCCCTGTGTCTGGTGTAACCATGGCGGGAAAAGATTAAGACAACTTTGTGGCATGTAACCTCCACCCCCCTCCCGCCGCCGCTGCAGAGAGGACAGGCCTGCTTTGCAATGCCAGGAAAGGCTTCGGAGCCAAAGGGACTCCAAGCAAGGCTGGGGAGTCTCCTCTCCGTCTCCTTGGCCTCAGCCGGAGCTGCCTTCGGAGCTGATTTATAGCCGGCAAAGCTCGTGTTTGTTGGCCCGAACTCAGCTGCATGCTGGGAATGGCGTTGAGAAGGAAGGCGGCCCTGCTGGGGCTGAGGTGGTTCTCTCCCTGGCTCCTTTCCAGAGTTCTTTCCACAACGTGTAACTCTTTGGATGCGGGGCGGGGAGGGGGGAGAGAGCTTTCAGCAAATATGGGAAATGACCCACACTGAAGGCCCGGCATGGGGGTTTCTTGCAGATGGGGTGGCCAATGCCTGGGAAAGCTGCTTGCACCTCCTGGAATTGCAGACAGCAGCTTGGCATTTTGGGAAGGGCTTTGTGCAAGGCAAGTTATCGGTTCAGGGATATACCCAGGACCGAGTCCTCCACCCCCTCTTCCCACCCTCGCAGAGTGGAGATCAGGGCAATTTATTCATCATTACTATCATTGACAAGTAAAGATGACTCTTGGCTCCTTCCGCCCTTGGCATTGCTTATTGGCAAAGGAACACAGAGCTCATCAATGAGCAGGAGGAGCGAGAGGGAGGCAATCCAAGGGTGGCTGGCAAGAGGGGCTCTTTCTAACTGGCTGGGCGAGCGGATGGTGAATTTTTAAAACAGCAAGCGTTGAAGGGAGCTGTTAGTAATTTACCTGTTGCATTGATATCCCAGCGTTTTCCTCCAAGATGCTCAAGGTGTCCCGCATGGTTTCCCCCCTCCTCAATTCCTCCCCTTGACAATCCTGTAAGGTAGGCCAGACCAAGAGGCAGTGACTGGCCCAAGGTCACCCAGTGGGTTTCACAGCTGAGTGGGGGTTTGAACCCTGGTCTCTCCCAGGCCCTAGTCCAGCATTCTATAGTGGCTGTCAAGTTGAGATGATGATCAGTTCCTGGGGTTTCCCTATGTGTGGGAGAGAAATTTGATTCATTTTGCATTTCAAGGCGAACCTGCTTAATTTGTACTATGTGAAAAAATATGCAAACTGAAACATAGCAATCCTTCGAAAGCCACACTTTTCTAAATTTTGCAGTGCGGTTCTCTAGTTGAAGTATGGTGCACAAAAATGCATATACTGAGGTAAAGTGTCCATGAAAATGTAAATACCAATGAAAATAGAAATGCCTTCTTTTAGGGGAGATCACTTTGCAAAAAAGTGTTTATTAGGCAAAATTGCATATGAAAACAGGTATATTAGGAGAAATTCCCATCAATATACTAATGAATTTTCATGGCAATTTTTTTTTTAATGGCAAACTAATGTGGAAATGTGGAAGACTTAGAATTTGAAAAATGGGGGGAAACGGAGATGGTCAAATTCTCCCACCCTTTAATTTCCCCCTCCCTGCCACATCATTGTGGGAGGAGAAACTGTAACAGCCATAATTATGAAATAAAAAAATAAAATTTTGTGGGTGCTTCAGAGATGGATCCCATGTTTATGTTAATCATTCATTCATTGATACAGTTTCTAAACCACTCTTCATCAAAGCAACCCCAGTGTGATTTGCACAACTATACAATTGAAACTTAGGTAGGTAGGTAGGTAGGTAGGTAGAAAGATGATAGATAGATAGATAGATAGATAGATAGATAGATGGATAGATAGATAGATGATAGATATAGATATGAATAAAATTGTTTAAACATAAAGGGGTGTAGCCAACTAAGTTTTACTCAAAGTAGACCCACTGAAATGAATAGACCACTGATAGGCCATTTCTTCAAAATGGGGTCTACTCTGCATGGGACTAATATTGCATACAACCCAATATTTTAAATTTTAAAAACCAAATGTTGCAAGATGTGGAGGTTGTGTTCAGGAACCCTGGAATTATTATGGGGTCGAACAGCTGGGGACACTGAGAGCTCAATTGCAGATTATCTACAGAATTTCCGAGGCCCCGTCCCCAGCATCTCCATGTAGGACCAGGAATACCCCAGCCTGAAACCTTAGAGAGTCTCTACCAGTCAGTGTAGGCAATACTGAGCTAGATAGACCAGTGGTCTGGGCTTGGTATAAGGCAGCTTCTGTGTTCCCAGGTTCTTAAGAGAAAGATATACCTTGCATGGAGTCAAGCCTTCATGAATGCCCATTGAAGCCAGACTTCTCCTCCATGTGAAGGGTTTCCATGCCACCTGTATCCATAACAGAGAGCCTGCCATACGATCATGTATGATCACTTATGTTCAGCTCCAGCTTAGGTTGCCTCCTCTGCGAACCCCAGTGATATCTTCCTTTGGCTAACATCACAGCTTTATTTAGCCTGGACTGTGCACATTGTGTGTGTGTGTTCAATTAATCGTGCAACAGTTGCAGTGCATTTGGAATGCGCTACAGATTAGAGTTTTTATCAGCCGCGCAACCGTCTGCAGAGAAGCTCTGTGCTGGTCTCATAGAGGCAGTGTCACCTCGAGGAGATGCTGGCTGACCCCAAGCCAGGGCGGCGAAGGGGAGGCTTTCCTTCTTTGGTCCTCATCTGGGTCTTGGCAGGGCCCTGCCGGCGCGAGGCTCAGTGACGGAGCGCCACAGCTGCCTTCGCACTTGCGCTGAGCCATCAAACTCAACTGCATCCTCTTTACTTTAGGAGAGAGAGAAATGAACTTGGTGGCCTCCAAAGTCAGAGGCAGGTGCCTTTCCTTACGGCCCGGCAGCTGTTCTTGTGGGCTGGCTGCTCCTCTGCCATTTACCTCTCGTCTCCCAGCCCACCTCGTCCCTCCCATCCTGATAACACTTCCACAACTCACATTCATCACCCCCCAAAAGCAGGATGGCTTTTTGGAACCTCTGAGCGGTTCAGAGGCTGCATGACACCGAATTGGGGCAGGGGCTACCACCAAGGGATGGCCATTGCCTTTGAGGCTTCCTTGTGTGAGCTTCTCAGGAGGAGAGGATCACCTGGTCGGCCACAGCTGGACTAGAAGAGGCTTTGGTCTACTTGAGAAGGGCTCTATGTATACATTATATACATTGCTTTTGATGTTGCTACATGGGATCCGCAACAAAACATTGCAGTGTGCTCCTGTTCAGCGTACCTGCCAGTGAGCCAGCCAGACGTGCCCTCATCACGGATACTGCATTGCACATACCCCCACCACAGTTTGCATTTTTATTTCTGGCGCTGGGAAATTTCCCATGGCTGCTGAGCTGTTTGTCTAGGAGTATGTTTGCTTGCTGCTCAGGAGGGAATGTGGTCCTCAGACTGAAAATGCTTCCCCATCCCTGGTGTGGCTGAAGCAGGCATCAGTATGAATCGTGTCTTCCCTGGGGGCTTCCATCCTAAATATTCCCTTTCTTGTTTCCTGGGCAGTATCTTTGCCTCTGACTCTCCTCACCTGTACCTCCTCCCCTCCCCTCCCTCTCTCTGTTCTGCAGGTAGTACGGAGATCAAGGCAGCAACGATGCCTGACTCACCGGCCGACGTGAAGACGCAGTCCCGATCCACGCCCCCCAACATGCCACCACCCTCACCAGCCGTCACGCAGGGAGCAACGCGACACCCCACCTTCACACCAAACCCTAGTGAGTAGTCAAGTCAACACCATGCCCAGTGATGGGCATCAAAAATGGCAAAGGAAACAGAAACGGTGGCCAGGGGGTGGAGGTGGGGAATCAAAGGTCTCTCCTGATATGGTGTATTATTATTATTATTATTATTATTATTATTATTATTATTATTATGTTTACACCCTGTCGTTCCTCCAAGTTGCTCAAGGTGATGTACATAGTTCTCTTCCTCATTTTATCAGCACGAGAACCAGGGGGCAGCTGCCTCAGGTGGCAGAATCCAAGGGGCGCCTTGGCAGGTATGCACCACAGCTAGAGAAGCAAGGAGAAGCAGTGGCTTCCAGCTACTAGTGAGATCCCGCAAGAGCCCTGTTAGAGGCCTTCAGAGGTCTTGCACAATCGTCCTGAGACCACAATATATAAGGCAGAGCGCCTCACTTACCAGGGTCTCCAAAGGCCTCCACGCAACATTATGGGGCTCTTGCAAGGTCTTGGTGGAACCTGGAAGCAGCAGTTGCACAATGCTAAGCGAGGCTTGAGCTTCCCCATTGCTGACTTATCTGCCTGCGCTCTATCCTTGTGGCCTGTTTGCTTCCAGAACTGAAGCAGACTGAAAAACTTACATACGTTCCCTCCCGCACACATGCTATTTCCACTCTGCAATGACCTGTACAGCAGGAACTGTGGGCTGCGGCTGTTCATTAGCCTTTCTGAGAGGCAAAACAAAAAACAAAAACCCGACCCAAGCAGAGGACTTTGCGCTTAAGAGGACTTTGCAGAAACGGAATCTAGCCAGACCCATTTCCCCGCTTTATCCGCAAGCTCTTTTCCTCTGGCGTGGAGGTTCCGGTTGTCATCAGGACCCGGAGCTGCTTCGGATGCCGGGGCGGGTGGGTGGGCTTGGATGCTGTCCACCTCCACCCTCGCCGCTTCTCGCCTCTTGATGCATCGCCTTTCAAGCGAATGGCAGTGCCAGATGGCACCACATTTGGAGTGCCAGGAAAGCAGCCCTCCCCCTTCCCCGTTGATGCGGATGCCAGCCGTCTCCGCTCCTGCTGCTCATGAGCGATGCTGCGATTCGCAGCCAGAAGGTGCATAAGGAAGCAAAAAGGGAGAGGGCAGTTGAACCCCAAGCAGACAGCAAAGGCAACAGCAGCACTCAGGATTATTTTCAAAAAGGACGGGTGCCAGGGGCCCAGGTCTTGCTAGAATCCAGACCTCTGAGCTCCAATGTAAGGTAATGCAGATCTCAGTGGGAGAACATCTGCTTTGCATGTAGAAGGTCCCAGATGCAATCCCCACTAGCATCTCCAGGTAGGACTGGGAACGAGTCGCTGCCTGACACCCTGCAGGGCCCCTCCCTGGCAGTGTACACAATGCTGAGCTCAACATACGAATGGTCTGATTCAATATAAGGCACCTTTCTATGTTTCACTGTGTGGATATTCTGCAAGCAGAGCAAACTACTCTGCACATGCTCAGAGGGAAGATTGTTTCACCAGAGCCCCGGTGTTGAAACTAGATTCCAAACCCTGTTTAAACAAGGCTGCAGAGCAGTAAAGTTAAGCATTGCATGGCTTAGCTGTAGCCATGCTAACCCCCCCTATGGGATTTCCACCAGTCATCAAAGGCCTGCCCTACCATTAGGCAGGGTAACTAACTCAGGCAGCAGGTGCTGGTGAGGCAGCAGTAGCAGCCTCTGAGGCCGTTTCCTTCTGATAAGAGGACAGAACTGTGTCACCTAACCTGCACCCAGGAATGACCCATTCTGGTTTGCCTCCTGAGCAAGATATGAAAGCTAGGAGCTAAATGGTGCCTTAAACCTAGGTTATCGGCGCAACAACGGAATGACTAGGTGCACTTTTTTATAACAAGAATACAAAGCTGAAAATGAATGAACTGCAGCTAAAATATTATGTTCAGGGTCTAGTCTTTCCTTGCCCACCCCCCTAATATTCTTAAGAGGGTCTCTTCTCCAGTCTTCAGAGAGTAGCTGGAAATTGGGGGGGGGAGGGCAGAGAAAGCTCCTCCCTTCCTTCCACTCTGCAGTTTTAATCTGAAATCTTAGGCGCAGTACTGCGCCCAGAACTCAGAAAGTGCTTGCACTAATGAAATTCCCTGTCACAAAATGTGCCTAGAACAATGGGAGTTTCAAACACGGCTCCTGAGGTGAAACAAGAAAGTGCCACCCACACTGCTGCCCACTATCCCCCCCACACACTGCACTTGCTAAATCCTTGCTTACCAGGGTCATGCAACTGCGGCTTCTGCGTTCTTGCAAGATTTTGGGGGAGTTCTTTTAGATCTCGCCAGAACCCAGAAGTCACAAGCATGTCTCCTTGCTCCTCAGTTCTCTGGCAACAGGAGAGGTTGGGGCACCTGAGGGGGCTCACCTCTTGTGATTCCACAGCTGTCTCAGTTTGGCCCTGCCTGCACCCCATAAGCTAGTTTGCTGCCTTCAAATTGCCAGGGCTGAAGGAGGATTCAGTAGCCAGCCCAGGCAGCCTGTGTATGTGCAGGTGTGTGTGTGTGTGTGTGTGTGTGTGAGAGAGAGAGAGAGAGAGAGAGAGAGAGACCATCTTCTCCTTTGCCTCGGGCAGCAAAAATGCATTTCTCTTGCCTGAGGGTCACCCCCATTTGCAAGGCAGAGAATCGCCCCATCCAGTTGCCCGCCAGTGCATAATGCACAGTTTGCATTGGGCCGCGAAACGCTCGGAGTGCCACAAGTGCAGCCTAAGCAGCAGGAAGGGAGTCCGCGCCCCCACTCCTTTCACAGATGGGAGCCTTTCCTCCATCCACAGATAAAAGATCCAATGGCAGATGGGCGGCTATATCCGCAGGCGCAGCACATCGATGCCGAAAGCCCTGAAATAGTTGTGACTATAATAGCCTGCTCCCCCAGATTCCTTTGCCCTTCAGCTGCAAGGAAGCCACGCAGCCCGGGTCAAAATTAACTTCTTCTTGCTCACAATCAGAAAGAGCAACACATGCCCACCCCCCTTACCTCCACACTGAGCTACAAAGTCTCCTCCCTTCTGAAAAGAAATGCCTTTTTTTGTATTGCACCTTGCGGGGGGGGGGGTAGTCTCTCTGTGTGTCCCCTGCCTCCCCGATTCCGAGTGGCAGTTCCAAGTCAGCTCCAGCCTTTCCTTTTTTTTTTTTTTTTTGAGCCAGATGTTCTCTAATTAGAAATCGGATTCTGCTCGTCTGTGATCTGATGGGGTTTGCTTTTAATCGCTCTCGGTAGCAGATGCAAAGGCGCTTTTGAGCCAGTCTGCTGTGTTTTCTGAAAAGGGTCTGCTGCTGCTCTCCCCTCCCCCCTCTCAAAAACAACAACCCTTCTTGCAATAGCTGACCCTGGGAGGGCTAGCCTTTCCTCCCTCCCTCCCCCCCCCAAGTCCCCATCCCGCCACCACCCCACAGTGATGCTGTGTATGCATTTAAAGCGCTTAGAGGTTAGGGAAGAGAGAAGGATTGGAAGCTGTGACTTTTGCACTTAATTCGAGTGGATATTAGCAAACAGCTGGTGTTGTGCCCTTACTAAAGAGCTCTGCTAAGATGTTCAGCCTAAACTGGGCGGCTTTAATAACCACCTAGCCTGATGGTTTGCCACCCGAGAGCTATGGCAGAGACTTGGCCCATCCCAGGATCCCACAGCCAAGGAGCAAGACGCCAGTGGCAGATTTCCCAGCCAGATGGTGGCTGCTGAGAGCACACGGATGTGCAAAGGAGGACTTGGAGTCTATGAACTGCTTGGTTCCTCTCTCCCCAGATCCTTTTTATTATGGGAATCTTCCCAAGGAAAGCTATATGCCAGAGTTATCTTTCCAGCCCTTATAAGCTCACTAAAGATATTTTGTCAGCCAGGGATGGAGAAATCAGTGTACAAGGAGGCAGGTCCCTGCCCAAGGAGCATACAGTGAAGAAATTTGACACTGGTGAATTGGAAGGAAGGAGAGGCAGGGACAAAAAGGGGAGCCATATATGGTTGTTTCAGTTACATAAAGGAAGGCTTGTTTACAGAGTTACCATTACACCATAGGGCATGGGAACCTCGGACCTGTTATTCCAGCTCTGATGTCAACAAGCAAGTTGCAATGGTTACTAATGATGTCCTACCTCCCCTTCTGCTGGAAACTGCAGCAGGGGAGAGGGCTGTTGTGCTCAGGACCGGCTTGGAGGCTTCCCGGGAACATCTGACTAGACACAGTGAGAACAGGATGCTGGGCCAGATGGGCCACTAGTGGGCCTGATCCAGCAGGCTCTTCTTATGTTCTTACATCTTGAATTGGTTCTGAACCGGACATGCTTGTCAGTTCTGTAGCCCAAGTTCCCTTAATCCATCTGACCCTTTCTGATCAAGCCAGTCCTTCTCCTTTGTTCTTATGTCATAGTGAACCAGGCTTGTTGCATGAGGAAGCGAGGGGCAGGGGTGGGGAGGACACCACACACCCTCTGTAGATTTTCTTTGCCACATTGGTGGAAATCAGAGGTGCTCTACACTCCCACGCCCCTTCCTTCTCTTAATTTCTGTTGTATGTTTTTGAATCTATACAGCATCCGCCAACCTGGTACCCTTCTGCTGTTTTAGACCACATATCCCATCAACCCCAGCTTTGCTGGCTGAGGCTGATGGGAGTTGTAGTCCCAAACAGCTAGAGCATACCAGATCAGGAAAGGCTATTCTGTACTTTCCAAGTGTTTGTTAATACTGACGATCACGTCCCTATCTTGTGATCAGCACCGTATGCATTTTGCATTGTTCGTTGTTATAAATCTTTTCTGGTTTTAAATTGCTTCTATTTGTTGTATTTTATCTGGCTAAATCGCTTTGAAACTCTTCTACAAAGCGACCGATACATGCACTTAATTAATAATAAAAAACCAATACAGCTGTTGGAGAGTTGTTCACCAGGCTTCAGCACAAAGTCCATTAACCTGGAAAGTGGGTTGTTGCCAGGCAGATTTCTTATCTAGAAAACAAACAAACACATCCACATGGTTGTGCTTTCTAGAACAGGTCCCATTTCAGCATGGAGCTGGCTTTATGGCATGCATAGCTATAGACCAAGGGTGGGGACCTATCTCAGTCTGAAGGACTCATTCCTTTCCTGACAACCTCAAGGGCTGTATGCCAGTGGTGGGCGGGGCCAGAGGCAAAAGTGGGTGGAGCAACAAATGCAAATATTAGAACCAATTTTCTACTCGTGCATCCCTCTCTAGCCTCCATTCAGATGAGCAAAAAGCATTATCAGAGTTCAAGGACACATTCTAGCTGGAAAAAATATATTCCCAGGGTGCGAAGCAATGCCAGTGAGGTGTGTAGTCTGGGGAGAGTTCTTCAGGCCAGATACAGAGGTCTAAAGGAGATGCCACCCAACCTTTCCACCTGCCCACAGGCACTCTAGGCACCTGTGCAAATTTGGGCCCCCAATCCTTTTGAGTATCTGGCAGCAACACCCCTAATCAGCAGGCCAAAGAGCAACCATTTGTGAGTCTCCAATGTCAGCAAGACAGTGAGTTGTCAGCCCTCGGCTCCTTCAGTTGAGATAACACCATACCATTCAACATTTCTCCAATGAAAATAGGTACATCCTAAGGAAAAGCAGGACATTCTGGGATGAAATCAGAAACCAGGACAGCTTCTGTGAATCTGGGACTGTCCCTGGAAAATAGGGAGGGTCTGTAATACGGGCAGGCAAGCCACACTAATTTGGCAATCTAGGAAGCTGGGAGTGGCTTCCTTCAATCTGCATTGCAGTTTATGAAGCTGGTTTAGCATAAGCCTCTTGGCACAACCTTAGTCTTTGTTTGGGGATTGCATGACCAACCCATATCTTTCCAGGACACCCTCAGGCGGATGGGACAGTATTGGTTAAGAGTTTTGCCCTTGCAACTAAGCTCACACACTGGAAGGAAATCTCTCAGCCAAGATGGATACGTTTAAGGCCCTGCCTAGCTACTGCCCCAGCCCTGATCAGGGACTTCAGGAAGGAAGCGCCCTGCCACCTCTGGTCTCTCCTGATAGCGTATGTTTTATTTTGCTTGCAGATCGTGAAGCTGGGCCGCCGATGTTTCTGCCCCGCGGCCGTTTTCATGGTTGCTTGAAATGGTCCATGGTGTGTCTCTGTAAGTAAAATGAAACGTGCCCGTCAGCAAGAGACGCAGAAGCTGTAGCTCAGCTTTGCTTCCCCTAGAGCAGGGGCGGGGGAAACCCGAGGGCCACATTCTCTTCAGGGGAACCTCCCAGGGGCCGCATGCCTGTGGTGGATGAAAGTGGGTGGAACAATGCATGCTGATTTTACCTTTGTACAGTAGGCAAATTTTGACACATACTCACATGATCTGCTATCTGGGCAAGCAGGAGGCCTGATCAAAGTTCAAGGACACATTCCAGCCAGGGGGGGGGAAAGCTCAATAAGGGTTTGAAGCAAGACCAGAGAGGGTATGGCTAGGGAGGGTGTGGCCTGGGGGGAAAGTCCCAAGAGCCAGACACAGAGGTCTGGAGGGCCACATTTGTCCCCCAGGTCTGAGGTTGCTCACCTCTCCCCTAGGTAAATACAGGAGGGGAGCAAATGCACTTTTGCTGGAGTTGGTCAGGCAGTGTTGTCTATAGGGTGCTGCCCCATAGGTTGGCAACCCCCCCATTTCACTCTCAGAGGGTTCCCAGTTGGCCAGCATCACAGGAAATCTTCTTCTTCTCCCTACCTCTTTGTAATGTCCTTTGGGTGTATCTCATTTCACCTGCCTCACTGTTAGGGGGTAGGCAATTTTAAATTTGCGTACATTTAGTCAGTTGGCATCTTCAATTGAGTAATGGCAAATCGTTTGTAAAGAATCTTTGTAAAGACAGACACCAAGAAAGCTGCACCTTCTGTCCTGGAGGCACCACCTCCCAATGCTTCAGGTATAGTGGGAGCATTGTGGTTGGTCAGTGAAGAAAGTGGGGAAACTTTTATCATGCTCTGAGGCACCTGCTTGTGTTGTTGTTACTGCCTGCTAGAGGCCTTCAGCCACAGAATGGACTAGTTAGTCCAAATCAATAAATAAAACTCAACTCCTTTCTCTTATTCTTTATTTACTTCAGTAATATTCCACTCAGAAAGTCAGTTGCCTACTTTGCTCCACATTCTTCAAGTACCTTGCCTCTGGGCCCTCTGCCCCTAATCTTTCCATCAGTCTAGGATCTTTTCCCACTTCTTATCCCACCCCACAAAGATGTGCCTGCCCCTAAGACCTGTGTGGAATTTTAATCCCAGTCAAAATGACAATGTACCTTTCCCTCAGGTAAATTGGACTGCAAGCATTCTGATAGCCTTGCTTCCCTGGGCCAGTCCGAATGTTTGCAAACCTTCTGTGCCGTCATCACACCAGCTCAGTCAATTGGTGTCAAGGGGATTAACCACTGCGTGTGCAATACAGTGGTACCTCGGGTTACAAACACCTTGGGTTACAATCACTTTGGGTTACAGACTCCGCTAACCCGGAAGTAGTACCTCGGGTTAAAAACTTTACCTCAGGATGAGAACAGAAATTGTGCGGCGGCAGCAGTGGGAGGCCCCATTAGCTAAAGTGGTACCTCAGGTTAAGAACGGTTTCATGTTAAGAATGGACCTCAGGAACAAATTAAGTTCATAACCAGAGATACCACTGTGTATAATATGGACTAGGGATAATAGGTCTTGATTCAAATTAACCCTTCAAAAGAACAATGTCCAATTACAAGTTTTTCTTATGTACACAGAGTAGTGGCTGTAGCACACGGCCCATTCTGTGTCTTCAATTCCAACAGTTATCAAGGTGTTCCATTCTACTTCCCGTGCAGACTATTGCAAAATAATAGCTGTGTCTGTAGAATTGCTGGTGATCTCTGTGAAAATGATACAGAAGGGGTGTGTGTGTGTGTGTGTAATAGAGCACTGAGGAAGGAAGGAAACTTCATTGGCCAGTTTCCCCCACTGCGGTGAGATTTATTGCATTCCCATTGGTACAGTCCTAAATTTGCATCTATGCATATAAACTTGTCCATGCAAATATATTTTGGGAGCTACACTGGAGAGCCACAACCTGAACAAAGGATACAAAAGCATTAAACAAACTTTGCATTTTTTAATTTGCATAATTTGTGAATAAAAAAAGTTTCATAGGAGACAAGCGCCTGAACCCTGCCTCCCTTCCCCCACCGCCTGCCAAACTTGCAAGCTGACACATATGCCTTCACTTCTGCAAAGAGGCAACAGCACACAGGCCCTCTTCGACCTCAGAGCAGATTGAGCACAGGTGCAACCTAAGGACACCTTCCATTATTTCCCCAGTGCAATTAGGGCAGTTCGGCAGCTTGACGGCTGACGTGCCCCACTTTTTCCAAATATCCTTTCCCTCTTTTAGTTGAGGAGGACCCACAAACGCAGCTCTCCGCCGAGGAGGACCCACAAACGCAGCCCCCACCCCTAAAGCGTCAGAGACATATGCACAGTTTAACTTAGTAACACACCTGTCACTCGAATAAAAGCAGTTGTGGCCGAGAGGTTATTTTCGGCACCTCTTTAGCAAGCGGCGGTTCTCGCCCTGCCGGAGACTGAGCAGGAGCCCAGGAACACACGGCAAAAGCCCCGACGGCTGCGGCTTCCCAAGGAGGTGTCAGTGCCACAGCGGGAAAGGTTAGTGTTTAGTGACGACTGAAACTAGGCAAGGCAAACTTGGCACCTTCCGAGGACTGCTCAGGATCTCTTTTTGGTCCCAAGAAGGATGCTGGGATTTGAGGCTCTGCCTCCAAGGCAGGGGACAGTGTCTGCCTGGGGCACATTGTTGTCTGCTCTTTCTCAGCCCTGACTGCGGAGAGACAGGCGTTTCTACATTTTCTGAGGGTCCTTGGGGAGGAGGGATGGCTGCTTGCAAGGGGGTGGGCAAACAAGTTAGGTTCTGACCTCTGATAAACAGGCTTTGCTCCTGTGGGGTTTTTTTAAACCTGCAACACCTGTTTGACTTGAGAGGATCAAAAGTTGAGAGAGAGAGAGAGAGAGAGAGAGAGAGAGAGAGAGAGAGAGAGAGAGAGAACCACAACATCTCTTTCATACCGCTTCAAAATCTGTCATTAGTTTCTGGCCTAAGAACACATGTAAAAGTACAGGGCTGGAAGGCAGCTTTTGCAGTCTGGGAATATGTTGCCTCTGTTCAGCGCAGTAAGATTTGTTATTGTAGGCCGGCTTTTCAGCTCTTGTTTACTGCTTCAGGGTGGGGAGGTCAGCTGGGCGTTGGGGGGTAGCATCTTGTGTGGAAAGGTCTTGGAAGCAGTAGGGCTCCTCAGGAAGACAATTAGCCTTGGAATATGATTCTAGGATATTTATGGCACAATCCTATCCACACTTAGCTGGAGGGATTTGCTTCTTTGGAAAAACACTCCTTTTCTTGGAGGCACATCATCCCAAGAATGGGACTTGCTCCCTAGTAAATGGGATGTGTTTGCTTTTTAGAATCTTAGCATCAGGATATTACAGTTTCTGCCTTGACTCTTAGAGCACTGTTCCTTCTCTGGAGTTAGGCAGCCGGGTCCCAATCCACCAGAAAATGTCTCCTGCACAAGTCCCCGTTCACTTTAGTAACATTGCAGAGGACCAGACAGTGGTCAATAATCTGCCTTTGGGACATCTTTCTGCAGCCTGACAGTTCTGAGCAGGATTTAACCCTGTGCATTCCCTCCAGCTGGATAAGACTGTTTCATTCTTCTTGTTCCTCCCTCACTGACTAAGGGAAGCAGCTGGGGTCTTGTGGAGCTCAGACAAACCCATTTGAGAAGAGTGTCTTTAGGGTCGCTCTCTCTTTCAGGGAGGAGGAAAAAATACTGTTTGTTTGCATCTGCAAAATGATTTAAAAGTATGCCTCTTTCAAATGACCTAGCTTTCATGCACATAAAACCCCTTCAGGTAAAAAGCCAGCCCCTACTCCAAACCAGCAAGTGTTAACGCCACTGATCTTATTCCTTTTTCCAGGGATGCACATCTGCCAAGCTTGCTTGGTCTTTTTTTTCAACTGGTTTAGCATCTATATTTCGCCTCCACCTGAAAAGCTCATGGGGTTTGTGGGTGCTAAAAGACATAGCCTTCCCCTTGCCTGGGATCCTCCTGCAAAACCTCTCCCCAAAGGGCCATAGCCATTTTTGCAACTGTGTCCCATTGTTGACTAACACAGAGCCTCTGGGATCCACTATGAATTTTCCCCTTATCCCACAGTGCCTTACTATATGCAAGATTGCAATAGCAGACCCCCTCTTGTTACCGCTTTCTCTCTTTTTTCCTTGCAGTAATGAATGGAAGCAGCCACTCCCCGACGGCAATTAACGGTGCACCCTCCACCCCCAATGGCTTCAGCAATGGGCCTGCGACTTCCTCCACGGCCTCGCTGTCCAACCACCAACTCCCTCCGGCCTGCGGGGCACGCCAGCTGAGCAAACTGAAGCGCTTCCTGACCACGCTGCAGCAGTTCGGCAACGACATCTCGCCGGAGATCGGGGAGCGCGTTCGTGCCCTGGTGCTGGGCCTCGTGGTAAGCTTGCAACCTGCGCACTCTGCCCTTGGCGGCGAGATCCCTGTCTTCTGTCAGAGATCCCTTGCTGGCGGGGGGACCTGGTAGCCATTGCAGCTGGTTGAAATACTTTTTGCAAAGAAGGCAGCAGTGGGTGGTGTTAAACTGCAATGCCGTTACTCTGCTCATTACACCTGCTACAGATGCACTGCGGAGATTTGGGGCACCTTAAAGCAAGGCTGGGAAACATCAGGGCCAGGGGGGAAATATGGCCCTTCAGGGCCTCTTCTCAGGCCATACCCTACAATGGTCCTGCTCTGCAGCCTGTTTGAGTGCTTTTACTGGCTGGAATGTGTCCCTGAACTGGGATCCTGCCTCTTGCATGCATGGATGGGAGGAGTGTGGGGTGTGGATTATCCACAAACCTCTGACTCTGACCGCACAAAGGTCACATGTGTCGCTCCATCTACACCTGCCTTTGGCTCCACTGGCACGTGGTCCCCAAAAGGTTGCATGGGAAGAAATCCGGCCCTTGGGCTAAAAAGTGTTCCCCACTGCTGCCTCGGATGCAAACACATTTATTAGAGCGTAATCTGGGATCCCTTTCACCAGATGCATGCTAACCCCCAAGATTCTTTGTCATTTGCACTGCAACAGATTCATACTCTGGAAGTTATGGTTACTTAGTTGTAATTACTTTGCTTAGCTGGACAGGGTTATGTCATCCGATACAAAAAAAATTAAGTGCCCTTGCCCCTGCCAAATTGTCAGCAAGGCAAGCAAACCATATCCATATTATGGCAGGGGTGTTGCCAGTTTCTTAGTGGCTCTTGTGCCTTTAGCAACTGAGCTGCAAATGTAAGCCAGTGATTTGTGCTGATATCCATGCTGCGCAAAACAAGAGGGAAAGGGTGGAGTCCTTTGAGGGAGAGCAGGAGACCTCTGGGTGATGTGGGGGACAGTGGAGGAGGGAAGGTCATTGGCTGAGATGTGTACGAACACAGAGGGCCTAATGAGGCATTACTAAATGTGTGACTTCCAATTGCTTGTATCATTTTCCTTAACAATCAACCAAGAGATATTTTTTTAATGGGCCCTGACCTTATAAGGAGGAGAGGAGTTTCCTCCCCCCTTTCCTCCCCAGCCATGATTTCTGCCCAAATCACCCCCTCAGTTCTGCAATTAGTGACAGGTAATAAGCTCCCATTGGCACCATGGGAGCTTTCCCCCCATATCACTAATTGCAGCATGGCAGGGGCATCAGTTTTCATGAATACACAGTAAAAACTCCCTATTCAATGCGGTTCTGATAAAAACTGGGGGTGGGGCAGCACTTATGATTAAAGAACCCCAGTATGATTGACAGCATCCGTTTAAATCACATTTAGGAGACATAGGAAGCAGCCTTTTACTGGTCTATCTAATTCAGTGTTGTCTGCACTGACTGGAAGTTGCTCTCTAGGATTTCAGATAAGAGTCTCTCCTAGCCCTACCTGGAGATGCCGGGGATTGAATTTGGAACCTTCTGCATGCAAAACAGATGTTCCACCAGAGAGCCATGGCCCCATCTCCAAAGTTAAGTTCAGCTTAACTATGGTTTAAAGGCAAGCATGCTGGTGCATGGAGAGAAAATTGCCACACTTCCATTCCACCAGGGTGCTGCGGTGGTTTAAAGTAAGGTACGAGCCAGACCAGTGAAGAGAATTTGCTGGACATGAATCCACAGTCCTCAGTATCGTTGACCCCGTGCTGTTTCTACTTTGCAGAATTCCACGCTGACCATTGAGGAATTCCACTCCAAGCTCCAGGAGGCCACAAACTTCCCTCTGCGTCCTTTTGTCATCCCATTCTTGAAGGTACACCCTTTATAAGACTTCTGTCTTGCACGACTTGAACTTATACCAGCTTCATAATTTTGGGGAGGTTCTTTGTTGCATAGGCACCTTTTCACACAGCTGAATGCAGGTTGGATCCTAGAATGCTTGGGCCAACTTGTTCTCTCTCTCAGAGGCACCTAGACACCATTGTGTCAGGTCCTGGCAGATCCTTCCCCTTGGAAGAAGTTGATGGTTTCCAGGAACCATCATCTACACATGAAGGTTGGTTGGTTCTCTAATTCCTGGACTGGTCAAGACACGTCCTGGAATACTGGAAGCTATCTTACACTGAGCCAGTTCACTACCCCTTCTGGTTAAGTACTGTCTAGACCAGCTACATACAAAGCAGATGTTCTACCCTTCCCTCAAACAGAATAATAAGATTCCAGTCCTCATGGTTCTCAAGAAAAGACTGGTTAAAATGGGACTAGAGGAATCTACCTTCTCCTGAGTCAGACCCTTGTTCTAGCTCAGCATTACCTAAACTGTCTGGCAGCAGCTCTCCAGGGCTTCAGGCAGGGGAAACTCCCAGCCCTACCTGAAGATGCCAGGGCTTGAGACCTTCTCTCCCACTGAGCTATGACTCTTTTTGCGAGAGGGATCAGATGGGTAGGCTGTTTTCTTCTATGGAGACTAGCAGCAGCTCCCGAGGGAGGCTTACCGCAAGCTTTGGAGCTGATTACACAATTAAAAATGTTCAGGATGTGTCATCTCAAAGGTAAGATCCGCCTCACTATCTAATGTCAGGGCTGGCCGTGACACCCCCCCCCAACCCTTCATTCCTTTCCTTCTCACTCCCACCGCATTGACTTCTGCTGCATAGCAAGGTCTGCTGTTTTCAGAAAACAAATCCTCTTTGCAATGGCCAGGACAGAGAGACTATATCAAGCAATTGTCTCTGAGCTTTGATCAGCGTCTTCCCATGTCTCTCTCTTGCTTAGTGCCAGGCCCATCCTGCAATCTGAGGATCTGTTGAGCCCTGGCATTTCTGTAGAAGCAAGCAAGACGGGATCTCTCTAGCAGAAGTTGCAAAGGCTGCTCTCAGCTGCCCTTGTTTATCAGAGAGGCATGAAAGACAGAAGACTTGCCTTTTGCCTCTTCCCCACCCCCCACCCTCCCACTTATCTGGGGCTGTGATTTCCATGGCTCTAGAGAAGCCGCAAAAAATATTTCCTGAGCAAAGAAGGTTTCCTGCTGACCCACGTAGCCCATCCAGAAATGCTGACCCAGGGTCAAACCACATGTTACGTTAAGCCTGTAAGTAGCGATGTGCAGTCTTTGCTGAACAGCAGTTGGAGGGGGCTGATCAGGATCGGGACCACCGAGCGGGAAAGCAAGGGAATGACATCCTTTACCTGCCTTAGGGCCCCAGTCCTCATCATCTCTTCCCTGCCTTGCCTCCCTCAAGGCTATTATTTAAGAAAGGAAAACAAGCATGCAATAGCTAGCTGCATGCTTGCTATAAGGTACCATTTGGCCCTAAGCAGAAACCCAAACTCTTTCAGATGTAGGCAAACTGGAACTTGCTAGAGTTTAGCCCTGCCTCTGAGTATGTGCAGAGTGCATTTTTCTCATCACCAATTACATGCTCTTCAACCATCCCATTTTAAGTGGAGCATCCTGGAATTACAGAAGACATCCTGACTTCTGGTTAGATCCTGGAATGTCCCGCTTTTTGGTCCAACGCTTTGGCGCAAGCAGAGTGCCAGACCAAAAGAAGCTCACGAAAGTCACCTGGCTCCCACGAGAGCTTGGAACTAAAAAACAAGTGTCCCAATTTTGATCAGCGGGAAGTTGGAGGATATGCAATTAACCACAGAGAGGCACTGTATGTCTAGAATGAGGATGGAATGGCTTCCAGGCAGGTTTTCGATCCCTGGGGGGAAGAAGAAGGACACTCTGCACATGACCTTTAGGGGGATGCCTATGCTATGTTTTTTCTACTGTTGTACACGCTCAGCAATTTATCAGCTGCACTATTAAGAGCATAGGAAGCTGGCTTAAGCCCTGTCCGGTCATTGGGCCATCTAGCTGTGTGTTGCCAAAACTGATGGCCAGCAGCTCTTCAGGGTTTCAGGGGCAGAGAAGTCATTCCCAGGCATACTTGGAGACTGAATCTGGAACCTTTTTGCATCCAAAGCATGGGCATTTGTCACTTGATGTGGCCCTGCATGTAATGTTTTTTGGGTGTTTTTGTTTTTTAAAAAACCAACCAATGCAAAGAGGCCTGAGACAGACTGGGACCATGGCAGCCCACCCAGCCCACGCTCTAATCCATTGAAAATCCATTTCCTACCAATGGAAGCTTTCATCCACTTGCAAATAGCAATCCATGGAAGAGAGGGAATGCAATTCTCATTGGGGCTGTGGCAAGGGCAAATATTTAAAGCCCGCTAACCCCAGACTAACGTCCCAATTCAGGGGGGGGGGGGAGAAAAAGAGGGCTTGTACTGTATTTTCTTTTCCTTAGCAAAAAGGCCAAACAGCCCAAGTCATTCCTTGCATCAAACACCGTGTCTAGTTTGGCTCTAATGCTGAGCAACTCCTGGGAAAACTGGTCCGTTATCCCACCCCCACCCCCACCCCATAACCCCCACCACTTTGTCTCTTCCTGGCAGAGTTTTTTGGGGGGCAGACCACAAGCCTGGCGCCTTTCTGCCAGCAGAGAGAGGAGAGAGACTCAGTGTTTTGAATGAGAAAGGAGCCCTTTGACAGCCCTCTCCCCCATCTCTTCCCCTCCTGCTCCTCTCTCCAGCACCCACCCTGCTTCCAGCTGTTTCCACCCAGGGCTCCAGATGCTTCTCATTACCCTAACTGCAACCAGGCGGCCTCCGGCGCGCCTTTCCCAGAGATGTTATTTATTTCTTTTCATTGTTTTTCTTTCTTGAAATGTGATGGTGACTGGGGGTGGGGGGGATGGAGAGGGCAGGGGAGAGAGGGAAGGAGGGAGATGGAGGAAGAACGAAGGGGGGGGCAGAGCGGGGGGGGGATGTTTGCTGCCCTGGAATCCACAGCAGTGGATTTCATCAGTCCTCGCTCTAACATGTCCAACAGATGGGGATTTGGCTGGCGATCAGCTGCCTAAATAGGAAACCAGGGTTGGCTGACGGCACAAAGCTCTGCTCTGGGCTTGCTTAATTGCTCCTGCTCCTGCGGATGCTCTTCTTGGAGGGCTGGAGCTTCATGAGAAACTCGCTGGGTGGGGTGAGGAGTCAAAGGAGCAAAGGGGAGAAAGCTTATTTACAAACACTTTCCGTTGTGCAAAGGAGAGATGGGAATGACCTCGCAGGGCCATGGGACCCTCGCCGGCTTCTCTGGAGTAGAGCCAGCACAGTCTCATTGACAGACGCTGAGGCTGCCTGGGGGCCATTGTTTTCTCAATGGAGCAATGAGAGCAGCCCCCGCTCGAGTGAACTCCGTGTTCCCCAGGCACCTGACACAGCTCTGCCCCTTCCTAAGCCCACTTCCAGTCCCAGTCCCTTCTTTGAGGGAGGCTCAGAGGAGGACGGCAAGGGGAAAGGGCCTTTTCAGCGGTGGCTCCCTGTTTATGAGATGACCAGGAAAGGAACGGGAAATAAAACCGCAGCTATCGTAACGACATTATGCAAATCTGCGGCATGACCGCATTTGGAATGCTGTGTACGGTTCTGGCTGCTTCATCTAAAAAAAGAAGATACTGCCATGTTGCAAAGGGTTCAGAAGAGGGAAACCCAAATGATCCAGGGGTTGGAGCTACTCTGAAGAAAGCCTTCAGATTCTGGAACGTTTAAGTTTAGAGAAAAGGCACGTAAGAAGTGACACGGTAGAAGTGATGCATGGAGAAAGTGAATAGAGAAAGTTTCTCTCTCTCTAGTGGACATTGAATGAAGCTGAATGTTAGAGAATTCTGGATAGGTGAAAGAAAGTATTTATTCACGCAGGGCATGGTTAAAACTGTGGAGCTCACTCCTCCGGGAGACAGTGATGACCTCCCACTTAGATGGCTTTAAAAGAGGACTGGACAAATTCATGACGGAGAAGGTGGACTGGCCCCCTGCTGAAAAAAATGCCAACCCCTGTCGTTCAGTATCCAGGCCAGGCTATAGTTGCTTATATTGAAACCACAGCCTGCTGTTCTTTTTCCTCCTTAAGGAAAGCACTCCTCACTTTCTCCACCTTCTGCCCTCTTTCCAGGCCAACTTGCCTTTGCTGCAGCGCGAGCTCCTCCACTGCGCCCGCATGGCCAAGCAGACACCTGCACAATACCTGGCGCAGCACGAGCAGCTCCTCCTGGATGCCAACGCCTCCTCCCCCATCGACTCCTCAGAGCTGCTCTTGGAGGTCAACGAGGGGGGCAAAAGAAGGACACCAGACAGGTACAGGCCTCTGTGGGAAAAAAGCAAGGGCGGGATTGGACAGAGTTGGTGTGCTAGGCTGGGTGGAGGCTTGGCCCCAACAAATTCCTATTTATTGGGAACGTTTGCAGGCTGCCTTTCGATCAAAGGATCTCCAAGGCAGCTTGGAGCAAGAAATGCAAAATGCAGGAAACCACTCTTTTGCGCCTTTGGCTCAGGCTTTGCCAATCTGGTGCCCTCCAGATTACAGCAAGGGTGGGACATTCCCCCCCCCAACCCAATGGGAGTCTTGGTCCACAGCATCCTCAACTTTGACTCTGGGGCAAGGAAAGGCAGCATGCTTTTCTCCAGATATTGTGGGACTCCAACTCCCATCAGCCCCAGGCAGCTTGGTCAATGGTTGTGGATAATGGGAGTTGTAGTCCCCTAACCACATTAGCACCTAGCTAATGCCCACCTAGCAGTTCGAAAGCATGTCAGAGTGCAAGTAGAAAAATAGGTACCGCTCTGGCGGGAAGGTAAACGGCGTTTCCGTGCGCTGCTCTGGTTCGCCAGAAGCAGCTTAGTCATGCTGGCCACATGACCCGGAAGCTGTACGCCGGCCCCCTCAGCCAATAAAGCGAGATGAGCGCCGCAACCCCAGAGTCGGTCATGATTGGACCTAATGGTCAGGGTCCCTTTACCTTTAACCACATTAGCACAGGGCACCAGGTTGGCTGTTCTTGCTCCAAAGGAAGGTGCTATATCCATAGACCCGGACTGTGCTCCTTTCAAAAAGTGGGCCTGGCTCTTGAGGACTGACTGTTAGTTCTGTCCCTGCTGCTACTACTCTGAACTATTGGTTAAGGATGCTTGGTTCTGTAAAACCCGTTTGACGCTCCACCCTCTTTCCGGGACAGGACCAAAGACAATGGCTTGGACCGTGACCCTCTGCACCCAGAACACCTCACCAAAAGGCCATGCACGATGAGCCCCGCCCAGCGCTACAGTCCCAGCAACGGGATCAGCCACCAGCCCAATGGGCTGCCCCACCCCACGCCTCCCCCTCCCCAGCACTACCGCCTCGAGGACATGGCCATAGCACACCACTACCGGGACGCCTACCGGCACCCTGACCCTCGGGAGCTGAGGGAACGCCACCGGCAAGCTGGTAAGTGGCAGGGGGGTGCTGCCTATTTCTGTTCTGTGCCCATCCCATCCAGTTTTCACAGTAATCTGTGTATTATTATTATTATTATTATTAACGGTTCAAAAAAAATTTTTTTACCAATATCTTTTTTAATTTTTAATTTTACCACAGAAAACGTATTTGCAAACTTATTTTAACTCACAGAATCATAGTATTGTAGAGTTGGATGGTCATCTAGTCCAACCCCCTGCAGTGCAGGAATCTCAATGACATTACATGACATACAAACAATGCTTAAAAACCTCCAATGAAGGAGAGTCCACTCCTTTACGAAGTAGTCCATTCCACTGCCGAACAGCTCTTACCACCAGAAAGTTGTTCCTAATGTTTAGTTGGAATCTCCTTTCTTGAAATTTGAATCCATTGGTTCAGGTCCTACTCTCCGTAGGAGCAGGAAACAAGGTTACTGCATCTTCCTTCAGACAGCCCTTCAATAGCTGCAGCCGACAAAATTCTTGCAAGAATCTTAGCCGACCATCTCCTAACAATATCTGAGGCTACCCTTCCTGAATCCCAAAATGGTTTTTGACCTTCTAGGGGGACAGTGGACATGATTTTCACCTCTCGACAGCTTCAAGAAAAATGCAGAGAGCAAAACCAACCCCTGTACATGGTGTTTATTGACCTGACTAAGGCCTTTGTCACAGTAAATCTTAATGCCCTGTGGACTGTCCTTCTTTAAAATTGGCTGCCCAGATAAATTTGTGGACATCCTTCGGCTCCTCCATGATAATATGACAGCAACAATCGCAGATAACAATGGCTCTCAAAGTGAACCATTCACAGTGGGATCAGGTGTTAAACAGGGTTGTGTTATCGTCCTAACTCTATTTATTATTTTCATCACCATGATCCTACACTTTGTCGAAGGGAAACTCCCCACCGGAGTAGAAATCATATATCGGACAGATGGAAAGCTCTTTATTCTGAGCAGGCTGAAAGCAAAGAGTAAGGTTACCATAACTTCTGTTATAGAGCTTCAGTATGCTGATGACAATGTAGTGTGTGCACACTCAGAGGATGACCTCCAAACCATCCTAAGTATCTTCGCTGAAGCTTACAAAAAACTTGGCCTATTGCTTGACATCCAAAAAACCAAAGTGCTGCACCAACAAGCACAAAACAACCCCTCTGCAGCACCACAGATCCAACTCAATGATGTAACGTTGGAAAGTGTCGATTGCTTCTGCTACCTGGGCAGTTATCTTTCCACAAGGGCCAACATTGATGCCGAAAACCAGCATCAAAGTGCAGAGTGTTGTTTGAGGACCAAGACTTTCACAGGGAAACCAAAATTCTTGTTTACAAAGCTATTGTACTACCAGCCTTACTGTATGCTTGTGAAACATGGACCACTTATAAACGCCATCTCCAACTCCTTGAAAGGTTCCATCAACGGTGTCTCCAAACAATTTTACACATCACTTGGGAAGACAGGTGAACTAATGCCAGTGTACTGGAAGAAGCAAAGATCACCAGTGTCAAAGCAATGATTCTTCAGCCTGAACTTCATTGGACTGGTCATGTTGTTCGGATGCCTGATTGTCATCTTCCAAAGCAACTATTCTATTCCAAACTTAAAAATGGAAAGCGTATTGCTGGTGGTCAACAAAAGAGGTTTAAGGACTCTCTCAAGGCAAATCTTTAAAAATGTAGTATAAACACTGACAACTGGGAAACAATGGCCTGTGAGTGCTCCAAGTGGGGAACAGCCTTTACCAAAGGTGTCATGGACTTTGAAGACACTTGAACTCAGGATGAAAGGGAGAAACGTGTTAAGAGGAAGGCTCATTTGGCAAACCCTCACCATGATCAACTCCCATCCAGAAACCTATGTCCCCACTGTGAAAGAACGTGTGGATCCGGAATTGGCCTCCACAGTCACTTACGGACTCAGTGTTAAGACCATGTTCATGGAAGACAATCTTACTCGGCTATGAGTGATCACCAAAGATGGCTATCCTATCATCTCTCAGTCTTCTTTTCTCCAAGCTAAACAGTCAACTCATTTGACTATTCCTAAGACTTTGTTTCCAAACCCTTCATAATCTTGGCCACCCTCCTCTGCACACATTCCAGTTTCTAAATATTCTTCTTAAACTGTGAGGGATTGACCAAGCCAAAACAGAGTGGTACCATTACTTCCCTTGATCTGGACACTTTACTTCTGTTGATGCAGCCTAGAATAGTGTTAGATTTTTTTGCTGCTGCATCACACTGTTGACTCATGTTAAGTTTGTGGTCTACTAAGACTCCCCCAGATACTTTTCACATGCACTGCTATCAAGCCAGGTGTCCCCCATCCTATATTTGCACATCTAACTATTCCTGCTTAAGTGTAGAACCTTACATTTGCCCCTGCTGAAATTCATTGTGTTAGTTTTGACCCAGTTCTCTATTCTGTTAAGGTCATCTTGAATCCATCTCAGTGTATGTATTCCTGAATGTACTTTACCATAAAATCCATATTACTATTTTTAAAAAAAAATGCATTTGGGGATGTTTTTCAGCTGAGAACTGTATAGCAACATTTGGAAGGGTGTGAAATCTGAAGGGTAATGATGTTCTGATCTGTGCATTAGTTCAGGAGGTACAAATTGGTTTGCTTAACAACTTGACCAAATGAAATTCTCCTCCATCCTTAGATGAGGCATGGGACATCTGTCACAGAGTGTCAGCCAGAAAGAGATAGGAGACAAATTTACTGTAGATGCATGTCCCTTGAAGCGATGTGGTCTTAAAGGTACGTGTCGCTATCCATTCCTAGCCAGGCTGAGCCCACAGAAGGACTTGGAGGAAGCAGGTCTAGCAAGTGGAAGGACATTAGCATGCTTTGCATTAAAAAGACCCAGGTTCAATCCTCAGCATCCCATCCCTGCCTTATGTCTTGAGCTGATAGCCAGAGTGGGCAGTTAGCCGGCATTTCTAATCCAAGTTCAAGAACCACAGAGCAGAGAATGAGGGAGCCAGAGGCCGGTCTTTCAGTACCCTCGGCCAATCACAGGATGGAGACAACCCCTTTGGGGATTAACACCCTCATGTTCCCCAATGCTTGCTCCTGAAGAAGTGGTCGAAATACCAGGTGCCAACCAGAGGACTCTGCTTTTAAGGCTCTGGATGCCTGAGAAAAGAGGAGGAGCCTAGATGGGGCACTTGGACCCAGGAGCTGCTGTGTCCCCATGGATAAGGATGGGGGGGGGGAATTTGATTCAGTTTGCATTTAAAGGCAAGTCTACCCAATCTGCACTTTCTAAAACAGAATGCAGACCAAAATGTAGCTGAATTTTGCAGTGCAGTTCTCCAGCTGAGCAACGTGTGCAAAAATGCATGTGCTGGGGTAAAGTCTGCATATAAATGCACACATTAGTGGAAATAACCTTTTCCTTTGCAAAAAAAATGTGTATATTAGGCAAAACAGCATTCAGAAATGTATATTCTGAACTAGGATAAATTTACACAAGCGAGCTGGTAAGTTTTCATGATAACTTTTTTCTTTTTTCTTTTTATTAATTTACAATATCAAGCACCAATAAACAAACAAAAAGAAAACACATGATAAACAAAATCAAAAGAAAAAAACATCAAAAACATAGCAGGTAAAGAAAAAGAAAAAAGAGAAGACCACACTGCAAAGTAAAAGACTAAACAACACAACAATGATTGACTTCCCTTCATCTCGGTTTTGGACTATGTTACAAAATGTTTTCTTACTGCAGTTTCACTTTCTTAATCTTTTTACGTCACAGGATGATAACTTTAATATATTGCAAACTGAAGTGCAGAGAGCTGAACTTAGATCTGCGAAAGTGAGAAACAGAGAAAAACTGAATTGGCATATTGACCCATCCCTACCTGTGTGTGCCCTATATGTGTGGGTGTGTTGCGGGTGTGTCATGTGGGGTGGCCAGGCCCACCCCCTGCAACTGCTCTCAAGGGCCTGATGCCAAAAGTTTGCAGTGCCACCTACCTTCCTGATTGGTGATATTTTCCTCTTCTCCCTTAAGCTGTGCACAGTTCCCGGCAAGAGGAAGTCATCGACCACAGGCTAACGGACAGAGAGTGGGCCGAGGAGTGGAAGCACCTCAACAATGTATGTACCAAATCCCACCGCATGACTTGCGGTGGCTGGGATGGAATCTGGGTGTGGGGCAGAGGCTGTAGCGCAGATCTTTGTATATAAACGTATTGATTGTCAAGACCTATGCCCTTGCTTTCCGATCAAACAATCCCTAGGGAGGCTGGCAACAGATTAGGATAACACCGGGATGAAACACACCAAACAATTAACTGGACAGAAATTGGCAGCAGAGCGGCGTCACGTGATAAAGCGGCATAATTATATCCCTAGGACAGCTTGAGCAAATAAAACAGTTTTGCCTGCTGAACCCCTAGGGGAGGGAAGTGGCTGATACACAGCTGTGCTCCAGAAGGATGCTGCATTGGCACAGGGGCCACAGAGATAAAGACCCTTCCCTTGGTATTGGCTAGCATCCAGTCACTTGTGCACTTTGGACTTTTTCACTGCTAATTCTTGCCAGGGTGGCAGGCAAGCAAGATGTCCCTGTGCCTTGGAGAAGATTTGCTGGCCAATTGACAAAAAGAACCCGTTAGCTTTGCTCTTCCAGGTACCATCCACCGGCTGGAAAAGTGGAGGTGTGTAGTGGTTAGAGCAGCAGTTCCCAGACGTTCTCAGGCCACCATCCCCTCGGTTTCACAAACTCACCCCTGGGGCCCCCAACTCCACCCTATAAAAAGCATTATTCAGAATAGCAGGATAATAACACAGTAAAATTCAAAAAAGTTATAATGAATTGCACATTTATTCGAAATCCAATTAAAACTATTCAGTTTAATTAATTCAGCAAAACTGCTGAACTTGATCCAGTGATACCAGCTTTTCAGAGTCTTAAAGTAGTTTATTTTTGTTATTTATTAATATTGTCATAATTCTTATTATGACTTTATATTGGATCGGATTGTTACTATTAATGTTTGATGTTTTATTATGTTTTTATATGTGTTGGAAGCTGCCCAATGTAGCTGGGTCAACCCAGCCAGATGGGCATGGTATAAATATATTATTATTATTATTATTCTTAATAATAATAATAATAATTTATTTATTTATTTATTTATACCTCACCTTTTTCCCTGATGGGACTCAAGGCAGTTTGCAGATTAAAAACAAGAACCGCTAAAAACACAGGGGGGGAATCATTAAAAAACAATTCAAACTATATGCACATATACAAACTATTAAAACCATACAGATAATTACAAAGAAAACAGCACAGCACCAGCCCTTTCATATTCACACCTCCAACACCCCCCCGCCACCTGCTTTCTTTTTAGTGCCCCCCTAAGTAATCCCACCCCCACTTAGGAAACCACTGGGTTAGTGTGTTGGATTAGGACCTGGGAGACCAGGGTTCAAATCTCCACTGGGCCATGAAACTCACTGGGTGACCTTGGGCCGGTCTCCATCTCTGAGCCTAACCTACCTTACTTCCCCAATGTTTTGGGCTACAACTTCCATCAGCCATGGGGCTGATGGGAGTTGTAGTCCAAAACAACTGGATTGTGCCAGGTTGCCCAACGCTGTCCAGGAGAATTCTCTTGTCACACATGCGCACACTCACACCCATGTATGTAAGCTTAGTTTCTTAAGTCCCATATTTCTGCATGTATTATACTCTTAGGTTCTGGCAGCGGATCATTTACTTTTAATAATTTCTATTCGGTGTTTTATTTCTCGGGGGGGGGGGTGGGCAGAACAAACACCAAAATAAGCCCTCCTACAAGCAATAAATAAACTGTTAGCAAATGCTAAAGCAGATTAGGCAAAAGACAGTAATAGACAATAAAAATAGCACACAAATGAACAAACGGCAGCAGCCTAACATAAACTTTCGAGGAGGAAACAGCAGGAGCAACTCAACTTGGCCACATTATTTAAAATAGGATCAAAGTGATCTTTCAAAAGGAAAATGTATTTTTTTCTGGAAAAGGAGGTAGGCGAGATGGAGGTGGCTGTGACCCATATGGAAACCTATATGCAAAGCAGATGGCTTCCCTGCCAAAAAAAAATTATCCTGAGAACTATAGTTTTCATGGGTGCTAGGAACTGTAGCTCTGTGGGTGAGGAAACTATGGTTCCCAGGGTTCTTTGGGTGGAGCCATGACTCTGAAAGTGGTGTGAATGTGGTTTAAATGCATGCTGTGGATGCAGTTTTAGTTCTCACCGTCCTCACAGCAACCCTGTAAAGTAGGCCACCACGGCCTGTGGGGAAATGGAGGTTGATGGTGCCTGGGCAGAGCTAGCAGGTCAGGGCTATGGAGGGTGCCCCCATCCCAGGCTACCCAAGATCTTATGTTGTGGCCTTCCACCCAGCAGCTGCTGAATTGCATCATGGACATGGTGGAGAAGACCCGCCGCTCGCTCACCGTGCTTCGCCGCTGCCAGGAAGCCGACCGTGAGGAGCTGAACCACTGGATCCGTCGCTACAGCGACGCCGAGGACATGAAGAAGGGGCCCAGCCCTGCCACGCGACCTCACAATAGCACTGCCAACACTGAGGCGTCCCCTCTAGGTACCCATGCGAGGGATAGGCTGGGCTCCTAAGCATTCGGCCTGGTTTGTTTTTTGCTGGGCGACTACACGATGTTAGCTATTGAATGAGCATTTCCCGTTACAGTGGTACCTCAGGTTACAAACGCTTCAGGTTACAGACTCCGCTAACCTAGAAGTTAGGTTAAGAACTTTACTTCAGGATGAGAACAGAAATCACACAGCGGCAGCGGGAGGCCCCATTAACTGAAGTGGTTAAGAGTAGTTTCAGGTTAAGAAAGGACCTCCGGAACAAATTAAGTTCTTAACCAGAGGTACCACTGTATTTGTTGGTAGGGAGGCTAGATGACGTGGCCTCAAAGCGAGACTCATCCCACGCTTCCCGGTTCCTTTCCCACCTGTTGCAAAAAGTCCAGTCTCTGAGGGAAGCGGGTTTGTTCTGCAGGAGCTGCAAATCAGCTTTAATTGTGCAGATTGAATATGCAGGGATGTGATTGAATCCCACCACCAAAATAGTGACAGGCTGGAAGTGCCCCAAGTCAAGGGAAGTGCAGCTGCCTGGCATGTAGAAAGTCCCAGGTTCAATCCTTGGCAGCCTCTCCTGGTAGGTCTGGAAGCAATTCCTGCCTGCAACCCTAAATAGCTGCTGCCAGTTGTGTCAGCAACACTGAGCTATTTGGAGCAAGGACCTGACTTGGTATAAAACAGCTTCCTATGTCCATCTCTGCCCATCTTGTCCAGTGCTGCCTGCTCAGACTGGCAGTGGCCCTCCAGGATCTCAGGTTTTTTTTTTTAAAAAGTCACTCACATCACTTGCTACCTGATGCCTTTAAACTGGAGGTGACATAGATTTGAACGTGGGACCTTCTGTATGCCAAACAGGTGCTCTGCCCCTGAGCTAGTTTCCTTCAGCTTCCAATCCACCTCTCCAACATCTGTCATGACTGCATCATAAACAGAGAACCTATGGATGAAAGAGAGGATGGAGAGAAGCTTTTCTCCCTCTGTCACAGTACAGGAATCTGGGGATCACCCAATGAAAGGAACGAGGAGGTTACAGGTGGACCAAAGGAAGTACTGCTTCACAAGTAACTTGTGGAACTCACTGCCACAAGGGCCGGTGATGGTGGCCACTGCCTTAAATGGCTTTAAAAGAGGGTTAGGCAAATCCGTGTCAATGGCTATTAGTCATGATGCCTGCATGGAATCTCCACATTCAGAGGCAGTTTGCCTCTGGATATATTTCTTTTATTTGAGTCCATTCATTGCTACTAGATGATAGGCATTGAAAGAAATCAGGGAGGGCTGTTGCCTTCCCTCCCCACCACTGGGCTTCCTGGACATATATGGCTGGCCACTGTGGGATGTAAGAGTAGATGGGTCCTCATCTGGTCTCTTCCAGCAAGACTCCGCTAACATTCTCAGTCTTGCTTCCTTGACTAATCCCTGCCATCCCTCTTCCTCACTGCATGGCATTTTGAGCCACTGACTTTGCACAGGGGCAGAGGGGGCCCCTGCCATTAAACTAGCTTCCATCCACCATTAGCTTTGGGGGCAGATAGCCCTGTACCAAACAGCTGGACGCACAGTCATAACTTAAGCATGCCCCATCCCCCTGCTAGACAGGTGTAACAGATAGACAGGGCCACCTGTCTGTCAGTCACCTGGCATTTTGCACAGGTCTGTGCTCTGAGCTTTGCAAGCCCCAATGATCAGCTGCTTCTTAGTGCTTGCAAATCACAGTGCAATAGGGCTTGGGAGGGAATTGGCCCACTTGTGTCTTTACCTGTTCCACATATGATGCCATACGTGGCATCAGGTGTCGAGAAGGTAAGTGTAGAGGCCAGAGGCTCTCCCACGACTGATCTGCTGAGGATCTTGCTAGGCTTTCGTGTTTTGTTTTGCTTTTAAATCAAGTCGAATGTTTAGCATTTCTTAACAGCATTTTCTCCATCTGTCTTTCTCCCAGATGCTCACCGCGAGTTTGTATCCAGGCCCCTGTCTGGCTACATGCCGGAGGAAATCTGGAGGAAAGCTGGTGAGTTTTTTGGGAAATGAGGAAATAGTTTAAGAACAAAACTAACTCCTGCACTACATAGCTGGAGGCAGAAATCATCGAATCCATCAGTTCCTAGATCCCTACTGTGATCCTGGTCATTTCCCCTAGTATTTACACAATCTTGGAAGTTAAATGCAAAGACACATTCAGTTACAGACCCCTCAGGATGGCCAAGTGTCCTAATTTGCAGAGGACGGCCGTCTGTTTGAAGGCCTGTCCAGTCTGAGTCCCATTTAAACCTAAGGAAGAGCGGCGAGCTGCCCGCCAACATTGGAGTTCCTGGGCTGCAGATTAAGTGTGCCGCCCCTTGCTTAGCGCCCCCTACATGACTCCCGCCTTGCCCTGTGCTCTTCCTTTCAGAAGAAGCTGTGAACGAGGTGAAGCGGCAGGCCATGTCCGAGCTCCAGAAGGCCGTGTCCGACGCGGAGAGGAAAGCCCACGAGCTGATCACGACGGAGCGAGCCAAGATGGAGCGAGCCCTGGCAGAAGCCAAGCGCCAGGCCTCCGAGGATGCGCTGACCGTCATTAACCAGCAGGAGGACTCCAGTGAGGTAGTGACACCCTCTCCCAACGTGGATATTGACACCAGAGTAGTGGGCTGGAAACAGTGAGGACGGTCCTTTTTTCTTCCCCCCCTAACTTTCCGTTCCTTAAATGTATGACGTTGAGCTCCATCTGGACCTGAGCCAAAGCCCAGTGCGAATGCAGCCAGAGGGAGAGACTGCCCGTGCGCTCGGTGGCCCCGGTGAAGAGAGTATAGAGAGCCCCTTAGCCCCGCGCTTGTCTTTCAGTCCGCGCTGATCTGTGTGCTTTCGCCTTCTCCTGCAGAGCTGTTGGAACTGCGGGCGCAAGGCAAGCGAGACCTGCAGCGGATGCAACACGGCGCGCTACTGCGGCTCCTTCTGCCAGCACAAAGATTGGGAGAAGCATCACCACGTGTGTGGGCAGACTCTCCAAGGCCTCCCGGCCTCTGCCGGGGCAGCCTCTTCGGGGCTGGGCGTAGCGTCGGCTCAGCCAGACGTGGTGGCTGTGAGTACCTCCATCACCAGCGTAGCCGTGGCGGGAAGCCCCAGCGATTCCGGCTCGGCCGCCGCCTCGCGTTCCGGCACGCCGGCCACGCCGGCTCCTCTGGACACGGCGTCCCGCTAAGGCGGGCGGAAGGGGAAAGGGAACCGGGGAGCCGACCAACAACTGTCACTGCTGCTACCACTTCTCTCCAAATGAAAACAAAAACAAAAAAACTGCATTCAATGCAAACCCTCAGCTACCTGACACGTAATTGACCTCCAAAACGACCTCTATCTCTCACACGAAATCCTCACGAATCCTCAAACCTGGGCTTTAAGTGGAGTTAAGGCAAATACCAACCTTCTCCGTTCACTCGTCAGTTTTTGGTTTTTTTGCTTTTAATTCTTCTTCTTACAGATATGATTTGGGGAAATTTATTGTTATGATTATTACTTTTTATTTTTATTTTTTTTTGGATGAGGAATTTGTCTGCAAGCGTCGTGCATCTTGACTTGGAAGGGGGCGGGCGGGAGAAGGGAACTGAAAAGGTCTTCTGCCCACCCTTCTGCTGGAGATGTGTTCGAGGAAATGAAGGAACTGGAAAAAAAACAAAAAAACAAAACCACCCCTTCCCTGAAAAGGAGAAGAGGGAGAAGGTGGGGAAATGGAAAAATGAGAAAAGAAAAGAGAAAGGATTTCAGTTACAAAAAGCAAGATTTTTTTTCCTTTTTTGTAAAAAAAATAAAAATAAATAAACAATAAAAAATCATCAAACTCTTTGGCTTTAAGTAAAACAGAAAAGAAAAGATAAAATCCAAAAAGAACCCAACAAAAACCAAGTGAAGGAAGCTTACCTGTAAACTACCTTGCTAGCTAGCCAAGAAGATACCAGATTCACCTCTGCTCCAAAGGAAATCCAAAAACAGAAAAAAAAAATCCAAACTTTTTTTCCACTGCCAAAGTTTCTTTCTTTTTCTTTTTCTTTTTCGTTTTCGGTTGGTTGGTTTCTTCTTCTTTTCCCTCTTTCTCCTCATTTTGGGGGGGGGGCTTCTTATTTATTTTTGCGGGTTTTTTGCGAACCGAGGAGTCATGCGCATCATCGCAGGTCCGGAGAGCCAACTGCGCCGTTCTGACCGACAGCAATTCCTGCTGGGTTTCATTTCAACTCCTTGCGTTCTTGGATGGGGTGGGGGTGGGCAGGGGGGTGGGCAGTTGGGGGTGGGAGGAGGGGGCTTTCATGCACTTGGACCTTCACCGTTCCGATGTATACCCTTTGAAGGAGGACTTAGACGTGCAACTGTGGGATCGAAAGAAATTTTCGTAGAATAAAGCAAAAAAAATAAAAGCAAAAAAAAATTATATTAAATCCACCACTTTGTGCGTGTGCGGAGAGTGTGTGCTTGCGTGTGTGTGTGTGCGAGAGGCAGAAGTGACTCTTGGAAGCCCCTCCTCCCTTGGTGGATTATAAATCTGTTGCATTTTTTTTCTCTCAAAGAGCTTTTTTGTTTTTTAAAAAAAGAGTTATAAACAGCCACCTACACACCCACCACCCTGTTCCAGAGAGAGAGAGCACTGTTCCAGAAAAACCTGTGATCGTCTTCTGCCTGTTCTTGAGCAGAAAATAACTGTACCCAGGGCTTTCCGCCTGGAGCTTCTACCCTTCCTCCACTACCTCTCTCTGCTCTCCGTAACCTTCCAAACTCCAGGCGGTCTCTTTTTGCAGTTTTGTCATCCTGACTTCTTCCAAACACCCACGAGAATTGAAGGAAGTATTTCATTTTCCCTCCTACGTCCATGGCCTGTAGATACCCCTTGGCTTCTCGTTATGTGTGTGTGTGTGTACATGTCCCATCTTTCAAATGTCCTGTGACAAAAAACATCTTTGCCCCCCTTCTTTTCTTTTTCCCTTACCCCCTTTTTCTTGGTATGTTTTGGCTCTCCCCACCCCACCTCAGGCCTCTTTTTGTCTTCCATTCCCACTAGGTTTACAATTATTTCTGGGAGGAAACCAACAGATGCTTGTCCTTAGATATGATGGAGGAGGAGGAGGAGACAATGTTGATTTGTCACATTTCATGCATCGTTGTACAAAGCGCTGAGGACGGTAGTGCAATATGGGGGGAAATGGCACGGCTGTAGGGACGGAGGGCGGGGGACCCTCACGGAGGCTGCCCAGCCATGGGCTCAGGGCAGAAACATTGTACCTTTAATGTGAATGTATATAGTATTTGCAGAGGTCCAAAAATACTAATAATGAATAATAATAATAATAATAATAATAATGAGACTTTTTGCCAAATAATTTAAAAAACACACAGACAAACCACTAAAAGTATGCTAACAGTTGGGAAATAGGTTTTCAAAGAAAGACAAACTTATGTGGTCATTAGGAGGTGTAGTTTTCCGGAATTCACAGAATACTTTGTGCTTTTCTTTTTTCCAAAGGAGGGATTTTGAAAGAAAGGGCCAGGTCCCGGCATATGGCAGCACTGTGGACAATTGAACAGTGGCCTAGAGAGGCTATATCAGCTACTTCCTTCTTCCTTTTTTTAGCTGCCTCACCCATATTCCCCTTGACCACTCTCTCTCCCTCTCCCTCTGGGTCCCTCCCTCCATCCCACTTTTGTATCACCTACGTCATCTTCCATCTCTCCCCCCCCCCCAGCCCTAGGGAAAAGGCATGCCTGGAATCAGTGGCCATTGGAGCTGGTAGGGCAGAAGACAGGAGGCCCAACTGTAGATGGCGCCAGAGCCAATGTTAGGTGGAGTCAACTCATTCTAGCTTTGTTCCCATCCTCCTTGCTTTGTTCAGCAAGGGCAGTACTGAGCCTAAGGAGGAGGAGGAGGACACTGGCAGGCAGTGCTGCCAACTGGACTGGTGGTAAATAAGGCAGGCAGGTAGGTGGCAGCAGACTGAGGTTGGAGGGGCGGTGCCACCCCTGCCCCAATGGACCAGGCTCCACTACAGCTGAAATGAGAAGGGAAGATACTAAGTTCTACAAACCTCCACTCGTTCTCTCCTTTCTCAATCCCTTTCCACTTTTCTACGTAGCAGATCCATGATTTGACAATTTCAAGATTCCCTTCCTTGGTTCTAGGTCATTACAAAAAAATAGACGAGGGAGGAGGAAGGCGAGAGCTGATAATTCATGTGTCCCTGCATGTTGGAGGGATTTATTATAGCCAGTTGCTATTTGTTCAATGTTGGCTCCACGAGACAACCTCCTAAAGGCACAGCCATTCTACTGGTGGTGCTTCAGCCTCTTGAAGACAGATCTGCAAGGTGTGGCATGGTCCCAACAGGGGAGCTCTGGCTGAGGCTTCTCCTTTAAAAGCACAGAAGGCCCAGGGCAAAAGTGAGGTCCTGTTCTCATTTATGAAACCATGTAAGGCTTGCTCTAGAGTGGCCACTGGTACAGCATCCAAGATGACACAGATTTGCAAAGGGGAGAGTATATGCCAATTCATGTGTAGGTGCCAATTTTGAAGTATTTCTTAGGAGTTAAATAGAGATGCCATTCATCTCACCACAATGGCCGAAGACTGTAGGCAGGTGGCCTGGATGGCTCTCTGCTCTCCCTTCTTGGGGTTCTTTATCTTTAAACCAAACTTGGGCCAGATAGCTTTCCAAATCAAGTCCACCATCAAACTGAGGATTATAATCTGAATACCAGTTGCTGGAAGCCACAGGAAGGGAGAGGGCTCTTTTGCTTAGGTGCTGCTTGCAGGCTTTCCATTGGGGTATCTGGTTGGCCACTGTAAGAACAAGATGCTGGACTAGATGGGCCATTGGCCTGATCCAGCTGCCAGGCACTATTCTAAAAGTGAGCCACTGGGCCACCCTAGTTTTATCTTGTGCCATGGAATACAAGGGTCTCATCGCATTTCATTGCAAGGAGCAGGCAAGAGAAGAGTACAAACTGATCTCCTTGATGAGATGATTCTCTTGTGCAACCAAATTTCTGGCCTCCTGGCCTGCATTCCAGTTTGTGACCAACAGCTCTCTGCTGCAGCCAGTAGCCTACGGAGTCAGAAGTAGCTGCCTTGGGGTGGGGAAATGGAATGGGCAATTGTTTAATACATGATGGAATGTTTAGTTTCTGCCACTCCATCTTCAAAGTAACTCCTGCTATCTGGAGAGCTTCTTTGCGCTCTCCAGAAACCAAGAGAGGGGAAGAAGCTTGCAGTAGATCTGCATGCTGAGGGTCCTGTCAGTATCTCCATTTACAAAGATTTTGGGTGTTGAGGCAGTACTTTCCTGTGATCCTGGAGAATTGTTGCCACTCAGAACAACAGGTCTGGGGTAGATGGACTATTGCGTTTACTCCATCTCCATGCGTGCAAAACCAGTAGTACAGCATTGTTTTACCTGGTGGGCAGGAACCTCCTCCTGAAATCTCTTCTGTCCCATATGCAGCATGCTATCCAGTTCCTTCTGTCATCTGGGCTGAGCTGCCCCATTTGTGTTAGCGGCATACACCGCCTGTGACTGTAGCTGTGCCTGTAAAACTATCGCTGGAAGTGTTTTTCTGTTTTTACACCCAAAGGTCTCCTCTGCAGCTACAGTAGGCCAACATGTCATTGATCCGGTGCGTTTTGCTCAGGGTCTCGGCAGGAGAGGCTTTTATCGATGTGAGACAGCTGATGTGAGGCAGTGAAAGCAGGAAAGAATGTGCAAGCTGGTTGTTGGTAGCTGTCTACTACAAAACAGCTGGGCCTGCTACTTCCGGTGTATGAACCAGTCTGGAGCCCTTGCTTGGAAATTGTTTGTGCAGTCTTGGTATTTTAAAGTGCAACTCTATACATGTCTACCTAGAAGTAAATCCCGTTGAGTTCAAACTTACTTCCAGGTATGCATCTGTGGGATTGCTGTAAATGCAGCCAAAGGCCTCTGAATGAGAGAAAACCCAAATTCCCCTTGCAACTGCTTCATTCCTCCCTTGCAGCCTTGTTCACAAGGCGATTTTTTTAAATTTCCCCAGCCTTCCCCAACCAGAGGGCCTCCAGTTGTTTTGGACTACAATTCCCATCAGCTCCAGTCAGCAGGCTGGTTTTGAGTGAGATGGGTATCTTCTCCAACCTGTGAGATCTTCCCCTTTGCAACTGCAGTCCTCCACTGTTGCCACATGGCAGTGAAGCGGCAGCATGGTGGTTCATAGGGCCTTGCTTTGCCTGCCTGCCTTCCTCCAGTTGGGGTTGTTTAGAAGCAGACAGACAACAAAATGGATCTGAATTTCTGGCTCTTGCTGTAAGGGTGTCCTGCTTGTTTCTCTGCACTATATGTGTATATTGTTTATTTGTTTTTCTCATGCAAAGAGATAATATATAAATGGAGTGTTTTCAGATATGCTCACTGGCTCATCCCTTAGTTTGCCAAAACTTCATCTCATGATTACGGGGGTCACGTCCGGCGTTTCTGTCTGCGCAGGCCATTTTTCTCGTCTGCTCTGCATCTCTGGACCTCGTAATGCTACCTCTGACTGGCTGGGAAACCACAAAAAGAAGAAATCCTTTAGGAATTTAACAATATACCAATGGATAAGGAATGGAATAAGCTTACATTAAAACCAAATCCTAAATGAGGGAGAGATTGCCTCCATCAGAGCCTCAAACAGTTGTCCCAAATCTGATAGCTTTAAAGTATGGTATTCCGGTGTATGCATGTTTTCCTCTCTACCCCCATCCCAATGGCTTCCAAAATGATGCCTCCCCCCCCCCGCCCCGCCCCCCGCCCCCGTGTGGGCAACAAGAAACAAGCAAAAAGCAGGAGGCAGCTATAAAAGAAGGGGCAGAGGTGGGGCTTTGATCTTCCATGATTGAAACCAATGCAAGTGTTTCTGTTGTCAAATAAGGGCTTTGTTTACATTGCTAATTGTTCAATGGGGGGGGGGCGCTTCCTTACTTTGTTGCGGGGTGGGGGTGGCTTGCTTTCCAAGTCATTTTTCTGTGAGATTTCCTGTTCCAAACTGCATCAGGCAAGGAGGCCTTCTACTTCGTGAATGTGTCTGCCCTTCGCATCCTGCTTGTTTTCAGATTCCACTTCCTACCTGCCAACTGCAAAAGTGGTATTCCCTCCAGAGCACAAAGCAGCTGGGTGGGTTTAATAATAGCCTCAGACAGGGAGAACTCTCCAATACTGAGAACTTCACAGCCATTTGTTCTAAGTAAAGTGGGCAGGCTGCATGATGGCACTAGCATTCCTAGAGACATATGTTGTAACAGCTTCTGTTCATGGCCTCACTTCTGTCGCCTCTGTAAAGCTGAAGGGGTGGTCCAGTTTTTACAAAGCATGGAGCTAAGACAGTATTTCTTAAACTGTGGCACCTGCCCTGCCGGAAGGTGCAAGAGACTTGGAGAAGGTGGATATTCCAGGAGGGAAGGAGCCACTCTTCCCACCCCACTAAAACTGGGTTGTCTTGTGATCTGTCTCCTCGTCAAGTTGCTTCCAGATTTGACCTTTCTGGGGTAAATTCAGTAAGCTATAAAGTCTGCTGCCGCTGATCTGGTTTGCAATACTGTATCTCCATGACTTGTTTGCAAATTAAGTCCTCCTCTGGTAGCACCCTAAGGGTTTGTCTACACTTCCACTTGTCCTGTGCCTAGAAAACATGGCTCCAAGCGGTTTTCCCCTTGTCCCACTCCTTTCCTAGATAAAACCTGCTCTTTAGCACGAAATCAGAGTAAACATCAATCCGGAGAAAGCCCAAATTGCTGTTTGCTCCAAGTGAATGCTAAAGAGTGGTTTTCCTCAGGGAAAAGCAGTGGGACAAGAGGAAGTGTGGATGAACCCTACGTTAGAACCTTTAGACCTTTCATAAAAACACTGTTTGGTGACGATGGATGGAGGCACAGCCTCTTCAGGTGGTTCTGCACTCAGGTTTGGTTTTCTCCAAGCTACTCCTTTGTCAAATTGCTGATCTATAGTAACACAGTCCACTGTTGGAGGCAGAGGGCCTCTGAATGTCAGTTGCTGGAAACCACAGGTGAGGAGAGTGGAGTTGCGCTCAGGTCCTGCTTGCAGATTTTCCACAGGGGCATCTGATTGGCCACTGTGAGAACAGGATGCTGGGCTAGATGAGTCACTGGCCTGATCCAGCAGCCAAGCTCTTCTGAACACTCCTTAATTCCTTTTAATCGCCCTGTCATACCCTTAACTCTGATTAGACTGAATAAGGTGCCAGGAGGTGGCAATTATTTCAAAGTCATTTAAGACAGAGCACATGGTTCTAATTATGGGTATGTGACCATGGGTCTCCCAGGTGAGAGGTGAGGAGGTTGCCAGCATCTGTCAATGGTTTTCTGACAAAGTTAGGGAGAGAAGCAAAGAGGAAGATCACTAAGACTTGGACTAACTGGTGTGATGGCTTTGTAACTTACAGGAGTGGGAAGCCAGAGCAGCCCAACCTCTGTCTTTATAGAGCCTGGCCTTGAATGTCTGTGAAGCATCCTCAAGTCCATTGGCCCAAACTTGCCCATTGGTTTAAAAAAGTGGCTGGAGGGTGACTTATTGGTGAAAAACAAGCTGAAATGGTTTCTTTCATTGAAATGTTCTCCCAGTAGTCTTTGGGTGTTCACACAAATGAAGCTAACAATCCAATCCTATGCATGCTTTGCCCAGAAGTAAATCCAGGTAGAAAGTAGAAGAGAGACATTTTTTAACAGAAAGGAAAGTTTACAACCATGGGAAACTTCAGGTCCATCCTAAGCATCCCTTGTGAAGATGCTTTCTCTAACAGGCCCTCCCTTTAATTTCAGTTACATTGTGGTATTCTTCCAAATTCAACCCCTTCAGCATGCTTTAAGTTGTTCCCAACCAAAGTTGGTCGAACGGCAGTGTTGACCTGCTGGATGTCTATGTCAGACATGACCTTTTGGACAGGCTGCATCCAATTCACACAACCATTTTACAGTTTGATTTTGTTAATGGCTTGAGACATGCAGAATTATACTGTGACTCACCCTGTGGCTCACAGTGCCTTTCGTGACCTTTGAGAAATGGGCTGAACATGGACACAGGGAACCATACTTTTGTCTTGCCAGTTGAAGGCACCAAAGGTCCATGGAAAAGAGGCAACTTGTCTTGAAACATGGCCAACTAACCATCCTTCTTAACTTCTTGCATTGGGGGTTGATAGTCCAATTTTTCCTTTGACCAAAATGTCAGGTGTCTTTTGAGGTCACACTCTTTGGTTGGGTGCTGATTCTTATAAAATCTACTTTGGTCCCTCCCTCCCTTCCCTGATACTTCCAAAATTTTGAAGGCCTGACCACCTGGGGAACAAAAAACTATTTATCCAGGGTCACCGACTATAATCACTTTGGATTCCTCTCAAGTCTCATTTCCTGTCCCATCCATCTGTTGTTCCAGAAAGACCATCCAGCTGCTGTTTCTCTTGACTTGGCCTCACCTGCTCTGTACATACAGTCCCAGGGTCATCATGAAATGAAGCACCAAATGTCTCTTGTGTGTGTGCAGGCTTCATCATCCCTAGCAACCAACATGGGGAAGGGCCATAGCTCAGTCACAGAGCACATGCTTTATATGTCAAAGATCCCGGGTTCAATCCCTAGCATCTCCAGGTCAGACAGGGAAGGACACCTGCCCGAAACCCTGGAGAGCCATTGCCAGGCACTGTGAACAATACTGAGCTAGATGGACTAGTGGTCTTTGTCTAAGGCAGCTTCCTATGTTCCTAAATCGGGTCCATTGACAAACAGTGGTGCTTCATTTGCCACTGATGCCCCTCTCTACTTCTGCTTGCCAAGAGATGGTGTGATGAGATGTTCAGCACCTCCCACCGACAGTACCCACCTCCCATGCAGTTTGCCATACGAATGCTCAGACTGCAAATTTGCCCCCTCATCCGCAGTATAAACAGGCAGGAGACAAGCAATATGCATGGTGGTATATGTGATCCCCCCCCCCCCAAATAATTGTATCGTGCAGGTGGATATTTTGAAAAGATGAGTCCCATCCTCCCCATGTTTTAATTCGTGTGAAAATATAATGTGGGAACCGGAGGATGTATTCTGAGTGTGTTGAGCGAGGGTGCTTTTGGGGTCAGACTCTGAAAGGAGGACCTGAGGTCACCCACATTGCCTTGGAAACAGATGCTCTTCCCATGGTATGTTTCAGTGCACATTAAGACATAAAGGTGTCATCATCATCATCATTATCACTGGTCCTCGGTTTCTTGGGGGAAAGCTCTGAGAGTTAGAAACAAATGGGAGGAGCGGGGAAACGGAGGTACAGAGAATCCCCACAGAAAGATAAACGCAAGGCCAATCTAGCTTTAAAGACTTTCTGTTCAACCTCATTATTAGATGGGCAAAATTCTGAGAACTGTTCCAGCTCTAACAGTTCTATAGCCAAAAAATAATAATAATACCAGGCTCAGGAGTGGTTATGGAGGAGAACTTGGTTCAAATCCTTCTAGAATGCATACACAACCTTGGCCAGCCTTTGCTTATTTCTTTTTTAAAAAATAAATAAAGTTAAGGTGGCCTTGTTGGCTTTGAGAAATATACACACACACACACACACACACACACACACACACACAGTCCATATTAGGGCAATACCTTTATTAGGCCAACCAAAATCTTGTGGATATGACCTAATCAAAGCAATTCTGGGGGAACCAAAGGACTCCTTTCCTTGATTCTTTTCGCTGGCGTATGTCCCAAGGCTGGCTCCTTTCTTGGCCAGAAAGGATGCACCATCTGGACCAGAAGTGGCTCGTTCTTGGGCCTTCTGCTGTTCCTGGAGCGGCTCAGCCAAAAGACTAAGAAACAAAACGGACCGGTGGCATTGCATGTGAGCCCTGCAGCCGCCAGGCTGAGGAAAGCACCATTCTCAGGGTGTTTGGGAAGCGTGTGTCACATTGAGAACCGTGCAATACTTGAATCCGGGGGTGTTGTGAAGAGGAGGGAGGGGAGGACGTGGCTTTGTACAGACGGGCATGGGTGCGCGTGTGTGGGGGTGTTTGCAAAGAGGTTTTAAAGAGAGGAGAATTAATAGAAATTTAAAACAAAACAAAAATTTTAGGAAATAAAACCCTAACTCCCCACCCCAACTCCCGCCACCCCATCCCCCGATCATCTTCCCCTGGTGTTTGTGGGTTTCTGTGGCCATTCCAGAGAAATAACAATGTGATAGGAAGGTTGTTTTTCTGTTCTTGTTTTGGCATGCTGTCCCCGACTCCCTCGCTGTTTCCTGCTTTCTCTAAATGTACTGTATGTTTGACCTGTGAAAGATGTAAACATTATGATTCAGGTTACGTCTGTTCTTAACTCTGTATCCGTGTAATAAACAAAATTTAATATCACCCAACTGGATCTGGGGTTTTTTTGGGGGGGGGGGGCTTCTTCTTCCTTCTGCCACGTTAAGTGAGAGCCTACTTAGTGTAGTAGTTAGGGGGTGGGGTTACCTTTTTGGCTGCATAGGCCAGATCTTTTTTGGCAAGTGGGCAACTACCTGACGTCACAGGTGATTTGGTGCTTTGAAGTCCAGATGTTGGGACTTCAAAACACTGCACAGGAAGCAAGGCGCTGATGGAACAAAGAGTTCCTCCCTTCATTTTAGCAGGGAGTTCCATGCAAATCCCTTACTGATTCATTTTTCCGAATTGAGCAGGATTGAATTGAATTTAAACCAAACAGGATTTAACCCCCTATTTATCAGCTGAATGTATTGGTTGCCCACACCAGTTCCCTGCAGGGAGGTGACCTGCACAGCCAATGCAGAATTCCCAAGTGATGTCAGCTGATCGACAGGTGGATGTGATCTTGGGGGGAAAGGCCATGTTAGGCCAAGATTGGGTCACAAGCCAGAGTGGCCCCACCCTTAAAAAAGGGTAAAAAGGTAAAGGACCTCTGGACGGTTAAGTCCAGTCCAAGGCGACGGGTGCAGCGCTCATTTCGCTTTTCAGGCCAAGGAAGCCGACGTTTGTCTACAGCTTTCCGGGTCATGTGGCCAGCATGACTAAACTGCTTCTAGCACCACGGGACACTGTGACAAGTGCCAGAGCACACGGAAATGCCGTTTACCTTCCCGCCACAGCAGTACTTAATTATCTACTTGCACTGGTATGCTTTTGAACTGCTAGGCCTTCTACTGTTCCCGGAGCGGCTCTGCCAAAAAATTTAAAAAACAAAATGGACCTGAGAGATCCAGGTTCAAATGCCGCTCAGCTGCATGACGCTCACTGGGTGACCTGGGGCCAGTCACTTCTTTCAGCCTAACCTACCTTGCAAGGTTGACGATAAAATGGGGATGGGAAGAACTATGTTCACTGCCTAGAGGTTCTTGGAGGAAAGGTGGGATAGAAATATACCGTAATAAACCAACCAACCCATAAGGAAGTAGTCAGATTTGTATAAATACAAGAACCAGAGGAACTTTGGCACTCCAGCTGGACCCAGGCTCCAGTAACTCCAGGAGCCAATGAATGTGCAAGAATTCAAAAGTGAAAATGGGGAGAAGTTTCTATTCATTGGTATTCCTCTTAATTAATCATTTACAGAGCCATTACAATGAAGTGATAGTTCATTTCTGTAGCTATTGCTGCTGTTTTAGGCTTTAACAGGCCTTAACTCAAGCCTCCATGCCTAATGTTGTTGACAGTCTTGAAACCAAAACGCAGAAAAATAGTTCAAGCCTTCCATCCATTCTTTGAGAATAGCAATGTTGGCCTGCATAAAGACAAAAGGAGCCTGCTGACCCATCTAAGCAAGCATCCTGTTGATACTGCCAGCAACTGGTAATCAGATTTATACTACCCCTGGCTGTGGAGGTTCCACTGAGCTATCATGGCTAATAACTGCTGATAGATCACTTTTCCTCCATGAGTTTGTACAGGGATGGGGAACCTGCTACTTTCCAGATGTTGTTGTCTGCAGCATGAACAATAATTGGAGATCCCTGAATTATTTTAAAAGGGGAGGAGTTAGACTATCAACATAGAGAGCCCCGCTGGGTGAAACCTTAAGGTCCGTTTCAGTTAGCATCTCACAGCAGGCAACCTGACACCTCTAGGAAGCCCAGAAGGAGGTTACATTAGGGAAATAGCCCTCTCCCACAGTGGGTCACCAGCATCTGCTACTAAGAGATAAACTGCCACTGTACACAGAGGTTTCATATAACCATGCTAAATAGCCACTGATTGCCTTCTCCTCCATGAGTTGGTCTAATTCCCTTTTAAAGCCATGTAAGCCAGTGGCTATTGCCACATCTCTTGGCAGAAACAGCTCCTTAAATGAATTATGCACTGTGTGAAGAAATACTTCCATTTGCCCTGAATCTCCAGCCAAAAAGTTTCATGGAATTACCCATGAGTTCCAGGGAACTCCAAACAGGTGCTTTCCAGATGTTTGGGAGAACAACTCCCATCAGCCCCAGAACAATTTGTTGGCGTCCATGTGTCTCAAGAAGAAATGGAGTGCGCCTCTGGGGGTGAAGTCAAACCACTGTGTTAGCAGTACCAAAGTGACCTCCCTGAGGCACAAGCCTGAGCAGTGTGTATGGAGGTCCTGGGCTGCCCAGACAACAAAGACCCGCATCTTGGTCTCAGTGATGTGGTCCAAAGGAAAGCAGAACAATATGTTTGGCACCAGCTTGGCTGCAGGAGCTGCCAGAAAAAGGGGTACAAGGTGCTATCTAACTGCCTTAGGGACTTCACTTCTGGATTTGTGTAGCGTTTACTCCTTAGCCGTTTCTTCTCCTGATGATATCCCACAAGGCAGAAGAGGCTGAGGATCAGAGTTTCCCTTCTCCTAGATGGGCTACCTTCCCAGGTTGACGAGCCCCATCTGCCCCTCATTTCCCTCTACAGCATGTGCAGAAACTGCTTTCTCAACCCTTGGCCCCACTATTGGTGTTGTCCGCTCAGTCTGCCAGAGCCTGTCTTTGCATGCAGGGGAAGTCCCTAACTCACTGAGGGTGTGAGACCCACCGGCTACCCTCACCTGGTTGAGCTGGCCAGTCGAAGCTGGGGTGTGGCCACTATCACATGCTTTCAGGAGCCACAGGTGAGAACTAAGTGCCCCAGAAAGAGCACATGTCCCCTGCCAGAGGTACTACCATTCCCCAATACCCCAAACACCCCATAACACTTTAAACACTTTAAATCAACATACACATGCAAAGCCATGACCATTATTACTAGTAAAACCAGCTAAGTCCCATCTATAAACAAAAGGACACATCTTAACAGAGCGAGTGTGGTGTAGTGGTTAAGAGCGGTGGACTCGTAATGTGGTGAACCGGATTCGCTTCCCCGCTCCTCCACATGCAGCTGCTGGGTGACCTTGGGCCAGTCACACTTCTCTGAAGTCTGTCAGCCCCACTCACCTCACAGAGTGTTTGTTGTGGGGGAGGAAGGGAAAGGAGAATGTTAGCCGCTTTGGGACTCCTTCGGGTAGTGATAAAGTGGGATATCAAATCCAAACTCTCTTCTTAACCAGCCTTGTGCGGCAGGGAGCTCCACAGGACTAAGATTATAACAAACTATGCCCTATATTGACTGTGAGTCGTGGGGGACCTGCTCCCTGCCTTGCAAGCCTTTTTCCACCTAGCCCTGGAGGGCGGAGCCCCGATTGACTCCAGCTACAAAAGCTGCAGCTACTGAAGAGACCAGGGACCACCTTGTCTGTTTCTTAGTGCAGACTGTTTCTTTAATAATATGCTGCATTTATTAAGTTTTATGTTGTATCTCTGTATTTGTGTCCTTTTTATATAAAAACTTATCTTTATTTATTGGAAAAAAACTATCAGTCAAACACACACACACACACACACACACACACACACACACACACACTTGATATTTGGAGGTATTTATAAATAGCCTGGATCGACATTTCAAACAAATGCTTTCCCCAGAAACTCTCATGCTGTATTATCTTAGCTAATTAAAATAATGTAAACTCGTATGTCATAATTGGCAGCGTCCCATATCTTCTGCTGTAGTCCACAAAGTTTTCCCAGCTTCTTGAGAATCTAACTTGCCTTTGCCTGCCATCTTTGAATCTGTGAAAGTGTGTCAGTTTAACCACAGCTGCAAACACTCTCTGTTTTTGTGTTGCATTTTTGCATATTGCTTGGAGATGTTTAAATACAATTGAGAAGTGCCTTTAAACAGACCAATAAGACTGACCTTGAATTGGCTGTCAGGACTCAGGAGGTGTTTCTCTTCTCTGCTCCCATCAAGGTAGCTAGCCCCACCTCCAGGGGCTCAAACTCTGCATCTGATTGGCTCTTGATGTATCAAATGGAAGGCAAGAAGCCTTCTTCACCTGTTGCTTCTTCCAAACGGGTCCGAGCCTCTTCCTTAACGTGAGATAAAACAGAAGTGGACTTGCTTGCAAAAAAGGGTGTGAGTGAGCAGCAATGTTTGGACTTGGGGCAAGGTAATTATAAAGAGGGAGGGAGAAGCTTGAGTGGGTCTGAAGCTCTATAAGCCTCTTTCTTGGTTTCAGGATGGGTGGGGCCAGGGCCTGGTGGGTGCAAGGTCCTCCCTGCCAGCTGGGAGGAAGAACTGGAGAAAGGTGTACAGGAGGGAATAGGGGCTTCTGGTGCTTTTTGCATCCCAAAGCAGCAAACTCCATTGTGGCACCTTAAAAGCAAGCATATTTATTATGGGAAAGCAAGCATTTGTGGACATTTAAAAGGTGACTGTGAGGTGCTGCTTTCTAACCATGGCACCTGCCAAAAGATAGGAAGGATGGTGCTCTCTGGGGTATCTGGTTCCCCCAAATTAGCTGGCTTTTTACCTGCAAAACTCCCATTTCCATTGGATTTTTCTGCTGGAGTGTTCTGCTTCCTTCCTTCCTGAACTCAAACGTCATCTTGCTCCCTGTACATATATTCCTTTTTACAAAATAGGGGTCTCTTTTAAAGATGGGTGTATCCTGCTATAATGGGGATGGGAAACCTCGGATTTGGGGGCCAAAAAGAGCCCCCCTCTTTAGCTGCCCAAGTGAGTCTTCGGAGCTACACACCCACAACGTTCACTGACCCTGTTTTACTCCCTTTTCAAGTGTTTTTGCTGAGCGGTAATATGTCCTTGATCTCTGGTAAGGCCTCTTGCTTTGCTGGATGGAGGAGAAAGAGCAGTATGTGAGCGTGTGTAGAAACTAGCCTACTGTATAAAGGTAAAATTTACATTTGTTGCACCGCCCACTTCCCCCCTGCCCCCGCCCTCCACTAGCATGTGGTCCCTGGAAGGGGATGTTACCCTCAGCCTGAAAAAGGTCCCTTAGATATATACTCTGCCCTCTCCACACACACACACACACACCTCTCTCTCTCTCTCTCTCTCTCTCTCTCTCTCACACACACACACACACACACACACACACACACACACTTTCACTCACCCCACACACTCTGTCCCTGAAGCTCCCCTGTGCCTCTAACCTGGTTCCTGGGAACCTGTTCTACCATTAGACAGCGTGAAGAGCTTGCCTTAGGGATCTGATTTATGTATGTCATGAAAGGGCAGCAAATTTCACATTATTTACTTTATTATTATCATTCTGCTTCTATTGCCAGGGAAGATGGGAGTCACTTGTGAGATTTTCTGCCTCAGGCAGACTAGACTGGGGGCTGGGAGAAGAAGGATGTCGTTTATTGCTTTGCCTCAGGTCCCTTAGATATATACTCTGCCCCCTCCACCCCTCTGTGGCTCTGCTTCACATAAAGGCTGCCGTCCTGTGTGTGCTGGAGAATAAACCTTATTGAACTCAGTGGGGCTTAGCTATGATGAGTGAGGAATCTTAAGGTAAAGGGACCCCTGACCATTAGGTCCAGTCGTGGCCGACTCTGGGGTTGCGGCACTCATCTTGCTTTATTGGCCGAGGGAGTTGGCATACAGGTTCCGGGTCATGTGGCCAGCATGACTAAGCCGCTTCTGGCGAACCAGAACAGCGCACGGAAATGCCGTTTACCTTCCCGCCGGAGCGGTACCTATTTATCTACTTGCACTTTGACGTGCTTTCGAACTGCTAGGTTGGCAGGAGCAGGGACCGAGCAACGGGAGCTCACCCTGTCATGGGGATTCAAACCGCCGACCTTCTGATCGGCAAGTCCTAGGCTCTGTGGTTTAACCCACAGCACCACCCACGTCCCTGAGGTATCTTAGGACTATGCTTTAAGTCAAGGGTGGAGAACATCTGTGACTCTCCAGAGGTTGCTGGATGCCAACTGCCTGAGCAGCCAGCATAGCCAATGAGCGGGGATGATGGGAGCTGTAGTCTGGCAACATCTGGAGGGCCAGAGGTTTCCTACTCCTGCTGTAAGTGTCTGTGGTTGAAAAGAATTGAATTAGCCCAGCTGCTAAGCCCACATGCCATGGGCACAAATTTCTGTGCTTTACGTTTTTGTGTCCTTGGGCTGATGGGAGTCATAGTCCAAAACCCATGAATGAAAACAGGGGGGCAAAGTCTGGATGAGTCTGTGTAAATTCCCAGTTACTTTAGAGCTCCAAGCTCACTTTTGGTGCTTCTGTTTTCCTCCCCAAGCCCCCAGTTCCCTGATGCTGAATCCTGGTGGCAGAACCCTCCGTCTCTAGCCACTGCCAATTCCCCCTGGGATGCGACTGAAATCTCAGCTTGGCAGAAGCACCTGGAAGAAGAGACCAAGCTGAGTCCTCTGGAAGAAGATAGAAAGGAGCTCCTGGAAGTGGAAGACCCTGTGAGTCTGAACTGTGGTAGCCCCCATATGTTGTTGGACTCCTAAATCTTTTCCAGCCAGCATGGCCAGGGATGATGGGAGTTGTCATCCAACAACATCTGGAAGGCACCATGTTGGCTTCTTTTGGGGCAGGAGAAACAATAACAGAAAGAGCCTCTAAGGCAGAGTTTCCCAAACTTGGGTCTGCAGCTATTTTTTGGACTACAACTCCCATCATCCCTAGCTAGCAGGACTAGTGGTCAGGGCTGATGGGAACTGTAGTCCTAAAACAACTGGAGACCCAAGTTTGGGACACCCTACTCTAAGGGATGACTTGAAGGCTGTGGCCCTCCAGATGCTTGGACTCCCATCACCGCCCCCCCAAACAGCATGGTTATGGTTGATGGGAGGTGTAGTAGCAGCAACAGCTAGAGGGCTACTGGTTGAGCCTCATCTTTATAGGATGGCATTAAGGTATGGTAAGGTGTGCTGTGCAAAATCAATGAGGAAATGGGCTTTTTCAGCTGTGCTGCCCCAGTTTTGGAATACCCTCTGCTGGGAGGTTTGTCTGACACCAATGCTGCTTTAATCTAGGTCAACACTCACCAATCGTGTGCTTTCCAGATGTTTTGGACTACAACTCCCATCAGTGCTGACTAGGGGTGATGAGAGTTGTAGTCCAAAACAACTGGAGTGTACCAGGTGGGTGAAGGGTGATCTGGGGGATGGATAGAGCCCTTGTTTGTTCAAGGCATCTAAAGTACATGTTTAAAGTATTGATCTGGCTGCATCTTTTATATTTGCTTTTATGTATATTTATTGTGAAGTCAGCCTGTGATCAGTTTTGATGAATGGTGGATTTATGGTTGCTAAGCTTAAATACGTAAAAAAACCAAAATAAAATCCAAAAGGGACCAGCTTCAAGGGTGCTTTCTTGCAACATGGTTTCATTGGAGCCAGAAATATATTGCTGAGAGGCTGTCTGTGCAGCCGGGTGAGCTGGTTGGGTTAACTGACTCAGGTGGCAAACAGCAAACCATCTCCACTTCTGCTGAGCCTTACAAAGTTGTGTGTGTGCATGCACATGCACACACGCACACCTATCTACTTAACCAACAGTGGAACTTCTAAGTTTGCAAAGAGCTTTGGAATTGGAGGTCCAGAAGCCTGAGCTTCCCAATCAGAATGGGCAACCTGGTTTTGCACAAGAGTCTCACTCATTCCCTCCTTGAACAGAAGCTGGCTGAGGATGGGCTGATTACTCTGCTGTGCTCCTTCAACACAACCCTGTGCACCTCTCTTATTGCCTCCTCCCCCAATCTTGCTATGCAGGAACTGGAGGCCATCAAGGCCAAGGTCCGTGAGATGGAGAAGGAGGAGGAGTGGCTGCAGGAGCTGCAGGCCGAAGCAAAGAACCTCATCATGAGATCAGAGGCAGGTACGGTTTTCGTGTGTGTTTTAAGGGTTGGCTGACAGCAGCATGCTGTTATCCCAAGCGGCTTCACTGTGTGATTCCAAAAGATATGTGTGCCCCAGAAGACCTTGTAGCATTGGACAGTGCCACCTCAAGTGCCTGCAAGTGAATGGAGAAAGGGAGTCATAACTGGGCATATTAGGTTGCAAGTCTTTGGGCAGAGCCTGGTTTGCTCCTTTGAACAGTGCCTAGATCCATTGGGAATCGCAAGTGGGAAGGGCACTGCTGGGGATGATGATAGTTGTCATCCAAAAGAAATGGAGGTTACTAGGCTGGCAAAGGCTTTTAGAAAAGAAGCTGTGTTAAGTATAACTTCAGTAAAGATTGCATGGACAGGTATTATGAGGACACTACAAGTCATGAAAGCCAGCTTGCTGCAGTGGCTGATAGTCCGGTGGAAAGACAGGGGAGAACTGCATTCAGATCCTCGCTCAGCCGTGAAGGCTAGCCACTACTTATGCTCAGGCAGACCTTCCTTGCAGGGTTGTCTTGAGGTTAAAATGGAGGAGGCCATTTTCCCTGCCTTTAACTCCTTTTGAAACAGGTGGGATATCAATGTATTGTGTGTGTGTGTGTGTGTGCGGTCTTATTTCAAAGGGCTGAGAGCTCAGAAGCAGGTTCTCAAAACTCAGAAACTGAGCTCCAACTCCCATCAGCCCCATCAAGGCAGGACAGTGGTCAAGGAAGATGGGAGTTGGAGTCTAGTAACCTCTGAAGAGACACAGGTCAACCACCTCTGGCATACCACGATTCCCATGAGGTCTCCTCCTCCTCCCTTCCACAGGACTTGGTTTGCCTCGGGCAACTCAGGAAAAAATGGAAGTTGACCAGCGCTCTGTCTACGTGGGAAATGTAAGTGAGATGGGGCTTCAAGGGAGCTGGAGCAGCATTGAGTGTCTGGGCTAGAGACCCTGCAGAACAGTCTCCCCTTGTTGCTGTGATGCCAACCAGTTGACCGCAAAACACATGGTTAGGATACGAGAACAGTCGTGATTGGCAGGCATGAGCTTCAGCACCTGTCTTCCAAAAATTAAGACACGTTAACTCCCAGCAATTAGAAGAGGGCAGGAGGAAAGGGGCTTTTAGGATCTGGTACATCCCCAGCATGTGGTTAAATAGTCTCTTGCTGCAGAGGCTTTGCTGATCTTTATAAATCACTGTGTACTCTCATAAGAACACACTGAGTCAGTCCATTGCGGGCTGCTCTGTCAGGCCTTCTTGGTAGCGGTTCCCTATTTATGGAATGCCCTCCTTGTTGAGGTGTGTTCCTCTCCCTCATTACCGACTTTCAGGAGGAAATCAAAAACATCCCTGCTGACCCAGGCATTTGATGTCTGAAAGGCAGTGTTCCTGGCAGCCCTGAGAACTGATTTTAGAATGGTTCCCCTCTACTCCAAAATTGTTTTGTTGTTGATGTGCTTGCTGCCCTGGGCTCCTCTGGGAGAAGAGGGGCAGGATATGATTTGAATTCATCACCACCAAGCTCAATATTGTCCACTCTGGCTGGCAGCAGCTCTCCAGGGTTTCAGACAAGGGGACACCCCCAGCTCTAGTTGGAGATGCCAGAGATCGAACTAGGGACCCTCTGCCAAAAGCAGGTGCTTTCCCCACTAGCCTCTGCCTCTTCCCTGAATCGTTGGGCAGTGGGGCAGAAGTCTGGACACGTGTGATGTGATCTTTATAGGTGGATTATGGTGGAAGCGCAGAAGAGCTGGAGTCCCATTTCAACAGCTGCGGTCAGATCAACAGAGTTACTATCCTCTGCGACAAGTTCTCCGGTCATCCTAAAGGGCAAGTGATTTGATGGTGGGGAAGGGGGGCAGTTGTGGTTTTGAAGGATGGGGTGGCTGCCTCTCTTGAGGACCAGGTAGATGGATGGGATGGCTTCCGGGTGCCAGAGTGAATGCAGACTGGGGGGGACTGGCTCCTCCTCTTTGCTCGTCTCATGGCTCACAGGAGGGCAGATGGAACAAGCCAAGATGAAGAAAGCGATCATCCTGCACATGTAGGGCTCTGGGGATCAGCCATGAGCAACATGGCTGGGTGTGGGCCTTGCCAGGTGCCCAGTGAGTCTGACCCCTGAGGCTGCCCCTCTGGATCAGACATGTTCCTCTCTGTCCCTCCACTCCTGGCAGTGCAGATTGTAAATGGCTGAGTAGCCATCATGTCTTTCTGAAGGTTTTGTATTGCTCCAGCAAGTCATTGAGATGAAGAGTGCTTCCAGAAGGCTTGTTTACCAAGCACTAAAAGCCTCATACCCAGCGTTGCATGGGAATTATAAGGAACCAAAAAATCATTGTAATTTTGATATCAGTGGGTTAAAATCAGTGCACTTTTGAAGGGTTCAGTCCACCATCTTGATTCACAGCGGCATCCATTTGTATACAAACGGACAGAAACCTGCTCTTTGACCTCAGGAAACTATCACACAAAATTTGGTTACAGTATCTTAAGAGGTGTCTAAATGCATAGATAACAAAGAGACACACAACTTTCTAAAATAGTAGATTCATCCTGATTTGTTTGCATGGACGCACTAAGACAGGGGTGACCAACTCCCAGAGTTAAAAACTGACAGTGATCTACCCCCTTTTTGGGGGTTCAGGTCAGTTGTTGAGCCTTTTTTAGGGTAGCCGAAGTTCTTGAGCTTCTTGGCGGGGGCACTGATCTGCCATAGGCATCTGGTGATCTGCCATAGGCATCTACCTATTGGACATGCCTGCACTAAGACAATGCTGGCTATTGAGGTAGCATTCAGCCTGATTTGTTTGTGGAGGAGGCAACGTTGCAACAAAGATAGTGTTATCTAACAGTTTCCAGTGCATTTTGCCATCACTTTCCTTACCACAAAATGGCCAGTCTTTTGGGGAAGCTGGCTTGTTTTTCAGGAGCTTTGAATTCACTCTAAGTGCACAACCTGAATTGGCAGGGATGTGATTGAATCACACCTGAAAATAGAGACAGTCTGGGGGCACATAAAGATGCAATGAGGAGGACAAATCTGCTTCCCATTGTGGCCCCAGGGGGAATACACAAGTGCATCTTTCTCCCATCAGAAGCTTGCAAATTGGCCCCAGGTGACTTTCACAGCTCCTCCTGTTGTTGCAGGTATGCCTACATTGAGTTTGCTGACAAGAGTTCTGTGAAGGCTGCTGTGGAGCTGGGCGAGAGCACCTTCAGAGGCCGCATCATCAAGGTGTGTATCATGGGAAGAGGAGGGGTGTCTGGGGATGCAGAACCCTACCTTGGGGGTGTGGGCTTGTATTTCTAAGTGGGTAGGGGACCTGCTTTGCATCCAGAAGGTTCCAGGCCCAATCCCTGGCACCAACTCCCCATAAGCAGCTGATGGGAAAGGCCTCTCTCTCCCTGAGACCCTGGAGGGCTGCTGCCAATCAGAGTAGACAGTACTGGTTTATGGGTACCTATATACCTTTCCCTATCTGTGTCTTTCCAAATGTGGGTGTGTTGCTTTCCAAACTGGCCTTTCACTTCCATTCTATGTAACTACAGCCCAGTGTTTCACTTCTGTGCAAAATTTCAAGGTGCCTTCCATCATGTGTTCACATCCCAGTCCAAGATGGAAAGCGAGGGATGTGGAAACTTGCACCCTCTGCAGATGTTGGGCTCGATCCTTCCATCAGGCCCAGCCAGCGTGGACAAGGCTCAGTCAGGGCTGATGGGCAGTGTAGTGAAACAACACCTGGAGCGGGGGGCAGGCTCCCCATCTCTGTTGTAAGTGATGTGAGCTAATTTTGTGGCACCATGTTGTCTTTGCTTCGCTTCAGGTGTTGCCCAAGAGGACCAACATGCCAGGCATCAGCTCCACGGACCGGGGTGGTTCCCGGGGTGCTTTCCATGGCCGGGGGGCTCTGCCTCGCCGCTCCAGTTTCTGTGGAGGGCAGCGTTTAAGGCCACGTGGAAGGGTGCACAGGTGAGTGGACAGCAGAAGAGTGTTTGCCAGTCGAACATCACAGTAAGGCGATCATTCCATCAATACAAGCATTTCTGTTTGCCAGATGGGATGCTCTTTCCTCCTCTCTTCCCACACCCCAATGCTGTCCAGAGGGTTTTCCTGAGCAGATTTGTTTGTTTGTGTGTGTGGAGGAGAGTCCCATAGCACTCTCAGGACTCATTCTGCTGGTTTCTGCTAGCGCAACAACTTAGTTACATCCAGCCCTGGATGTCTGAGGCTAGGAACTGAAGGAGAACGGAGGACCTCTTCCTGCTATATACCGTCTTTCTGGGGGACGGTATAAGATGCTAGCACAATCTGCCACTAGAAGCACATTGGCTCCTGGGTGCTGCTGCTGTCAGGCTGGCTCAGCATCACCTGTGCATCTGCATGGCCAGCAGGGCCTGTAAGCTGCACGCAGACAAGGAGTTGGACACCTTAGTGGTGCCCATGGGCAGCAGTTCTCTTTTCCATATCGGCAGGAACAGAAATGAGCAACCCGTCAGCTCGGTATCCCAGAAAGAGCAGCTGGCATGGAGTGCCCCTGAGAGCGAGTGTGTCACTTGTGCTGTTCTGGCTTGGCTTGCACTTTCAGCATCCCCAAGTTGTTTCCGGGGGGCGGGGGGTTGACACCTTTGCCCTAGATGAGCCGAAAAACAACTTTTCTGTCTTTTGCAGGATCTAAAAGCTGGTCTGAGTACAGGGATCTGTGTTTAGGGCTGTCTCTATACACCATAGGGACGCGGGTGGCGCTGTGGGTAAAACCTCAGTGCCTAGGACTTGCCGATCGTATGGTCGGCGGTTCGAATCCCCGCGGTGGGGTGAGCTCCCGTCTTTCGGTCCCAGCTCCTGCCCACCTAGCAGTTCGAAAGCACCCTTAAGTGCAAGTAGATAAATGGGTACCGCTTTATAGCGGGAAGGTAAACGGCGTTTCCATGTGCTGCGCTGGTGCTGGCTCGCCAGAGCAGCTTCGTCACGCTGGCCACGTGACCCGGAAGTGTCTCCGGACAGCGCTGGCCCCCGGCCTCTTAAGTGAGATGGGCGCACAACCCTAGAGTCGGACACGACTGGCCCGTACGGGCAGGGGTACCTTTACCTATACACCATTGTCAATCCTCTCTGCTGCTGTTGAGAGTCTGGACTGACTGTGATAACTAAGGGTTTATTTTAATAATTTAGATCCCAATTTTCTTTAGTAAACTGAAACCAATGTGCCTAACCATTAAAAGACCGACTACCACCGTAAGTAAAAAAGGTAAAAAAGTAAAAAAGGACTAAACGGTATGCAAAAATAGCAAAGGCAAAAGATCATTTATTTTATTTTTTTATTCATTGCATTTATATGGCACCTTTTCCCTCGAAGCTCAAGCTGGTGCACATGGTTTTCCAACTCCCCATTTTATCCTCACAGCAACCTGGCAGTGACTGTCTGAAAGCCACCCAGTGTGCTTCATTATTAAGGGCTAGAAATTTGCTATGTGTGGTTGTCAGTAGTAAAACAATACCATACTTGTACGCTGTGATCACACAGCATGGGATATACCCAGCTTTGTGCATAGCTCCAGCTGACCATGGCCCTGAATCAGTTTGACAAGGCCACTGGGAATCAATTCTATCAGTGATGGATGGCTCTTGTAGCTAATGAGCAAGTGGCTTATATGAAGGAAAGGCAGAACACCCTTAGAGGCTGAGTTGATGCATTTACTCATCTAGATTGGCTTATAGTCCCAAGAAATTCCTTTGCTTCTCCTGACCTCTTCCACTCCATTTTGTATGCATTTCTTAATTTTAGATGGTTTTTGGGGACAGCATCCTGGAGTTGGGGTGTTGGGAAAGGGAAGTTCATATAAGGGAGGCCTACAGTTGTGCAACAAAGGGTTGGGTGGATTGTGGAAGAGCAAAATAGATCATAGGCAAGGGTTCTGTTAAGGGCTGCATTCATTCGGGGGCAATCTATAGGGCAGAGGTGGGGAACCTCAGCCCCAGAGGCCTAATGCAGCACTCCAAGACTCTTTATTTGGCCCTTGGGATTCTCCTCTGGCCACACCCCTCGCCTTGCTCTCCCATCTTTGAATGCTTACCTGTGACGACGCCTCTAGCTTGCAAAGATGGAGACGGGTGTTTGTGCAGGTAGAAATCTCTGGTACTAGCATGGCTAGAATGTAGCCTATACTGGTGTTAAGGTAAGAGTCACATCCATTGCTCCACCCACTGTTAATCTGGCCCTGCCCACCCTTGTATGCGGCCCCCGGAAAGTTGCCCATGAGTGTGGCCTTCCGGCTGAAGAATGCTCCCCATACCTACTATAATGGCCTGCCGTGGGCAGGGCAACTATCCCCCTTCCCCCACTTTCTCTGCACTTGCCCCCCATTGTTTCTTTCATTGGCACCAGCATGAAATTAGGCAAAGCGACTCTTCAATTTAATAATTCAATATTTTATTTTATTTTATCCCTTTGAGTAAATGATGCCTAGGCCAGGGATGGGGTGGTGAAACACCTGGGCTAACTTTTGCCATGGCCAATGTGTGTGTGTGTGTTCTTCTCCAGGGGCCGTGGAAGACTTTCTCCTTGGTACATGCCTTACTAGGCAGTGGGACAAGGTGACCCAAGCCAGGACTCAACTTGGACCGGAACAGGGGAGCAAAAGCAAGTGGATCCGCCCAAAGAATATTTCTCCTTTGTTATCCTGTGAGAGTGACTTGCAAGCGTTGAACTTCTATGCCAGTCTTCCAGACAAGACACAGGGTATCTCCTTCTTGGGCAAGGAGAAAAGAAATGCTGGAGTGGCCTAATGCGTGCAAAAAATGACTTTCCCCCCAAATTTATATGTCATCGTTTAGAGCTTCATTTGAATTTTCACTTGATGGGTAGAAAATTAGAACTCTGGTAGGGTCTGGAAACCACCCCACTTCTCTCTGCCACCCTTTCCATGATTCTTGGCATGCTGTATTATTATCCTGTTGATTTTCTTGGTAAGCATTTGACTCTAGGGATGGCTTCAGAAGGGGACTAAGTAGCATCCTGGTAGGTGTTTTAAATGTACATCACCCAAACCCAAATGAGGACTTGTTTCCTTTGAAAGAGGCCAGGTCCAACTCTTACATAGAGAAACAAACAGCTGGCATGCTAGTGATGAACAAGTCTTGCAACTAGGGCATCTATTTCCATTGCTCTTCCTCTCCCCACCCCTTCCTCACCGTTGCATCTAAAGGAGTGTCTATGCTATGAATCGTAAGCTGAGTGAATTATATCATGGTCCTTCTGCTCACCATCTCATATGATTGCGAACAAATACAGTTAGATCCCAAGTCCTGTTGGAAATCATGCACTCCTGTGCTTCCCAAGGTTCCTTGGCCAAAGCCATTAATTGTATATATATTTATTTTAAAAAACTGGATTAAGTTTGCAGGGCAGGTGTGTTGTGAAGCTCTCATCAGCCTTAGGTGTCTTTGTGTAATACTTTGCACCTTTGCACCCCATTCAGCCTGATTGTATAGAACCACTTTCTGTTACATGGGCTTGTGATGAAGGTGTAACTCAAAATGGTGGGCCAGTTTTGTACACCTTTGCTACCTGCTTGAGCTTAAACTGATGGGTCTAATCTGAGCATTTTTAAATTCCATTCTCTTCCCAGCTTGGGAGGAGCTGTGGAGGCCAAATGAAGGAAATTGTGTCGATTTTGGTGGGCTGGGAAGAGAACCACCAAAGGGTAGTGGTGGAGGCAGCAGGGTGTCTTTATTCCTGTCTGCCTTGCATGTCTTGCATTTCTTTCCTATCATATCCTCCTTTTAAAACTAATTTAAGAAAAGTTTATTTGAAGTTAACCTATTGCCTATTTAAATGAGTTTTTTACTATTGCACTCACCTACTATTTATCTCTGTTTAGACTGTTTTCATTCCAGCCCAAAAGAATCCCAATGAAATGATAGATACTAAAAGCAGCTTTCTTTAACCCTGAAATAATAGGACTTGCCAGATCAAAACATTAATAATGATAAAAAAACTCAAACCTTGAAAGTTGTTCATATGGGCGAAACTTATCACCTTGTTTTCTGAATTGCACTGTTATCCGGAATGGACAGTCTAGCTCACATCTTAACTAAATTTATATTTCACATTTAGTGTTTTTACAGTAGCCAGCAAATTCTAAAAGAAACATCTGTTAAATTCCATAATTCATTCTAGTAATCTTTTCCTCAAGCACTGCAATTCCAAGAAGTGTGGTACCTGGGGGTGGCTGCAGGTCACCTTTACAGGGTGAAAAACATGACCTTTTGATTTTGGCAAGTGAAAAGATACAACTTCAAGTCCTAAAGGGATAAGAAAAACAATAAATCCCCTGGGAAGTTATCTTGTGTAACAGAACTGTAGAGGAGAAATGTTCCTGGGGATTGTATCCTTAAGGAGTAATAAATGGGCAGAAGTTGAAATAAGCAGAGTGAAAAGGGGTTTTTTTGTATTAAATTTGTATGTGAATAGAGATGCCATTTGTGGTAATGTTTGTAAGTTAATATTTTTTAATAAAATAAAAGATCCAACTGATTAAACTAAACCCACAACAAAAGCATTGGCTGTGGATTTCTCTCTGGGCTAATCTCCCTCCTTTAAGAGGTCATGTTGCATGAACATAAAAAAACCATGAAATGCAGTTATTTCTGGACTATGCCACTTTGGACAGCAAATTGGTGACTGGGTTTTTAATATCTCTCCTGTTACCTTTTTCAGGGTTTTTTTGAAGCCCTCCATGAACACAGAAGGTCAGAGATTACTAACCTAGCTGGTTCCCTGACACGCTAACCTACTGCACTAAAGGGGCATTTAAATATGCAGCTCCACCTGCAAACTGAAGTAGTACAATCCAGTAAAGGGACCTAGCAGAAGAGCAGGTATTTTGCAGGCAGATGATCCCAGATTCAGCCTTTGTGTGACAAGCACCTGTAATCTGATGCGGACTCTGAATAGACAAAATACTGATTTTAGTTCTGATCCACTCTCATGGTTTAATCTCCCATTTTTAATAGCCCCTCTGAGCTGCCCTAGCTAGTTCTTTTGTAACAGGTTTAGAACCATTAAGGAAGTAGAACCATGCTCAAGTAAATAGGCCACTTTGGGGGACACCTTGTTGGGGTTGATCTACTGCATCCAACAAGAGGCAGTGAGGACCACCAACAAGGATGATTTTAAAAGAGGATTATAGACATTCATGGATGATAAGGCTATCAATGGTTATGTTCTCCATCCATTGTCAGAGGCAGAATGCTGGAGTAGATGGGTCACTGGTCAGATACAGCAAGCTTATTCTTACACTCTTATCCAAGTTATTTCTCTTACCTGGGAGACATCTTGCTAGCAAGAGGGGGCTTTTCAACTTTTTCACAGTATGGCTACAACCATCCCCTTCCATATACCTTGGTGAACAAGCACAGACTAACTTAGTTAATCAGTTTATTATACAATGTGGGATTTTGGAAGGAAGAATATACACAACAAACAATTCTGTACAGTGGGGCAAGTTGTCTCAGGTAAATCAGCTGGAAGAAGAGGCAGAAGCTTCAACAAACTTGCACCATCATGGACGTCACCATGTTGTCAAAGGCCCTTGGAAAAGCAAGGACATGTAGTGTTAAAAGAAGCAGGGCAAAGGTTCATCAAAGACAGACCAGCTAACTAAGATAATGGAGCAATAAAAAGGCAGCTTTTCACCTATATGGCTGCGTTTGCCAGCAGTTCATCTATCACTGTTGCCTTTAAAACAGTTTCCTCAATCTTGCAAGCAGATTTGAAAGCACAGATATCCAAGAGAGCATTTAACGAAGCAGGTTGCTTCACCTGTCTCATTCCATCCTACAGGCATACTCATATTTTCTTACGTACGCGTGGAAACTCATCATCCCTGACCACTGGACATGTTGGCAAGGAATGATGGGAGTTGTAGTCCAACAACACCTGGGGATTCAAGGTTGAGAAAGCTGTTCTAAAAAATAGTAAACAACCAACCAGGCAAAATGCCTCAGGTGGAAGTTCCATAATTTGGGTACAATCCACAAGAATCCCACTCTTTAGTAGCTACCTGCTGTACCTCCAGAAAGTGGGGAACACCCAGTGAGGGAGCTCCTAAGATCTTAATTGACAGGAAGGTTTATGGCATCATTCCATGATTTTGGAAGGGGAAACAAGAGGTGAATACTATTGCAGAGCAGATGTGGGAGAGGCTCAGGATAATATTGCTAAATGCCACTAGAATAGTTCAGCGGATTCTGGAAAGACAAAGCTTCCAACAGCCCTTTAAGACCAACAAAGCTAGTTAAGTTCCAAAGAGACAGGTACTCTCACCAGCCTGCTCACCTGGATTGGATCTGGTCCCCGGGATTATAAAAGGGGTTGCACATGACATCTGTGAAGGAATTATGCAGCTTCCTGAACATCTGAAAAGGGAAGAACCACTTCAGTGACCAGAATGTAGGGACCAATTAGTCTTGAGTAAGCAGAAGGAAGTTCTACTTTGACTGGCTCCCTGCAGCTGCCCTGTACTTACACTGCGGATTTCGTTGTCCCTGAGTGCCGTGTTGGAAGAATCCACCACCATCACAAACTTCACCTTGGAATTGGTCACGTAGCCATATCTGCTTCAGCAGTCAAGGTCTATTTTTAAGAATATACAAAGCCACCTCACACATAGTCAGGCCATTGGTCCATCATCTCTCAGTACTGTCTATACCAAGGGTGGTTAATCTGAGGCCCTCCTGAAAATCCCAGCTCACATCAGCACTGGCAAGAATAACCAGTGGTTGAGGACTATGGAAGTTATAGTTAAGCAACATTTGCGGTGGGGCGGGGGGGGGGGGGGACAATTTAGTTACCACTGGTCTACACTGACTGGCAGCAGCTTTCCAGGGTTCCAAACAAGAATCTCTCAGCCTTTTCTGGAGAGGCCAAATAAGTCTGTGCTCCATCACTGAGCCCTTAACAAATAAACACAAAACAACTGGGTTATGCTAAACACTCCCTAAGCAAGGAGCAGCTTGCCCACATGTAACTGGGTTCAGACTGAATACATAGCAGCTCTCTGCACTGTCACTCATTCTGCAAGCCCAACCCACACCCTATTTTAACCAATCGACTTTAGATTTCAGTTCCAGGGGCTCCTGAGGTATCACATTCCAGATTTGTCCTTCAACTGGATGAACAAGTTGCTCAGTAGCGGCTGTTGACTGCACAGTCTTAAGGCCACAGAGCAGTTGCATGCAGCCTTAACCACTGTAACTTCTAAACTACATAGGAAGCTGCCTATGCTGAGTCAGCCATTGGTCCATCAAGCTCAGCACTGACTGGCAGCTCTCTAGTTTTCCCAGCCCTACCTGGAAATGCCAGGGATTGAACCTGGGACCTTCTACATACAAAGTTATTGCCTTACTACTGAGCTATGACTTTTCTCTATATATCAAAGCACACAAAACTAGTTTAAAACTAAACAGCAACAGATCCAACTAAATTCCAGTGCTGCAGCCCAGCTGTGATCAGAACTTTACCCTCCTTTCAGTTCACTTGGAATAATGAAGCAAGACTGCAAGAAGGGAACCTGAGAAACAATCACATAACAGCAGAGCTGGAAGGGATCTTGAATGTGATCTAGGCCAACTCCTCATTCAACCCAAAAGGCATCTAAGATACACTTTGTAGTCTTCAGTTGGGTAGAGCAACCCCAGGTAGAGCTCTCTCTGGTCCACAAGAGCTTTTCCCATAGCAGAGATTTTCTCATCCACAACATCAAGAGACGTGTGGACTGTGTAGTGGAACTTCAGTTCATTTTCCGTTGGAATGCTCTTGATGTACAGAGGGTAGTTCTAGAATGAAAAAACAAACAAACCACCAAGTTCCTGAACTATGAAGTGATCCAACTGATCTATGCAGTTCTAACTCCCTCTCCCACAACAGGATTCTAAGTAGTACCTTTTCATACCGATTTTAACACAGAATCCAAATCAGACACCTATCTCAATCAAGCCAGGTGCAAGCCCCCAACAACTGGTTCACAGCTGGAAGAACTCAAATCCCCAAGCAAAGGTCACATTTTTAAGTACATGTTTATTAAAATATGTTCTGCCTTTCTTTGACTCAAGGCCGTTTACAGGCAAGACACAATAAAACAATATTCATATCTGAATTTTTATGCAACCCACATTAATATTTCCAGTTAGGGTTGCAGAAAAAGTAAGGTAAAGCAGCTTTAAACCCCCAGACTCCAACATCCCGATGGAAGGATTGTGGATATTTTCACCCCCTCCCATTGCGAGAATCTCCTGATGTTTTCAGAAAGGAGGGGGCGGAAACTGCTCTTCTGCTTCTTCTGCTCCTGCCTGACTCTGTGGGGAGTCTGAGTGTTATCTATGTAGAGATTAGATGGCTGAGTGAGAACTGTAACACTCATGCAAGCCAGTAGCTCTTTAGTTTTTAGTTTGCAGTAGCTATTAGAAAATAAAGAAGAGCTATGCTTCACAGCTTTCTTCTGTGTTGTTCATACTCTGCTGAGTTTGGTGCTCACAATGGACAGTTGTGGGTCCAGTGCACTTAGACCTGCTTTCCAGGAGTGGAAGGTCTCTGGAAGTGCTCTAGCTCGCCTAGCCTAGTCAGGGCAGAACCAGTCTTTGAGCCCAGTTGTCGACATCAGCTCAAAGGCGTACTGACAAGGATGTGCCCAAAAAGTTTGACAGTTTTCCACATACAGTTCATATATGAATTAGGTGCTTTGCTTCCTCCCCTGATCCCCCTCCCTGATTATTACTTGGGAAAGGAGAAGAAAACCTGACGAAAACCAACTCCTTATCGCGGTTGTCACTGCAACCCATTCACTTGTCCTTCAACCTTTAATGCACAACCTGCACCACTGCCCGGAGAGAGAGAGCAAATTTAACAGAGGCTGCTGCAGCCGTTGCTCCTTTCTTGCTTATTGAATGCAACCAAACGGGAAGTGACAAGAAGGGACGAGCTGGGGGCTCCAGGGATCAGCAGTAGTCCCCGCCCCACAGTTGGGGTGTCAGCCTCAGAAGGTGCCAAAGATAGCAGCCCTGCTTTAAGAACCTAGCATAAGAGTCTGACAGGCTCAATCTGGTCCATCTAACAGTGTTTCTCAACCTTGGGTCCCCAGATGTTGTTGGACTACAACTCCCATCATCCCTGAGCTCAGGCCTTGCTAGCTAGGGATGATGGGAGTTGTAGTTCAACATCTGGAAACCCAAGGTTGAGAAAGGCTGATTCTAGTCCAACATCCGGTTATCAAAGTGGCAAACCAGATGCCCCAATGGGAAGCCCCACAAGCAAGACGTAATGCAAGAGCAACTCTCCCATCCTGCTGTTTCCAGCAACTGGTACTCAAAGACAACCTGCCTCTGACAGTGAAGAAAGAGCATAGCCATTAATAGCTTTCCCTGCTCCATGAATTTGTCCGACCCTTTTTCAAAGCCATCCAAGTTGGTGGCCATTACTACATCTTGTGGCAGAGAGTTCCATAGATTAACTAGCTACGTACCCTTTGCGGCGGGTAGAATAGCAGAAGAGAGGATTTACCCTCATTCCCTGGTTAACGGCTTCCCAGGAATGTCTGAAGGCAATTCTTGTGTTCCTCCACCCTTCCCCTTCCTCTCTCCCTCCCCCACCCGCCGCCCCGTCCCTCAATTGCCCCTGCCCGGTCTCCCACCTCCTTGGCGATCACAGCAATACAAACCGCCATCTTGGGTACTGGTGGGTTCGCTTCGTCCCTCCCTCTTTCACGTAACAGCATCTTTGCCCTTTCAGTATTTACATCCACGTGATCGGAGAACCAATGAGCCCACGGACCACGGCTCCGCCTCCGCGGCTCTGCGCACGTGACTCTCCTCAGGCGCGAGTGAATGAGCCGGCCCAGACTCTTGTTCCTACATAGAGACTGCAGGCGAGGGTTACCAGGCAGTCTCCTCCCACTTCCAGCTTTTTTTGAACAGCATATCCGCTGCCGCCATATGCGGGGCCAGGAGCAATTATTTCGCCTATATTTACAAAACTCCCATATTGTGGGTGGGTTACTACATATAATTAAAACTATACCATATGCCAGAAGTGTGGCGTGGGCTCTTTCCTTCTTTCTAAAGTGCTCCCTCTTGAGTCCCGCCCATGTCTTTAACTCAGCGCGTTCAATGGAGAACCGGTAGTGACTTTCTAGTTACCCTGAGTGTTCCCACGTGCCCCTTGGGCCGTTCCCTCTTCCCCAACTTTTTTTCGGACTCGCGGTGGGCTTGGAGTGGTTGCCATGGAGACGAGACTGCTTCTGCTGCTGGGCCTGTGCGGCCTGGGCAGGGCCGCCAACACCACTCTACCACGACCCCCTAACTTGGTCTTGCTGTTGATGGACGATGTGAGCCTGGGAAGGGGAGGTGGCAAGGGAAGGAGGGATGGTTCCTGCAAGTGGGGAGGGGGCATCCTCCTCTCGTGAGGGAAAGGGGTCAGGAGGAGAAAGGGAGCCTGGGAAGGGGCCACCTCTCTGGGGAGCGCTGGGTGGGTCTGCTTCCTGGAGGAAGTGGGGTGCTGAGAGTAGCATTGCTTCCATTGTGGAGCCCATTTGGTAGGTGTGAAGCATTTGAGAGGGTGTATATGTGGGGGTGGGGGTGTCTGTCATTTACACATACACTGGTACAGTTTTTGTGTGTGTGTACTGTATTAAACAATGTGTGTGTATATATATATGTGTGTGTGTGTGTGTGTGTGTGTGCGCACGCGCGCGCAATGTATGAATTTACATTAGACAGTGTGGTGCAGTGGTTAGAGAGTCAAGACCAGGAGCGGGGAGACCAAGCTTCAAATCCCCCCTCAGCCATAATACTTTCCGGGTGATGTTTGGCCTGTAAGCCTAAGCTACCTCTGCCTGTAAGCCTAAACTACCTCACAGCGTTGTTGTGAGGATAAAATGGGGAGATGGGGGAGAACCACTTATGCCCCCTTGAGCTCCTTGGAGGAGAGGAGGGATAGAAATCAATTAAATAAATAAGTGTGATATGTATTAGAAAATGGCTCCAGTAAATTAACAGAAGCCTAGTTCTAGGATTATACCATCCATATACATGAATATACATGAATGGTAACACACATATATACAGGCACCACCACATCAATGAATGTTGGTCAAAAGACAATTCCCTGCCCCAAGGAGCTTCATTTCTGAATTTTGATAGAGAGGAAGAGTTACCATGAAGCTCTGATATCCCAGTGTCTGAAGAGCTGACCTTTGGCACTGAGGCATTCAAGGTAATATCAGTTGCTTTCAAAACACTGTGGTGCTTTATCTTTGGGGGTCAATTTGCACATTATTACATTTTTTAAAATTATGTTTATATTTTCCTCCAAGGAGCTCAAAGTGGCATACATACTTCTCTCACTCATTTTATCTTCACAACAACTCTGTGTGAGGTAAGTTAGGCTGAAAGTTACAATGAGGGCTCTTCCAGACTTCCCTTTCTGCTGCATTTTTAGGCACGGGCCTATGCTTTAAAGCACTGTGTCTGAACACCTTTTTTTTTTGTCCTGGCACTTTCCTCATGAAAACACATTCTTTGCCACTGAATTGGAGCAAACGGCAATCTCTGGAAAGCCCAAATTGTCATTTGTTCAGTGTTGAAGACCAGGTTTTCCTGGGGAAGGCAAAAATAATAATACAGTAATTGGTTACTTGTTGACCTAGCTCTTCAAACCTCTTTTTGAGTTACAGTTTCTCCACCCCTTCCACAAGATGGAAGAGAGAGGAATGGTTTCTCTTTAAGGCAGTGATGGGGAACCTCCGACCCATGGGCCAAATTTGGCCTGGGAGGCTCTTTACCCTACACCATGTCCACTTGCCCCACACCTGGCATCATATGTCAATAGTCAAGACATGACTGGATTTACTGCAGAACCGATTTCTCAATGGGGAACTCCATTACATAGCTGATTCCTACAGAAAGCAACTTCAAAGGCACCAGCTATCAACTGATAGGCAGTGACTACAAGCCTGCTGATCAGTAGCACTTTAACACACCACACACATCTCTTTGCAAGCCCTTTGTGGCAACAGTTATCACCTTATGTCACTGTGACAGAATTTGTCCCATGAGGAGTTGGAGAGATGAAGACCTGGTCTGCAGCCTAGATCAGGTTCCCCAAACCTCCTTTAAGGACTGGTTTTGGGGTGTTGGAGGGGTGTCCCAAAGCAGATAAGTGGCACGAAGTAGGCAGGAAGGCTATGAAAAATGTTCCTTTGGGTGCTGGATGCTCATTTGAGGCAAATGGCTTATCAGCTGGAGTATTGCACTTTGATGCAGAATCCCTGCCTTGGTATGTAAGCTGGGCTGTAATTCTTTTATAAGATGACATGAAACTGTCCTGATGAAAGATAGGAGGGAAACACCATAAATGTATGAATAGGCTTCTGGGCCAGCTTGGAGTTTGCAAAGTTTTACAGAGATTGTGTTGGTGGTGGAGGAATGGTGTGTTACAAATAAGTTGTGTGAAGTACATTTCTAAATAAATGAGGTTTATTTCTAAATAATAAATTGTATGAAATACATGATGTTGGGCCCTGGGAAAGGGCCTTTTCAATTGAACCCTCTCCTTCCTGGCCTAATTTCTCAGTGGTTTTAGGTGGCTAGTTAGGACACATTTTTTTCAGGGTTTCAGCAGTGATTTTTTTGTTATGTGTTTTTAAAGGATTAGGTTTTTTAACTGTTTGCTTGTTGTAAACTGCCCTGTGGCTTATGCAAAGGACAATATAAACCATTTAGAAATAGAGAGCTAGCAGCTGGAACCATTATTCTTTGAGCTGGAAATTTTGCACAAGGGTGCCTATTCTGCAGCTTCTATCAAGTGTTTAGATATTCCTCTCCCTTTTGTCTCAAGTGGAGCAATCCTTTCGCTTTTCACCTTTATTGCTGGCAAGAAGTAATAAATAACTACTTGTGTGCTATTAATCTGAACGTCACCATTTTGGATTTCCTTTGCCATCAATGCACTATGTGGCCTTAGTCAAGACTAACATATGTATTAAGCTGCTGCAATCCTTATTGCGCCACTGCATTTCTTTCAGCTCAGACCAATATAGTTGTCCATATGAGATTCAGTAAGCTACTCTTTCACATCTGACATATGCGAATAAAAGACCCAAGCATTACAGAGCTGTTGTCATATAAGACTGCGCACTTTGAGCACTTGAAAAAACTATCCCTCACACAAGGGTCACAAAATTGCTTAGTCCTACTGAAGTGAGGAGGATTGTGCACAGTGGACACTGCTTGTCTCAGTAAAAGGCTTAGCAATATGAACTTGCTACAAGAGTTCAGGTCTGGGGCCTCGGTCTGTTTTTGAGCACCTCGTGATTGTGATTCATAAGCCATTTTAGGGAAATTATTCCACTGCTCTGCTGACCGTAGTGTTAGAAAAATGCTTTCTAATGTGTTTCTTGCATTTCTTTTTAGTTTCAGGCTATTACTCTTTGCACTCTGTTTTTAGCTGCTTGAAATTGTTGGTGTAATTTTTTTCCCCCTTAAAAAGGGGGCTCCTGTTGATTTGAGTATTTTCCTATGCTACAAAAAGGTTCTCATCCCCTCACCCTCCTTTCCTTATTATATTCAGTAAATATGTGTCAAGAAAAAGTTGCAGTTGAAGCAGGAATGAGTGTTTTAGCTGCAGGTGCCAGCAAGGACAAGCTAGGTATGGTGCCATTTTCCAAAAGGTTGGAAGTTCTCTTGATTTTGCCCCATCCCAGGGGGGATTCATGCAACTACCACAAAACAACTTGCTTCATCAAGCCATACATAATTTGTGTTAAGAATGAATTCACTCACAAAGTTGGGGTCGTGAATTTGAAAGGAGGATTAGGGGGAAATCATGGAGAATTGGTCTAACAATGGCTATTGGTCTTTACAGTTAGAAATGGAACTTCTGTGTTCAGAAGCAGCATATTTGTGATTGCTTGTCACTGAAAGCATACAGCAGTGAATGGCTTATTTGCATCTTGCTCAACTTTTGAGCTTCTCTGGGGCATCGGACTGACCATTGATAGAGACAGAATACTGGACTCTGTGAACCTTTGATCTGTCCCAGCCTGACATTTCATACAGAAGGGTTTCTGAAACTGTGATGCAGTTCTTCCCACAGAGGTGTTGCCAGGGATGGTGTGATCTGCTTCTTGGCTTCACCCATAGTGTGTTTTGTCAGATGGATGCTGCCAGCACACCTCCTATTGTACAAAACTGGAAATGGTGAATAACCTGTTCCTTGTGTTTCTGAAGGTCACTTGACACTGTTCTCTCCCCTTTGCTGCCCTGCAATAATCCATGTTGCTTCCATGAAGCCGAAAAGGCTGCTCGCCATTAAACAGGCAGCTGAGCAGTGGAAATCATTGTACAATGTGCTTGGGTATTACAGTGGTGGATGCTACAGTAAAGTTTTTAAATAGCTGAATGATAAAAATGTACACGAGTCCTTTCAACTGATTGTCGTTTATTTGTCTTGTGTCCTGGTATGTCTTCAGATGGGCTGGGGTGACCTAGGTGTGTTTGGGCAACCTTCCAAAGAAACCCCAAATTTAGACCAGATGGCTGCAGAAGGAATGCTTTTCCCAAGCTTCTACACTGCCAACCCTCTTTGTTCTCCATGTGAGTAAACTCCAAAGCTCTAGAGAAGCAGTGCTGTCTAGGGGGTGGAGAGTTGGGCTTGGTACAAATCGTACCTCTGTCATGAAATCACATTAGACAAATTGCTGTCTTCAACTTCTAAAGATTAAGATTGCAAATCAAATGTGCTTTGATAAATAATAGTAGCAGTACTAGAACCTAATACTCTAGGAACACATTTTCTTAAAGAAAAATAATAGCAGAAATTGTTAATGTTGGAAGACCTTCTAATACTGGTAACTGTTTCCTCGAAATGCCTCCAAGCTCTCCCCCAGCCACACGGACTGAGATTGTGGTAACTGGATGTGATGAAATAGTAAAATTGAAGCAGGAAGGGTGTTGTCTAAGAAAAGAAAGTCGCCCAACTGATATAGACAGTTATTTCTGTGTGCCCCCACCCCTTGCTTTTCTCTCCTCAGCAAGAGCAGCACTCTTAACTGGTCGTCTCCCCATCAGGAATGGCTTCTACACCACAAATGCCCATGCCAGAAATGGTATGTCCTTCTTTTCCAGCAAATGAGCCTTTACTTTTGCAAGCCAAATGTTGGGGTCTTGCTTCAAGTTCCCCCACTAAAGACACATTCATTCATTCATTCATTACTTAACAAAATGTATATATACTACTTACTGGAACAAAAGACCTCCAGGCAATTTACAATAGGCTGCAATCCTAAGCAAATTTACTCAGAAATTAATCTTTTTTGAGATCATGGAAGTAATTGCCAGGCTTAGAATCAGGGTTGTATTGCAAACAAATAGGCCTGGTGTTGCTAGTCCAGCTAACAGGGTTTATAGGATCTTGAATGAACCTGCACATGTTATTGACTGTCATGACTGCCTCTTCTCTGCATGCAAACTGAGGAGAGAAAAAGGTTCCACTCTTCACTTGAGGACAAACTGCAGTTTCCTGTTATAGACAAACTACAGGAACTGTGGTTCATTCTAACTAGTTAAAACAAATCAATCAATCATGGTTTAATAGTCGGTTTTGTTAACTAACCAGGGTCAGAATAAACCATAGTTCCCTGAATTTGTACACAACAGAGAAGTGCAATTCGTTTTAAAGGGAAAGCAGAAGCATTCTCTCTTCTCTGCTCGCATGCAAAGAGGGCAAGTGTGAAAGCCTGAGGCTTATGAAAGCTTGCTTGCGATCATCTTAACTATGATACAGATAATAGCCTGAAGCAGACCTAAGACTTCCTGCATAAAGAGAATGTCTCCAAATGTTCCTGCTACAGTACAAATTCTAGTGCTCAGGTTGTTAAATCTGTTTTTGCTTTTGCTGCTAAAGAAGTTGTTTTATTGGATAGGTTAATTAAGATTCAGCAAAAGGCGGGTGGAGTGAAGAGAAGAGTTGCATGTTATTATGGAAGGTTAGCAATATGTTTGAAATACACTCTTACAGAAATATGTTCTTCCTACTAAGCCAGGCAAGGGCGTCTGGAGGGCACTACCAAGCTGTCCACAATGAGTGCTTTGCTCTAGCACTCCTGTTGGGAGGTGCCAGCTTGAGCTGATTTGCGGCCGATCTAGTTGGTGTTAGGGTTGTTTGTTCCAAAATGGCAGATGCTGTAGGAGACCATATGTTTTAGAGCATGCATTTACAGCTCCGGATTGGTGCTGCATATTGGCAAGTGTGGGTGTTCATCTCTTAGCTGACAGTGGAGGGATGCTTGTATATTAGAAGTCCATAAGAAGTACGGAAGAATGCATGCATTTAAAATTAGCTAACGGTCTGAGGCCTGATCTGCATGTCCTTTTTGTTTGAGGCATGAAAGGGGGCTTGTCACCTAATTCTGAGCAATCTACCATGTCGCTTGTTACTGTCTGCATTGATGACTGGTGGCTGTTCAGGTCTCCAGAAGAAGTTTACCGCAGGCCTACTTTTCCCTGTTCTCATTTTTAAAGAGCAACATCAGAGGTTGAGTCTTTAGAGCATGTGTTCTGCCACTGATGTACTGAGGCAGGGAATCCCCAGGGTCTTTAGAAAGAATTTATTTTAGTCCTCCTAACTACCAGCAATGTGGGTGGCTGACCCTCTTAGCCATTCAGCCGTGGTACCTCCCTGATATGCAGGCTGCAGTTTTTCTCATTTGGGAACAATAGAATGAACAGAAAACTGAGATATGCTTTAAAGCAGGGTGGGCACCTGTGAGCTCCTAGCCTGATTTCGTTCAGATGGGGGGAACTTGGAGAGAAAGAGGGGGGAAAGTGGGAGGGGGAGACCCAAAATGGGAGGAAGAGAGAAAAATCTGTCTGCAATTGATCAGTTTAGACTTCTGGCAAACGTGTTCTGTCCAATGCTCTGCCAGTGTCAGTGGGACCAAGTTTATTAAGTCTGTATCCTTCAGCTCTTGTGGGGGGTTGGCCTGTTAGTTGCCCATTCTTTTAGTTCAGTGCCCAGGGTACAAATCTGAGAGCTGCTATCTAGAAAACCACAAGTGGACTCTTCTGCTCAGGTGATATGTGCACAAACAGACCACATTCACATTATCTAAAGTGCTTTGCCTCTCATTGAACACAGAAACCATTTAGGAAAGGAAGCAGCTCTCCTCCACTTGCTTGTGAGGGAGCCAGAGGGCAAATTTGCATCTCAGTGCATGGTGCAAGCAGGTTTGCCATACAGTGGTGCCTTGGGTTACATACACTTCAGGTTACAGACTCTGCTAACCCAGAAATAGTACCTTGGGTTAAGAACTTTGCTTCAGGATGAGAACAGAAATCGTGCTCCGGTGGTGCGACAGCAGCAGGAGGCCCCATTATCTAAAGTGGTGCTTCAGGTTAAGAACAGTTTCAGGTTAAGAACGGACCTCCGGAATGAATTAAGTACTTAACCCGAGGTACCACTGTATTGGCTTGTTCCCTGCCCCTCTGCATTCTTCGTGTTTCTAAAAACAATTGACTGGCTCTCTGCTTTAAGAAATACCTTGGGAATCAATGGAACAGAGGCATAGCTGGGGGGGGCAGGGGGCACTGGGCACCACAATGCGGGAGATGGCACTTACCTTGGGGCCTACAGCACGCCTGAGCCATGCGTCTCTCCTGGGAGTGACACGGTGGCGCAGGTGCTTGCAGGTTTTGCAGTGCCCAAAACAGCAGTGTGGGACTTGCTGCTGTCTTTTGACTCCCCATCAGCTGCCCTACAGTGGGCAGCTTGCCCTGCCCCCATGGGCCACTCACCTTGCCCCGGGCACCAGAGTGGCTAGCTACACCACTGCAATGGAACCTGCTGTTGAGAGAATAAAGTTTTATTTTTTAAAAAAAATAATAATATTTATTAGTAGTTTTCAGAATTATAAGAAGAAAAACATTAAAAAAACATTAAAAAACAACACTATAATAGACAAAAAACAACAACACAAAAATCAATACAACAATACAACAAAAAGATAAAAAGAAAAAAGAAAACAACACAAATCCCAACTTACATATCTAAAACTTCCATTTGCTTGTTTCATTGACTTCCTCACACCTCCCTTTTTGTATTCTAGTTTAATTAGTTATTTCAGCAAATTCTTTCCATCTTTCTCAATTTTTATTAAAAAATTCATCCTAGCCTAATTTAATCTACTAATTAACTCAACAAATCCTTTCCATCTTTCCCCATATTCTATTGTTCACATTACCTTAATTAATTTAACCTTATCTTACCCTAAAACACCTTAAAGCTTGAATCTTAGTTATCAAATATACATTACTCCTGATATCATTTCTGCTAAAGTCATATAGTTTCATTCCAACATTTTCCCTAATATTCATTAATTTTTAGCCAATTCCCCAATTAGAAAATTTTCTTTATAAATTTTCTTCCAATCTTCATCCAACGTCCCTTCTTCCTGGTCTCGGATCGTGTCAGTCCTTACTGTCCATTCCATCTAGTCCATCAACCTGGAAGCCTTATGTCCGAGGCCCTTAAGTCTCTTCCATGTCCCTTCTGCAATTCTTCTTCTTCTTGTTTATACTTGCCCTTTTCCTTGTCTTTTGTTGGTCTCTTTCTTAGTTTCTTTCCTTTCTCATTGAGGGGTAGGCCTCTGGGGGGTTCCAAGCCAGAATTATCTCCATCTCCCTTCATCAAACCCGCCCATTCCCCACAGTCCCACTCCCCACAATCCTCAATATAGTCCAAAAAGTATTTAAAAGCATATTCCAAGGTCTCTCCAACGTTAGGAACCTCCTCAACTCCAGACTCCCCCTGGCCCACTCCAACTTCAATCTTCAATGACAGCGGCTCATACTCCTGTAGGGCCTCGGGACTCTCCATTTGTATTATTTGGGGTGCAACCGCATCCTCCTCCATTATCTTCTGCACTTGCCCAGTCAGTACAGATTCATGAGTTGGTCCCTGGATAATTTATATATCAATATTCCCTGTTTGCCCACAGTTATTAACTGCAACAGTCAAATCCATTTTCTCATTCATCAAGTCCATCTTCTCATGCATCTGTTCCAGCAGGGCACTTGTCTTACATAAGGCAAGCACCCAGTCTTCTTTCCAACTCATCTTTAGTCAAGGTCAGAAAAGCCTGTTCCCACGGTCTTAATCTCACATCTGTTGAGCCCTCAAGTGTACTGCAGCAACAATTTGACAAGCTCCCTCTAGAGGAGGCAATTTCTATTTGTATCCATTTTTTTAAAGGCAAGCCCAACAAAGGAAAATTACTTTCGTTTTTCAGATATTTTTCAGATATTTTGTTTCTTTAGGATGCAAAAGGCAACATTGGAATCAGCTTGTTTCTCTTCTTTAGCTATCTGTCAAAATATCCCATTCACAGTCAATGAACCTCTCCAACAATTTCTGTCTCTGACACCCCGTTCCCAGGTTAGAGACGGTGGAAACTTATCCTTCTTCACTCCCTCTCCTGCTAGGGTTGAACAAAGTCCCCCCCCCCTTTTCTCCTGCTTCCAAGGGGGTTTCAGTAATTCTAAATGAAGAAAATTTAGACTTTTTTGACAGCTTTCCAGGCTTTAGCTTACAAAGTTTTTGCTTTAGTCTATATACAAAAAGCGGAAGGCAGACTTCCTGTTTTGAACCTTCCCGCTTTGTTACCAAATTAAGAAATTTCTTGATCCAATTTTCCGTTTCTACTCACAGGTACTTGTTTTAAATCCAATTGTCCACAGGAAAAAGTCAGCGCTCTCCGGCAATGGCTGTGCGGCTTCACTCCGTGAAAGTAGCAGTCAGTTCGCAGCACCGCGCTTCTCACCCCACTTCGCTCCGGAGCCCCTAAATGGGATTCCTCGTGAGTAGGGGCGCTCCTGGTGCCCTGCCGAACCCCACGTTCCCAGGCTTCCTCCGCCTGGGATTTCTAGCGGGTCCCCACCTTCGCCGCGGCGGGAAGACCCAGTTTCCACGGAGCCCGTTCCTCCGGACGGAGGAACTCCGCCATTCACCGATGGCGCTGACCCGGAAGTCCGAGAGAGAATAAAGTTTTAGACATGAAACTGAATGGACACAGATAGTTATGTGAAATGTCCTCTAATATTTGGTGCAATTTGGGCCAGATATTTAGAATGAAGATGGCACATGTTTTAATCTATTTTTAGTTTATTGTTGATTTAATTTTAGAATGTTCTAAATCATTGTTAATTATTTTCATTGCTAATCTTATTGCATTATCTTTTTTGTAAATGGCTTTAAGGTGTTTTTTTTTTTTTACAATCAAGTGGCGTATAAATTTTATGAAATAAATAAATAATAGATCAGTCTTCCCCAACCTGGTGCCTTACTTGCAGTTTTAGACTGCAATTCCCATCATCCCCATCTATTGGCCATGCTGGCAGAGACAGATGGAAGTTGTAGTCTACTACATCTGGAGGTTACCGTATCAGCTACACCTCACTTAAATCCTGCTAATCCCTAATCCACCTGTCTTTCTGACCTGTCTTGTCCTATCCCCCAATCCCACTTGGCATGCTTTCCCTAATGAGGCCTCCCGCCACCGGTGCCCTTCCACCGTTAGGCTTCTGTTCTTAGACCAAGGTAAAGTTCGCAAACAGTGACAACAACTTCCAGTTTTGCGGCTTTCTTAAACCGAATAGTTTGTAAACAGGGCTGTTCTTAAACCGAGGTACCACTGTACAGTTAATAAATAACGTTACCACCTGCAAACCTTCTCATTTGGCTGAAGTGTTTTTGTCTTAATGCAGCCTACACCCCTCAGGTCATAACAGGGGGCATCCCAGATTCTGAGCTCCTCCTTCCAGAATTGCTGAAGAAAACAGGCTATGTCAATAAGATCGTTGGCAAATGGTAAAGCTCCTTTTTGAATATGTCCCTTTTTTTGTATGGCTTGCTTTATATGTGAGAGAATCAGAGTTCAAATAAGTTGGTTTAGTTTGTGATTTCTGTCTTCAGAAATCTTGGCAGGGAATCGTCCCCCCCACCACCTGCTGTGACTAATTTTAGAGCCAAGGACTATCGTATAATAGAGGCAACATGCTGCACTTATTTTCATAAGAAATTACAAACCTGCATTGCCAGAGCATGCCATAAGCAGTCATCAAATCTTTTATCTTTGGCCCTTGCAAAATGTGTTGATCTCTGAGGTATGGCACTTTCTGCCTAAATTGTAAGCTATTCCTTTTTGATCCTGCTTGAATAGCAGAGTTATTGAGTGGCTTCAGAGATGCATTCCCTTCCCCAAGGAGAGAAGGACTGATGCTAGCACTCTTCCAAGGAGTCATAGCATAATCTAGGCGGGCAGAGGGTAAACCAGGAACTACTGAACAAATATTGACCCACAATCTGCTTGTGCTGTATCCCAGGAGCACTTTTAAAAGAGCTAAGAGTTGGATCATTGAAATTGATGACAAACCTCTGTGGTGCTGGCGCAGGTGTTAACAAAGGTAACGGCAAAGCCACTGAAAATGGTTCTTTTATATAAATCATGGTTGTTAAGAAAAGGCTCACAGCAGCTGAGGAGGAAAGTGTGATTTCTGAGCCACTTTAGAAGAAAAAAGGAGAGAGACAGAGATGACTGTTCTCTTCCTATTGCTCCCCTGACGATTGACTTCCCAGATTGGTGTATGAATTTACTGCTGATGAAGAGATCAGTGGCTCAGGCAGGGTTTTGTAACTTTTTCCTTAAGGGGATTCTTCTGTTTGAAATGTTCGTGTGTTTAAGGACCATAGTTTGGTCTTACCTTCTAACCTAAAAGACACACCTCCTTTCTACTCTGTGGCCTTAGCACCTGCAGCTACACTGCCACCTCCCTGATCTATTAATGGGGCGACTCAGGATTGGGGAGTTCTTAGATCAAAGTGCATTGTAAAATTGCACGTGCAAGTCTTTGTGGCAAAGGATGCCACTGCTGGGGCTGGGCAGTGAGCCAGGAACTGGGAGCTGTGGGTTGAAGCCAGTAGTCAGGACCAAAGAGTAAGCCCAGGACTAAAGGAGAAACCAGGAGGCAGAATTGAGAAACAAGCCAGAAATCGGGACTGAAGAATGGTCAAAAGGATGCAAAATTACACTGCAGTTCAGGAAGACCTTAACTGGAACAGGCAAGCCTGTTGTGGGGTTTTCTGCCCTGAAGGATTCAAAATACCAGCCTGGGCAGATAGAGTCAGTGTGTAATTTAGTGGCTCACCATATGAGGCAACCATACACAGACCCAAAGGTTCTGACTTTGAAGTGTGTTGGCCTTGGTTGCCACTGTAACAAATTTAAAGCAAGGATAGCCAGTCCCGGCCAGCAGGGTCCAGTGGTCATAGACAATAGTTGCCTCATATGGTGAGTTGTGGTCTACCAATATCTAGAGGGCACCACATTGGATCCCCCCAATTTCAAGTAGCACATTCTGCAACAGAATTAATAGCCAAATCTTTCTGGAGATAAAGTGTGTCATGCAAAAAATGTCAAGCCAGGATAATACAGCTAATAAATGCAGCATCTACATGAGCATTTTTCCCCCATTGGTTTGGGGAGCAGATTCAAGGGTTATTGTTAATAGAGAGTCCAGGGGGACCTGGGTTCAAACACCCTGCTTGGCGGTACAGTATATGTGACTCCTGGTTGGCAGCTCAACTTACGTTACACCTCACTGAAGATAAAAGGGCAGTGGGGTGACATTGTTCCTTGGAGGAAGGGCAGATTAAAAACAGGGGCAAAATAACACAGGCCAAGAAAGGATGCATATATTTCAGGGGATTTGCCAACAAGCTAGCGAACATTCACTGATGATCAAGCTGTTTGCCACTAGAAGCACCGTCCTAGGAAAGAAAGCAAATGAACCCACACCCGTGAATTATTTATTGCTGCAAATCCAAACAGCAGACTGCCGAAGAAGAAAAATACAGCTCAGTGGGCTGCAGGCAATGGGATGCAGCTGAGTGCTAATAAATGTAAATTCATACACCTGGGGAAAGGAAATAAACAGCACAGATACAGATTGGTTCCAGGGAGTTATCTGGAAAGCAGCAAGTCTCAAACAACCTCAGAGCCATAGCAGAAAGCTAATTAAGTCTGAGCTTGCAGCATAGTTCCTCTTGTGAGGGTAGGAAGCACCAGATTGGTTAGACCTGGCGCCTGTTGTGTCAGCCTGTTTCTAGGGCTGAATGTCATTGCCAATCGGTAAAGGGGTGCAGCGCAGAAGAGGGAATGCAGTGCATTCTTCACTCTGCAGGCTGTCTTTTTGTGGTGCTTCCCCCCACAAAAAAACAGCACAATGTGGGCCATGCTGGTCAAGTAGAGGACCAGTGCCCGCCCCACCCCCACCCCACTTGTCACATGTTTGGTGCAATCTTCCATGCTTAGCCAGCTGGTCAAAACTCTGCCCCCAAAAGAATCTGAATTCTGTGACTTAATCATTTAAATAGGTCTATACTTTCCTTCAACGTGATTCCAAAAATAAAATCAACTTGTTAAAATACAGTAACTCAGAAAACAATGTGATATGACCAACCACAGTAAAACAATGAAGCATATTGCAACATACCTGGTCTTAAAAACCAGAAGATGCCTGAGTGAGAAAGCAAGTCGTTAGCAGGTGTCAAAAGCGCATCAGAGTCTGCACCTTATTTCAGGGAGGAAATGATTCCATGAGCTCGGTTACCCAACAGAGAAGGCTTGTCACACCATAGCCCTAGACAAGATGAGGCACAACTAAGACTTCCTCATCTGAGAATCTCAGCATGGGAGATAACATACTTTAAGTGTCCAGGCCTATGTCAATAAAAACCCTTTAATATTGCTTGGTGATAAATTGGCAGCCAGTTCAATTCTTTCAACAATGGCATCCCATGGTCACAGCAGGCAGCTCTGCTCAGCAGTCTAGCTGCCAAATTCTGCAGTACCTGCAGCTTCTGAACCAGCTTTAAGGGCAGCCCCACATAGAACAGATTACAGTAACCCAGTCTTGAGGTTACCAACGTTATGGGTTGCTGTGACGAGGCTATCTTTGTCCAGGAATGGCAAGGAATGATCACAGCTTGTACACCAGCCAAAGCTGGTAAAAGGTGCTCCTAGCCACTAGTTAATTGTGCATCCTCAGGCTAAGCCTGAACTCAGACTGGATTGGATCCAGATAATCATTTTTCTCTAAGAGCACCCAAAACTGAAAAGCCAGCACCTGCCTTAAGCTTTAATTATACAAATTAAGCATGTTGGCTTCGATTTTCTCATTTGCCATCATCATTCCTCTTTTCCTTATGGAGCAGGATAAGGAACTATGTGGGCTAGCATCAATCCTGCTCTGGCTCTGGAAATGGCACAGTCTTTGCCAACCTGGAGCCCTTCAGATGTTCTGGACAACAGCCGCCATAAGCTGCAGCTAGCACAGCAAAGCTGGCTTGGACTGATGGTACTTGTAGCCAAGAAAATCTGAAGGGTATCAGGTGAAGGGTATATTACATTTTTCACATATTTTTGAGCCATGGAAACTACTATTGATAAATGTTGTGCAGGGTTCAGCAGAGGAAATGGTCTAGCAAGGGACTTTGGGAGGTTACATGTGATGGACCAGGAAGCCCCCAAAGGCAAATTATCTGAATTAGTTAGCTGTGGGCCTTTCATTGTCTTTTTCTTAACCATGGGTTATTACATTTGTCAGCTTCTTTGTTACAGTGCATTTTTTGTGCAGTGCTGATAGGGTGATTGATCTTCTCTTATGCATCCCTGACTGGTTTTTTCTTTTTCTTTTCTTTTTGTTAATCTTTTCTAGGCACCTTGGCCACAGACCTGAGTTCCATCCCTTGAGGCATGGATTTGATGAGTGGTTTGGATCCCCTAATTGCCATTTTGGACCTTACGATAACAAGGCAGCGCCTAACATCCCTATTTACAGGGACTGGGAAATGATTGGCAGGTAGCCGCTTTTCTGTGTCACCTGTGCCTTGTTGCCTTTTGCTTTTCTTCTGCTTTTTCTGGCTCCTTTTAAGCTCCACTACAGAAGAGGGCCTAGGGCTCCATTCTGCTGCCCTTCCTTCCTTCCAGCAGAGCATAACGTGCTGGCGTTTGCCTTTTTCCCCCCTGTAAGAGGCCAGGGGGCTCTAGGCTTCTGGATCAAGGACCTCTGCAGGGCTGCATTTTCCAGAAATTCCACCACACGTCAACACTTACTGAGACACACCAGGCACCCGAGGTGAAGTGATGGAAATACCACCTGATACGTACACAGAGTGGGCTTGCAGTACCCCCTGAGGAGCTGCCATATGCAGTGAATTATGTATGAGAACTCCATTAACAATGACAAGGTTGCAGAGTTAATCACTCGGAAGTTAGGAAACAGCAGCCCCCGAACTGGCTTACTCTTCTGCTGTAGCTTTGGCTGAAATCCACCAGCCAATGTTACTCCTGAGAAAATCACTCTGAAGGCCCCTTCTAAGTTACGCTTTCCTCTACAGAAATATAGTATGTCTCCATTTAAAGGTAAGAGATATTAAGAAGTGCCTCTGGCTGCTTTCTGTGTGGCATTAAATGTGTTTTTGTCTGCGGTGCTGCCCAGTCTAGTGTGCTTATGAGTGGGTGGGAAAGGTCCTGTTTATGCTTTATCTACTCTGACATTAATGCAGTTTTCCCCAGCCTTGTACCCTCCAGATACTTTGAACAACAGCTTCCACATGTTGTTGGGTTCCTAACTCCTACCACCCCTGACCATTGGCTGTGCTGGCTATAATGGGAGCTGTACTCCTATATATCTGGAGGGCCCAGTGTTGGGGAAAGCTGGATTAAACTATATAAGATGAACAGCCGAAAAAGCAATCCTCAGCGAAACAGAGCAGAGCTATTTGAGATTGTATTCATGGTTTGCGTACATGGAGTAACGTTTCCTATTACATAGTGACTCGCTGCCATCTTCCCAGGGGGCTGATGGGGAGCAAAGCACTTATCCTGTAAAACATCTGGAACATTTTTTCTGTTTTTTGTTTAAAACTTTCTAGGTATTACGAAGATGTAAAAATTGACCATAAGACGGGGGAAGCCAACCTAACTCAAATGTACTTACAGGTACTCTGTATTCTGATAAAACGTTCTTTAAAACCCACAGGCACTTTCTGCTTGCTTGCTTATACATATGTAGCATGGGTGGCCATATTTAAGGTTGATTCTCTTGTCATTTCCAGGAAGCCCTTGATTTCATTAGCACACAGCATGCCAGCCAACAGCCGTTCTTTCTGTATTGGGCAATCGATGCTACTCACGCGCCTGTGTATGCCTCCAGGGAGTTCTTGGGCACTAGCCAACGAGGACTGTAAGTCGCTTTTTGAGCTGAAGTATCATTTCCTCCTCCCTTCCTTTTTTTGGCACTAGAAGAAAAGCACTAGAAGAAAACCAAGAACAGTGGTGGTTGACAATAGAGAGCACAACTTACAAGTTTAAAAGTACGTTTGTTATGAGCATTAAAGAGCAGCAGGTGCTTTGAGAGTGTTTATCCTCGGTTGAAGACTCTCTTGCAATCTGAAATAAAAGTCTTGCATCCAAAGCAAATAGGGTTGACAACTATCGATTGAGATCAAAGATTCTGGTACCTGGGTACAGTCTGGAGGCAAGACCAAAGCTGATCTGAGGGTTATCTAGCCAGGGAGCCAAGCATAAAAGCTGTCATATCAAAGGTGTACAGCCCAAAAAAACCTGGAGGGAAGTGTTAGACTCTCATTTTCTGACAACTGACCCCGAAGCAAAACCAAAAATAAACGTTTAAAATGGCCACATTTTATTTTTTTGTTTTTTTAAACAGTAGATTGGTAACTTTGCTTTCTGAATACCGTATTTATTCAAATCTAATGCTCACCTTTTTGGCCAAATTACATTGCGAAAATTAAGGTGCGCATTAGATTCTATGGCACATTTACATTTGCCAGCAAATATGGTTTTTTTCTTTTGTTTCAAGGTTCTGAAAATTGGTGGTTCATTAGACTCGAGTAAATACGGTGTTTTTAGTGGATGGTGTCTTCCCTCCTCTCTCCAATTTGAGCCAGGAATCACCAGGGCTTAGTCAAGGACACATGTCCAGCATCAGAGATTAAGAAATTTGGAAGACTCCCCCCCCCCCATCCTTTGCACTAAGATTTCCTTTGCAACTTTCAAGTACTCTGTGTGTGTGCTTGTCCACACACACGCTTCCTCTGTGGTTCCTCTTCTCCTCACCATCCATTCCAGTTTTGCTTTGAGGACATTCTGTGCTGAGTGAAGATGACCAGCTGAAATGGAGTGGGGCTTTCAAAAGGCCCCCAAGTCAGAAAGAAGGGAGCCAGCTTTGTGGTGATCAGCAGCGTCCCTTGTGAGATTGGGTGGATCTTGCTGTTGGATTTTTAGCTTCTCTGGGAGCACATCTGAAAGTTCTCTTGGTGATACTGAGTGACCACTTGAATATAACTAAGAGCTATATATAAAAACAATACCTAATAATTAATGTGTTAATTATGAACAAATAAAACTTTTAAAAACAGTTAAGAGCTTTGCTCTAACAACCAACATACCCCTCCCCAAACATAACTAAGATTTGTAAATTCCTGGTGGGTAGCCGTCTTGTTAAAGCAAAAACAAAGAGGTTTATGGTATCTTAAAATCGACCTGAATGACTCATGCATCTTGACAGCATGGACTCTGACCTATTCAAGCTTTTGCTAGAATAATAGTGCATATTACCTGGAATTCAACCCCACTTCATTCAACAGAGCTTACTACAAGGTCAGGGTGAAAAAAAATCCAATCCTCTTCACACTTACCTGAGAGTAAGCCCGCTTGAACACAGTAAGACTCACTTCTGAGTAAACATGCATGTGCTTTTACATATTTAAGGTCCCAAAAAGACTCCATATTTGAAGAACTGGAAATAAACATTTGTTGCCCAAACAAATATGCAGAATAACTCATTTCCTTTTCCAATTATTTAAGACATTTTTATACTGCCCTTCATTAAGAAACATTCCAGGGTGGCTTACAAACAATATAATCCAATATAATGTGCTAACTTTTATACTGACTACATAAAGTCAACACATTAAAACCATTGAATACTTAATATCTACAGTACCTAAAAGAAATACTAAAAGCTTGGTATTAAGACCTTTAAGAAGAAGGGCCCCGCTGGAATAGACCAAAAGCCCATCTAGTCCAGCATCTTGTTTTCACAGTGTCCAGCCAGGTGCCCAAATGGGAATCCTGTAAGCAGGGATCTCATAAGCTGTTGTAAACAATTAGCAAATAGATGAGTAATAGCTGCCTAAAACCAATAAAGAGTGACATCTTCCTTATCAGTACCAGTATCCTCAGCCCTTAGCAGTCTGTTATAAAATTTATTTTGTAAATGAAACACTTTTTCTGAACCCTTGCTATTTTTGGAACTGGTTGATTTAAAAAGGGGGGTTGTTTTATAATGTGTTTATTATTTTGTTGTGAGCAGCTTTAAGAGCAGTGTTTTGGAAACTATTTACAGATAAATAAATATTACCATTGCATATTACAGAATCTACAAGTCCTAAACACAAACACACACACCCCCCCCACTTGACAGGCTTGTAATTTGCTCTCCCTGCCTCTCAGGTATGGTGATGCAGTGAGAGAAATTGACGACAGCATTGGGAAAATACTGAGTCGCCTTCAAAAGCTGGGCATAAGCAACAACACCTTCGTATTTTTCACATCTGACAACGGTGCTGCCCTTGTTTCCGGTCCTGATCAAGGTTGGTCTTCCTGGTACAGAGCTTGTCAAGTTAGGAATAGAGAATTTGAGACTTCCACATTTCACCTAGTTCGTTCCTAAGATCTAACTGGTCCATTCCTAAGATCTAACAGGTAAAATGTGGCCTGCTGACACCTGAACCAACTTATTAAGCCCCAGATCTGTAAATTCTCCTTAGCATGTCTCAATAAATGCAGAGGATCTTACAAGCATGTCTACTGAACTCTGAAAAGCTGTTAAGATGACAATTCCCTTGCATTTACAGGTTTGCTCCATTTCACAACCTTTTGGTTTTTAGTTCCCTTGGGCACAGTCACTGTGAATTAATCACTTGCCCCCTGTAATTTGTTCACACATCCCATCCCCGCAGTCTCAGAGGCAACTCTGAGGTTGATTTCAGGAGCATACAGATCAGAAGGAATTGCCACGAGTTCTAATCCCAGTCAGGTTATTGGCTCTTTTTATGACCTCCTGCAACTCCTGACTTTCAGCTGAGCAGCAATGGCCTCTGCTAACTGGCTGCTGATTTTGAACATTATGTCTGTTTGCAGTTGTGATCTTTAGTATAGAGAGAAAGGAAAATTTGTCTGCTATTATTCACCTTGTTTCTCCTTTTTTCAAATTACAATTAATGGTGATGCAAAGAGACTGAAGTAAACAATATATACTTTGGAAATTACTCTTGACATTGGTTAACCAACCCACTGTATGGAAACTGGGGTCTCATTCTGTCTCTTTATAGCCTTCAGCAAATCACTGTTTCTCAGCCTCCTTCCCTACTCATAAAAATGTTAATAATAATAATAACAATAATAATTAGGAGCCTAATCTTCTGGAACACTTAAGGGGATGAATGCATTAAGGTTTGTATGGTAGTTTGTAGGTTAAAAAACCATCTTTAACTGAGACTTAAAGCTTGTTTTCTAAAAGCTACACAAATACAATGTCAAGAAATAAACGAACATCAAGTATATGTTGTCATTATGATATTTCAGTGATGTCACACCAGTGTCACAGCTCAGTATGCTACTGCAAATGTCCAGGATGGAAGGGTTAATATGCTATGTAGACTATGATGTTGATTGACATTGTTCAAAGGACTTGAACAAAATTTGTTGGTGGTGTCCTTGGGGAATAGGTTTGTTTTACCCTTTAGTTTTGCTTATTTCACCTTTGAGTCATACCTCTCCAGAGCTCTTTTAGAATTACTGTTTTCTCTTTCTCTAGCTGGTAGCAATGGCCCTTTCCTATGTGGCAAGCAAACTACCTTTGAAGGTGGCATGAGAGAGCCAGCAATTGCCTGGTGGCCAGGACATGTACCTGCTGGGCAGGTGAGAGTCTGCAGTTATTTAATGACTTTGTTACAGTCTGTTCTGAAGGTGTCTCTTTCTTTTTAATGAATTCTAGTGGGCTTTTAGTCAGAGAGACCTGTTCTCATCTTGCAGAAGAGCCTTCCAGGCACGGCAGTAAGATCTGGTGTTGCAGCACTATGGAGTGAGCAACTTGCTCCAACAAGGCTAAAGGTAGACGGGGGCCTTTTGAGCTCTTGCCTCCAGTCTTGCTCTCCCTGGTTGCACCCCCTTTGTGAGAACTGCAATCCTCTGGCCTGTAGATGGGCATTCTCCTGCAGTGTGTGGCCTCCTGCTTTGTGTGCTTCTTGCACCCTTTTGAATCCATGGAGGGTTGCTGCCAGGCAGTGCAGACAACACTGAGCCAGATGAACCAATGGTCTGAGTCAGTATAAGGCAGTTTTGTATGTTCCTAGGCAGCTAGAATAATCATCAGGGTAACTCAGTTGATCTTCCACCACCCTTATAGTTAGAATGACCTTTCTCCAAACCTGCCTAGACATTTTTAGTGTTTCAATATGTTTTCCCCCTTGTATCTCTAGAAGGTTAGAACAAACAACTTCAGTTCTTCCTAACAGATTGTAGGAAGGCAAAGCAAAATGTTGGAACACCAATCATGATAATCTGCTGTTGGAGCAAAGTTACCTAATTTTATATTTAGCCTTCTATAAAGCAAATAACAATACAGTAGTAATATTTAACATTAGTCCAGGAGTTCAAAGCACTTCACATGCATTACTTCAGATGCATAATCCTTATAGTAACCCTACATAGGAAGTCTCTTTTATTATCCCCCATATTGGAGGGGTAAGGGGTGGGGAGACTGGGAGGACTAAAGCTGTACGGCAGTGGCTTACCTATGGCACTATGAACTGCCTTTGTAAAGTACAGTTGCTGGTACCCACCCAGGCCATTGCCATGAGAGCTATGCACCTAAACATCCCTAATTGTCTTCCAGATTGCTGGCTCGTTTCCATAGGGCCAACACTGTTACCTGTAACAAGTGCATGCACAATATTCAGGGCACATGTTTAAAGTGGAGTATGTGTGCTCACTCCTCCTCCCTAGCTTGACTTAGCTTTAATTGTGAGCCCTTTGGAACAGAATCCTTCTGTATCTGCACAGTGATGGGTTTATAACTGATATACTAAATTAGCAGATCTCATGTTAGGGAAGCAGCCCTCGCATGTTGTCCTAAAGCATCCAAGAAGTAGGCAAAAGTGGGTTGTGATTTTTTAGGTGACTGTTGCACTGAGGGAGGTCTGTGTACTAGGATGTGGCTGTTTCTCTGCTTAAATGTGAAGTGATTCTGAGCTCTACGGTAACCAGCAGGTAGCTCTCCTCAGGGGGCAAAAATGGTGTGTGCAAGAAACCATCTTGGTGCTCATTAATGATCAAACAATCAAAGCCTGCAGGAAACAGGTTTCTAAGTAAATAATGGGCGTTTTCTTTCTTTTGTGGATATCTTCATTCCAAAGAGAGAGAGAGAGAGAGAGCTATTCAGAAACTGGACTTTTATGAATCCTTTGTGCTCTTGGACGAAGAAAACTTTTAGTTTCTAATCTACATCTCCTTTCAAGGCTTTTTAATTAAATTGAGAAGAAGGCACTGTATGAATGACACATTGGCCCAGCTTGCACAAAACGCTAAACCACACACCATGGCTTAGTGGGTATGAGCAATTGTGCATGTTCCCAGAGTGAAGATCTTGGCTGCTACATTCCTCCCTTGGTCCTGTTGCTGCTGTGCTGCCTGGGACTACATTATGGTTTAGCTTAGTTTTAAGTCTGAATGCTGGCTTGTCCCCCTGACAAACCACAAGTGGTAAACCAATAGCAAACATTGGCCACACCTTGTGGTTCGGAGTGAGACAAACGATGAGCCCAGGTTCAACCATAACATGCTCTTCCCTGCGATCATCATGTTTGCTTGTTTGCATTAAGTCATGGTTTGGCTCAATGTTAACATGTGCACCATGTCATTGACTGACTGGGAAGGATGCTTCCAGATATCTTAAACCCAGTGAATGAAGTGGAAAGATGATTTCAGGTTTGTCACTGTTAATGGGTATTGCACACAATAATAGGTCGTCCTCTTTAAAATGTTGAACATAGCACTTTTGATCTCTATTCAGAGGTGTTTGTGTAGGTGAACTCTTTGCAAGCAAAGGTCAGTGGTCTCTGAATGTTGCACACAACATACTTCTGATCCTCAGCCAGCAGGCCCCGTCTGAGCCCCTCTACCATCCCTTGGTGCCTCCTACCCACCATCCTATAAGGACTCTCCTGGGCTGTTGGCTTCCTTTTTTGGGATTGCACACCTTTAGAGATAAAGCCTCTGTTCCATGTGCCAGCATGAGAATGTGGTGGCAGCTCTTATTTTATAGAGAAATACAGCACAATATATGTTAATTGCTGTTTCCGCCTTACTTTCAAGACCTCTTATGCTCTGAAGCCCCATAGTCTCCCTGCTGCAGGTGAGAAGTAAAGAGCTGCTTTTTGTTTCTACCTGTCTGCTCTGGCATCATGTTCTGCTGATCTGCATGGTGCTTTTTCTGCTTTTCTAGTTCTTTCTTCATTCTTTCTCTTTTCAAGGTTTGTTGCCTGACCTCTTCTATCTGCTCCCCCTCCAAAAAAATGATTTCAGTGGGACATATTTACAGATTTTCATTGCATATCTGCATTGCTTAATTCACTGCTTACTTTACTGTGTTGCCTAATTGAAGCTGAAGTAGCTCACAGCCTATCTTTATAATCAATGCCAGAAATATCTCTAGGACATCCGTAGGTAACACCTCATGCATCATGAAGTGGACTGCAGCCCATGAAAGCTTAATGCCAGAAAAGAATTGTTAGATGTTTCAGGTGTTACAAGACCCTTTGTTGTTTTTGCTGCAGGAGACGTAAGGCAGCTACTCCTCTGGAAATCTAGGAATCAATACAAGCATGAGTGGAAGTTGTTTACGTGGCTGGAGTTTCCTCTTTTTGAAGAGAGGGCAAAAGCTCCTTCCCAGAGGAATGTATTGCAACAGAAAAAATCCTCAGTTAACCCTGTATTCCGCCATTGTTGTATTACAGAAGCTGATCTGTTTTTGTTTCTTTTGGCTGTCTTTAATTTGATACTGAGCTACCCACCTACATGGCAGTTTACAAAGAATGAGGAGAGAACAGGCACCTGTTCCTAAGGACTGTCAACAGCCTTTGCCAACCTTGTGCCCTCCATATGATTTGGACCATGGCTTCCATCAGCCCTTGCCATGTTGGATGGAGCTCATGGGAGTTGTAATCCAAAATAACTGAAGGGAACCACGCTGGCAAAGGGTGACATATTGAATTGGAATACAAAAAAGGGAGGCGCGAGGAGGTCCGGGAAACAAGCCAATGAAAGATAAGTAATGGAAAGATTGAGTTGTTTTTAACTACTTTTATTTTGTATTTTTTCTTTTTCCTTTTTTCATTTTGTAATATTTTGAAAATTTTAATAAATATCTTAAAAAAAAACAAAAACAAAGGGTGACATACAGTATTGAAATTGACACAAAAACGGCAATAGAAAAAGAGGAAATGGGGCTGTGTCAAAGGCTTCATAGGAAATGCTACATTCCAACATCATTTTAGGTACACTTAGTCCCCAGAGACCAGTGGCTTTAAATACTCCTGTCTCTGTCTTGGATTGCAGCCTTTGACATGAACTCTTTTTTGCCCAAATGAATGGTTTGTGAGCAGATATTTTTTGTTACATGACGAACTCTGATATTAACAGACAAACAAGCCTGCCTCCTCTCCAGCTGTGGAGCTTTATAAACCATTTTTAAACAACAGCAGCAGCAGAAGCAGCAGCACATGTGTCTGTTAAAGATGGAGCTGTGTGTTCATTGTACCGAAGGAAGCCCAATTGATATATGCCTTTTAAATTATGTACTGTGTGATGCAGACTGCAAATCTGGATATATTTATATTTGCAGGATTTGGAATATTCTGGCAACTACTAGCACATTGAAAAACAATAGAAGAGGGGGTAAATAGCTTGGGTATGAAAAGGCATTAGCTGCCCTGCCATGTGAGAACTATCGTAATCTTGTCTCAAGATGGCATTTTTAAGCTTTCTACAGACATTCCTCATTATACTCTCAAACATGAGGGCTAGAAACTGCTTCAAATGAAAGCAGAAGTTCTCAGAAGGTCAATATGCATGTCAAGATTCTTGAGTGTGCAAACAGAGTGGACATGGGGAATGTACTAAGTATACATACATTAGTCAAACTGAAGAAAGTGTGTTAAATATAAGAATAAAGGAACATGATACAGCAGAACTGGAATGAGAGAATAGTGGGTGATTTGGGGGTTTTTTGGGTTAGTTCTGGAGGAGAGTTTTCTGAACCAGAAGCGTCCTCCTTACTAAGTTTTCATAGTGTCAGTTTTCATAGGTTTTTTTGCCCATACTGTTTTAGGTTGTAGAACATAAACAAGCACTCTTTCTGGATTTCTTGCTCTCCCCACTACCCAAAAGTCTTGGCTGAATTTTCCAGGTGGATTCATAACCAGCGAAAACAAACTTTAAACATTTTCCCATGCTGCCTCTGCCTTCTAGAAGCATTCTGCTGGCAGGAATCTGTATTCTGCTGTTCTTTGAATCCTCTGTTTGCTCTGTGCCCCCTCCTTTCCTTTCCTTTCCTTTCTCTTCCCCTCCCACCACCGCCACAGCTCTTCCCCCCCTCCCCGCGCGCTCCCCTCTTCCCACCTCCCCGGTTCTGCTCCCTGAAGGAGAAAAGAACATATCAACCCAAAGACAGCAGTGCAACCTTTTCTTCACTATCTCCCACAGGGCACAAATTGAAATTGAATTAGACAGGGATATCAGGTCTGCTTGCTGTGATAAATGTAAAAGGATTTTATTTAAAAACACCCTGACATTTGTTCACCCAGTTTCAAATATTTAGCTTTCCCCCTTTCCATTCCTGGCGGGGGCAACTTTATTAATTGTCGCCTTTGATTCAGAGTTAGAGCTTGAAAGCACTGATAACGCTGGCGCTGGCTATTTCTTCTCGCAATGTGGCCCAGAGCAAAAAGGATTTCATTTTCTTAAAGACATTCTGTGTATGCCGAGAGTTTATAAATATATATATATATATATATATATATATAACATTTTTTATTTAAAAAAACACAACCTCTTCTTTACTTGCGGAATACCGGCTGTTCCTTGCTGATACTGGAAATATCTGATCTTGCTCCTCTGTTTTTCATTATTTATTTTTCACTGGGCTGTTACTCTCTAGAATATCCTTCCTCCCCCCCCCCATTTGTTACAGGAATTGCAAGCAAAATGAAAGCGTGCTGTCAACGCAAGAAAATACTAAATCCCCCCCAACCTTATTTCTCCTCTGAAAATACTTCAAAGTTTATATAAAAATCGTAACCTCCTCCCTGCCCCACTTCCCTCCCCTCCGGTTCTTCTCTTTAATGTGGTGCTACAGATAAAACCAAGTGGCTGTAACACTGACGTTTAATTTCTTTTAAGAAGTTTTCTCCCCCTTTACGCAGAGAGAACAGCGTGCAAGACCACGGATGTAATTGGCCATTTAAAGTGAGCTGCCTGCACTCCGGGCTCTGTTTAATAGCGAGGGGCAGGTACAAGGAAGTCGCTGGCAGCTCCCTACTGGCCAGTCTATTGATTCAGGACAGAAATCAAAGGCTCTTTGAGTTTACCCACAATGTTCTGTTAAAAAAGTGACCTTAAACCATTCACCTCTTCCCCCTGCCGCTGCCCTTCCAGCCCAAACGCAGCTTGGAGAATTTACAGCATCATGTGGTCCACAGGAGCCCAGCTTGGAGAAATGCTGCTCCTGTTGGGCTCAGCAGCTGCTTCCAAAAGCCTTCGACCTTGATAGCTGCTCTGAAAGGGTCTTTTTAAATTTATTTTTTGAAATATATAACTGCAAACATGAACCCATAAAAACAATATGCAGGTTCCAACTACTACCATATTGTACAGAAGTATCCTTTTCTCATCGCCCTGAAAAGCCCCACCACCATACTACACTTCATCACTTACCTGAATTATTTTAAACTTATATATCATCTCAATCATGAGAATGTGTCCAAAAATTCCAAATCGCATGCTGCTCTGAAACTGGTGTGTGTGCGACTTTACTGCTTCCGCAGCTTCCTTTAGGTATCTTAGCAAACCTCTGCTGGGAGGCCTGGGACCAGGCTTGTTTGGGTCTAAGAGTTCAAAGAACAAGTATAGAGGACAAGAGGTGGGATGATTAGACTCCCTCCCTCAAAGACGCTTGGGCCACGTAGCTTGCTACTTGGTTTATTATTATTATTATTATTATTATTATTATTATACTGCCCTATACCCAGAAGTCTCAGGGTGGTTCACAGAATAAAATTTTAGCCGTAAAACAAAATTTTAGCTGTAAAAATGAAATAATGCTGGGACATGGCTGTAGATTAGAATACATGTATTGCATGCAGAAGGCTCTGGGTTCAATTCCTGGCATCTCCATGTAGGATGGGGAAACAGACCCATCTGAAATCCCAGAAGGCTGTTGTCAGTCACTGTTGAATCTGATAAAAGGCAGCTTCCGCTGATCCTATTTTAATAATTCCTTCCTTCAGAATCATGAGGATTCTTAGTTTCCCTCCAGGGAAGGGCCATTGCTGAATTTTAGAGCACATACTTTGCATGCAAAAAGATTCCAGGCTGCTTCCTCAATACCTCTAGGTAGAGACTGGAAAGACCCTGTTTGAAACCCTGGTAAGCTGCTTCCAGTGTAGGTGATAACTGAGAAAAAGCTTCCTAAACACAAGCTTTTTACCCAACTGCCTGGAGTAGAATCCAGAATTGAACCCTGAACTGCATATCTTGGAAGGTGATGAGACTATTCTTAAGACCTCATCATTGGAAGCAGAAGCTCCCTCAACTCAGGGTCTGCTAGCTTTGATTGTTTTGCAAATTCTCTTGTCTTGTCAATAACAGGTGAGTCATCAGCTGGCAAGCGTGATGGATCTCTTCACCACCAGCCTCGCATTGGCAGGACTGCAGCCTCCCAGTGACAGACAGATCGACGGAATCGACCTTTCGCCTGTCATCCTGCAAGGCAAGTTAATTGACAGGTGAGTTATGAACATCACACTCGCGGCTTTCCATCCCTTGACTCCTCCAATTACTGGTGTGGAGCAGAAAAAGTTGGATATTTTTAGAGCCTCTTATTTTTAGAATGGGTCAGGTATTTTGGCTGCTGGATTGGGTGTTTTAAAGTAATGCTATTGTACTGACTCTAGCTCCCTGGCAGAGCACATATTGCATGTAGAAAGTCCTAGGTTCAATCTTCAGCATCTCCTAGTAGGACTGAGAGAACTGTCTAAAACCCTGGAGAGCCACTGCCGGTCAGCGTGGTATACAGTACTGAGTTTGATGGACCAGTGCTCTGATTTATTATAATTGATTAATTAATTAATTAATTTTTCTATACTGCCCTTCATCCAAAGATCACAGGGCAATTTACAGTGATTTTGACTGATATAAGGCAGCTTCACATATACACCCATAATACAATGTCGATTATATTTGTCCTCTCTAATTAGGAACAAATGTTCATCTACAAGTAATAAGAAATACTGGATAGAGAGAGTCAGTGGCAGGACATGAGGTGAAGGGCAAAAACTATACCAGATCCTTCTGCTATTTTCTAGAAATCATCCTGAAAATGTGAATTAATGCAGACCTCCCCACTGAATTTTCTTCATTGCTAATAGACTGCGTACTGGTCCAGTATGAACCTCCTTTAAAATAACAGCTGATCCACATTGTGTGCGCTGAAAATATCTGGGTGGGGGAATTTTCTCTTACATCTTTTGCATGCAAGCATAACACAGATAGTGTTTAAAAATCCCTTTCCTCTACATTTTTGTCACCCGCCCTAATGTAGTTTCAAGGTGGTGTAGGGCGCAGGATGTCCCTCAGATGGCAGATATCAAGATAATTATTTGTCCGTTCTGTTCAAAATTCCCCTTTCTGTGACTGGTTTGCCAGTGTTCACAGCACACTTGTACAGTCTGGCTTTCCAGGGCCGTACTCTGAAGACATTGGCTTCCTGTACCCTTTGCAGCTCCCATCACACAGGTGCCCCCTCTTTTGGAGTATTTTAAGCCATCAGGCTCTGTGTGTGAAATTACATAGTCTGGTAGTTCAAGGATTAACAATTGCCAGCAAGATGACTTGCATAACATTTCATTCTTGCTTACGCAAACTCAGACTCTCGCCTTGATGGACGCTTTAAAAAATGCTAATTGAAAACCTTGCGGTGGAGGCTATTAGAAGGCAACCTGCTCCTGAGTGATAGCTGAGTTGCCAGCCAGGCTCCATTAAAGTGTTTGTCTCCCTTATCTGTGTGGCTGCCAAAAGCGAGGGAAGCCGCTTGTTTGGACACGTTACATTTCTCATGCGGCTGTACATCTCTCTTGTTGTCCTTCCCTCTCTCCATCAGGCCAATATTTTATTACCGTGGCAACGAGATGATGGCAATACGAGTTGGGCCTTATAAGGCCCATTACTGGACCTGGAGCAATTCCTGGGAGCAATTCAGCCAGGTAATTGAATATCCTCCCTCCCTCCTTCCCTCCTGCATGCTTGTCTTCCTCCTCCCATGGAAATACACCCGTCAGTCCCAGAAGAGAAACTCAGATCATCAAAATGTCAACTTTTGCTCCATCTTCATTTTTGTTTAATGCAAGCCATGGTTTTGGGGATATGTTAAGGGGGTACAGATCGGGCTAGCCCACCTTCCACAGTGGTGCTCAGGAGGCCATCGCCTGTGCATGTGCCTGCTGCTCTTTGTGACTGTCTCTGTCTAGTCCTGGCTGCTGTCATGTTCCTTCTGGTAGAGCATATGCCGGCACAGCATCCTTCGGAAGCACAGCAGGTGGAGCTGGGCACCAGCAGCCTCTGGGAGCATCAGAGGAAAGTGCTGGGCAGCATCAAGGAGAGGGTAAAGGAAGAACCAGAGGCTTGGAGGGGATTTGGAGAGGCATGGTGTGCCCTGTTAAGAAACAGCATGTAAAGTGTAACTATGTAAAATGATAATAACCATAATCTCAGAAATTGCCGCCGCCACTCTTGTCAGAACCACCAATAGCCACAGCAGCATAAATCTGCCTCACTTTGAAGGGTATAATCAGCCTGCCAGACTTTTGGCATTGCCAGTTGTCAAATGCCCCAGAGTTTAGACTTTAGTTAAGAGCGAGAGAGAATAATTTTGAGCAGAAGAAATATTGCAGGCAGCAGCTTTGATCGTGCAGTGCGGAGGAGTGGATCATCTTTCAATGGATGAATAAAATGTAGCTTGCTTCCAATTCTGTGCTCTGCTGCACAGAGGCAGCTGGTCAGGGTGCTGAGCTTCTTGTGCTGGCATAAGGAGACCCTCCCCTCCTGCCTCCACCGTTAGATGTTGCCAGGCTTCCCAGACCCCAGTGGATGTTTGCTACTGACACCCTTCTGATCACCAGCACATTGTCATTCAACCACCACAGAAATAAGTTCTTTTGAAACCTGCTTACGCCTTGCCCAGCACCCGATTCCAGGGGTCCTAGTATCCAACGCACCAAAAGAAGTGGGATGAGGCCAAGGACCAAGCCCTGTCTTGCTCTGATGGGCCACAAATACACACCATAAATTATAGAACGCCCTTCAAAAATGCATCAAACTCTAGGGCAATCTGATCTCTGCTGCTTCTCACGAAGTGGCTTTGTTCTCCGCTCTCTCTTTCTCTCCATTGGCTGCTCTCCTCTTTTTAGCTGCACCTTTCCTTTCCTCCATCCCGTTTACATTTACCAAAGCAGTGCTCAAGGTGGCTGGCAGCATTAAAACTACAATAAAAGAATCAAGAAGTAAACATGTAAATAAAATTAAATGCAAAAAAACAGAAGCAACATAATAGTTAATCAGCTTCAAATACCAAAATGAATGAAAAGCCCTCCTGAACCAAATTGGTTCACCTGCTAGAAGGGGGGACAAAGGAAACTCCTATGAGAGAGAGAATGGGGGTAGCTGCAGGAAAGGTTCCCATATCCACTCTCTCATCCAGTTTCCATCTGGTCACAGCCTTCCTCCAGCTGCACTTGCCAAGCTGCTCTGGCAATGGTGATGGTGCATTGATGAAGCTTAGCATTGGTGCCAATCCTGCTAGTATTTTTAATTCTTAGATTTCTGTTTCTCTCCTTCATGTCCTCTCAGGTTCTTCTTACCTAGCTTTCTTGAGAGAATAGGCCTTTTGTGATGGTGGGAGGACCGTTGCATTTGGAAGCAGGAGAGGGCAGCAACCCACCCCGCCGCCATATTTTATGCAAAGATGAGAACTCGGATAAGTTTAATTGTTTTTATGCTGTGTTTTAAGTATCTAGCACACAAACTGATGTTGAGAAGCATTTATTTTTGACCTGAGCCTCTTGCTACATGTCTGCCTTTCTGTGTGTGCTTAGCTGAGATAATGGGGACCAGTTACTCATTCCCAAGGTTATCCTCCTGTGAGCAGTGGCAGGCGTGCAATTAAGGAATGTTTATTCCTTTCTAAGTCTTTGTTTAACTGCTAGTTGATAAAAGTCAGCAATTATACTGTACATCAGAGAGATGATTAAAAATTCATTTGCTTTCCTGCCGCTCATGTCGTCTGTGGTTGATGTGGGTAAAATTGGAGCACAGAATTAGTGGACAGAACAGCCATTAACAACGCTCAGAGAGAGAGCTGGGGTTGAAATTTGTTCAAATTCTTCTTCTCATGCTCAGACATTAATTACAACCCAAGCCAGCTTAATAATAATAATAATAATAATAATAATAATAATAATAATAATGTTATGCTTTCGATTTGCAGATACTTGAAATGCTCCCAAGGTGAAATTGTTGTACAATCTTTGTTTCACTGCCTTCAGATTCCGTATCAATATTGTTGATATTGGGTGTTAGGAGTTACAAAAGCTGATTTCTTTGCAAAATTGGGTGTTAGGAATTACAGATGTTGGTTTCATTGCAAAAATGTGAGTCCTCATGCATAAATTGTAAGTGACTCCGGAATTCCAGCCATGAGCTGATCCCGCATTGCACTGGATCCACTGGAGCTTGTCATGGGCAATTGTTGGGTCTCCTCAGTGACTCATAATCAGCCATTTGATTCAGATGCCTGGCTGTGCTTGGCCCAAGGGAATGCAGTATTGTCATTAGCTTCCTTAGAGCCAGAACTGCATCCCCAAAGCTTTCACTTGCAAAGCTGTGAATTCAAAGCTGTGACGACAAAAAGAGTGCACCTCTTGGGGTTGTAGTGGAGTTCAACCTATCTAAACAGTCATCACAAGCCAGTTTGTTTATTTTTAGGTCTTTTAAGGCAGGGACAGTGGCTGTCTGTTCTTGGCTCTCTTTCCTCCAGCCCGTGATGAATGAATAAGTTTCATGAAGGTTCCACATTCTGTGGTAATAGCAATGGTGGATAAAGTTCACAAGACCCAGGTCCCTTTCCATGTCTGTGAGCATTTTCCTCTACATTACAGATTCATAAGTGCTCCATTCAATACGAGCTTTCATTCTGGATGGGGATCCTGGTCCATGGTTTGCCCCTCTTTGCTCATCTTGGCTCATCAGCTAAGGTGCTCCATTTTTGCAAATCATGCTGGCTACTCTTATTTGCTCTGGAAATCAAGTCTTGTTTGAATTCCTTAACTTCTGGTATTTGCAGTTCTAAGATCCAATAACCTCAGTGTCCCAAACACAGACAACATTTGCTCCTTAAACTTTGATGGTGCTTAGTCCATCCTAGCTGGTCACCCTCACCTGCATCATCACACCAAATGGACTATATTACTGGGTATATAATAGAGGAGGGGAAAATATGACTTGTCTCTCTCACATACACTACCTAGTCTTGCCCTAGGCTGGTGTTCTCCAAGTTGAGTTTTCCCCTTCCTTGTCATGATCTGTTTTCTAGCTAGAACACCTTGGCATTTTTCTCTGACTTTAATTATGAATATAAATGTTATTTAGTGAGCACCTGTTTTCCTTAAAGTGCCAAAAGAAGAAATATAAACCCACTCCACAGGAAATCCGCATGACTAAAGAAAACCTGGCTGTGTCGCTTTGCAGCTGTAAGTTGTGCGGGTGGGTTGCATTAGGAATATTTACTTAGCTGCCAGCCAGAGGCTGTAAAAAAGCCGTTTGTGATTTACAAGTAGTTCTTGTCTATGTAGTTTCAAATTGTCAGAACACTTGGAAACTGATGAATGGGTTTGTGCTGAGTAAAAGGAAAGTTTAGTGTAGGGAGGGAGATGCTAGTAAATAACAAAGAAATTTGTGGTATTTTTGGAGACACATTTATTTTCTGGGCCAGTACAGTAGATAACTCTTTTAAGCCTATGCAGGCAAACCAAAGAACCTTGGGCTGCACTGGCAAATCCATTTGAGATACCACAGGAACAGCAAGCTCTTGGCAAGTATTTGGAAGGATGAAAGGCCTGTGACTTCGCTTACCCTTTTGCTCTAGAAGTGTCAGGACCCCGCCCTTGAATGCACCTGTTCCTCTTGGAAAGAGGCTCAGCTGATTTGTTGACAGCACTTCCCCGTGACAAATATGTTTGGCCACATGGAGACATGCATCACTGTTATGCACAGACAAGCACTCTGTGCAGGAATTGGTTGAGTCTGAAGCAGACTTGCACAGATTCTGTGGGCCAGAGGGGAGGTCCTACATCCTTTAGGATGCAGCAGTATTGGGTGGAAGTCCCTACCTTCTTCTCCACCTTCTCTATAGTCTTGTCTCGTTCTCAAGAAGAGGAGGGCAGGGTCTCCACACCACCACCGCCTTGGACTATTAAAATGCTGTCTGTTACTTTGGGATCTCAAGGCTTGTTGGTTACATTTCTATCCCACATTTCCTTCAAGCAGCTCAAGGTGGTGTACTTGGCTGTCTCCCATCTTACTTTCCCAACAGCCCTGTGAGGTAGGTTAGGCTGAGAGTGAGTGACTAGTCCCTGGTCACCCAGTGAGCTTCATAGCTGAATGAGGATTAAAATCCAGATCTCCCTGGTCCTCATCTCACATACTGCTTCTCCACTCTCATTCTTTTGCCCCTTGTGCTTTCCTCGTAGCAAGACATGAAGGCAGAAGTCTCCTCTCTGCTTGCCTTCCACAAAGCATTTTTTTCTGTCCCCGCTACAGCCCTGGTTGCAGTCCCTGAAAGAAGATGTATTTTTCATAGCCCCTGGGTGGATTGCATATTAGCCGATAGCTTCAGCTTCTTCCTGGTGCTGTCAGCTTCGTATCTTGTTAGCTTTCAATGATTTTTTTATCATAAAGGCCACTGTGTATTTTTAAAAGGTTTTGTGTCCATGTTTATACGAAGACCCCTATTGTTTTAATATAAAATGCCAAAGGGTTTTTTTCATGCTGCAATCTTCTCTGATTGCCCTTCTCATCTGACGTGAAGCAATCGATAGCACCTTTTCTGCGAGGGGGGGGGAGGGTGTGTGGTGTGAAGTCAAGTAGAACCTCACAAATAATGACATTTGATTGTGGTCCTCTGAGCATGTGGGTTAGCCATCGATCGCTTCTGCTTGAGAGCCGATGGAGACTTTCTGATTTGCACCCCCCGCCCCCGGTCCCTTCCAGACAGTTAACATGTGAAAAGCGATTTTTGTTCAGCAGGGCTGAAGCAACAGCTGCTGAGAAGAAGTCATAGTAATAGCATTTTCAAAGGAGGGGTCTAGGTGGTGATTCACTCTGCATCCTAATTCTAGAGACTTTTGCCTGGAATCCTCTGGGTCGGTGGAAATAGCCTGTCTTCCCACAGGACGGCTGGAGCTTGAAGGGCCAAGAGTGTGGTTGTGCTGAGGATTCCTGGCTCAATCAGCTTCCTCATTCATAACTTCATTTCCTAGTACGTAGCTCTTTTCCCCGTTCCTCCTGTGCTGTGTCCATTGGAATGAGGAAGCCTCGGCAAGAGGACAGAGACGCTCCTTGTGTCAGCCAGGCGGATATCGCAGTTGCTCATCAGGCCAGAATGATCTGGGATCGTGCCCAGGTGATGGATTGCCAAAGGCCGTTTGTTAACACACGTACGCACACGTTGGTGGTTCCACTGCTTGGCTGGGAGCCAACTGGCAACCGCCTGCTGTTTTGCCTCATGTTTATATCGACTGAGCATCTGTGGCCCATTTGCTTGGGAAATTGATGCACTGGCAGGGCAGCCATAGAGCACTGTGACCAAGGTCGTCTCTCTCTCTCTCTCTCTCTCTCTCTGTGTGTGTGTGTGTGAGAGAGAGAGAGAGAGAGAGAGAGAGAGAGAGAGAGAGAGAAAAGAAGAAGAAGAAGAAGAAGAAGAAGAAGAAGAAGAAGAAAGAGGAGGGGGAGGAAGAGGAAGGAAGAAAATTTTGGGGAAATAGGGCAGGTGGCAGAAGGGACACACATCTGATCTTCCACAAAAGCTAGGGTGGAGATGAGAGGGCAACAGAGACGACTTGGTGCTTCTTTAAATACTTAAGAGATTCAAACTGTTCTGTCGTAGACTTGGGGATGTGTGCTATGGCAAAGTCTGCGTAGAAAAATCAGTAGGTAATCAAAAATAAAAAATGTAGTTAGGTTTTTAACAATCTCTGGAAGGAAAAATCAGCTGTGGTTTTTTTGGCCTTACTGTAGGGAGGGAAATCAGAATGGGGACTTCTGCCCATGTTTTTGAAGGCAAGTTCCCCTTCTGGATCCCTCCCAGAAGCCACTTCAGATCCTTCTCAGAGAAGACTGGTTGGCCCAATCCTCACTGTTTCATCTGGCTTTAGTTTTCAAAACAAGATGGCTTTTGTGCTTTAGTGTGTGTATACACAAGAAACTGAGTATCCTTCTTAATCTGGAGTAACATCCGCTTCCACCTTCTTTTGTTTTTATAGTGACTAAAGCAAGTTAGATTCCCCATGGCTGCCACCAATGCAGAACATGCCATGGAAAACATGGGGAACAGCAACCCTTGGGCCACACAAGCTTCAGAAGCCACAGGGTGGCCAGAAGGGTTGGAGCAGACTGCAGAGGAAGCACGCTGGGGGAGCCCCTGCTTCCTCTGTGGTTGTTCCTTTTGATTCCTGCAATGGAGGGGGTTGGACTAGATGATCCTTGGGGTCCCTTCCAACTCTGTGATTCTATGAAAAGGAAGTGGCAGCAGTCACAGGGGACACAGCTGGCACAAGAGAACTGCCTGCTGGTCCGAGCTGGGGGTCTGCCCTAATATTGGGAATGAAAGCCAAACACAAGCTGAGTGCTGGTGCAGCAGTTGCAAACCACCATTCTGTTCCTTGGGTGGCTGCACTCACAGCTCACATCTGGAGGTAGTGGGCCTGCACATGGTTGCGTGGAAATATATTTCAGCCCCCAATCAGCTGAGTGCGTTAATGCTAAGGCTGTCTTAACATGAGAAGCCAAGGGTGCTCTGTAAACAGAGCAGCGTGGAAGCAAATACCCAGAGAATAAATTCTTACCTCAAACGAAAACATTTGCACTAGAGGAGCGCAGTACTAATTACCAGGCTCTTAATTAAATAGCCTTTTTGATTTGCATCCAAATTACAACTTGTATGTTACGTCTTGGCTTTGATTAGCTGTTGTCACCGTCTTCTTCTTCTTAAAATAGTATTGAAATGCTCCACTTTACGCAAATGCAAACCCTGCTTGGTCTCGGAGGTCTCCAGCACCAGGAGGTGAAAAGGTCAATCACCTCCGTATCCATTTAAAATCCATTATGGCCTGCCTGCTGCAGCTTATCAAGCAACTCTCTCTCTCTTTATTTTTCTAGCCACTGATTCAGGAATCTATAGCTCTGTGCAGGTAAATGGGATTTCATGGGCTTCTAACCTTTCTTACTTTATTGAAAAGCAGAATATTAACTGCTCCACTGACCAGCCTGTCCATTAAAGACACACAGGATATTTTTAGAAAATTGTTTGCCGATCAAATCCCCTCCAACGTCTGTGGAGAGCCTTTCAGCTTAGTGTTCGTTCTATGTGCAAACAGTACAGCTGTGCCGCTGCCCCTCCCGTCCTCCCTTTAAATGGGTTTTGCCATGCTGGCCTCTGTATTATGTAAGTGCTTTTCACAAGGAGGGTGACTTCAAGGAACCTGGACAGGCTAGAAGCCTCATGGAAGGGGACAGAGGAAAGCCCTAGATTGACCAGATGCCAATGAGATGCCGTGACCATTGGCGACCTTATAGGAGGCATAGAATAGAGGGGTGTTCTTCAAAGGGATGCTGTCATCTTGCAGTCCCCAGCCAAGAAGACCAGGGCCTGGTCCACACGTGCAGGAGACTGAGAGCAGAGAGTGCCATATCAGGCTGTGGGTGGAAGCTCCTGTCTGCAAATGGGCAGGGTCACAGCTCAGCGGCAGAACACCTGCTCTGCATGCAGAAAGTCCTGGAAAATAAGAGAGCGTTAGGAAAAGGTTTTTGCCTCTTTTCTCTTCCTGCTGCACTCGTATTCTATTTGCTTAGTTTGGGGGTTTTATTTTGTCTTGTGCCTAGGGGAGCATTCAAAAATGCAATTCTCTGCCTGTCCTCTAAATGGGTCCAGTCCATTCTGCCATCTTGGTCCCAATTTCTCCTCTTGCTGCATGCAGACCCATTCTTGGTTTCTTGGCCTGCCAGTTGCCCACCTATGATCTTTTTTTTAGCTTTTGCCACATGGTTGGTGGAAAAGCAAGGCAGTTCCAGGGCAGCCTCTTCGTCTTTTCTCCTCCCGGCCCCAAGCTTCTCCTTCTGATTCTCCTTCCTTCCCCGGTTACCTAAAACATCAGTTTCAGGCAACTAGTGGTGGGGCAGTGTAGATGTATGGGAGGCTGTTTCTAGGTGACCATGTGTTTTATCTTCCTGCTTCTAGGCTCTCCTGAATGAGGGGAGCTTTTGCATCTGCAGCTCCCCCCCCCCATAGGCAGAAATGTGGTCTGTTACCTACAAGAGGAGAAGTAAGAACATACTTGGTGACTGGTATTCAAAGAGACACTTCTAGGGCCCATGTGTATTGAGCTGGCATCTCATTTGCTGATCTTGTGCCATATTTATTTAAAAGTATCCTACTAACCCATTGACAGCTCCTTTAGTGGGAAGATTCACTCAGGCTGAAAATAGATGTTGCAGACTGGGTAGTTCAACTCAGTCAGTGTGAGAATGCTGGTAATTGGAAATGCTGCCATTGTAGTATTGGGTTAGAAGTTGGGCAAGGTGAATGAAGCCATTCTGTGGGTAGTTTAAAACACACACACACTAGTCCAAGGGGATTTCTAGCAGTTAACTCTTCTTCCAGAGATGTTGGGTGATGGGTGGATACTTCCTGCTGCACAGGATCATGCCCCTCTATGATAGACCACTTTGAGATTCAGATTGGTGTAAGCAGTCTACAAATGCACATTTGCACACAACAAAGATGGATTTGTTTCCATCTTTACATGGAAGTTGCCAGCCAACCGGAACATGAGGATGCAGCTTTCTGAGCAACATCCAGACTGCCATCAGAGCATCCAGCAGACACAACTGTAATGAACACCTCTCTTCATAATTAATTTTTTAGAAGGATGTGGTGCATGGGGGTGTGGTGCAGAAAGAGAGCTCGTTGCATCATGCTCTTGACTCCAGCAAGTGCCCTGTTAGTGATGGTGTGTGTGTTGCAAATAAAAGTTTGGCTTATGGAATAGACCAGAGACATTATAGCATTAATGCAAAGAAAGGGTATGCTGTGGTTGGCAGTATGATATGTCCTGGGTGATAGTTTGGGACAGTGCATTAGTATAGGATTTGCTGTAGAACTGTCATCAGCTGCTGGAGTGCAGCAGTTTTGACTATTTCAACCTGACCTGACTATTGTGGAATCTGGAGTGGGGCCAGCAATATGTGTTGTCTATCTTTTGATTATGATTCTGCACTTTACACTGAGAGAGTGAGGGATGGTTTCATCCTTTGCATGGTGGAGAAGTTTGCCATGTGTACACTAATTAAAGTAAGGAGACGGTGTACCTGGAAGCCATAGTGGTTGGGAAGCAGGAGCAAGCAAGCTGTCCTGGGGATAGATATTATTGAATGCCTTCAATAAGTAGGTCAAGGCACATGGTTGTGGGGAAAGCATGTCTTGAGGGTTGTGTGTCACTGACTGGGGATGGTGGTGAGCAGGTCCTTCCTAACCACACATGTGCCAGTCAGTTGAGCATGAAAAACAAATTCCATTCTGCAAGCCTCTTTGGGTCCATTTTTCTTGCGTGACATTGAACTCCTAGGAAACCAATTATTGGCCTTTTGGTCCAAAGGCTTGTGAGGCAGCAACCTTGCAAAAGGTCTGAGTCTGGTCCCTGCCTGGATGGGAGACCACCTGGGATGCCTATGTATGCTATTCTCAAGATTTTCTAGGTAGAGGAAAGGGGTGATACAAATGTAATGACAATTAGGAAGCTTTTCCTGTGCTCAGTACAGCCTAGCAGCCAGCCTGAGAACGCGTGTGGGTGTGGAGAGGAGATTCTGGTAATGAATCAGCACTGGGGAAACATGATTTCACTGAGCCACTTTGAAATCCATTGGAATTAACATAGCAACATTGGACAACCCTATGAATCTGGGGCCCTGTATACATTTATTTCCAGGTTTTTCAGTTAAATCACTAGGACTTGAAAGTTTCTTGCTTAATGTAAACTGATGAGAATTCAAGATCCCTGGCCACCTCCAGCTCATGTGCTTTTGTTGTTGATCTTTAGTGAATGGCATTCCTCTTTCTCTTGCAGGGCATTGATTTCTGCCCCGGCCAAAATGTTTCTGGAGTAACGACCCATGACCAAGAGGAGCACTCCAAACTTCCACTTCTGTTTCACTTGGGAAAGGACCCTGGGGAAAAGTATCCAATAAGGTAAGGCAGGCATGTGATCGGAAACACAAGTGGTGTTCTTGAGGTGAACACCAGCCGCGCAAGAGAGTGAGGTAAACTGGTCACGCACAGCATCCCTTTTAACTGGCTTGTCCTTTCTCTGTGGGAAAGAATGCAAGCTTTTGAGCATCACAGAATTGTTCAGCAGCAGCATACAAAGCCAGGCTGACCAGGGCCTGCCATACAATGAGTCAGAAGAAGGCGGGCGTCTCAGGCAGCTGGTGCTGGGACGCAGGGAGCCGCAGCAAGGGGCTGGGGCTTTGTGTACCACGCACAGCCTGCTCTGTGGTAGACCATGGTGTCCCACTGCCAGTGCTGAACTAAAATTCGGCTGCCAGCCGGGTCTGCTTCTGGACTTGGAAAGCGGGGGATGAGGGTGGCATCTTATCTTTTGCCTCAGGCAGCAAAATGTCTTGGGCTGGTCCTGAAGTTGACAGGCAGCATCTATGCTTTTAATAACAAGGCTTCTGGGAAGCTCAGAATGAAAGTGTGAAAGAAGCAAGTTGGATCAAAATGCATTATCCTGACAGCACTGCAGCTGTACAGCTCTCTGACAAGCAGGTAAAATGAACTAAAACCAACAGAACTGGATTTTTAATGGCTGCAGACAAAGACAGCTCTCCTGTGGGGTGAAATGTGAGGGAGCTGTCTCAGGTGGTAGATTCTGAATGCCATTAAGTAGAAAGCGAGGGCATATCTGACCTGTGGAACAACGCCTCCCCTCCAGTTGGTTCTTCTTTGCAAGCCCCCTCAACCTTAATTAGAGCCGTGCAAGAGGTCTTGACCTCCTTCCAGCCAAGTGGCCCCAGACTTCCATGCTGCAAGCTGGTTTCAAGACCCTGAGGAGACAGGGAGGGGATCTGCAGTTTTAGGGGATGCGGGCGGGAGGCTCTTTGCAGAGAAGGCCCCTGAAAGCAACATGCTTGGAGTTATAATGGTGCTCTGAATGCTCCCCCCACCCTCCCGTTTTCAGCCTCGAGGGTGTTTTTGATGAAGAGTATAATCACGAAGACTGTCTCCTTGGTAGCAATCATCTTAATGTCAGAGCTGGGAGCCCTCTTGGTGGCGAAGGGGAAGGGTTGTAGCTCAGCAGCAGATGATGCAGTATGCAAGCGCCAGGTCCCCAGTTCAGTCCTTGCATCTCCAGGATCAGGCCATAGGTGATGGGAAAGACTCTGCCTGACACCCTGGAGAGTCATTGTCAGTCAGAGCAGATGATATGTAGACTAGGCAGAGAAATATTCTGGGCTGGGAAAAGGCAGCTTTCCATGTTCCTAAGGAACTTGGCATGTTTGTCTAGCCAGAAGCTATTCAAGATAGGTTTCATGTATCCCTAAGATTAAATCCATGCTCCATTAAAGGATTTAAGACATTCTGCTGCCTGCCTTTTGCCCTCACCTGAGGCCACTGAAAGGCAGGGTGTGAACTGAGAGTCTGTGGCAGCTGTTTGGTAAGCATATTTCCACGCCTGCCTCCTACCTCTGAATTGGCAGGTGAGCCTGGGATTCTAGCAGCCACCAGGAGTAGCTGCAGAGAGGCACATGAGGTTACACTGGCAATGGAGCAAAAGAGCCTTGGCGGATCAGTTGGAAAGGTTGGGCGGGTTTTCTCACGAGGAGCTGGAGTGAGTGTACCATCTGCTTTCCCTGAAACAAATCCTGTTTACAAAATGGAGCGTTAAGGAGAGAGGAAACGGGTGTTGTTGGCTCCACCTGCACCAAAGTGGCTTTTACAGCAAGGTGCTCTTAGAACTGACAGGGCTGCAATTACCCATCCCTTCTAAATAGCGGAGCAATTGCGCTCACTCCATTACTGTCCTGGCAGAACCACATGACTGCGCTGCCCACTAAGTGTTCTCTGCTGGGGAGGAAAGGAAAAAGAGACGTTGGTCCTATCCTTGGAGTGAATAAGATCTTTCTGCTTTTCAGCCCTAATGAATTCTTTTTGCAGTTGATTTTTGTGGCTTGAGCGTTGCTGGTTCACATTGCACTAACTGCAGGGGCAGGCAGTGTGGGAGTGAATCATGAGCTGGAGAAGTATAGCTGACTTATAGGTTGTAATGTGCACATAATTTGCGTAAACTCTGCATATAGAGATGCTGTCGTTGGGGGTGGGTGAAATAATTCCATCTTTGATCTCGCTGTGGTTCTTATTGGAATCACCAATTCTGGCGCAAACTCAAAATTATTCATAACCTCTTTTTGCCCAACTTATTAGCCAAAAAGCCTCCCAGAGCTGTTTACAAAGATTAGTAGTAAGACAACCCATCTGAAATGCATTACTTGCAAGGAAAAACTGATGAGGAGGGAGGAGGAAAAAAGGAAGGCCAGGCACCAGTTTTTCAAGTTTCAGTATTTGTAACGACCCACTGAGAAGGAAACAGGGTAGCCTGACAATATGACTTTCTCTCGCTCACCTTGAGGGTGGTTTTGTGTCTCTCCTTTCCTTCTCTCATTCTCTGAAGCATTTTGGTTGCACCAGTCAGAAAGAACGCTGTGCCCCTTTCCCAGAGAGTTGGGTGTTGCTTGTGAGCTTCCCAGAGGGGCACTGTGAGAGCAGGGTACTGGGCCAGATGGGACTTTGGTCTGATCCAGCAGGGCCATTCTTAAGTTCTTAACCTAATTTGGATCTGCAGATTCCTCTTGACTTAAAGGCTATAGTTATATTCATAGGTGATCTACCGTATTTTTCGCCCCATAGGACGCACTTTTTCCCCTCCAAAAATGAAGGGGAAATGTGTGTGTGTCCTATGGGCTGAATGCAGGATTTCACTGAAGCCTGGAGAGCGTGCGGGGGCGGGGCCCACCGACCCCTCTCGCTCTCCAGGCTTTGCAGAGAGTTGCCTGCATGCTGAAGGCTGGGCGCGCTGAGCTCCGCACGCCCAGCCTTTGTGCGGCTCTCCGCAAGGCGCGGGAGCCCGGCACTGGGCTCCCGCGGCTTGCGGATATTTGCTTGAATGTCGAAGGCTGTGTGCGCTGAGCTCAGCACGCCCAGACTTTGCGCGGGAGCCCGGCGCCGGGCTCCCGCAGCTTGCGGAGAGTTGCTTGGATGTCGAAGGCTGGGCGCGCTGAGCTCAGCACGCCCAGACTTTGCGCGGGAGCCCGGCGCCGGGCTCCCGCAGCTTGCGGAGAGTTGCTTGGATGTTGAAGGCTGGGCGCGCTGAGCTCCCGCAGCTTGCGGAGAGTTGCTTGGATGTCAAATACTGGGCGCGCTGAGCTCAGCGCGCCCAGCCTTCGCGCGGCTCTCCGCAAGGCGCGGGAGCCCAGCACCGGGCTCCCACGGCTTGCGGAGAGTTGCCTGTTCTGGGGGCTGGGGTTGGGGGAAGCTCGGGCTTCCCCCGACCCAGCCCCGCGCTTGGGGAGGAAATATTTTTTCCCCCTTTATTTCCCCCCCAAAAAACTAGGTGCGCCTTATGGGACGGTGCGTCCTATAGGGCGAAAAATATGGTAAGTGAAGAGAAACTTATCATTTCAGTGGGCAGCTATGTATTAATTTATATTGATAATCGTTTATGCAGTACTATTTCTTTTTTTGTCAAGACCATGCATAGTCCACACTAGAAGCAGAAATTGTCTGCCAAGCGAGCCCAAATCCAAAGCCAGATCATAATATTTTGCTGCCTGAAGTGAGACCTCTGCTATGACCAATACTCTAAAATGTCTTGTTGCATCTTTTCATATACAAGTTCCTGCCTTCATCTATCCCACCACCGCCCAGTGCTGCCTAGTAGGGCTGCACTGAGCAACAACTTTGAATGCTGCATTGAGCAACACCTTGAATCTGAGAGCTGAATATTTTATTTATTATTTATTACATTCATATTCCCATCTTTCTTATAGATTGGGCAGTGAAATTATGGCCAGGCCAACTGCATGCAGTGAGCCTCAGGGCTGGTCGGAAAATAGAAATAGCATAGTGGCATCATATTATCATAACATCAGTAACATCTCAAGAAGAACTGCCTTGTAAAGAAATTCAATTTTCAAAGGCCTGCCTGAACACTATAGGGTCTTCGCAGGTCCTTGCACAACATGCTGCTCACCACACCACACATCAGCTTTCTGAATACATCATGCCAGTCCAACAGTCTGCATATATAGAATTATTTCTGCAATTCCCCTCCCCCTACAAAAGGAGCAACCTGCCATGCTGGGTGCAGAAGCCCCATCGTACCCACTCTTTTATGTCCTGTTGGGCCCCCAGGCATGGCCCCAGTGTTGTCAAGTTTATCTTACCAACCACAAGAGCTGGAAACTTCCTTTCAAAAAGAAAAAGCTATGGCTGTCGGTATGCTGAGTTCTGCACCCAGCAGCAAATCCCAGGTGTCCCAGTCCTGCAAGTGTAACACACAGAGCTCCAGTTTACTTTTGTGCTTTGGGCTGAGGGGTTTTCCTTTCAAAATCCAAGCTACTTGGATCCAGATTTGGGAGCTCTCTCTCCACAGGGCATCCCCTGCCTTGTCATCTAATTGTCTCTTTGGAAAACCGCCCTCTCTGAGTTGAGCTGCATTCCATTGTTTTCATCCGCAGCCATTTCTCATCTGGCTCCCTTGCTTTCCAAACACCCGGCAAGCTATTGTCTTGATTGAATTTTATGGGGAGATTATGACATGATTATGGTGAAATGATGTTTTAATATGCAGGGCATAATAGAAAGGCGCACATTCTCTCTCTCTCTCTTTAAATAAATATAATAATAAACCAAATGAAAGTTCATTTGGGAAGCTTTCTAATGTTTATATCCTCTCATATCTCCGGTCACATTGGAAGCCTTGTGGAAAGGAGGTCTCCCCTTCTTTGTGGGTAATTAAATTATCCTCATTTGCAGAGATGTTACTAGTGTGGCGGGTGCGTATTTTTGATTTGCCTTAATTATCCCCCTTGGCAGCCTGCCTGTTGGGAGTCCCTGTATTAGTGCTTCTCAGAGGGAGAGCAAGTGTTTTCTTGCCCAGGCATAATTTCACTCGAAAGATGGGTACCAGCAAGGGCCCTGCAAGCAGAGGAACAAAAATGGGCTTGTCGGTGATTCTGTCCACAGAATATGGGGAGGACCTGCCTGTCTGTGGGGATGCTGTAAACCTGAGCTCACTGTATTGCACATACCACTGAACATAAGAAGATCCTCAAAGCTGGGTCAGGCCATAGGTCCCTCATAGTCCAGCATAATTCATGCTCTCTCTCTTTGTAGTCTCAGGGTTCCAAGCTGTTCTCCCTGTGTCTAGGTCTTCCTGCACAGAGGAGGAGCAGTGTGGAAATGTGGTGTTGTTTTTTAAATGAGAGCCTGTCTTGGAATAAAATATAAAATGGGGAGAAAATAGGTGAGGTGATGTCTATATTATGCCAACTTGCATTGCTATGCATCTTAGGTTTTGGGGGGCGGGAAATGCTTTCTCCAGCAAAGACTCCTATGTTACCAGATCCTTCTTTGTTTTGTCTTGAGTCAGGGGGTGAGGCACACAACTCATTGCAGATGGAAAGAGCTGCACCACCTGGCTTTGCAGGCATTTGTATGCAGAAAGAGAGAGAGAGAGTGTGTGTGTGTGTGTGTACACAGATACTTAAACAAAGGAAGAGAGAAATACAAAAAAGCTATATATATATTTACAGCTTGGCTTCTCATCATTCAGATTCAGTAACCTCAGACAGTTCTGTGAAGCTGGAAAGGGGAGTGTAAAGGCTCAAAGATTAAGATCATCATAGCCCAGGGAGGGAGGCAATATATTAACACCAGCTCCTTCCTTCCAGCCCCAAACTGAGTTTTCACGGCAGGCCACGGCGGGGTTAACAATGTAGTGAGTTGTGTACAGATTTTGCTTGGAGTGGGAGGGCAATGAGAACAGATTGCAGAAGCACAATTACGCTAAATGAACTAAACACACGCCACACCTGTGCCTGGGACCTTGCGCCTCCAATCCATCCCTGATTGGCTCTCTGGGGACTTCCTGGAGGTAAAGTGTCAATTAGTGTAATGACCCTGGACTCTGTCCACTCTGCTCCTTCATCCTGAGCGTGGAATAATTCTGCGTACACAGGGGGAATCTCTCCGAGCAAACTCCTCACAACACCACCTGCTCACCCTGGCGCGCTCTTCCCACTCATTCTTCCACTGCAATTCCCATCCTCCCTTTGGCAGGCTTGAAGAGACGGAATACAAATTTAGGGCGGCCCAGGGGCAAAGCAGCCTGTCAGTTTGCTTAGACAATAGGCGTTCCAAACACCTGTACAGGCATAGCACCAGCAGCAGCATGAAAATTGCTGTGGATTCTGGTCATTCTTTCCCTCATGATTCTTTTTCCTCCCTTGGATAATGCAGAGGTGGGCATGACCAAGCAGCTTTTCTTTGCAGAGCAGGGGGTATTGTACATCCGATATGCAATCTATATGTGCACCAGCCTGTTAACCAGTTCAAAAAGCTGATGAGGATAAGCGCAGGAGAAGACAAGATCTCTACAATCTGCGCTGCTGGCTCTCTGCTTTTGTGTGGGAAGATTTCCTGTGTGCACCCCAGTGAAATAAGCAGCCTCCATCACCCAGTGCTGGCTGATGCCCATGTTCCCTGCTTTTATTAAACTTGACAGCAATGTCTGGTGGGCAGCTGCAAGAAGACAGACAGGTGAGGTTAGTGCGCCATTGCCTTGCTCCATTGTGGCTCGTCCTGGCCTTGCATAGCACAGCACGGGAGTGAAAAATTGGGGAAGAGCAAAGCAGCTGTGAGCTGTTCTCCAGGAGCCTGTAAATTTGCACAGTTCCAGTAAGCCATAATTTGGCACATGAACCAGGCCGTTGCCTCTTTCTGTGTGTGTTAATACTATATGATAATAATACAATACTATAGATCTTGCTCTACTTATTTCTCCCCATTGCCAGTTGTTGGGAATGACTTGCACTGTTCTTTCTTTGTGTGCATATAAATTTTATGCTCCCATTACTAATTTCTTGAAATGCCTTTGCATTTGTTTTCAGTGCCACAACAGTCTGTTTGATGCAACAGATCAACAGGGCTACCCCTCTTAAAAAGTGGGATAGTGGGTTCAGATCAAAGCAGGCCCCTATTTTCCAGAGACTTCAGCAACCTGTTCTCACAGTGGCTAAGCAGATTCCTACAGGAAGCCTACAGGCAGGGACCTGAGCACAACGGATGACCTTAACAGATTGGAGAACTGGGCCAAAACTAACAGAATGAATTTCAGTAGGGACAATTGCAAGGTTCTGCACTTAGGCAAAAAGAACCAGCTCCACAAATATAAAATGGGGAACACCTGGATTGCCAGTGGTACATGTGAAAAGGATCTAGGGGTCTTAGTAGACCAGAAGTCAAACTTGAGCCAACAGTGTGATGTAGCAGCAAAAGAAGCGAATGCTATTCTAGGGTGCATCAACAGATGTATAGTGATCAAGAAAATGGCTAGTAGCCACTGATAGCCGTTGCCTTAAAAGCTTATCTGTATCTGGTTGGCTACTGGGAAGCAAGATCCTGGGCTAGAGAGACTGCCATTGGGTCTCCTCCAGCAGTTGGTTCTTACGTTCTGTGGCAGAAGAGGTCACAAATTCTCTCTTCGCTGAGATGAAGTCTGTCATTGTTCTCAAGAATGCAATTCCTCCTTGCAACCTTCCTTCCACTTTGTTCTGAGCCATGCTTAGATCCAGCATGGACCCCATTGGACTTACTGTGTGTGTGTGTGTGTGTGTTTGTCTGGAAGGCTGCCAAGAAGATATGGTATTTATAGCACTTACTGGAAACCGTTGGCGTGTTCCTCGGTTTCGAATGTGATTGATTTTGGAGAAGGAAATGCTCTGGAGCCCTCGGGGCCAGTGGGCAGCTCGGACCAGAAGTAAAGGGGGTCTAGGGTCAGGCCTGAGTGGCATTGTTTCCATTTTATCTCCAAAAGCAATTTGCAGTTCTTTGTTTCCTAAGTGACTCTTAATATGATGGACAAAATGAGATCACTGGGTATTAATCCTCCATTTAAGAAGTACTTGAAGTAATACCACAGTGAAAGGGAACGTTAAGCCACTTAAACAAATACCTGCTGAAGTTTATAATCCTGATAAGAGTAAGGGGTGGGTTGTTGGGGTGGGGGAGAGTGGGAAGGGGCCTGGTTTCCTGCTCCTCCTTAACATTCACAGGAGAGTCAGTGAAAGCCCTCTTGTGTGAAAACAATGCAAGGTGTCCAACCTTGTCTTCGTCTTCTCCATCATCTCTCACCCATCTTTGGATATATGCCTCTTCAAGTTCCCTCCATCATCTTCTGTTGCTTGCTTCTTGCATCCACATAAGCCCTGCTATTAATTTTAGATTGTCTACCCATTACATAGGTGGTCATGCCCTTGGCCTTTTGAAATTGTAGCTTTGATTAACCTTCATCAGCCCAAATTGCCTCTTTCCACATGTCCTGCATATATCCATGTTCACAACCTTTTCCACTGCATCCGTTACTTTTAATCTTTGCAGTATCCAATTATTAGTTTTTCCAACTTTTTACGATATTTCAAACATTGCACGTTCCATGATCTTAGGAAGTTCTAATTCAAGTGACTTTTTGTGCAGACCAAAGTCAACCAAGGTAAAGGTCTTCAGCGTGTGCTCCCGTGTGGGGCATGCACATTGCCACATGCTCAGACTTGCTCTCTCCACCTCTCAAAGCTGCTGAAGCCACAATAAGACATCTTGCAACCCAGATCCATGCTGGATCTGAATTGGTCATAGCTATGAACATTTAAACTACATCAGCTTTAGATGGTTGCAGTGTCCAAAACAGAAATAAAGATTTGGATCACTTGGCTCTGAGTTGTTGAAGGTGTTTTCTGTGTTACTACTTAACTTCCTATTCTGAAGTTGGGAACAAAATGGGATTAAAGACCCTAACAAGTAAGTAAGTAAAATATACTCTCGTGATAATATATTCCCTTGAACATGTCAGTGCTTTGCTCACTCTATGGCAGTAGGGTGGCAGTGGAGGAATTCACATCTATTTAAATGGGTGCCAATCTGTGAAGCATAACTTGAGTCAGTCCACTTTTGTGTTCCTATGGCATGGAGTCTATATCTATTACCTTGGGAGCAGGCAGAGGGTGAGGCGGATGCTGTGATGCTCCCTGTGTATCCACGGCATCTTGGGCCTGCTGAAGGCCAATCTTCGTATTCTATGCTATTCCTAACAGTGTTTTAAGCATCCAGGTCCAGGAACCATCTGAAGGCATGGTAGCAAGTGTGGTGGGCCCTTAGGGTTGAAGCCGAAGGACTGTTTTTTAAGCTGTCTAGGTCTGGTAATCCCTAATTCAACCATGAGCAAATGCCAGGCTTCGGAGAGCTATGTTGTTGTTTTTAAATTAGAATCCCAGGATCCACCAACCAGAACCAGGCTCAGAAAGGTAGTTCAAGGGGCAGAACCAGTTTTCTGCTGCACACCCCATTAGTCACTTGTTGGGATGATCTCTGTGTACACGCTGTCTGTCTACCATCTGCCCACTCCTGCCCTAATGTGCGAACTCCATGCGCCCACAGCCGTGCAACACGTGAAATTTTAATCTAGACTGTGCTGTACCATCTCCAGAGTGAGCAGAAGTTGTCATTGATGGCTCTCCGCATCTACCACTCCACATATGGGTTGAGTAACTCATCACAAGCCACAGATCCCTGATAGAGCACCTGCTTTGCCTGCAGAAGTCCCTGGTAGATCTGATAGCAGGTGGTGAATAGTTGCTGCCAGTCAGAGTTGACGATGCTGGGCTAAATAGTCAAAGAAGTCTAATGTGGTATAACACAGCAATCTCCCACCCACCACACCAGCTATGCCAGCATTCCTTGTGTTTACATCTCTGTCCTGCCTGATCTCCTTTTTCTGCCTTTCCAGTTTTTCAAGTGCTGAATACCAAAGTGTTATAGAAAGAATCTCCCCCATCGTTGAGCAGCACAAGGAGACATTGCTACCTGGGCAGCCTCAGCTGAACGTCTGTGACAAGGCGGTCATGGTAAGGGATTAAAATGTAAATAAGCATAAAACCCCTTGGTCCTTCATGTAGTCTGTGGAACTTATCTCCCCTTAGGGAGATATATAAAAGGATGTCACATAGAGGAGGGAGAAAGGTTGTTTTCTGCTGCTCCAGAGAAGCGGACACGGAGCAATGGATCCAAACTACAAGAAAGAAGATTCCACCTAAACATTAGGAAGAACTTCCTGACAGTAAGAGCTGTTCGACAGTGGAATTTGCTGCCAAGGAGTGTGGTGGAGTCTCCTTCTTTGGAGGTCTTTAAGCAGAGGCTTGACAACCATATGTCAGGAGTGCTCTGATGGTGTTTCCTGCTTAGCAGGGGGTTGGACTCGATGGCCCTTGTGGTCTCTTCCAACTCTATGATTCTATGATTCTATGAGGTTGGGCAACTCAGAACATCCTCTTTCCCTTTTTGCAGGAAGTGCTTCAATTCACTAGGAGTTTATGTAAAAAAAAAAAGTCCTATATCTTCCTTTGTGAATTCAAAGAGGCAGCAGCACTGAAAGACCAGTTCCATACATATGGAAATGAGCCTGAAAAGTCTCTGTCCATCATCACTGAGGCATCTTTCCTCTTCTCAGCTTTTGCAGTGCCTAGTATGTGCTTAAGGACGCGGGTGGCGCTGTGGGTAAAACCTCAGCGCCTAGGGCTTGCCAATCACATGGTCAGCGGTTCGAATCCCCGCGGTGGGGTGAGCTCCCATCTTTCGGTCCCAGCTCCTGCCCACCTAGCAGTTCGAAAGCACTCGTAAGTGCAAGTAGATAAATAGGTACCGTTTTATAGCGGGAAGGTAAACGGCATTTCCGTGTGCTGTGCTGGTGCTGGCTCGCCAGAGCAGCTTCATCACGCTGGCCACGTGACCCGGAAGTGTCTCCGGACAGCGCTGGCCCCCGGCCTCTTAAGTGAGATGGGCGCACAACCCTAGAGTCGGACACGACTGGCCCGTATGGGCAGGGGTACCTTTACCTTTAGTATGTGCTTTGGATGCAGTAGGTCTTAGGTTCGACTCCTGGTATCTCCAGGTATGGCTGGGAAATATCACTTTCTGAAACTCAGGAGATCTGTTGCCAGTTAGTGTACAAGGGACCACAGCACCTTGAAAGAGGTAGAAATTTGACCCTTGCAGTCATAAAATCTAGGAGAGTCCAACTCTCTGTGAGAAACTTCAGCTTCTCTGGCAACCGAGGCGTCTATCTGTTTGCCTTGCACTGCTTCCACTGTCCTTCCCTTTACATTTTGGAAGTGATAGCCAGATTATGAAAACCCTGTTAATTGTTCTTTAAGTTGGCTGGAGCCCTCCTTCCAAGAGCTGAATGCCTGCAAAAATGCCCTTTGCTGTGATTGCCAGGCCATCATTGCCACCTGGTGTTAGCAGTGCAGAATGCAAAGCCTCACTCACCAGCAGCCTCTCAAAAACTATTTCCCCCTGTAGGGCTCTCACATGAAACAAAGCAGATAAAAATAACGCAAACAGCACAGAGCGGGCAGGAATGACCTTTAATAAACTGACAGCTGGATTCTCCCATGGATGGGTGGGCTTTGCAGAGAGACGCCGAAGGAGGGAGATGGTGATGCGCTTGGCTGCCCTTTGAAGGTGATTGATGTTGGGCCAAGCGTGTGCTAGGTGCAGTACAGAATATGGATGTGAGGCAATCTCCGCCTCCGAGGCCTTGCAGCCTTTGTTGGATGAAAAGGACCAAAACGGAGGGTCATAGATTGACTAATGAGCAGCAAAGGTTCAAATGAGGGAAGGGACAAATTGGAAGAAGGTAGGGTGGCTTATGAGGGATGTGCAGCAGAGAGCATTTTATGGGGACTGAGAGTGGCTCATGCAGAAGTCTAGGCCCTCTTGACTTGTCCATACTAGCCGATGAGGAGTGAGGGCTTGATTCTGTACTGCTGGTTTTCACTTGCCTTCTCCAGAGCTGCTTTCAGCTCTGTTCCAAATAGAGTTGATTTCCTTATTTATTACCTGCCCTTCACCATAAGGTCCCAGGGCAAGTTACAGTGATCTGAAAATACAGTATTAATAACGTTTTAAAACAATATCACTTTTTCATTTCCGTTTTTAAATTTACTTATTTTCTGGACTTCCTCATACCTCCCTCTTTTGTATTCCAGTCCAAATTGTTTGTCCAGCAATTTCTTTTCCACTTTTTTAATCCCAGTGATATTGTTTTTAACTGTTCTGTTTATTCTGTTTTATTTGCTTTTTGTTTTTTTGTGTGTGTTTATTTTCCTTTTTTTTGGATTATGTATAGTGTATTTGTGTATTTTTTTTTTATGTCTTTCTGTCTAATTTTTTTTTCTGAAACCTTAATAAAAAATCATTTATAAAAAATAACGTTTTAAAACAAATGACAGCCACAGGAATAGGGTGGGGCCCAAAATATTATCCATCTCAAGTGTCAGAGGCCAGAGTAAAGGCTAGGCATAAACATGCCTTTGAGGGATAAGAGGCTTTTCCAGCACAAGGGCGAAGATGACAGAGCCAAAGGGACCCAGAGATAAGGGTGGGAGCGAGGAAGCTCACTGGATTAAGGGCTGAGGTGAAGAACCTGAGGGGAGGCACTTTGGCACTTTCTCCCCCGGTGCCCCAGTTGTGTGACCCACTGCCATCAGGAACACCCTTGGGGGATTCTGAGCTGCTCATCCTGCGTGGTATCTAAAGACAGGCTGTTTGGTGACTAAAGGCCCCCTTGAGACTTCTCAGGTGGGTGGGTTGCACTCATTGCCTGGTTGTAACCAATCGCTTCTGGGCTCTGGAAGGGATTTCTCTTTCTGGAGGATGTCCTCTTCCTCCTTTCTGACATTGGCTGTCTTCTACAAAACTCAAGCAAGGGCAGGATAATTCCGGTGAACCACAGAGGTGTCGAGGCTGAGCTCTCCTGTTTCGGTGTCGCCATGTAAATGCCTTCTAATCCATCAGTTGGCGGGCTAATCCATCAAACTGCTCATTAAAACACAAATGTTCTTATCTGTCTCACCCTTGGCCTTCCGAGACTGCTGTCTTCTCCTGAGCGCTTTGGGTAATCTCCGCAAATATGTCTGTGCAAAATAATTATAGAGCCTTTCAAAGTCTAGGGCTGTTTCTCTCTTCCTGTCAGCAATACAAAGGTTTGCTCACTTATCACGATGCCAGAAGAGGGATTTGAGACAGCCCCAGAATAATGCAGGGATAGTGCGGAGGGGGGGGGGGGCTAATACATGACCCTGTTGTGAAGAGGACAAGGCAGCCCAGTCTGTTGGAATGGGGTTTTAGCATGTGGGTCTTTGCACTAGTTTTACCATCCTGTTCACAGGGTGTAGCGATTCTTGAATGTCACTTTTCTAACAGAAATAAGTTGTTGTTAATAAAGTGCCTGAGCCTGGGGTGAGGAACCTGCATCCCTCCAGACCTTGCTGGATTCCACCTCCCATCAGCCCCAACCAGGAAAGCCAGTGTTCAGGGGGGATGGGGGTTGGAAGCAGAGCATCAGAGGCTTTCAGGTTAGCTACTGAAGGTCAAAGGTATCCTAAGTAATGCACAAAGTGTTTGGTGTTTTTGTTTTTGTTTAAAAAAACCAACAGCCCCTGCCTTCAGGCTACCAAGGTGAGAGACACCATATGAAAATGGGGGTGGGTTGGGATATAACAGGAGAGCAAGCAAATTCAGATACTAATTTTTCCTAGTGATTTGTGGCTGACCCAGTTTCTCTTCCTGTCTTGCAACAGAATTGGGCTCCTCCAGGCTGTGAGAAGATAGGGAAGTGTTTGAAGCCTCCCAGCCCCAACCCTCAAAAATGCTTTTGGCCCCACTGAGCATCTCATGCCTAACCTGCTGGAGACAGAGCTGCTGCGGATCATTTCTTCAGAAAAGGGGCATTGTGGGAAGAAGCCCAGAGTGTTTCCCTCCTCTCTTTCTCAGGGTTACAGCAGTAAATCTATATGAATTCAGTCTCTCAGTACAGACAGGGCCAAGGTACTGTGATCTTAAGACTATTTCAGATATTAGGGCTGGAGAGCCTGCCTTAGTCCTTTGCTACACATAAGTTCCTTTGAGACTGAGCCCTCAGTTATCAGTTGTGATCATCTCTCACAGCATTCTGCTCCCCTCCCACTGCCTAGAATTGGAAGTTTGTCCTGGAGCTCAGGAACCCTTCTGGACCTGATGAGGCAGAGCATCTTTGTGCCATCTAAAAATTGTTAAGCGTCAATGCCAGTATTCAGCGGCTCCAGCAAATGTACAGTGTTGCTTAAACGTGCTTGGAGCAAAGACTGCTGCTCACTGCATGCAGTGCCAGCAACATTACAGTCTATTGGCTATAATGTCTCCCATACCCTCTGCTGGGCAGGTGGGCAGGACTACCCACCTGTCAATCACCAGACATCATAATGGTGTCAAAGTTTAAAGGAGGTTGTTGCATCCTTCTTTGAGGATGTTATTCCAGCACTAATCAGCTCATTGGCACTGAATGATCACCATTCAGCTGATCATTAGTTACAGGAAGCCCCTTTGAAGTCTTTGCAGAGAAGACAATGCACCTAAAATTGAAGTATTTTTCCCTCTGCAAAGAAAATGGTCTCTACTCAAAGTGCTTTCTCCATCTCTTTCAATACAAACTGCTTCATCTTTTTCTTTCTTTCTTTCTTTCTTTCTTTCTTTCTTTCTTTCTTTCTTTCTAAGCTTTTTGGATTCAAAACACAGGAGGAAGTGCTTTAAATCCAAGTTCCTTCCTATAGCCCCCTTGGCTGCACTAGATAACTTCCTAGTGCAGCCAATCCCAGCTGATTGTTGGGGCTTTGGCAGTGCAGGGCTCTCTTTGAGCACTAACAGTTTGCTGATCATTGGTGTTTGCATAGAGTCCTACATTCCACTTCAAAAAGGGCTCCGCAGCCCTTTTGGGCCCAGCTATTACTTTACCTGCATCTCACACCTGATGCAATATATGCTAGCAGGTGTAGGGCAGGTGAGTGTGGCTCAGCCAAAACGGTCTGGCCAGAGGCTCCCCACACCTGAGCTATATTATCAATAGTTAATGCCTCTGATAGCTAAGTGGAGCTTCTATGTTTAGAGGCAGTCTACCTCTACATGCCAGTTGCTGTTGGATGGAAGAACAACAGGGTAGTTGTCATAACGCCCAGCTTGTGGGCTTCTTGGAGGCACCTGGTCAGCCACTGCTGGAAACAGATGGCTGGCAAGGTAAACCTTTCTTCTGTTATTTTGCTATGCAAAGAAGTGTTCTCCATTGCCAACATTTCTTTTAAGACTTGGTTTCAAATGGTGCCAAAATATACATTTTCAAGAAGTGCCAAAGGTTAATATGAATAAATGTCTGCTGCTGTGATGTTGTTTTTAGTATGATTAGAAGAGTTCTGTATGTTTGTTGTTAACTTTCAAGAAATACTTCTGTCAGCTTTATAACTTTCTTATTGTGTGATTGTAAGAAATTAAGGTCAATATAATACATGATCTACAAGTGCTGTGTCTCTCTTCCCTGAGCTCCTTGTTGAATGAGATTGTGGAAGATAATAAGATTTGAAATGCAAATCCCGGCGTGCAGTATTTTAAAATGTGAGAAGTTGGGGACGGAAAGGAGAAGAAGTGCCTTGGGGCCTGTCATGCTAGCATTCTGTCTGATAAGCCAAGCCTCTTGGTTTAAGCTGTGATGGATTTCTTCACATGCCTACACCAGCAAAGTCTTGCTCCACTTCACTAAGTGGATCCCAGGGGAGACATTGAAAGACTGGCCTCTGCCATGGATTCATTAAGTAGCCTTGAGTAAGTCACCTTCTCTGTCAAACTTTATGACAGTAGCCTATCTCACAGGGTTGTTGTGAAGACAGATCCAATAAAGATGACAAAGTTGTAATAAAGATGCTATTTATAGCCTTCTCCTGTGAAAAGGAAGGTGTTGGGGTTCTCACAGAAAAGCTGAACTGGTGGTGAAATTGCAGAACAAACTCAACTGCAAAACAGAACCCCCCCCCCCTACAATTCCAATCACTTCCTGTCTTTGGGGATATAGCTGTTAAAAAAGCTCTGTGTTCCAATGGAAAGTTGCATGCTTGGGTCAGTGTTTGTTTCTTCTGTTGCTAAGGACTGGCCAACTTGGGCCAGCTGTTGGGGGAAAGGATTTTTTCTGGTGGTGGAGGAGATAATTTGTCTTTGAGAAAATCCTAGTATTAGCAGGGACAGCTGTGAAAATAGCCTACACAGTGACCTTCTGCTTCATCACCCACCCACCCCGTTCTCTGTCTTGCCCAACAAAGGCCTTTCTGGGAAATGCAGATCCTTCTGGACGGATGTGACCTTTGTATAGGCTTTCAGCTCACTAATATATCCCTTTAAAGAAAAAAATAAATATTCTCAGCAATGGAGACTGGAAACGGGAAAATGGCAGTGCCCCTACAAGCATCTTGTATGGTGTTCCTTCACCCAAGATGCATTCTTTTCTGTCTTATCTAGCCTGGCAAAGAGTTCTGCGTAACTTGAAAGCTTGCAGACTGTACCATGAATGTTGGCTATTTAGCTGATCTGTGGATTCTGTTCTAATGGAACAAACCTGGCTGCCTCTTTCGTGTCTGCAATAAGAGTAAAAATGCCTTGCACAAAGCATATTAATTGAGAAGTATGTTCAGGGTTTCAGCCACATTCTTACAGGAACAGAAACTGGAAATCCAACATTGCCAAGGTGAGTTCTGGAAACTGTCCCTTCGGCTCCACCAGGGGGCTTCATGGGACATCCGGCTTTGAACACATCCACCAGGGTTAAACAATCTGCACTGACGGTCTACTGCTTACCAAGCCAACTTCAAGGTTTTGTTGTTGCCGTTTAAAGCCCTAAACTACATACTGGGACTTCAGCTAATGGGTTGGGGCCAACAGTTTGGATCACGGCATGATCTAAAGTGGGTCACAGCAGCAGCATGGCCAACATACAGATATATGGTTAAATAAATGAGAAACATGTTCTCATATGCATGTTTGGATTAGAACTGGGTCTTTGGTTGGAAAAGGTTGAAGATATGTTGTAGCTGTTACTGCAAATTTTTTATGCTATTTTTGTGATGTACAAATGACATGAGAAGACTTGGTCTATTTATTTGTATCACTTATAATTCCTATGTTCCTTGTTCATAAAACCCGATAAAAAGTTATTAAAAAAGCAAAAAGTACACAGAGGATGGCCACCTACAGATTGCCAAAGGACAGGAAATGCATGACACAAAATGAGGACACCTTTGCATAATACAGTGGTACCTTGGGTTACAGGGGTTTCAGGTTACAGACACTTCAGGTTACAAACTCCACTAACCCAGAAATAGTACCTCGGGTTAAGAACTTGGCTTCAGGATGAGAACAGAAATCACGCTCCGGCGGCGCAGCGGGAGGCCCCATTAGCTAAAGTGGTACCTCAGGTTAAGAATAGTTTCAGGTTAAGAACGGACCTCCAGAACAAATTAAGTTCTTAACCCAAGGTATTTGCATAAACCAATTATATTTGCATATTTTAAGGGGGAAATCACAATGATTTAAATATGGGGGGGGAGGAGTTGTGTGCTTGCTTGATCTGCTAATTACTGGTAGGCTGGTTTATCTTTAAACCAGACTTGGACTGGACAGCCAGTGTGGTGTAGTGCTCAGAATGCTGGACTAGGACATGGGAGACTTGGGTCTGAATCCCCACTCAGCCAGGAAGCACACTGGGTGACCTTGGGCCAGTCACTCTCAGTCTAACCTATCTCACAGGATTCTGAATTATAAAAATGGGGAAGGAGGAGAAGACGATGTATGCCACCTTGAGCTTCTTGGAGGAAAATTAAATAACACAGAAAATAAAGAGAGGAATTTCCTCTGGAAAATTGCGCACAAACCCACTCCATGTCCTCGTAGCTGCAATAACCCCATATTTTCTGACCCCAGCTCTCCTCCTCTGCGTGTGCCTTGCGTCAAGATTCTCGATTGTAAGGGAGGTGGGGCAGGGACCTGACCTTTGCAAAGTATAGCTCGCGTTGATGACGGCTGCAAGCCAGAGAGCGGAAGCCCAGGGCTGCAAAACCACATTCTCTGCTGATTCACCGGCTAAATATGCAATGAGTCTCCTGCCTCGCCCATGAGCACCCGCTGGCAAAGTGGAGGAAAATAACTCCCCGTTTTCAAAACCAAAAGTATTTAACGGCCTTGGTTCTGTGCACAAAGCTGGACTTTAAAACTCATGGTAAGTAAGGAGCCACTAATTATTTGTGGTTAATATAACCCCACATAGATAGGGACCTGGAGATTCTAACTTTCTTTGCTGACTCCTCCCCACCCCCAACCGCGCAAGAGTGGTGGTTCCTTACAACTAGTGTCCCCCCCTCCCGCCGAATGGCTTCTCCCAGGAGGTCACTCTCCCACGCATGCGCGTTGCTTCGTACCGGGCAGATTGACTGCTCTAGCCATGGGCGCTGAGTTGCGGCAGCTGCGGCTGCAACAGAAGAGGCGGTTGGTCCAGGAGCGGATCCGGGAGTTCCCCGATTTTCCCACGCCGGGGGTGCTTTTCCGGTAAGCGGGACGGGTAGCGGCCACTTGGGGCTATATGTGATGCCGAGGTCTTGTTCCCCTGAGCATGTGCAGAGGGCAGTCCTTCCCCCTCCCTTGGGGAAGCGCTCCTGTTGCCAGTGAGCCACTACAAGGTCCCGGCGACTGCGGAAAGGAAAATGCACTCTGCCCATGCTCCGAAGTACACTTTTTTTCTGACCGTAAACTTCTTCCCTCTGGTTGTCGAATTCCTCTCATTTAAGAGGCTCCAGGGCTCAGATTAAGCCGGTCTCGAAGTAGGGGTGGGGGTGGTCGTTTTCTAAAAATATCCCTTTCTTTATGATTACGCCCTCCATGCGCCTGGTGCTCTCCAAAGTACCAGCAGGACAGGTCTCTGGAGGAGCTTGCAGTCCAGAAAGCATAATCAGTTATGTGCGCATTTGCTACATGATTTGCCCCAGGAAGGACTGCAGAGATGAAAGGAGGACCATGCTGGTTTTTGCCCTCGATCAGGGGACAAAGGAGAACCAGGACCCTGTGCTTCTGCCCTCTCAGCAAGTATGGGCATCCACAGGGGTGGGTGGGTGGGTGGGACATGACCCAAAGCTCCCTGACTCCACAGTCAGTTTCTAGCATGCGTGGAACCTGAGATATAAGACGAAATGTGTAGCCATGATTCTTCTCATTTTTTGGCCTGTTTCCCCCTTTCAGTGTTTTACTTTGCCCCAGCGAAAAGGTCCTGCTGAGGCCCATGCCCCAAAGAGCGCCATAGCAAGCGGAATATGCCACCTGTGGGCCAGGGGATGTGACTGAAGTGATACCTAGCTTTCAGGTTTGATTAAGCCTAGAGGAAGTGGGAGAATAAGGAAAATACACAAGAGGTTGGATACCTGTTGCTTTAACTTCATTTATAAAGCAGCTCCAATGCTGGATCCCAAATATTTTTCTTCTGAACGATAATTCCCACTCACAAATAATTTCTTTTGACAAGTGCTTCTTTCTCTCCATAGAGATATCACCCCCCTCTTAAAGGACCCGGTTGCCTTTGCAGCTGCAATTGACCTCCTGGAAGCTCATGTCAAGGCCTCACATCCCCAGGTTGAGTACATTGCAGGTGAGTCAGGGACCAGTTTGTCTTTAAAGCTCTGGAGGGCACCAGGTTGGGGGAGGCTGTCCTTAAGAGAAAGTCAGTGGATCTTGAGGCCATGAATGCCCCATCTACAAACATGCTGCATCCTGACAACAAATCTTCCTCCCTTGACTCCTCTGAGTTCTCTGTGCATGCTCAGATGCACTCTTGGTCAAATGTATATGCCAAGGCTGAGCCACTGAAACCAGACAGTACTCCCTTTAAATCATAAAGAGCTTGGCATTTGCTCCACTTAAGCCTCCACTGAATGGCCTCACAAACAGCAGAAGAAGTGCTAAACCTGTGCCTGGTTTCTCCCTGGTCTGCTAACTTTCTACTTGCGGGGGATTGCACTGCATAGAGAAGCATTCTGTCATGTGAACGCGTGCAGGCCCCCTGCAATGTGAAGTCCAGAGACAGGTTTACAATCTCATCTTCCTGTCAGCAGGTAGAACGCCTCAGATACCACACTCACTGTGCCACAACGATGGGAGTACCGCTTTTAACTTTGAGGACTGAGAAAGTAAGCTGCTGCTTCTCTGCTTCTGACAGGTCTTGATTCCCGAGGATTCCTTTTTGGACCAGTTTTGGCACAGAGATTGGGAGTTGGATTTGTGCTAATAAGGAAGAAGGGGAAGCTACCAGGTCCCACAGTGTCCGTTGCCTACTCTCTGGAATATGGCCAGGTATTGGTGGGATTTTTTTCTAGGGGGTGGAGGTGGGGGCTAATCAAAGGATTTCAAATGCAGCTCTGGTGGATGGGCTTCTAAAGATCGTCCAGTGTTGATTTATGCTGCCTCAGCAGGAGAATGCAAAGCCATTTTTTTTAAAAGTGTATTATAATTTTTAATTTACCACATTTGTACACCAAAAAATCTTAGAGCAGCTTAGCAAAGTCAGCTCTAAGACAGTCTCTTCCCTCACGCTCACAATCTAAAAATACGTGACACATGAGGAAAAAGGAGGAGGGAAAAGCTGGAACACAAATTCTTTTTTCCCTTTATTTGCATTTTCAAAAACAGGAACAGAGCACACTTCACCCCCCTCCGCCTGCCCCACTTACGACTTTGTACCAAATACAGCATGTATACATATACCATATAACTTCCCTTCCACCCTTTTCCTGGTTCCTTTGTTTTTCTACTCCATGTAATCACATCTTTTTAATCATCCAGTTTGTTATCTATTAAAAAAGTATTTCGACGCTGCTGGATTTACTTGAGGCCTGCTAAGCTATGTATTTGTTTATACTGGTTCTTATCCATTCCTCCTTGTATTCCTTCTCTTCGTTTTCTCTTATCCTGTTTGTCAGACCATCCAGTCCAGCATATTCGAACATTTTACACTGCCATTCTTCCTTAGTGGGTACTATAGTTGTTCTCCACCTTTGTGCCAATAAGGTTCTAGCTGTGGCGGTGGCATATAGTAATAAACTCTTGGTTGTTTTTTTACCTCCATTGTTACCATTCCCAAGAGGAAAATCTCAGGTGTTTTGGGGGAAGTTTTCTTTTTAATTCTTTATATAGTTGCCCAATATTCCTTAATTACTTTACAGGACCGCCACATTGGAAAAAGGATCGCTCAATTTTATTACACTTCCAACATATACATTTTTCTTTTTTTAGACATTTTCACCAATCTGGTGTGTGTTGAACACCATCTGTGGGTCATTTTCATATTTTATCGCATAGCATGCCATGAAATTCATATTCACTTTCCACAGCTTTTTGCATAATTCATAATCAATATTGTGACCCACATCTTGCCAAACACAAGTTCTTATGGTTCTTGGAAGTTACAACTGAGGCAAGTGGTGTTTCTGGCTGCCATTTGCTTGATAAAGAGTAGCCCCACCCCTGAAGTCCTCTTTCCACCCCGATCCCCATCAAATCCCTTATTAACATCCATGCCACTGTTCTTCCCACAGACAGCTGACTTGCTGGCGGTTGAGTCCTCCCTGCTCCCTCACCAATGCCAGGCAGTTCTGTCCCACATTTTGGGGTGATGAGCCCCCCACCCCAGGATTCTGGCCACTACATTGCCCATTCAGCAAGCCTAAAATCCACCCTTCTTTTGCACCCCACAGGCAGAGCTTGAAGTTCAAAATGACGCAGTGAACCCCGGTCAGAATGTGCTCTTGATCGATGACCTGCTTGCCACAGGAGGTGAGAACAGGGCAGATACTGAGGCTGTTGGGTAGATTGGCAGTCGGGGTCCTCTCCAGTTCTGCAGACACCCAAATGGAAGATGACGCCCCCGCTGGCTTAGCCCAAAGACAGACTTGCCATGTCCCTCTTTATTCCTGCTCTCTTGCCTGCCCAGGACCTTGTGGATTCATTGTGGGTGCTGGTCAGCACTGGGTGACATGCCAGGCTTTGCTTGCTCAAGCCATATTTTTCCTCCTTAATCTCAAGTGTGCAACATGATAGTTCTGCACCCGAGAGTGGAACAAGTCTGCAATCTCCATGCTAGACTCGACATGTAAGCAGATCTCACAGCTAAAACATTATCCAGCCTCATTTTTCTGCCTTTTTGTTTTAGTTTCCTTCTCAAAAGTTGCCTCTCAACTTGTGTCACATTTTTCCTGATGAGGAATTCTGGAGAACTCGGAAGCTTGCTTCCATTTTTTTACTTGGTCCTAATTACCCAATTGCAAACACATGGCGTAATGTTGGCCCACTTGGGTTTAAAATGGGATTTAACATATTGGTGGAGCATAAGGTTGTGCCCTACCCCACACTGTTAAAAGCAGCATACTCTGAGTGCCAGTTGTTGGGAATCACAAGTTAGGGGAGAGATATTCCGATAGCTGTCTGGTTGGCCATGGAGGGAACAGGATGTGGGCTCCAGCTGTGGGTTCTTCTCATGTTACAATCAACGGTAGCTGAATAGTGCAGGTTTTTCTTCTGCATGAGTTAACATCCCCGTCTCTCATCTAGGGACCATGCAAGCTGCCTGTGAGCTGATGAAGAAGCTGGGGGCTAATATCCTGGAGTGTGTGGTACTTATAGAGTTAAAGTCCCTTAAAGGACAAGAAGCCATCAAGCCAAACTCCCTCTACTCGCTGCTGCAGTATGACTGATACCCAGGAGTGACCGCCTGCCTCAAGCCTTGTTTCAGTTGAGATGGCCTTGCTGCCTTCCTCTGCCAAACAATTCCCAGCTTTGCATTGTTGCCTGCAAGCTTTCTTTCCTTTTTTTTCTTAAAGTGACCCTTGCTCCCATCAAGTTGCCGTTGTCACCCTGGACTTTGTACGTGAAGGGCTAATTATTTAAGTGCCATGGGAGAGGCTTTTATTATTATTAAAAGCACCAAATGAAGCTCGGATTTTTCTTTAAGGCTATCTCCTTGTAGGCAGTCTTGGGGATGACTCGCTCACCAGAACCCAGGCCTAGAGGCTTCCCAGAGTCAGCCTTTTCAAAACAGAAGTCACTTACACCTTTTAGAAAGCAAGAGACTGTTATTCCTCTATGCTTATTGGGGGGGGGGGCAGGGAGAGCCAGCCTAGTGTCCTTGAAACATTTTGGACTACAGTTCCCATCAGCCTCAGTAAGAAGACATGATGGAAGTTGTAGTCCTTGCAAAAGCTGGAATGCACCCCCAGGGCAGGGATGCCTAGGGTTGGCATCGGTCTTGGTTGCTAAATTCCACCTAAACCATACCAGCATATTATGGCCGTCCTCTTAGAACACTTTGGACGAACTGCACCCTGAGCATTTCCCCCAATAGCTATGGCTTGCGGTTCTGCACAGGTCTTTTGGCACTGGAATGGAAAAGTACTTCTGTGCTGTCCCGGATTTGAAACGGCTTGTAAAAAAAATGTCCCTTTCACGTAATGTACAGGTGAGGAAGAGAACCAGGTAGTAAAAGCACCAGTGACTTAAAACCATCCAGTGTAAGAGTAGAACCATTGAAATTAATGGACATGACTTAGTGGATACAGCCCACTCTTAACCCTTTCCTTCCCCCTCCTTGACTCTCTTCAAAATAACTCTTCTGGCTAAAATCATTTATGTTATCAGCATTAAGAGACGCATACAAAATGTCTCTGCTTATGTTTACTTTAAAGTTAAAAATATTCTCTATATATAATAAATATTATACTCTGATCACCCTAGAACTTCTCTTATGCCAACACCTTAAAAAAACAACAACCCCAACTCGAAAAAGAATGAAGTTTTATTTGCATAATTAACAATAACGCCATTTTTTCTAGCTAGGTCTTCAGTTTTGCCATCAAAATACACTGTGCAGACTCACCTGCACCACTTTTCTGGTGTGGATTCTTCCGTTTGCTGTGGGTTTGGGGTCGTTTGGTTTTGTTGCATTCTGCTTTCTCTTTATTTTCATGCTGATTTCTAAAATGTTATTGCAAGGTTGCTCTAACTACTAAAAATGGCATCAAGATCATTTCAACAAAAGGCAGTAGTAGCTACTGGAGGTGCCTCAGCTATCTCCCATCAGCCTCAGTTAGCACGGCTGGTGTTCAGGATGATAGGAGTTGGTAGTCCAGCGACAGCTCGAGGGCCTCAAATTAGCCACCCCTTAAGCTTGCAAGCAGAGTCAGTTAAGGTATTTGTGAATAGGGGTTTTATTCAGCTTCCTGTGGCCACAGAACAGATAATCCAGTGCTGCCACTGATGGTTTTGGAGTTAGTACAGAATAGCTCTCGTGCTGCTGCAAAACTCAGTGCTGCAATGCTAAGAGGCAGGTGCAGGCCAGGGACCTCAATTCAAGGGCCCCATTTAGCTCCCAAACCCATGGATTGCCTAACAGGGTGAACTATATTTAATTTAATAGGTTTAAGGCAAATAAGTCACAACAGCAGTTGTCTCAGCATCTGCTAAAGGAAAGAGCCAAAAAAATAAAGGAAGGGGAAGAGATGAGGTCACATGCAGTCACAAGGAAGTCCCTTTACTGGCAGATAGATTCCCTGGTTCCATGTGTGCGATTGTAGAGCCGTACAATGGGCTGGGCCAGCCTTTCCCAACCTCAGGGTCCCAGGTGGTTGGGCTACAAATCCCATAATCCTTAACCAGGCGAGAGCTGTGGTCAGGGAAGATGGGAGCTGTAAGTCCAACATCTGGGGAAAGGTTGAGACAGGGTGCTCTAGGGCATGCAAAGTCAAGTCACAACCACACCATACATTACAAACACATGACTTCCCCCCCCAAAGATCCTGGGAACTGTAGTTTACCACTCAGAGCTAGAACCCCTGCACCCTTAACAAACTACAGTTCCCAGCATTCTTTGGGGCAGTACGTTAAATGTATGGTGGACCTGTGACCTCAGGCTCAAGCGAAATTGTAGAAATCCACCACCGCTGCTCTTGGCTCAATCCCCTTTTACTGAAGCTAAGAGACAAAAATGTCAACTAAATGGCTTGGCCAGTTAAAAATCACTCATTTTAAGCTCCTCCTGATCAATAAATAGTTATTGCTAAGGTTCATATACAAGTTATGTTTTACAACCAATTTTTTAAAAAGTACTTTTAATGTCCTCTATCTACCAAGTCTTGGAGGAACTGAAACTCCCTTTGTGGAAAAGGCAGCTCCCACCCGTTCCTGCCAGATGAGGGAATGGAAATGCTAGTCATGAAAGGAGTAATGGCTTTGTGGTCCTGCAGCGTCATTCTCTATGCCTGTTCAGCAAATCTGGCAAGTGGGAAAGCGGTGCTGACAAAGAACTTTTTTAATGCACGAAGGCGAAAAGTTTGGTACTTTGTTGTGATACGCCAATCAAACTGAATTTCCTGGTTTGTATGTGCTGCTCTCTTGTGGCCTTACAGAACCGTAACAGCTACACCGGCACCAGGATGGCACTTAGAAAACTAGGAGGAAAGGAAGGAAGGAGAGCTGCCATACCCTCTTAATTCTGAAAAAGCCACAATATTCACATTTTGCTCACATTCATGCAAGGAGAGAAAACGACACACACGTCTCTGGCCATTGGGGTCCTTTCCCAAGAGAGATTGGGACACAATGATGCTGCTGAGCCTAAGTCATGATCTCCCCACATCCTGCAGCATAGATTAGAGCCTTTCCTCTTGCTTTGCCCTTGCGGCCAGTCTCTCCGTGACAACGTTGAGGTCCACACTTTTGTCCAGCTTGATGTACGTTTCTTGCCGGATGGGGAGAACGCTCACCCAGTCGGGCAGCAGCTCTGAGAGGAGACGAAGGTGCTTTTCTGTCTCTCCTGCAGGGACAGAGGAAGAGTTTCAGACAGAGCACTGTGCCAACTGATTGTTTTCTCACTTAACAGCTTTTGTTAAGTGAGAACAGAAAGCCCCTGTCTATCATAGGGATACCCACTATAAATGACTCCATGGTGGTTAAATCACCACTGAAAACATGGCAGGGAAAGGACTCTTTGCATGCAGACAGTTGCACGATTAATCCTCTTAACAACTCCTCTTAAAAAGATATGCAGCTTTTTTGGGTTAGAGGGCACATTCCCAGGGCTCCATGTATAGTAAGACGGAAGTCACATGCTGGCAGAGGGTGGTGCCAGGGTCAAAAAAGGGAAAGTTTTCTAGACTAGCGATCACCCTGCTTCAGATTGGAATACCCAGCCCAACTGGGTTTGATCGGGTTACCCTCAAGTATACAGAAGATTATTTTTTGTGTAAACACAACAGACCAATTCAGCCACTGTTGCAGGGGAAGCCGATCTTTTCCAATTGTGTGCTACACACACCTATAAGGTGTTTGTTCTTACACAGCTGGGAGGTAAACAACTTCATCCCAAGCCATGGAAGCAGCAAAGCAGTGCTTTGTAAGTCAAGTATTTAAAGACCAATTAAGCTGAAACTTTGATCTCGAACTTGCCTTCCACAGGAGGCAGTGATGGCCAGCAACTGGGATGGCTTCAAAAGAGGATTAGACTAACTCATGGAGGACAAGGCTACACCCTGCCTCCAACGTTAAGAGACGTTAGGTCTCTGAATACCAGGCTGCTGGGAATCGCAGGTGGGCAGAGCACTGTTGCACTCCTGTCCAGCTTGCAGGCTTCCAACAGGCATCTGGTCGGCCACTGGGGGAAGAATAGGATGCTCGGTTAGATGGGCCACTTGCCTGACCCAGCAGGCCAGTTCCTATGCTCCTAAAATACAGCCTAGTCTAGTTGTTCTGAAACTTCATAGAAAGAGGGGAGACACTTTTTAAAATGGCTGGGGAAATAAGAAGGAACAAACCCTGATGGGGTGGAAGAATGGAGCAGATTCAGGTGTTGGGAGCCGCCTAAAATGAGGCATGATGGGAACTATAGTTCTGCAACATCCAAGGGGCACAGCTTCCCCATCTCTGCCTGGAGACAACGCATCACCCCCCTTCTCTCCCTCTCAAAGCTCGCCAGGTGTGCCCTCTTCCTCCCCTTACCAAACGTCATGAGGGACCGGTAGCTGGCCATCATCCGCTGGCACGCCACCTCCATGGGCAGCGCCTGCTTCTTCTCCGCCACAAAGACGTTGCGCAGGACCCGCGCCATCTCCGGCAGACGCGACAGCATGTCCAGGCGCCGCTCCTGCTGCGGGTTCCGCACCATCAGCGCCTGCAGCTTTTGAACTTCCTTGGCTCTGACCTGAGAGAGAGAGAGAAAGGGAGAGAGGTGGCGGCGGCGGCAGCATCAGAAGCGATCAACCCTGATAGCTTCTGCGTGCAAAGCAGATGCTCTGCTGGAACTGAGGTATGCATCCTTTAGAATTCTAAGTGTGCATCTTGTCTGTGGCAAGGAAAGGGGGTGGGTAGGGCAGGGCAAAGAGCGTTGCAGAAAGAACAAGGAGTGAGTCTGTGTGGGAAGGGGAAGAATATAAGAAGAGCCCGCAGGATCAGGCCATCTAGCCCAGCAGCCTGTTCTGAGTGGCCAACCAGATGCCCCCAATGGGAATCCCACAAGCAGGGCCCAAGCACAAGGGCACTCTCCCATCTTGCAATTTCCAGCAACTTGCACTCAAAGGTGCCACCCTAATACAATAATAATAATAATAATAATAATAATACTATGTTTTTATTTATACCCCGCCCATCTGGCTGAGTTTCCCCAGCCACTCTGGGCGGCTTCCAATCAAGTGTTAAAAACAGTACAGCGTTAAATATTAAAAACTTCCCTGAACAGGGCTGCCTTCAGATGTCTTCTGAATGTCAGGTAGTTTATCTCTTTGATATCTGATGGGAGGGCGTTCCACAGGGCGGGCGCCACTACTGAGAAGGCCCTCTGCCTGGTTCCCTGTAGCCTCACTTCTCGCAATGAGGGAACCGCCAGAAGGCCCTCGGCGCTGGATCTCAGTGTCCGGGCTGAACAATGGGGGTGGAGACGCTCCTTCAGGTATACAGGACCGAGGCCATTTAGGGCTTTAAAGGTCAGCACCAACACTTTGAATTGTGCTCGGAAACTACTACTACTTACTAAACTAAAATAAAAAATAAAATGAAATAAAAGTAATAGTACAGTGGTACCTTGGGTTAAGTACTTAATTCATTCCGGAGGTCCGTACTTGAAACTGTTCTTAACCTGAAGCACCACTTTAGCTAATGGGGCCTCCTGCTGCTGCCGCGCCACTGGAGCACGATTTCTGTTCTTATCCTGAAGCAAAGTTCTTAACCTGAAGCACTATTTCTAGGTTAGCGGAGTCTGTAACCTGAAGCGTATGTAACCCGAGGTACCACTGTAATAGTAATGGTAATGATGCATGAGGTGGAGCAGGTCGGTGGTCCTGCCCCATCTGCAAACCCCCTTTCTGACTCTGGATGTTGCGACCTGGAGTTCCCTACTTTACAAACCAAGAACAAAGGAGACCCACATCCCACAAGCCTGAAGCCTGCCAGGTGAGGAGACGGCAAGGCACTCACCCTCTCCAACAAGGACTGCGACACCCCTTTCAGGCTGCTGGGGGTGCCAGTCGGAGCTGGCGGGGGTGGCTGAGGGGACTCCGGCACAGAGGGGCTGGTTTCGGCGGTCCTCAGAGCCAGATTGGCCAGCGCCTTCTCCATCTGTTGTTGGGTGTGGCAGAAAGAAAGAGAGAGCAGGTGGATCAGTCATCACTAGCAGATTTTCTCACCTGGCAAGCAAAGGAGTCTTGCGTAGCTGAAAAGCAGTTGCGATGCCATGCGTAACAGTAAACTGATAAGCTCCTGAACAATTTCTCGCCCCCATCATGCACAAACAGCCCATTCAAGTGAAATGCAGGTGGTTGAGGCAGCAGAAGACCTCTCGCTCCCTCTTCCCCAGCACAGTAATCAACAACCAACTTTATCTAGCCACAGGCTTTCCCTCTCTAGTACCAAATCCCAACTTTTGGACCCCTCCCTTTTTTTGGGGGGAGAGGAAAGAAAGCTGCTAGGGGTTGGCATTAAGGCCAAAACAAAAACAAGTCCAAAGAAAAAATTGGCCAACTTCTGACTGCAGGGAAAGAGTCAATAGTCACACAAGGAGGCAGACCCATCACAAATGTTCCTATTTCGATGGTCAAGATCCACTCATAATAAATTCAAGGTATCAGTAAAAAAATATATAAAATATTCCTTACAAATTTAGTACACAGAAATTCAAAGTATTAGCATACAAATATGGCGCCTTCCTCAGTATGAAGCATCTCCTATCCCAAGATTGTCAGGTGAGGTTGCAGTTGCAACATCACTGGGGCATACCCAGTTGGCAGCAACCTACGACAGGGCCTCTTTGCTGGTGGCTCCCCATTTGTGGAATTCCTTCCACAAGGAATTCCATCTGACGGCTGAAAGAAGCTGCTCCTGGCAACCTTGAGAGATCACTGGCTAACTGTTTGCAAGAAGGCTGTATAAAAAAATGATGTTATTGACAGGTTTGTTGCCCTGGGGGCTCCTTTGCAAGGAAGAACAGGATATAAAATGGAAATAATAATAGCTAAGTCGAAGAGTTCCACCCACACTCAGAGGGCCTTCTCCTTTGGCCAGCTTTACCTTGGGCGTCATCAGGCTGCGAGCCTTGGCCAGCACCTCTTGAGCAGTCGTGATTTTGTCCACCAGCGGGGGCTGAGGCACCTCTGCAGGGACGACGTCGGGCACGTCATCAACATTGAACCGGGGATGCCACCTTGTCAGTTTGTCTTCCGGCACCACCATTGGAGGGTTGAGAGACGCCAAGAAAGCCTGTGGGGAGTTAGCACAGGGGAGGTGATGACTATGCCTGATATAGCACCCGGACCAGCAACTGATAAGGTATAGCAAGGTTGTCCCAAACTTGAGTCTCCAGCTGCTTTTGGGCTACAACTCGCATCAGGACTAGTGGTCAGGGATGAGGGGAACTGTAGCCCAGAAACATCTGGAGACCCAAGTTTGGGAAACCCTGATGTGAAACAACCCTCCATAGGAGGTATTTTCTCATTTACGTGGCAAAGGCAGGAACAAGTGGAGGGAGGAGACGACAGCTGGGAGGGGGAAGGGCCAGATGAAGAAGACCTTCAGAGGTCCTAGGCACTGACAAGATGATGGTGCCCCCATATGCAATTGAAAACAAGGACGATACTAAACCGTAAAATAAAATTGTATTTTTCAAGAGCTTGCATGCTTGCAGAAATGTGTGTTCATATTATGTCTTGTGCAACCCATGACAGTATCTGCTTTCTTCACATTCTTTTGGTCTACGTTAGTAGACATTAGTTGCCGTCATCCCCAGTTTAGGTGGGGATAAGTAATAAGAAGAGAACAGGAAAACTGGGGAAGACTGTGGAGTGTAAGATGCCTGAAAGTTCCGATTCTTTGGTGCTTTTTTTTGAACTGTCAAATTCTTCCCAAAGCTTCTCATGCGTTGCTGGTGTATGTGCTTAGTCTGCTTACTGGGTAAATCCAGCACTTTTTTGGGGGGGGGGAGAAGAGACTCGCCTTGTGGTGCCCTTTTACGATGTTAACCAAGTTCCTGCCAAATATTTTCCGACGCTGCATCAGGTGTGATGCCGACAGCTTCTCTCCTGAAACAAAAAAATGAAGGGTGATGAGCCACATCTCCCTCTTGCTCCCTCTGAAACTGCTGTTCCCTTCTACCCGCCAGTTCAGGGATGGGAAACCTTTGAGTTGGGCTGGAGGCGGGCACATGCCAGTGGTGGGTGGGGCCAGAGGCAAAAGTGGGCGGAGCAACTAATGTAAAATATGGCATAGGCTGGTGTTTACACACTCCTCTCCCCATCCTCCTCCCAAGGCAAGCAAGAGGCGCCACTGTCAGGAACAAACAGGGTGCGGCCCAAAGAGACTCCCAAGGGCCAGAAACAGGGGCCTGGAGAGCCACACCGGGTCCCCGGGACCAAGGTTGCCTTACTGTAAAGAAGTGGTCCTACAATGACACACACTGGGGTTGTTCTTTGGCAGCCCAGCACAAACGTCTTCAAGTTTGGTCTTTGGTACATTTCAAAGGGTGTGGCAGGAAACGTACAATGAAGTCTACCTGCCCACTTTCCTCCCGAGCTCATAAGAGCTTCTTTTGCAAATGCCGCACGGGACCCACCTGCCTCCAGCATGGGTTCGATCGTCAGCTGGTAGTCTCCTCTCTTCTGACCAGGGGTGCCAAAGGTGGGAATGTTCTTCTCCTGGCGCATGATGTACGAAGCTGGATACACAGCTTTGATCTGACCCAGGTTCCGTTCTTCAAATTGCCTGCAGACAGGCAGGGAGAACATCAGCACCCAAGATCTTGCATGCAATCAGAAGTTTATAAACGATCAGATAAATAGAATGTAATCAATCCCTTCGGGAGTGAACATCCCATTAATATAGTGGCACCCTCAAAATGAGGACCAGGAGAGTCTTGAGGTTCTTGGGTCTGGCAGACAGATACAAGGCACGCAAAGTAGGTTTGCACCCGTGATATTGTCATTAAGTTATTAACCACCTTCTATACAATCATCTCAAGGTGACGTAGCGTTAAAACCAGCAAGCAAACAAAAAACATTTAGAGACACAAAAAACAGCAGATAAATTTAAAACAAGATGAAAACTGTCCAAAATAGACAGTGATGGCAAATAACCATTGGTCCAGCTGGGAAAGGCTGATGGAACAAATACAGTGGTACCTCGGGTTAAGAACTTAATTCGTTCTGGAGGTCTGTTCTTAACCTGAAACTGTTCTTCACCTGAAGCAGCACTTTAGCTAATGGGACCTCCTGCTGCCGCCACGCCACTGCTGCGTGATTTCTGTTCTCATCCTGAAGCAAAGTTCTTAACCCAAAGTACTATTTCTGGGTTAGCAGAGTTTGTAACCTGAAGCGTATGTAACCCAAGGTACCACTGTAACGGTAAGAGTTGGAAGAGAGCCCAAGGGTCATCTAGTCCAACCCCCTGCAATGCAGGAATCACAACTAACATGTTCTCAGAAAGTGCAGACAGAGGGCGTCTGCTGAATCTCAACAGGAATGCTATTCCATGTAACAGGGGCAGCCACACTAAAAGCCCTGCTCTAAGCTGCTATGGGACAAACCTCTGAGATTTAGGGACTTGCCCGAGAAACTTACCCACAAACCAAGCAATCTGCTGGGTGTATAAGGGAGAAGGCAGTCTCTCTCTCAAGTAACCTGACCCTGAGCTGTACTGGCCTTGTGCGTTAGTACCAACACCATGAGGACTAAAAGCTTGAAGGAAAAGTGGTCAAGAGTATCCACCTAGCCCAGCACTTTTGTCTCTCCGGCCAGAAGTCTTCAAGCAGAAGAAAGAGGTGTTCTGACTCTAGCTGTGGAGGTTCCAACACCATTTATCACTGCCAAGAGCTCCCAAGACCAGTTACCCAGCTTCCATGATTTTATCTAGTCAAGGGAATGGGAAACCTTTGCAGGCGGGGGGCCGTGCATGTGGGAGTGGTAGACAAGGGTCGGGGCAAAAGTGAGCAGGGCAACAGCTGCAACTCTTAACTTTGAGCAGTAGGGGGCAGTCCAACCACCTCACCAAAAGTTAGAGGCTTCTACAGCCCCTCGCATCCATTCAAGCAACCGAGCAGCATGACCACAGTTTAATGCAGGGGTAGGCAACCTAAGGCCCGTGGGCTGGATGCGGCCCAATTGCCTTCTAAATCCGACCCGAGGATGGTCCGGGAATCAGCGTGTTTTTACATGAGTAGACTGTGTGCTTTTATTTAAAATGCATCTCTGGGTTATTTGTGGGGCATAGGAATTCGGGACAGTGGACTGGCCCACGGCTGAAAAAGGTTGCTGACCCCTGGTTTAATGGGTCCTCAAAGCACTCTGGGCACAGAGCAGGTTTGGCGAGGGTGTGCGGCATTGGAAGAGCACTGGGGGCCAACCAGAGGTGTCTGGAGCTGATGACAACACCCTGTTTGCTGAACTTCTTTGGTTCACCACTCATTGCACAAAGTACTTTCTGCTCAGGGAAGGCCATCAATTTTATTACATGCCAAGTAATTAACATCAGGGGGAAAAACCACCAGCCCAGAAGGGAATTCTGGTCTACCGCTGTGTTACAAAGGCTGCTCTCATCTTCACTCTGTTATTCCCACTTGGCATCCTGGGCAGAATTATTAGCTTGCCAGGTGGAGAGATAGTCACTCTCTCTGCCTCTCCGGACTGACTGCTCACAGGCGACTGCCCCCCGCGCTCCCTGCCCACCCCCAGGAGAAAGGGTGAGCTCTCACCTGCGCATCATGTCCTGGATGCCTTGCTTGACCTTGGCAAAGGTCACCGTCTCCGAGCGGTTGAAAAGCATCCCCACGATGGTGTCCATGCTGCGGAACATCTCAGCCAGCACCTTGTACTTGTAAGGCAGCGCGAGTCCCGGGGGGACATCCTGGGCGAGGTTGTGGAAGCGCTGGAAGGCTGGTGCCTTCGCACTGGGAAGATGGGGAGAATAAAATAATCGGGTGTTTCCGTCACACGGCAGCACGATGTCACCTTAGCTCTCACACAGGTACAGTGGTGCCCCGCAAGACGAACGCCTCGCAAGACGAAAAACCCGCTAGACGAAAGGGTTTTCCGTTTTGGAGGCGCTTCGCAAAACGAATTTCCCTATGGGCTTGCTTCGCAAGACGAAAGCCCATAGGGAAATCTCCGGTCCGCGAAGCCTGGGCGCGCTGATCTCAGCGCGCGCAGGCTTCGGCATGCCGGCAACTCTCCGCGAGCAGCGGCAGCGCTGCCGCTGCTCGCGGAGAGGTCCGCGGAGCCTGGGCGCGCTGATCTCAGCGCGCGCAGGCTCCGGCATGCCGGCAACTCTCCGCGAGCAGCGGCAGCGCTGCCGCTGCTCGCGGAGAGGTCCGCGAAGCCTGGGCGCGCTGATCTCAGCGCGCGCAGGCTTCGGCATGCCGGCAACTCTCCGCGAGCAGCGGCAGCGCTGCCGCTGCTCGCGGAGAGGTCCGCGAAGCCTGGGCGCGCTGATCTCAGCGCGCGCAGGCTTCCGGCATGCCGGCAACTCTCCGCGAGCAGCGGCAGCGCTGCCGCTGCTCGCGGAGAGGTCCGCGAAGCCTGGGCGCGCTGATCTCAGCGCGCGCAGGCTTCGGCATGCCGGCAACTCTCCGCGAGCAGCGGCAGCGCTGCCGCTGCTCGCGGAGAGGTCCGCGAGGCCTGGGCGCGCTGATCTCAGCGCGCGCAGGCTTCGGCATGCCGGCAACTCTCCGCGAGCAGCGGCAGCGCTGCCGCTGCTCGCGGAGAGGTCCGCGGAGCCTGGGCGCGCTGATCTCAGCGCGCGCAGGCTTCGGCATGCCGGCAACTCTCCGCGAGCAGCGGCAGCGCTGCCGCTGCTCGCGGAGAGGTCCGCGAAGCCTGGGCGCGCTGATCTCAGCGCGCGCAGGCTTCGGCATGCCGGCAACTCTCCGCAAGCAGCGGCAGCGCTGCCGCTGCTCGCGGAGAGGTCCGCTGAAGCCTGGGCGCGCTGATCTCAGCGCGCGCAGGCTTCGGCATGCCGGTAACTCTCCGCAAGCAGCGGCAGTGCTGCCGCTGCTTGCGGAGAGGTCCGCGAAGCCTTGGCTGGACAGCTTTTGAAGGCAGGTGGGGGGACAAGACTTTCGCCCCCGCCAACCTTCAGAAGAGGTCCAGGACCTCTTCTGAAGGCTGGCGGGGGCAAAAGTCTTTGTCCCCCTGCCTGCCTTCCCAGGGGCTTTAAATTGCCCCGGACAGCGGAGAAGTCCTCCGCTGTCCCGGGGCAATTTTAAATGCCGCCCGCCAGCATTTTAAGATCGCCCCGGACAGCGGAGAAGCCCTCCGCTGTCCCGGGTTTTTAAAATGCTGGGGGTGGAAGAAAAGCCCTTGTCCCCCCCAGCCTTCAGAAGAGGTCGGGGACAGACTGTCCCCGGACCTGGTCTGAAGTCGGTTTCCCTAGGAACGCATTAATTGATTTTCAATGCATTCCTATGGGAAACCGTGCATCGCAAGACGAAAAACTCGCAAGAAGAAAAAACTTGCGGAACGAATTAATTTCGTCTTGCGAGGCACCACTGTAGTTGTCGGTGGAGGTTTTGGATGATAGTTGCAAACATTTAAGAGCAGCAAAGCCATTTTCAGATCTGCTGTACAAGTTACTGAGGGGCACCTTTCTAGCGGATCAAAAATATTTTTAAATCAATTTATTGGCTGGGCGTTGCAATCCTAATTATTGACTGGGACATCCAACCATCCTGCAGACTCAAATGGTAGGAGACGCCCAGCTCTGCTTAGGATTGGGCTGTTTGATGGCCTAGAACAGGGATGGCTCACTTGTCGCTGTCCAGATGTTGCTAGACTCCCACCAATCCCAGCCAGTGAGGCCAATAATCTCTAGGGGAAATGGCAGTCACATAACAATTGGGGTGGGCACAAGCTAACCACTCCTAAACTGAATCAAACAATCACTCTATTATGGCCAATGGCCAGTAACCAGAAAGGAACTTTGTACAAATATATAACATACAAAGCAAAATAGAAAACAACAGCAATCAAACTATTAGTATAACTGTTGTACTACAGAACACCAGGCACAGAAAACAAATTTATAAATTTGCTAAACTTAATCCCTGCATGCAGCAGCACAATATTACACACAAAGAAGAAAGATGGATGAGTACTGATATGCTAAAAGTAAAAAGGCATCAAATGCAAGCTGTCGCCCTGGGAATTTCCAAAAAAAAGGGTTCAATACCCTAAGACCCCTGATCTAGAAAATCGCCATGTCCCCTCTCACCAGACACCTGGCTTCATCACCAAGGCCAACCCCTCAGAAAGCTCTTCCCCTACCTGGTCTCTGCTGTTGGCTCAGGATTGCTTTCGCCCAGCTGGAGTTGAGGGAGGTTCCTCACTTTCTCCTTCTCAGCCTCTTTCCTCTTGCTGATTTTGGATTCCAGCAGCCGAGCCCGTTTTAATCTGCTCTTTATGTCACCGTCAGCCTCTGAGGAGCTGGCTGGCAAAGTGACTTTCTTTGCCAGGGCACGCATCTTTGCCAGACGACCACTCAGCTCCGCCAACTTCTCCTTAGACACCATCTCCTGTTTGGAAGGAGAGAAATCTCAGCTAGGGAGATTCCTGCCTTATTCACATAGGGAAGGAAAGGGCAAGAATGACCTCTCTTTGCCAGAGACCCTGGAGAGGGACTGCCATTCAGAGTAGACAGCAGTGGCCTGAATAGGCTAATAGTCTGAGCTGGTATAAGGCAGCTTCCTATGTTCCTTTGTACAGGCAACGCTCCCTTTTGAAATCTAAATATCCAGCAGACAATCCTTTTAAGTAATCTCTACAGTTTGGTACTTGCCAGTGGCAAGCGGCAACCAGCGGCGAGGTAAGCAACTGAATGGCCTGTGAGCATCACAGACTCCATCAGACTGCCGGCCCTCAATCACTACGGTTGCAATTCTTAAGCAAACTTAGCACAGCTCTGCAGCAGTGCTGCATCTTTCCTTAATCTCGCAGCTCTGAAGTAGTCAGTGTTAGAAACTCAGATATGAAAGCTAGGAGCTAAATAGCACCTTAAACTGAGGTTACAGGTGCTACAACAGAATGTCTAGCCACCCATTTTTAAAAACAAGAATACAAAGCTGAAAATGAATGAAGTGCAGCTAAAATATTATGTTCATTTTTCACAGGGTCTAGTCCTTTCCCCTGCCCACCCCTCTAATATTCTTAAGAGGGTCTCTTCTCCAGTCTTCAGAGAATAGCTGGAAGTGGGGAGGCAGAAAAAGCTCCTCCTTTCCTTCCACTCTGCAGCTTTAATCTGAAATCTTAGGCGCAGTACTGCGCCCAGAACTCAGGAACTGCTCGTACTAATGAAATTCCCTGTTGCAAAATGCGCCTAGAACAATGGGAGTTTTGAACACAGGAGGTAGTGCTGGGTCATTAGAATCTGGAGCCACTGAACCCAGTCAATGTGTATGCTAATGACAAAGGGTGCTGTGGCAGCTCAGAGGCTATCAGGTTTACCGAGCTGTGCAAGCTTCAGGAGGCGGCAGAATGCTATGTCAGATGTTTAGAGATGGTGGCCTATACAAAGCTCCAAAGCTCACCTTCTCTACCGGCACTATGCCAGGCTGCACTGTGGTCTCCAGCTGCAGATCTGGTGAAAGAGTCACATTGGCCAAATCCTTTGCCTTTTTATCCAGACTGGAGGGGCTGGGTAGCCCAAGGGCTGTGGGGGAAGCAAAGCCTGGGACCTGAAACAGAAGCACTCCAGTCAGAATTGGCAACACGTCTCCCTTCAGAATACCAGTTGCTTAAGGGAGTTCAGTATGTAGCCTGGAGAGGAGAAGGCCGAGAGTTGACATGATGGCCAGCTTCAAATATCTGAAGGGCTGTCACATGCAATAAGGAGCAGGCTTGTTTTCTGCTGCTCCAGAGTGTGGGAACCAAACCAATGGATTCAAATTACAACTGAACAGAGTATTCCAAGTTTTCTAACCACATTGGGTTCTCACTGTAATATCTTACTCACTACAAACCCATATTCCCTCCTTGGTCAGTCCCCACCAATTCAAACCCTATTAATGCATGTGCTGCAAAGTCAGGGGGATTATTATTTTTTTACTCTCAATGTACAACACTTTACACATATTTTGCTCTGAGTCCCATTAACCATTTTAATGCCCATTTCAGAAGTATTCTTTTTCCCATTTTTGGGCACAGTGAATAACCAACCAACAAGGCCTCTACACTCCGACAACTTAATAGCACCGCCATATTCAGGAACAGTCTACCTCAACCATCCAAGACACTGCAGACAACCAACGTGGGAATGGCATGGCAGGTCTGACCCCACAGGTGTCTTCCCTAGAAAGGTCGCCTCAGAGCTCACACCCGGGAAGGACCAAGAAAACCCGAAGGGGCGGGCCCATTCACACAACCCCGACTTCCAGCCTTTCCCACTACACAACAAGGCTCCGGGCAACTAATCCGGATTAAAGAGGCTCGAAGTAAGAGCGCGCGGTTCTGCTTCCCCTCCTTTCGGGTCACTCACCGCCTCCCCTTTTTCCTCCGCGGGCATCACCAGCGTCTTCCGGGCGCTGCCCTTCGCACCGAGGCGGCCTTGGGCAGAGACCGGCGTGAGCTTCGCCTCGGGTTCCGGCCTGCGCCTTTTCCTGCTGCTGCTGGGCAGCGAGGGCTGCGGGCAGCTGGAGCCGAGCGGGGTGCGAGGAGGCTCCAAGAGGCCCAGCCCCGTCTCTTCCTCCTGCTGCTGCTGCTGCTCCTTCTTCTCGGGCCTGCCGGCCTCCGGGAGCTCGGGGGCTCCATCAGCTTGTACCTTCCGGCGCTTGGCGCTCAAGCTGCCCGCCGCGGGGCCCTTCTTGTTCTGCGCGAAGAAATCGGTGACCCGGAGCTGCGCCATGGCGTCCACGTGGCCGCTTCGTCTCCCGATGGAACGTTTCGAGCCCGGCCTGCTGCTCAGCGTTCCATCCGGCGGCAACAAAGTATCTGACTTTCGCGGGCTTGGCCTAAGCCCCGCCCCTTAGCTTCCTTTCCCGCGCTGGCGCGGACAAGCTCTTAAAGGCGCCGCGTAGCTTTTCCCGCCTCCATTGCTTGCAGAGACCTGTGGGGTCAGACCTGAGCCCGACGAAGCAGAACTAGAAAGGCGGCGCTTCTTCTTTTTTCTGTAGGAGCGGGGGGACCTGTAGTCTTCAGGGTACTGTTGAACTACAACTCACACCATCTCCGGCCATTGGCTATGTTGGCTGGGGCTGATGGGAATTGTAGTCCAAAACTCTGGCAATTAGCAGGGAGGTGGGGTGAACAAGCTGCAGCCCGCCAAATGCTCTTGTACTACAACTCCCACGATCCTTCACCATTGGCCATGCTGGCTGGGGCCCGTTGGAGTCCGCTAAACATCTCGAGAGCCGCAGATGTCCCCCAGGGAAGCTAATTTAAGTACTTCTGTATTTCTCTGTTTTTCTGCAGTGAGAGAGGAGGACTTGCTTTGAGGTTTGTTTGGGTGAGGACACAGGAGAGATCCAGGCTCGTATCCCTGTCCAGAAGTAACAACATTTCAATAAAGTAAAACCAGGTGTAAACAGAGAGTAATCATGTACTGTACATCCTTAACTGGGAGTAAGCCTCTTATTGGGGCTTACTTCTGAGTAGACCTGTCTAGAATGCTTACTCCCATTGTGTTCAATGGAACTTAACTCTCTGGTATGTTGAGGACTACCGGACACAGGTGGCACTGTGGGTTAAACCACAGAGCCTAGGACTTGCTGATCAGAAGGTCGGCGACGGGGTGAGCTCCCGTTGCTTGGTCCCTGCTCCTGCCAACCTAGCTGTTCGAAAGCATGTCAAAGTGCAAGTAGATAAATAGGTATCGCTCTGGTGGGAAGGTAAACGGCGTTTCCGTGCGCTGCTCTGGTTCGCCGGCTTAGTCATGCTGGCCACATGACCTGGAAGCTGTACGCCGGCTCCCTCGGCCAGTAAAGCGAGATGAGCGCCGCAACCCCAGAGTCGGCCACGGCTGGACCTAATGGTCAGGGGTCCTTTTACCTTTTTTACCTATGTTGAGGACTACAACCTTAGATGGCTTCCAAAAACATAGGGAGCAGCCTTTCACAGAGTCTGACCATTGGTCCATCCAACTCACTAGTATCTACACTATACTAATCAGCAGCAGCTCGCCAGAAAACTTCAAGAGGGATCTTGTCAGGCCCACCTGGAGATGCCAGAAATTGAACTTCTGACCTTCTGCATAAAAAGCCTATGCCCTGTCACTATGCTTCAGTTCTTAGAAGGGAACTAAGACCAACTCACTGAGGAAGAGAGGCACACCAATGCCAGTTAATCATGGTGGATCATGGGTAGATTGAACCTCCATGTTCAGAGGCAGTAATCCCATAGAGTACAGTTAATCTATTTTTTACTGCTTTGTAAGTAACATATTTGTAAGTAACTGCTTTGTAAGTAACGTATGAAGGGATGTGGGTGGTGCTGTGGGTTAAACCACAGAGCCTAGGACTTGCCAATCAGAAGGTTGGCGGTTCGAATCTCCGCAACGGGGTGAGCTCCCATTGCTCGGTCGCAGCTCCTGCCAACCTAGCAGTTCGAAAGCACGTCATAGTGAACAGGAGGTAGAAGGTGCCATTCAGAATATGGAATTAGGCAAATCTCCAGGACCGGATGGACTGACTTCTAGATACTACAGATCTTTAAAAGAATGGTTAGTACAACCTTTAAAGGAAGTCTGCAATGAAATAATGGATGGGAAAAGGGCACCAGAGTTGTGGAAAGAAGCGTATATTACACTTGTACCGAAAACAGAGACTGAAAAGATGCAGCTTAAGAACTACCGCCCCATATCACTGCTCAATGTGGATTATAAAATCTTTGCAGACATTTTGGCTAAAAGACTAAAAAAAGTGCTAGTGGAAGAGATACATAAAGATCAAGCAGGCTTTCTCCCGGGTAGACATTTGTCTGATAATGTGAGAAACATAATCAATATTTTAGAAAAATTACAAGTGAATATAAACACTAAGGCAGTTTTGATATTTGTAGACGCGGAGAAAGCTTTTGACAACATTTCTTGGAGTTTTATGAAGAAGGCCCTACAGGGGATGGGGGTAGGCCAAGGCTTTGGAAACGGTATAAGTGCAATTTATTCAGAACAAAAGGCTAAATTAATTGTAAATAACGTGGTGACGGAGGAATTCAAGATAGAAAAAGGGACACGACAAGGTTGCCCAATTTCCCCATTGCTTTTTATATCGGTCCTGGAGGTCCTGCTGAATATGATTAGAAGGGACCAATTGGTTAAAGGTATACAAGTCGGAGCTAAACAGTACAAATTGAGAGCATTCGCAGATGACTTAGTATTGACATTGCAGGAGCCAGAATCTAGCACTAAAAGGGTTTTGGAACTGATTCAAGAATTTGGTCAAGTTGCAGGATTTAAACTGAATAAGTTAAAAACAAAGGTCTTAGAGAAAAATTTAACAGCGATTGAGAGAGAGAGGTTTCAGAATGAGACAGGTTTAACAGTGGTTAAGAAAGTGAAATACCTGGGGATTAACATGACAGCTAAAAATGGGAATCTATTTAAAGACAATTATGAAAAATGCTGGACTGAAGTGAAAAAAGATCTAGAAATTTGGTCAAATTTGAAGCTTTCACTGCTAGGCCGTATTGCTGCGATAAAGATGAATGTATTGCCAAGAATGTTGTTTTTGTTTCAAACACTGCAAATTTTGGACAAAATGGACTGTTTCGAGAAGTGGCAGAGAGATATTTCCAGATTTGTCTGGCAGGGCAAGAAGCCCAGAATAAAATTTAAAATATTAACGGACGCAAAGGAAAGAGGTGGATTTGCCCTGCCAGACCTTAAACTTTATTATGAATCAGCAGCTTTTTGCTGGCTGAAAGAATGGCTGCTTCTTGAAAACACAGACATTTTGGACTTAGAAGGTTTTAATAATGTATTTGGATGGCATGCATATTTATGGTATGATAAGGTCAAAGCACATAAAGCATTTAAAAATCATATTGTCAGGAAAGCATTGTTTAATGTCTGGATAAGATATAAGGACCTACTGGAAAATAAAACCCCAAGGTGGCTGTCACCGATGGAAGCGAAAGCTCAGAAAAAGCTCAATATGGAGGCCAAATGGCCGAAATATTGGGAAATTCTGGAACAAGAGGGAGATAGATTAAAACTGCAGAGTTTTGAAAAACTAAAAAACAAAGTGCGAGATTGGCTTCATTATTATCAGATAATGGAGGCATACGATTTGGACAAGAAAATTGGCTTCCAGGTGGAAAAATCCAAATTAGAAACAGAACTGTTAGAACCCAAAACTAAGATTTTGTCAAAGATGTATAACTTGCTGTTGAAATGGAATACTCAGGATGAAACGGTGAAATCTGTTATGATTAAATGGGCACAAGATGTTGGACATAACATAATGATGGCTGACTGGGAACAGTTATGGACCACAGGTATGAAGTTTACGGCATGCAATGCCTTAAGAGAGAAGATTATGAAAATGATATACAGGTGGTACATGACCCCAGTCAAGCTTGCGAAAATCTATCATTTGCCCGATAATAAATGTTGGAAATGTAAAGAAACCGAAGGTACATTCTTTCACCTTTGGTGGACATGCCCTAGGATTAAGGCTTTCTGGGAGATGATCTATAATGAAATGAAAAAGGTATATAAATATACCTTTCTGAAGAAACCAGAGGCCTTTCTCCTGGGCATGGTCGGCCAATTGGTGCCAAAGAAGGACAGAACTTTTTTTATGTATGCCACAACAGCAGCAAGAATACTTATTGCAAAGTATTGGAAGACACAAGATTTACCCACTGTGGAAGAATGGCAGATGAAGGTGATGGACTATATGGAATTGGCGGAAATGACTGGCAGAATCCGAGACCAGGGAGACGAGTCGGTGGAAGAAGATTGGAAGAAATTTAAAGACTATTTACAGAAATACTGCAAAATTAATGAATGTTAGAATGATGTCAGAATGAAGTTAAGTGGTTTTAGTAGCAATGTTATAAAGGTGTATGTAAAAATGGATTGTTAACAGGTGAGAATCCAAAGTTATAATATATTAAGTTAAAGAACTAATACAAAAACAAAGAGGGAAAGGAATTGCTGAATTAACTAATTGAACTGGAATACAAAAAAGGGAGGTGTGAGGAGGTCAGGGAAGTAAGGAAATGAAATGTAAGGCATGGAATGATTGATTTGTTTTTAAGTGTTTTTTATTTTTTTTCTGTATTCTGTATTTTTTATTTTCTTTATTTTTTATTTTTTCTCTTTTTTATTATCTATGTAATCTTTTTTTTTTGAAACCTTAATAAATATCATAAAAAAAAACCCGAAAGCACGTCATAGTGCAAGTAGATAAATAGGTACTGCTCTGGCGGGAAGGTAAACGGTGTTTCCGTGCACTGCTCTGGTTTGCCAGAAGCGGCTTAGTCATGCTGGCCACATGACCTGGAAGCTGTGTACCAGCTCCCTCAGCCAATAAAGCGAGATTAGTGCCACAACCCCAGAGTCGGCCACAACTGGACCTAATGGTTAGGGGTACCTTTACCTTTTTAAGTAATGTATGGGAATGCAGTGAGAACTGCAAAGTTGGCACCTTGCCAGTGGTCAATCTGTGTCGGGTCCTTTAAGGAAGTGTGGCATAATTGTCTGGGAAAAGATCAAGGAAGCCTTCTTGCAATAATTAATCCATTGGGATTTATTTCATAGATCAATGCCTGCCCAAGCCTCGGAAGATGCTTTATTGAACGTGACTCTTGGCCAGAAGCCATGAAGTAACAATGTCCACAAAGGCAAGTTTTCCTGCTGACAGAATTTGAATTCACTCTTGTTTGCCTTTGAAAGAGAGTTGGGAGGCAGCCTTGAAACAGGGAGTGATTGAAATTATTTTCAAGGCTGCTTGAGGGACTCCTTGAAAAGAGCAACCGGGAGGAAGGCACAAGACCCATGTGATCCCATTCTAGCCATCAGAGATACACATTTGGATTACAGCTGTTCCACATCCCAACAAATGGGATCTACTCCCAGGCCACATCTGGAGCACAGCTGCTTGTGTTTTCCAAATACAGTGGTACCTCGGGTTAAGAACTTAATTCGTTCTGGAGGTCCGTTCTTAACCTGAAACTGTTC